CCCTGGCAGGACATATCGGTTGATTTCATGACAGATCTACTCAAATCAAATGGGGATTCAGTAATGGTGGTAGTAGATCGCTTTTCCAAAGAAGTGGTATTCATTCCCACCAACAAAACCATGACCGCTGCTGGTACGGCAGATCTATTTAAAGATTTTGCATGGTCTATCCATGGGTTACCGGAAACGGTTATCTCTGATAGGGGACCACAATTTGCTAGTGAATTTACAAAAAAAACTTTGCCGGATGCTGGGCATCAAACCTAAAATGGTGTTCCATCTGCAGACTGATGGGCAAACAGAGAGGCTCAATCAAGAATTAAAGCAATACCTCCGCATATTTATTAATGACAGGCAGACAGATTGGGCCAAGTGGCTAAAGATAGCCTAGTTCCCATATAATATCAAACAGTTGTCGGCTACAGAAAAAGCACTATTCGAGGTTACAAGATCGTACCTTCCCAGAATGGGTGTAGAACCTGGCAAAAGCAGGAACAAGGCTGCTGAGAACATGGCTAAAGACATGAAGTCTGTCTTAGACAAAACATGCAAGGCGCTATTCAAAACTGCAGAGCAGATGAAAGACAGGGCAGAGCGTAGACACTCTAAGGCTCCTGACTACAAGGTTGGCGACCTGGTCTGGTTAGATACAGACCACTCAAAATTAAAAGATTGGCAGTCTAGAAAACTGACCAAAAAGTGGATTGGTCCTTACCGGATTAAGAAAGTCAAACCCAATGCAGTGGAGCTGAAACTCCCAAAATGGATGAGGGTAGTACCCACGGTCAATATCAGCCATGTGAAACCTTACAAAGGGCCGCTGCCGGGACAGCGTGTGGACCAGCCCGGACTGATTGTAGTCACCCAGGAAGGTGAAGAAGAGTTTAAAGTCAAACAAGTGGTGGATGCACACTTGAAGCGTGGAAAACTGGAATTCCTAGTCCTATGGAAGGGCTATGGAGATGAAGACAGAACATGGGAACCAGAAGCCCATCTGAATAACTCCCATGATGTTGTTCAAGAGTTTTATTCTAAGAATCCCTCGACTCCTAGGAAGCTTAGAGGCATGGATTCAAACCTTTTTAATTCCCTTTTTCAACCTATGCCCAAAAATTTAACTACTACCTCCGGCATCTGGTCTCGCCTGGAACACCCCACGAACAACCAGACCACTCCACTGTTCTAGGAGGCAAAGCCCATAAACAAGTTCCGTGGAATCTGGGAGGATTGTGTGTTAGTTTGTTTTGTGTGTGGTTTTCTAACAACAGTTCTCATCATCGACATCGCGCTGCACTGCCTTTTTCTTATTTTAGCTACAAGTCTCTCATGCAGTGGAGCTGGTCACACGGGCTGTGCCCCATGACATCATCAGCCACTGCCTCCATCAACCGTATAGTACATATGTACAAACAAACCTGTAGTAGTATATATACCCCAATAGATCAAGGAGACTCCTCAGTGAGTTCTCCTGTTGTTTACCCACAACTAACTTGGTCTTATCCTAAGGGTAACCACTCCCCTCACTTCTTTACAGCTTCGTCTGAGTTGTGCACCAGAGTATAGAAACTTTGGTTGTAACATCCTTGTGGTCTGTCAGTCGGCATAACTCTACGCTCCATTTCCACATGGTACTCCGGTTGTCTGCTCCAATACTCCTGCACCAGACTCCTAGTCCGCCATACATTTCTCCTTGCACGTTCTAGTATTCCTTGTGGACTCTGTAGTTAGACCTTATGATACACTCCTTGCACATATGTTCTCCTCTCGCTAGATAAATGTCCGCATGGAACTCCATACATACATTACAAGTTACTCCTTACGAGCTCCTGCTCCCCCAACAGTATACAAGCTGTAACTCCTGTACTCCGTTTCTGCAGTTTGAATATTGACTAGATTCCCTCACTTTCTTACCAGTCCTTTTCTAAAGTCCTTTCCAATCCTTTGCCGAAAGATCTTTACTCTGCTCCCTTTCATCCTCTACTTCTTCTCTGTCCACTTCCAACAAGTTAGGGACCAAGGTCCGTGGAAGGGTCTGGCGCATGAGCTAAGTCAATTCCCCATCTCATCCTTTGTACTCCGTTACTCCAAAAAGGCCATGGTTCTAACAATGTACCTACATATTTTCTAGTGTTGATGTCAGTATAGTATTATGAAATGAGACTTTGAAATCTCACCTTAGATGCAGCCGCAGACCATAACCCACCCTTTTCTGCCCAGTTCTCAAACAGTGCTTGAAGACAGACCTCTTGTTCATCCTTTGATCAATATTTGGCATTTTTTCTGTGACCTGAAGCTTGTGAAATCAGATTAGCTTCACTAACATCATAAGCCACAGCCAAGCACCAAGGATTTTTGGTCCCATTAATGATAGCAGCAAGATATCTACAGAAAATGTTAGTTTTGGTGATTCTGCACTTAGTTGTGCTATCTATTTTCCCTTATTTCTAAATCACTTTCCTCTTTATTCCTTTTGCTCTATTGTTCAGTATTCACTGAGCATTCTATAATTTCGCCTTTGTGGCTGATTTGTTTACCTTTGGTTACAAAACTTCGGATTAGTATTGCAGAGTCCAGTATTCCTATTCTTTAGTTACTCATACTGGACTCTAGGTACTGTACACATTCTGTACTCTCTGATAATGAAGTTACTCGTACTGGACTCTAGTTTTGTCCCTGTTAGCTCTCAGCAAGTGGCTAGACACTTCCCAGAAGTTCTCAATTGAACAGAAAATGTGAGTGAAAGCCAGTACAAACTGATTTAAAGCTGAGTCGTGCTCGCCTCATAATGAAGTGAAATATATCCAGGCAAACTTGCGTGTCTGGCATTGATTTCTTGACTGTGCTGCGTACATGACAACAGTTGTTGACTATAACCATCAGTGAAAGAGGTTGGTTCAATTCTTTGTAGCAACACTTCAAATCATCAAGTGGTTCTTCCATTTTGGCATTTGCTTGAGTTTGAAAAAGTCTCTACTCAGTCCCACATTAGCAAAAAAACTGGTATCATCAAATTAACACTTACCAGCACAGTATTTTGTTTTCTTTGTTTATTGCAGTAAGCATCTCTCTCTTTATCCTCACTTTTTGCTTGTCAGCCATTGTGGCCTTCCCCACAGCTTTGAATGTGTTGTTGAGCAAGATTCAGGCTCCTAATCCCCACATCAAGATCCACCTACAGCTGTGAAAAAACAAGTACCAGGACTCACCGGATAAGGTGCACAATATAGTCAGAGGGCTCAACTGCACATATCCGTTTACTAACCTCAAAATAGATATCAGTGATTGGCTTATCCCCATATGCACTGCTTATGTATGGTGCCGAGAACTCCACAAGTGGCCCACATGGCTCAAAGGGCAAGTGCTGGCTTCTTTTCTTTTGGAAACTTTGAAAATATTCTGATAAGCGCTGATGGTACTCTAGCAAATGGAGTTTTGGAAATAATATGACATACACTTGAAGTTCTCTGCCAGTCCAGCCAATGTACTCAAAGGACAAAGCTCAACAATCAGATTAAAGAGGCTGCGTGTAATCCCACATTGTTTGAAGAAGACCGGAACACGGCCTGTTAAATTAACTGGGTAACTATATATATTTCCACTACAGCTTTGATGAGACTGACAAGGAATCTGCCAAAACTCCCACTTTTCCCAGAACAAGTGGCTTGTTATAGCAAAACAGTACATCTCTTCACCACTCACCACCTTTAGGCCCCCCATAGAGCTTATTATTCTCTTTACAAACATTGCATTGCAACTGCACTCAAGTTGCATATTCTTCTCTTTAGATCCCATAAACATCATGATGGCCAGTTGATGTCCAATCTCCCCACTTAATATCAGTAGACTGGCATCTTGGAGAGCAGTTGAGGCTATTATAATAGAAAGGGTGAATGACAGTGATTTCTTTCAGGTAAGCAGTTCCAGGCATATTCCGGGAGGTTTTTACATTTCTCTGAGTGCAAGAACATAGAAGGTGTGAATCGGGGACCGTACATTGGTACATAGTTCCTTAAACTCGAGGGAACTAGCCCACTCTTGCTGTTGGGGTGGACTGATGTGGCCAAGTTCACATAGTCAACATACTCAATAATGTGTGCCTCCCATTTGTATTAGGCTGTCTGGAACTCACTAGCTGATGTTGGCGGACTATTTTCCCATATTTGGACTCGTCATTTAATCTTGGTTCCTTGGTTCCTTGGTAAGTCATCCTTGTTTTCTTCCTTATCAAAAATAACTCACAGATGTGTTCCACTCATTCCAAAATTTAACATGTTCACCAGTGTTAGGCAACAAATATGAAGCTATATAACAACACCCAATGTCTGGCCAAGTCCTTGCTGAAAGGCGGTGGATCAGAGTATGAGAGTTGAAGAGTATCTGTATAAGCACAAATCCAAACTAATATTGAACTAAAGAATAATACATCGAGTATGTACTTCCTTATATAGTGAACAACGATGGTCAGACCGAGAAAGGGAAGAGTTAAGAAAGTGGTCTGACCAATTAACTAACCAATAAGAAAAAGAAAGAGAAAGTGGTCCGATTCATCGTATTTACTAATTGCATGAGAGAAAGTATTGGTAAGAGGTGTATGATTGGCTGTATCAGTAAGCCCATGAGAAGGCGCTGACTCATAGCCTTCCTTGCTTATCAATATCCCTCCGAAGTATTCCCAGACATAGCATTGGATCATTGCTATGTCATCTGGATATCTTCTTGAGGGTCTACAACTGTTCTCCTTTGTTGTAAGTACAATAGGATGCGAGTATGAATGGAAAATAAGAAGAAAAAGGATAAGAGTAATAGAATGCCGACCGTAATCTCTAGTCCAAGAGCGAGAGGAGTGATAGGGAATGAATTGGATAATCACAACATGATGGGAATACAATGAGAAAAGAGAAAAATTGATCCCTCACACACCGGTGATCACTGAAGCACAATGGGCACACTGCCTCGCCCTCACTCGTGAACAAACCGACATTGTAGACACCACTGAATTGATGTCAGATAGGCACACTTACTTTTATCTATTCCATCAGTCTAACGCCACCTGCCCTAATGCCACCTACTCTTTGGATACATTCCATTGCTGGCAACAATCGCTTCTTGTTGCCGACGGACTACATGCAGTCACCGTCTCACTAGCTTCATTAGTAGAAGAGCTTACGTGGGACAATAATTCTGTATTGAGTATTGGAGCGACTTTGCTCATGGAACACTTGCAGATAGCATCCCTGGAACAACACTTGAGGAAGAACTGCAAGGATGGAGAGAGAGAAGCGGTTGAAGCCTTCCTACGTTTAGGAGGCCAGACAGTATGCGACAATACAAGGAATATCCTCGCCCAACAAGGGTATCTCACCTCCCCTCCCCCAGATTTGTTGTCCCTACCAGCCATAATGGGACACACATTTCCAGGGCGCCACCCCCCACACTCGCCGCCGCTGCCTCCACCAGCATCTTGCCCATCATTGCCAGGTCTTGTTCTACCCGTGCCCGCTCCACCATCCCCAGCACGTTCCTCCATAACCAACTCAATAGTCCCCGCAGCCAATGCAGTCAAAGAATTGCAGGACATAGCAATTCCTATGCGACCAGTGACACCCCTCCCCCAACTCCCTCAACCCCGTCGCAACTGCCAACTATGCCACCAGCGCCCAGAGCCGGTACTCCTTATCCCTTTGGGTTGCACTCCCTGTGTGTAGCGCACGAATCAGAGACAGACCCCCATATTGAGCAATAGCTCATCTCTGGATGGAAGGTTGTTGAGGGACAGTGAAGGTGACACCCCATCCTCGGGCAGTAGAAGCAAAAGGCCCTCGCCAATCTCAGACTATTCTAATTCTACTCATTCACAATCCTCTTCTGAATGACAATGTTGCCCTCATATTCAACAATGTTATGCCTGTCAAGATTCTGGCCATCGTGCCATCTATTGTTGTTATTATACTTGTTCTATATGCGGATTGGACGCCCACGGACACCGCGCTAACAAATGTAACCAACAACGGAAATACCCCTTCACTGCAGACAGTTGGGGATTAGACAATATGCATAACAATCTAGACGAGGACGCACGGTACAACGTAGACGGAGAGCTAGGAGACTTTGGAGCAGTCTGAACCTAAAGAGGGGGTAATGTTACGAATTATGTTCCCTATAGACTTTATTTCTTCTCAGAGTAGCTACCTACCGCTACTCATTCATACTTTCCCACACTTGTTACCTATTATGGTCTCACCCATCATTGTTTGTTCAACACAAACACCTGCCCTAAAGTAGACAGTATATATACATGCCTGTATTGTAGTTACATCTCCAATATGATTGTACCCTTCAACAGTGCAACTTGGTATTCATCAGTAGATCCTCATCATCAGCATATGTCTCAAACCCGTAATTCATGGGCTTATCAGAAACCGCTTCATTGCTAGAAACCCCTTGTTATCAGGCTTGTACATTCCAAGCGTAACAGAAAGCTTATACAAAATTGCTGAACTGTTCAATTGCTTATATACTGCAACACTAAGTATGTTATGCCTTTTACTTTGACAGTTAGTCTGACAAAGTCTGGCTATTTAGCAAAAGGCACTCCAATCTGTTATGGAAAAGCTTAGCCTTGAAAGGTGATTGCGCATCAAATTGGGAGGACAAAGCCTTCCTGCACACCTGATCCTGAAGACAAGAAGAGAAGAAATAATGGTGGGCACCCACCTGATACTTCTCGTGAACTTCTTAAGGAGAAGAGCCACCGCAAGTCCCTAGCAAAAAATGAACAAACTCTAAACCAACAAAAAAAAAAAGACACAATTGATGTTAGCTACCCCTGTACATTGCTTCCTTATTATCATCATGCGACAGTACTTCACTGGTTTAGCCTTTGAAAGGCATACAATTGATGAGATCAAATCAAGAATATGTAGTAGACTGCCGTTGCTGATATTTCATAGGGGCCATGTGGTACTTGAGTTTTAGTGGACCTGTGTTCCTCGTAAATGTGGCCGTTTCATGCCGATTTTGTGGCACCTGCCGACCATTCTCACGTCTTGTAAGCTTTATTGGCGCCGAATGGGGGGCTCCTGCGAGCTTTATTGGCGCCGAATGGGGGGCTCCTGCGCGCCACCCTTAGTAAGCAAGGGAGACTAGGAACTTCCTGGGAATGACCAATTTTTCCTAAGGAGCATTATAGCAGTCACATGATCAGGTTCACATGTAGGCACATGTAGGCGCCAGTTTATCGCGATTGCCACATCTTTTTATCCATCAGCTTTGTTTCATCCAAGACAAACGCCATTCACAATGAGTCAAGAACCCCCGCGTTCACCTGAGTCATCCGCATCAAAAACGCGGGATTCAAAGCTAAACATAACTCCTCCTCGCCTCCCCAATTTGACCTCTCGCGAAGTGAAAAGCACTCCTCTAGCCAAAAGTACACACACGTCACAAAGGTATTCTGACCAAAACGTGATGCTTACAGAACGGACAAAACGATGTCAAAAGATGATGGAAGAACTGGTTTACTATGAACTACATGATGCACGCTTCGAGAGCAAAGAGGTGATGGGGCGCTTGTGTTCCGCAGATGATGGCGTTACGCACCTTGTCCTGGAAGAACTCAGAGAACAAGGAATTTTTTCTGACCAAGGGTTTAATTTTGATCAAGAAAATTGGCCCCCAGCGGGGGCGGGAGAGAGTACCTATTATTTACCATTCACAAAACTTCTGAACCGGATCATCAACACTTCCGAATCTCACCTTTCCGCAGACCCTAAAATCCCTAAGGACCGCTATTATCACGGTCTACGCTTCTACAGTTACAATAAAGAAATGAAGGGCGGGACTACCCATGCATTGAAGCCAGATTTAGTGTCTTTAAACGGTGTCGCCGACGAATCTGAGCTGGATGGTCGGGTGTCGTGGCAAGATCTAGCTATCGCGTGCGAGGTGAAGGGCGACTGGAATGTGCTGCTCAAACAGGCTGGTACCTACGCACGATGCACATTCGTTGCTCACGAGAACCGTTACTTCGTTTTGGTTATCGGCTTCAACCACAAAACTTCCGAAGTTCAATTCTACTTCTATCAAAGATATGGCGTGATTTGCAGCTCTGCGCTGAGTTTAAAGACAGAAGATGGCTTTGCCGCTTTTGTCAAGGGAATAGTGGGCATACTTTCATGGGAAAACGATTCGAAGGCTGGGATCAATCCATCGCGGAACAATCACTACTTCTTGATCCCAAACTGGGGTCTTTACGAGGTCGTTGACTTACTCTGTCGTTGCCAATCTATTTGGGGTCGTGTCACACATGTTTATCATCTGAGGAAGGTCGATGAGGCGAAAAAGATATTTGATGATCGACTCAGCAATGTCATAGACCTTACGATAGATATTTCCACCGCTCGATATCCCACCTCCACTTCACGCCCGCGCACTGAAGGCATCGTACCTTCTTCTAATTGAACCTCTACCGTCTCAAGTATTGGGAAACGATCACGCGAACATGCCGTTGAAACTGGAAGCAGCAAGCGCCACAAGTCAGGCTCTGCTCACCCAGCAAGCAAGCAGAATCAAGGCTCCGAGAAGCTTGAATGGCAAGAAATTGATCGCAACGATGAATCCCATCTTTTCCCAACTTACCAGCCTTCGCCCATCCCTGAACTCGACCTCTGTCCTCCGCCGCCTTCCATGATCCTGAAAGATTCATGGCCTTTGGACGGCCATGACGAGATTGAAGTTTTTCGTTTCACTCAAGGAGAGATGGGAATACCTGAAGTTTACGCCCAGTACACAGTTGAACATGGTAAAAAGGGGGCGTGGGTTGAGGAGGAGATTAGAAAAATATTTCTTCTGGAAGAAATAGAATTCATATACAAGGGGTCAAAAGATACACCATCGAAGGGACCCAACAGTCAGGCGGAGAAGGAAACACAATCTAAGATGGAAGATCAGGAGGAAGGCAAGAAGATGGAGAACAGAGTACATAAGCGACTGATATTGAAAACGGAGTGCTGTAAGTTCCAGACGGCTGCGGGGCCGTACCAATTCTTAGAAGGCATGTTTCATGGAATGATGGGTGAGTATTTCCCCGTTTTGACGTCGCTCAGGACTGATGCTCCCTTTCTAGGTCACTATAATATGTATAAGGATGGATGGCTGCACCGCGATGTCAGCGATGGTAACGTTCTATTGTTACCAGAGCCCGAAATACGAAAGCCTCTGACACGGTAGGTCCTCTTAAATTGATAATGAGCTCAAAGCGGTATTGATGTCAAAGTATTCTAGGTTCGAATGCACCAAGAACTTGACAAAATGTGTGGGCGTGATCTCTGACGGCGACCAGGCAATCAGATGGCGAGAGCTAGATCGCAAGCTTGAGAAACATCGTTCGGTAAGTAGCTTATCTTCGGGTTAGCCTGTTATTTAGTCTTCAAATCTCTTCAGGGAACACTCCCTTTCATTTCTAGGCGGATGCTGAGCGCGTGGGATGATGATGAACCCATACTTCATACATTTGCGGATGACTTGGAATCTTTCTTCTGGGTGATATTATGCGTGTTGTTGAGCATTGGCGCCGAGCGCAATAGTTTAACAGGTAAAGAGAGAAAATGGCTTCTTGAAATACTCGCTGCAGACGATCCTCGCATGAGTGGACTCGTTAAAGGATCCACGCTGCAGATGCTGGAGGCTTCAGTCCTGAGAACAAAACACAAACTTTCCCCTGTTTTGAAGGTTTTTGTACCCTTTTTCACAGACATCATACCGCTCATGAATGAGGCTACGGAGGCTGCTGATGAGCTCAATTCAGACAACTTGGTTGAATCTCTAACGACACTCGGAGACAAATTTTACGAGATGTGGTTTACAGCTTTCCTACGTGCACTACCATCATTGCCCAAGACCTGGGACGAAGTTTTGAAACCTCCAATTTGATCACAGAGACGCTTTAACACCCGCCCATGTCGTCTCATCCTATATATCTCTGTCATTGCCCTCCCTACCATCATCTCAGGACTATCCTGTACATATCAATATGCATGTATCTACTTTGTTAAGTTAGCCGTTCGTTGCACCCTGAGAGGTAACAGTTTCATTCATTTTATTACTTTTTCCTGTAGAGACAAGATTTGAGCCCTCGGATTATATTCCTTGTCGCAGAGAAATTTTGTTCAGTATTTAAATAGAATATAGCGCATTGGATTTAATTAATGTATGGGATGGCCCCATGTTGGAGATATGAGAGAAACAAGCGTGGTATGAAGGAAAGAAGTGGCGCAAGCGCCAAACTAGGCAGGCCTAGTAGATGAAGTGGCCCGTGCACCATCAGATAACATTTCATTTTTTTTGGTTCCGTTCTCCCTTATATACGCTGTCGTCGTTAGGCAGACACCTCAGACGTTCACTTGAAGTCTGAGTTGAAATCCCTTTTATGTTAAACTTACGCGTACCTAGCTCATACTTTATTTCCGGTCTATTACCTTGCTAAATACATTATTCAGAATATATGAGACCTTCACTCAAAGTCTGAGTCCATCATCTTGCTAGATCAATAACATCCCATATATAACATGGGATATTCCTAGTCTCCTCTAAGCAGACCTCTTCGGAAGGCCGGAAAAATACAGCTCTCTGCAAAGCTGCAATTTGCGGTCACTTTACCGTTGCTAAGATATTTGTCAGTCATAAGTAGTCTGGTCCGAAGTAAGGACCTTTGGCAGGAACCCCCACTTTGGTAGTAATAGAGAAGGCACCATGAGTGGCACATTTGGCTTGAACTCGGCATTTTGTGGCTGGTCACACCAGGAAAAAGCACATAAAGGTTTCAGCTGAAATAGCTACTGTAGAGAACAAATGTTATGTACATGATCCCTACTATTGTATCACAACTACAACAGTTTTTGTAGCACCTTGGACCTATATGACTCTGAATATCCCATTTCTTTTTGCCCATGTTTTGGTTCAGGTTGTCTGCAATTTGTAGCAGTGTTTTAATTGGAGTGGCTGACAGTTTCACTATCTCAGTGGCTCAGTATCTGTTTGGGATGTAAGAAAAATTTGAAACTAGCATTGTTCGTCATCTGAGAGCTTCACTATCAACTCTACCGATTCACACAAAAGCTAAGTGGTGAGTTACGCTGGTTGAAGCAATAGCTAGCCTTTACTGTGATACTCAGCCATATTCAATTGGAGCGGTTGAGTTTGAAATCAAGGTGCAAAAGAGCTCAATATCCATGTTATTGGCACCAAAGGGGGGGTTCATGCCAAATGGTCTTACTTTGGTGCAGACCTTATTTACAAGATATCGACTCATCATATATTGAATTAGGTAAGCAAGGGAGACTAGGTTATAAGGCTTTTTTGTAATTACTAAGCCATTACTAATCAATTATAATGAATGACTAAGCCAATGGCTGATATCTTATTACTTGATAAGATGATGTTATCATTGTCAAAGTCTGTACTACAAAAATAAAGTATGAGCAAGCACAATCCTCCAGAGACTCCAGTTCAACCACATATTCATAATAGAGCTACTTCCTTGCATAGTCAAGCTTTCTGCCTATAGTTACACCATCCCCCACTCCATGTCCATTATCCACATTACTTTCCTTACCCCTGCCCCCCTATCAGTCTTCCCCCATCAGAACCCCATCTCCCCATGTCCGCACTCAATCACCCAGCTCCACAAGGCCATATACACCCAGAGAAACACCTGAACAAACATTAGAGATCCTATTTAACACTTTAAATGAGGAAACTAACTGGTCTTTTTTGCAGAACTTATGTACTATGCCTTCCGGACAACCACCATTCCAAACAACATGCCACAGTTGTGAGTTGGCTCCTAGCTGGTTGTGACCGCCATACACCAGTTGTTGTAACAACCAAGAGTTAGTTACTCTGGCGCACAACTCAGATGAAGCTATAAAGGTAGTGAGGGGAGTGGTTACCCTTTGGATAGGACCAAGTTAGTTGTGGGTAAACAACAGGAGGACTTGCTGAGGGGTCTCCTTGATCTATTGGGGTATATATACTACTACAGGTTTGTTTGTACATATGTACTATACAGTTGATACAGGCAGTGGCTGATGATGTCATGGGGCACAGCCCGTGTGACCAGCTCCACTGCATGAGAGACTTGTAGCTAAAATAAGGAAAAAGGCAGTGCAGCACAAGAGGTAGAGTTTGAACAAAATAGAAAGTGCCACATGGCACAGTGTGTGAAAACTACAGAAGAAAGTTAAAGAGGAGAATGAAATTTAAAGGTCCAAAAATTGTGTATTGTAACAGCTGCTCTGCTCAAAATGTGGCTTGAGCACCCTGATAAACGGCCTACCACATCTGACCAAAAAAAGCTGATATACTTGCTTTGCACCTCCTATAGCTTGCCCTTACTTCCTTTTCCGTACAGATAGTAGCAAAGTATTTGCTCCATGAACAAAAGAAAGCTCTTCATCCAAGTAAGCTCTTCATGCCGAAGCAAAAGGGGATTGGCTGGCCACTACTAGGTGATACAACGGCCACAAACATGCAGATGCACATGGAGACTCACCAGCCTGTATTATTATTATTGTATTATGGCACTATGTCTTGTCATTAACTACACCACCACCACACAGAGTTCAAGATCAAGTTGACACAACCAAGAAATATCGACCCCCTGCACTTGTGAGCACTAAGCTTGTTAGCCAATCGGTTAATCTGACAAACAAATAAGTTTCAACGCACATTATTAGCTCAATGGATTTCAGCAGCACCACTTGTGCTCAGATACTCCCCATTGCTCATGGGCTTCTTTATTTTGCATGTGGCACCCAGATCAGTCTATTCAACTATAACTCTCAACTTGGAAACACCATGGCCTTTAACACCATTTGTCACACCTTGAAAAGACTCTCCATGGAGCAAGCAAAGAATGTCCATGTACTGGGGAGAGACAACACACATTGGCCAATACTTTGCTTAGATAATGTTCAGATATATCACAAACAGCATGATCCAAGGATAGGACGTACTGATCAGATGAATATGGGCACTGCTGCAATGGTTGCTGAAGCTGGTGAGTATAACCCAAAAGCTGCTGATATTGAAGACAAACAGAGACACCTGGCAGAAAACAAATGGAAGGAGTTAGACGTCAGCAAGCTCCTGCAGCTGATTGACAATATCCACATTACACATATAATATTATTGCTTCAAACATTATGTCACTAGGTGCCTGAACTTCAAGTATACAAGGCCAGGGTGTCAGAGATATTCTGCACAGGGCAACAGAAAATTTCCATTACACTGGCGTAATGAACGTCGAGGCAGAACATGTCCTAGCATGCCACCAACACACCACCTCAGCATATCCTCTTGCTTTGGCTCCAGGCAGTGCAAATATAAACAGCTATATGGGCCAGCAAGGTACCACCCATTAACTTCTTGGCTGGATGTGCCTGTTCCAGATATAGGACCTGCTTCACACTGGTGATGTGAAAGGAATGAGTCCATTCACCCCTCTTTGCTTGTCTTCGACGTGTGCCAGAGTATACAAACTTTGGTTGTTACAGTTTCCTTTTGTCCTCTGCGCACAGGCACATGGGTTTGTGCCTTTGCGTGTTTGTTCCTACCAGCACGGATGTCTACATTATCAACTTACGTGCACTGCCTTGAGCCTGCACTATTATTGATGTACATATAAGGATGGGATTGATCTGTTATCTTACTTTTTTCTTACAAAAACTGTTTTGAGCCTGCATTATGATGGTGTATAAGGACTGGACTGATGAGTTTTCTCATTTCTAATGTTCAATGCTTGAGCCTATGGGTATAAAATTGTGTTCAGATTGCCCTAATCTAGGCCTATTATGGGTTCTAGAAAGGAAATGATATTCAATACCATACAGTGAAGTGGTTTGACCACTGTCCTCAGTGCTTCTTCCACTGGTTTTGAGCATGTATTGCAGAATAAATGGCAGGTTGTTTTTGTGCAGTGCTGGTCACACTTTGTTTGATGGACTGGTCCTTTACAAAATTTGGGCCTGCCTGTTCACAAAGCCCCCTGCATGTCAGTCAACAATGATCAACCTAGAAGGTACATACCTCTAAGTATAATTCTTTACTGTCAAAATCATCATGCACCAAATATGATGGTAGGTCAGCATATGGACCCCAGTTGTCCTGGTGCTCTCCAGCATTAAGGCCCCATTGATAGTAACTTGCAATGCCAGCTTGTTTTGGTACTTCAAACATTTGCTTTTCCAATAAGGTCAAACACTTTTTGTCTACATTGTCATCAGCCCAGAGGCTTGGGGCCTCAGACATCTGAAGCTCCCAAGCCTTTCCAAGCAGAGACTGCCTTTGTGATCTTTGGTCTGTATCCAAAGAGAAACCTAACTGCAATTGCAGATCATTACTCAGACGTAAAGCTATCAATAAGGTTATTGCATGTGCCAATGGCAAACATCCAACCCAAAGATCCCAGATCATTACTCAGACATGAAGCTATCAATAAGGTTATTGCATGTGCCAATGGCACACATCCAGCCCAAAGGTCCCTGATACTATTGCTATGAGCAATCTGTTGCTCAAACCAGTTGGCTATCCCTGCACAATTAATGATTCTGAGGTTGCCTACAAAAGGTATAATTCCAGAGTGCATTGCTTCAAGTGTGAAGGAATGGTTTTTCTGTTCTTCATGCCACCACTGAAAAGCAGGAAATTTAGCGTCATCCACTTCATCAGGGCTGTATAGCAGTGAAGACAATATTGCTTTTGATGGTGTAAGAGCAGCTGTATCTCAGGTGTGTATGGTACTGTGGTAAAGTTGGCCAGTATATCTTTGCTGGTTGTGATCTGCAATGGATGTACCCACTTCCCTAGCTTGATACAATGAAGTAAATCCACTATCATTACAGATGCAATAAAGGGAAAGACATACTTGTATTTGCTGTTATTACTTCCTATCTTTTAAGAGTTTGTCTACAATATCTTCCTCCAGAATGTATTCAGCAGGTCTGTGTATCTCTGTAAATGTGGACTCTTGCCACCAAACTACTTACCAAGTAAAGCCTAAGGGTGCCATTGTTTTTTCCCTTTCAGATTGGTCTGACTGGATAGTAGAAACTGCCAGAATGAGCAAGAGCTCCTTCTCCAGGCCTTAAGTTGATTTTTCTATCAGCAATCACATCTCATAGACAAGGCAGCTGAATTACTGACAAAATTTGTTCCAGAAGAGGTTTCTTGTGAAATTGATCTTTGGTTCGGCTGTGAATCAAGGCTGGTCAGAATGAAGGCCAAGAATGCTTGTGTAAAAGCTCCTCACAGACATGACCAATAGTCAGACTTGAAATTTGTGAGAGTGCAGAGATCACAAAAATCACGTTGAAATTTGATGCTTTTTCCTAGTAAGCTAGCACGACCTGCTTTTTGACATGCAATATGAGACCAATTATCACAGGTGTTGCACTGAACAATCATTTGCTCGTCAGATAAAAGTTTTCCATTTTTGCATTGTGCTCCACACCAACAGTGAAATGGAAAATTTGCTTCATCTGTGCCTACCATATATTCATTAGTAAGCTACAATTGGTAGGGATATTAGGAGACATGCCAGTTTCAGATAGAAAGCACTTGAAGATAGTCAGATCAGATATCTGAGAGGAGGGGTCCACTTTTGATACCGGGGGTCCGGTGTTACAGGCAAGAGTTTGTATACTCTGGCACACAACTCAGACAAGCAAGAGTGAAGTGAGTGGGAGTGGTTACCCCTTATGATAGGACCAAGTTTGTTGTGGGTAAACAACAGGAGGACTCACTGAGGAGTCTCCTTGATCTATTGGGGTATCTATAACAAAGGGGACAGTGTACCAAAAGTTGCGTGTGGCACACGTGGGAGCACATTCTTTTGCTTAGTATCGCTTGCATGGTTTTCGGTTAGCAGTAGAGTAGGTAGTGCAGTAGTAATGAGTGCAGTGAAAATTGCAGCCACATTGAAAATTCTCACGCTTATAAGGACAGACAGCACAAGTTCACTGACTTCTGACTGAATAAAATTTGGTCACTTAACTGTATTATTATTACTCAAAAGATAATGTGGAGCAGCTCAGTCAAGGGCAGCGGAATGCTTTTGATACCATCATACAGTCAATTTATCATAATTGGGGAACAACTTGCTTTATTCACAGTGCTGAAGGTAAGGGAAAAACATATCTCTGTAATACAATCACCATTGCTGCTCGAGCAAGAGATAATCACAATGTTGCTCTATGTGTAATACCGCAGACTTTTTTTATGTTACAATATATGTTGATGTTTGTAAAGATTCAATAAACCATTTGCTTGAATTCAGTATACTGTGCACAAGTTTAGGGCAGGCTTATAAGGACATTCAATGACAGAACTGCAAGTCAAACATGCATCATAGGATTCAAAGACTTAATATACATTACAGACAGCATAAGTTCACTGACTTAACATTTTGATCACTTAACAGTATTATTATTATTATTATTATTTAATATATAACAAAAACATCGCACCAGTGGCAGAGCCACGGGCTGGACCTTGTTTATACTCCTACAGACTATTTGTACATATGTACTATACAGTTGATGAAGGCAGTGGCTGATGATGTCATAGGGCACAGCCCATGTGACCAGCTCCACTGCATGAGAGACTTGTAGCTAAGAATAAAGAAAAGCAGTGCAGCACGAGAAAGTGGAGTTTAAACAAAATGGAAAGTGCCGCATGGCACAGTATGTGAAAACTACAAAAAAAAGTTAAAGTGGAGAATGAAATTGAAAGGTTCAAAAATTGTGTATTGTAACATCCAGTGCCAGAGTGTTATTGCTTATATTGGACCTTTCAAGATGGACATCATCCGCCTTGTTTGGCGTCTTTAGGACTTTGACTTCCAAGCCACTTGTTGCCTGTCCAGTGGAATAATTACCATTATTTGCGTCAATTGTCCCGTTTAAGTCTGCACAACTTGCTACAGCAGCAACATAGTAATCCAAGCATGACTTGATATATCAATTAGGCATTCAGCTCCACTCCTCATCCTTTATTTATAATAAGGCTTTCTTCTGTAGTGTCACTTCTGGGACTGCATCAAGCTCTGTGATAGACAGGTGAATCCCATGGATGCAAGCTCAGATTTTTGAGAATCAATAAACCGCTGCTGTGCTTTCAGACCTCCTTAAAGGTGGTACACCACTGCGTGTCTGGAGTAACCTTTTGGTAATATGGGTTTAGAGCCACTAAGATGAGTGTGAAATTTTACTATATGTTCCCAAATGCTATGTCCATTATGATGCATGCCATCATAGAGAAAAACTACATCTTGAGAATTGATATACCGAGTGATAAAGTGTGATGTTGATTGGTTAAACAAAATACAGCCCACCAGGTTGTACATCAGTCCATGTGCGGTGGCTTTGTATTTGGTGAAAGGGTAAAGTGTGGGAGAGCAGTCCTATCTTTTGCTAGGTTCTTTGGAATTGGAGGTATCTACTGCTTCCATAATCTCCAGTGTAAGCATGATTGGTAGTGAGAGGATAATTTCAATATCTTCAGCATGTCTGTTACAGAGTTTTTTTTTTTTCATTTTTTTCATGCCAGCAGCCAATAGTGGAGGAAGGCGGATTTACGAGCATCAGGGATTGAAACCACCCCAGAAAATCTCTGCAAAACTGTTTCCACATCTCTGAGCTTGATGTCTCTGCTGTTGGCATGAAGGTTGTTACTTCCTGAGGTATGGACATGATTTGGTAATGCTTCTGCTTTGAGGTGCCACTATTGCATACTCGTAATTGGATCATAAGTCCATGAAAGTAAGTGCAAGCCAAGATGACCAAAGCATCTTTGAGCCAGTGTCTTTTTGTAATGTACTCAAGCTATGCCTAAGTTAATTGGTAAGCTATCAAAGAAAATTTCAGTAAATTGACAACATACAAATGCTGGCTCAAAGCTTTTTAGTGATTGAATCACTCAATGGTCCTTTAGTTGAACTCTTAAATGATTGTGTTGCTCTGCTAAAAGTGTAGATTGTTCTGACATGTTTGAGCTATTGATGGTTCTCTGTAATTCAAGTGCCAAGTAAAGCTTGTATAATGTAAATGATGTAGAGCAGTGACAGAAGTGGATAGAGAAATCCTGAAAATTTTGCATGAATGTTTGAAAGATAAGTTCAAGAGAAGTGTCAAGCCAGCAAGAGTTATTGGACCAGAAAACCCAAAACTGTGCTAAGAAATAATCTAGACTCAAAAACAGCTAGATACCACTCATATTGTCAAAACCCTCCTTGCTTGATATATATATATGTGGCTTCTGCCTGGATAACAACTTTCGAAAGGCAAACCTGAGGATGCTCTGCAGTTCAAGTAAGCGCTCGCTGGGTTTCAAGTTGCTGAGTTTATGTTGAGTTTTTGCTCGGGTTTTGGCAAAAAAGTTTCAACAAGTCGTATTATTGACACCAGATGGGGGGCTCCTGCACGCCACTCTTAGTTCGGATCAGACCTTATTTACTGATATCGACTGTCATATCAGTAATTTGGTCTGACTGGGGAGACTAATAAGGTCTGCACCAAAGTAAGACCATTTGGCGTGAACCCCCAAATATTGGGCTCTTTTGCACCTTGATTTTAAACTCAACTGCTCCAATTGAATATGGCTGAGCATCACAGTAAAGGCTAGCTATTGCTTCAACCAGCATAACGAGCCACTGAGATAGTGAAACTGTCAGCCACTCCAATTAAAACACCGCTACAAATTGCAGACAACCTGAACCAAAACATGGGCAAAAAGAAATGTGATATTTAGAGTCATATAGGTCCAATGTGCTACATAAATTGTTGTAGTTGTGATACATTAGTACGGATCATGTACATAGCATTTGTTCTCTACAGTAGCTGTTTCAGCTGAAACCTTTATGTGCTTTTTCCTGGTGTGACTAGCCACAAAATGCCAAGTTCAAGCTGAATGTGCCGCTCATGGTGCCTTCTCTATTACTACTGAAGCGGGGGTTCCTGCCAAAGGTCCTTACTTCAGACCAGACTATTCTGGGACCCTCCCAGGAAATCTTGAGGCAATCGCCCCTTGCCTCCGTACTTCTGTTCCTTGCTTCTGAGATCTGAGCACTCATCCTGCTGCCCACATTTACATAAACTATCTGCTTCCTTGTACCAATCCACTGGTGTCCAACCGCATCTGTAAGAGATCAGCTTCATATTTGCCAAGTTTCTGGGGAAAATTGACTGATCACTTATCTCAGGCCTCAGCACGAAGAATTGAAAGTCTTGTATTAATGATAGGTGAGCTGTAAAAGTAGCACACAGAGTAGTTTTACAGAGTCTTTGGCTACTAGAAGCCTTGCCACACTATTTTCTTTATTTCCCTGCCCTCCTCGCAGATACGGAAGACCAGCTTGAAAACTTCTGCTTCATCAACATAGGTCCTGATAGATATCTTTTATCTTGGAAATTTCTAGGTCTCATCCAGCCTCCTGCGTATTTCAAGATGGCTTTGTTGTTGACTGCAAGATTTTGCCCAGGAAGTGTTACCTAACTGTAACAACCAAGAGTTAGTTACTCTGGTGCACACAGGAACACACTATAAAGGTAGTGATGAGGGAGTGGTTACCCCTTAGGCTGCAGTGAGTTAGTTGGTATACAACAGGAGGACTCACTGAGGAGTCTCCTGGATCTATTGGGGTATATATACTAATACAGAGTGTTTGTGTTTATGTACTGTACAGTTGATAAAAGCAGTGGCTGATAATGTCAGAGGGCGCAGCCCGTGTGACCAGCTCCACTGCATGACAGATTTGTAGCTAAAATAGGAATAAAGGCAGTGCAGCGTGAGAAAGAGGAGTTTGAACAAAAGGGAAAGTGACAAAACTGGATAAACCCGGTCTCTGCCAAAGCAGCCATTATTCTCCATGGAGTAACCATTGTTCTCCTAGGAGCCATTATACTGTAGCGAGTAGCACCTCCGACTATAAGTAGTAGGGGGTTTAGTATAGAAATACCTCAGTCGTTTCTATAACCTCTTGGGCAGCGGCTGAGGTATGTTAAATTACATTTATTAGAGATCACCTTAAACTAACATCCATTGTAGTTTCACTTAGGTAAATAATATAGTCGTTTCTATAGCCTCTCGGGCAGCGGCTGAGTTTCACATAGGTTTATGAGGTTATGAGCCCTGGTGCGCAAAAGCTATGCAGGAAATAATTCTTATTTGAAATGGCAACCTCGGAACCATGACCACAGCACGCGATACATCCGCATGTCCAGTTCTCACTGGACCCAACAATTTTCAGATATGGAAACTCCGGATCATCTCAAAGCTACATCAGGAAAAAGTTCTCCGGGTTGTTACTGGAGAGGAGTTTAAGCCCTCACCAGGAAAACCTACCTCCTTGGAGGATCCTGAGATCACCTAGATACTTAAGGATGAGAAGGCACATGGAATCATCCAGGACCACATCTCTGATGCCCTCCTAATGAGGACTGGAGACCTCACCAGCTCCAAGGAGTTATTTGATAAACTTGTCTCACTCCATCAAACATCCAACATTGCCTCGGCCTTCTATTCATTCCAGCAACTCACCAAATTGTCCTGGGATGGGACATCACCTATCCAGGACCACATTGCAAAAATCTGGACAATTGATTCACACCTCTCCGGAATGAAACTAGGAGTTGATACCAAACTCATGGATTTTTCTCTTCTCCAATCTCTCCCATGCACTCCTGAATGGCAAATATTTCAGTCATCAGTAATCAACACGATTGAAGAAAATAAACTTACCTTTGATGCAGTTGAGATCCGGATCACTGCAGAAGTTGCACGACAGTCAGGGAAGGCCCCTGGAGGTTCCAAATCAGCACTCAAATCCGAGGAGAAATGGTGTAACTTCTACAAAGCCAAATCACACAACACCTTGGAGTGTCGAACACTTCAGTCAGCTGAAAAAGGTCAAAGGAAGAAGGAAAAGGAAAGATACAAGGATAAAGGAAAAGAGAAGGAAAAGGCAAATACGGCGGAGAAATCATCTGGATCTGACTCCGAGGAGGAACAGAGTCATATTGCATTGGAACATGTACATATTTCCAAGCCCCCTGCTAAACGCATTCAAGCTTACCTTGTGTTGGAACCCGATAAGACCAAAACAACAATTATTATTGACTCCGGAGCAACATCCCACATGGTCCCTCACCGCTCCTGGTTTGAGCCAGGAACATACCATGTTCTGCATCCTCCGAGGACAATCAGTTTTGGGGATGAATCCTCTGTAAATGCCATTGGCATTGGAACAGTAATCCTACAAGCAACTGTTGGCAATAAGGACTACAATATTGCACTGTCAAATGTCTTACTTGTGCCAAACTTCACGTTAGCACTCGTCTCTGTCCACAAATTGTCCAAAATGGGGTTATCAACACTTTTTCCAGCAGGGTCAAATGCTTGTGAAGTTTGGAAAAAGGAGGAACTTATCCTCACTGCGTTACACAAGCGAGGACTTTATCACTTCCAAGCAAAACCCGAAATCAACCCAGAGTCAGCTTTTGCAGCAGTAGATGTAAATTTATTGCACAGGAGAATGGGACACTGTAACAACCAAGAGTTAGTTACTCTGGCGCACACAGAAACACACTATAAGGAAGATGATGTGGGAGTGGTTACCCTTTGAGCTGCAGAGAGTTTGTTGGTTAACAACCACACTCCGTCAAGACATTGTTGACTTGACAATCATGCTCTGCTTGGAAATGCTTATTTTGAGGCAGTAATTGGGCATAGGCTGTGTGTATGACTATCTTCTCTTTTTCTGCGCCTTTTTGCTGAACAGTTAGATGTGAAACCCGTTCATCTTCACCATCATCTTCTGAAGATTCCAGATAGTCTTGTGAATCTGATAGAGGAGGGCTGATCTGACAGAGTCAGAGATTCACAGCCTCAAACACTACATTGCATGAAAAAAGTCAAATGGCACTGTCAAGGCATATGAGCTGCATGCACAAGTATCACAACAAGCTACTCAGTTAGACATATTGTCACTATATGCTGTTTGCAAGCTGGCTAGATCACTGGCCAAGATTGAGCCTGTAAAGATTGATATGTGCCCAAAGAGTTGTATTGCATATACAGGTGACTTTAAGGACTTGGAAGCTTATCCTCACACCATAAAGGGTCAAATCACATGTGGGGAGAGGCACTATGTTGCTGGATCTAAAAATAAGCCCAGAGCACAAATGCTATATGTATCTTTTATTCCAATTATCCAAGCAATGTTTGCAAATAAGCAAACATCCCAACTCCTGCGATACAGGGATAGATGTTTACAAAAAACATTGAAGTTACTTGCAGTTGACTCACAAAGTTCTGGGACTCAGGCTCAGGCAAGATATTGTGATTTCCCTAGTGGGAGTGTTCATGAACACTATTATAAGGACATGGGATTATTTTAGGATGAGTGTGACATTGCCTTTGCATTATCCACAGATGGGGCCCAGCTTACAATGAAGAAGCAGTCTGATACTTAGATATTGATTCTGATATTGCTCAACATACCTCCAGAAATGAGGTACCATTCCAACAATATCATATTAACCATGACCATTCCAGGACCCCACAGTCCAGGAAGTATTGAGTCATTTATATATCTCCTTTTCCAGGATGCAGCACAGTGTAGTCAAGGTATATGGATGTGGGATGCTATAGTTTCCTCCTATTTCATAAATCACATGTACATGACTATGATTCTGGGAGATATGCTAGGCTCAGCAAAGTTAAATGGGATGGCAGGACATACTGCAAATTATGGTGATAGATTTGTTTTGGTCAAAAGGGCAAGACCCAGTCCCGAAAAAGGTGCCAAGGCTCAGTACTAATAAAACTATGTGAAACTCAGCCGCTGCCCAAGAGGCTATAGAAACGACTTTATTATTTACCTATGTGAAACTACAATTGATGTTAGTTTAAGGTGATCTCTAATAAATGTAATGTAACATACCTCAGCCGCTGCCCAAGAGGCTATAGAAACAACTGAGGTATTTCTATACTAAGCCCCCTACTACTTATAGTCGGAGGTGCTACTCGCTATAGTATAATGACTCCTAGGAGTACAATTGTGCTCCTAGGAGAACAATGGTGACTCCATGGAGTGGTGGCTAAACTCCATGGTTTTGTCACTCCCACTCGAGTGCAACCGTAGTCCCATAGCTTTAGAGAATTTCCAGTGTTTTTTGTGAGTGAGGGGTTTAGTGAGAATGTCGGCAACCATATCTCCTGTAGGAATGTATCTCATTACTGCCTCTCCCTTTGATACTAAGTCATCTCGGATAAAATGATATTTCCGTTGAATGTGTTTTGTGCGAGCATGGAACTGTGGATCTCGTGTAAGAATGATAGCTGCTTGATTGTCACAGTGCAATGTTGTAGGTCCATTTTGAGCATGTCCAATCTCTTCAAAAAATGTCTGAAGCCATGCAAGGTGTTGTCCAGCATTGCTCAATCCAATATACTCTGACTCCGTGGATGATAAAGCTACCATGCTTTGTCTTTTGCTTGTCCAGGAGATTGCTCCTCGGATGGTGATAAAGACAAAGCCTGACATTGATCAAGATGTGTCTGGGTCTCCAGACCAATCTGCATCTGAATATCCATAGAAATCCATGTCTATGGAGACATCTGTGCCATCATATCATAGTTCCATGTCCCTGGTTGCTTTCAGATATTAGAGGACACATTTTGCAGCTTCCCAGTGATGGCTCCTTGGAGCTGAGCTATGCCTGCTTAGTATTCCAACAACGTAGGCAATGTATGGGCGGGTTCCGAGTATGGCATACATGAGGGAGCCTACAATTGAGAGGTATGACACTTGACGCCCTTCAATATGCATCTCGTGTTGCACAATATCTTCCCCTGGAGCATTTGCAAGGAGTTTTGATCCATGGGCCATTGGTGTCCATACTGGTTTGCAGTTCTTCATTCCAGTACGCTCCAGGACTGTGTCAATGTATTGGCCTTGCAATAGGGATATTGTTTTGTTTGAACGATCATGTTGGATTTCTATTCCGAGGATGTATTTTGCTTCTCCAAGGTCCCGCATTTTGAATATGGATTCGAGTTTGGCTTTTGTGATATCCATGAATTTTCGGGATGAAGCTCCTAGGAGGAGGTCATCTACATAGACAACAACAAAGCATATTTGTTTGTTGTCCCGGAATACATAGAGACATGTTTCTGCATTTAGTCTTGTGAAACCGAGCTCCTGGAGCTTGCGATCAAAAGTTTTGTTCCATGTTTGACCAGCTTGTTTTAACCCGTAGATGGATTTCTTCAATCTCCAGCAGTATCCAGGTTGGATAGGAACACCCCCTGGAGGAAGCATGTACAGTTCTTCTTCAAGTTCTCCATTGAGATAAGCTGTGGATACGTCCATTTGATCAAGTTCTAGGTTGTACTTTGCTGCCAGGGCTAGAATAATTCGGATTGACTCTAAGTTTGCAACCGGAGCAAAAACCTCCTGGTAATCAATCCCCTCCCTTTGAGTAAAACCTCGTGCAACAATCCGGAGTTTGTATCTCTCAATGTTTCCGTTTTGATCAAACTTGATCCGGAACACAGGTTTTGATGTGATGGGTTTTACTCCCTTCGGAAGTGGAACAGTGTCATATACTGCATTAGTATTGAGACTTAGGAGTTCCTCCTCCAAGGCAGACTTCCATAATTCTCCATCCGGACGTGATAAGGCTTCCTTTAGTGTCCTTGGAAGGTCTGTGTTAGATGGACTGGTACTTGCTATTCCAGCAAAGAATGTCTCCTCTGTATCAGATGTTTCTTCATGAACCTCAGGAGTGTTAGGTTTCTCCATGGAGTTGTCATGCTGCTCTTTTCCAGACTGTTCCTCATCTAGAGTCCTTTGATAATCTCGGTTTTTGTCTGCAGGACGGGTCTGGCGACTGCTTCTGCGTACTCCTAGGACTTCAGCAGGCATGACTGCTCTTTTAGGAACTTGTGCAGGTACTCCAGGGAGTAGACACATTTGTGTATTTGTTGCCCCACTCACTCCTGAAGGTGTTGAATCACTCCTTGGAGGTGTTGGATGACTCCTTGGAGGTGTTGTATGCCTTACAGAAGCTGATCCAATGGACAGGCTGTCTAGCTGTATTCGGACTTTTTCCACATCAGCTGGCTGTATGTTGAGGGGCTGTCCTCCCACTGACTGTAACTCTACTTTGGCTTTCCGTTCTGAAGATGGCCAGTGTTCAGGTCTTGGTTGTAGAGACTGTTGTGGAGGGTGTCTTAGCTGATCAGGTGCTCCCACTGCTCTTGGAACGTCTCCACGGAGGTATTGCCCCACTGCTCTCGGAACATCTTCATGCTGATATGGTTCCATTGCTTGTGGAACATCTCCTTGGAGATGTGGTTCCATTTGCAATTCATTTGGATCTTGGATCTGAGGGTCAGGATCATCCTCCTCCAATTTTTTTTTGGTCTGGATAGTGAGCATTCTCCGGAATGAGTCCCTCCCACTGATCTGTGCTAGTGTCTGTGTTCCAGGGAGCAGTGTCATCCTTTTGTACCTTTCCGGATTCATTGAATATGACATGCTGACTGGAAAACACAGTCCGTTTTTCAGTGTCTAGGAGTTTGTAGGCTTGCTTTCCATGTGTGTAGCCAATCATTATGGCTTTGCGCCCCTTGGAGTAAAACTTCCCTTGCCTTTTATCTTTCGGAATCAAGGCATATGCTTGGCATCCGAAAGGGCAAAACAAAGTTGGATCAACTCTCCTTTTAAACAGTATTTCATATGGGGTCTTTCCATGGAGTCCAGATGCTGGGCTGCGTGCTGTGATATATGCAGCTGTTTGCATGGCATCTACTCAAAATGACTTTGGGAGCTTGGAATCATGGAGCATAGTGGTTGCTAATGTAGCCAATGTCTGATTCATGCGTTCTGCAATGCCATTTTGTTCTGGAGTATCTGCAGCTGTAATTTCTTGGATGACACCATCTCCTCAGAGTTGATTTTTGAATGCATTGCCAGTATATTCTCCTCCCCCATTGCTCCGGAGGAATTCTGTGTATAGTGGAGTGAAGTTTTCTTCTCCCAAATGAGTCCGGAAGAATGTTTGGACATCTTCTTTCCATTGCTTGTATTGTTTCAGTGCTTTACTTTTATGTTTTAGGAAATATATCCATGGAAATTTGGAGAAATCATCTACAATGATAATCCAGTACCGAAAACCCTCCCTGGAAGTTGGTTTGATTGGTCCTCCAACATCTGTGTGCACAATTTGTATGGGGCGCTTGGCTCGGTTTCCTCCAGTGGACTTGAAAGGTAATTTCTTCATCTTTCCTAAAGCACAAGGTTCACAAAACTCCGGGGTTCCGGTAAGGGTGTCTATGTCCTGGAGCCGTCTTTTTGTAACCATTCGTTGCAAGCGGTCCATTCTAATGTGTCTGTTACAATAACACAATTTTCGGACCTTTCCCTTTATTTTCATTCTCCGCCTTAACCTTGTACTTTAGCCTTCACACATGGTACCACGCGGCACTTCCCCTTTCTCGCGCCGCATTGCCTTTCTTCTTATTTTTAGACACAACTCTCTCACACAGTGGAGTTGGCCATGCGGGCTAGGCCCCATGACACCATCAGCCACTGTCTCTATCAACTGTATAGTACACATGTACAAACAACCCTGTAGTAGTATATATACCCCAATAGATCCAGGAGACTCCGTCAGCAAGTCCTCCTGTTGTTAACCAACAAACTCTCTGCAGCTCAAAGGGTAACCACTCCCACATCATCTTCCTTATAGTGTGTTTCTGTGTGCGCCAGAGTAACTAACTCTTGGTTGTTACAGTGTCCCATTCTCCTGTGCAATAAATTTACATCTACTGCTGCAAAAGCTGACTCTGGGTTGATTTCGGGTTTTGCTTGGAAGTGATAAAGTCCTCGCTTGTGTAACGCAGTGAGGATAAGTTCCTCCTTTTTCCAAACTTCACAAGCATTTGACCCTGCTGGAAAAAGTGTTGATAACCCCATTTTGGACAATTTGTGGACAGAGACGAGTGCTAACGTGAAGTTTGGCACAAGTAAGACATTTGACAGTGCAATATTGTAGTCCTTATTGCCAACAGTTGCTTGTAGGATTACTGTTCCAATGCCAATGGCATTTACAGAGGATTCATCCCCAAAACTGATTGTCCTCGGAGGATGCAGAACATGGTATGTTCCTGGCTCAAACCAGGAGCGGTGAGGGACCATGTGGGATGTTGCTCCGGAGTCAATAATAATTGCTGTTTTGGTCTTATCGGGTTCCAACACAAGGTAAGCTTGAATGCGTTTAGCAGGGGGCTTGGAAATATGTATATGTTCCAATGCAATATGACTCTGTTCCTCCTCGGAGTCAGATCCAGATGATTTCTCCGCCGTATTTGCCTTTTCCTTCTCTTTTCCTTTATCCTTGTATCTTTCCTTTTCCTTCTTCCTTTGACCTTTTTCAGCTGACTGAAGTGTTCGACACTCCGAGGTGTTGTGTGATTTGGCTTTGTGGAAGTTACACCATTTCTCCTCGGATTTGAGTGCTGATTTGGAACCTCCAGGGGCCTTCCCTGACTGTCGTGCAACTTCTGCAGTGATCCGGATCTCAACTGCATCAAAGGTAAGTTTATTTTCTTCAATCGTGTTGATTACTGATGACTGAAATATTTGCCATTCAGGAGTGCATGGGAGAGATTGGAGAAGAGCAAAAGCCATGAGTTTGGTATCAACTCCTAGTTTCATTCCGGAGAGGTGTGAATCAATTGTCCAGATTTTTGCAATGTGGTCCTGGATAGGTGATGTCCCATCCCAGGACAATTTGGTGAGTTGCTGGAATGAATAGAAGGCCGAGGCAATGTTGGATGTTTGATGGAGTGAGACAAGTTTATCAAATAACTCCTTGGAGCTGGTGAGGTCTCCAGTCCTCATTAGGAGGGCATCAGAGATGTGGTCCTGGATGATTCCATGTGCCTTCTCATCCTTAAGTATCCAGGTGATCTCAGGATCCTCCAAGGAGGTAGGTTTTCCTGGTGAGGGCTTAAACTCCTCTCCAGTAACAACCCGGAGAACTTTTTCCTGATGTAGCTTTGAGATGATCCGGAGTTTCCATATCTGAAAATTGTTGGGTCCAGTGAGAACTGGACATGCGGATGTATCGCGTGCTGTGGTCATGGTTCCGAGGTTGCCGTTTCAAATAAGAATTATTTCCTGCGTAGCTTTTGCGCACCAGGGCTCATAACCTCATAAACCTATGTGAAACTCAGCCGCTGCCCGAGAGGCTATAGAAACGACTGAGGTATTCCTATACTAAACCCCCTACTACTTATAGTCGGAGGTGCTACTTGCTACAGTATAATGACTCCTAGGAGTACAATTGCGCTCCTGGGAGAACAATGGTTACTCCATGGAGTGGTGGCTATGCTCCATGGAGAACAATGGCTGCTTTGGCAGAGACTGGGTTTATCCGGTTTTGTCAAGCCTCTTGAAAGTGCTGCCAAGGGTGGGGGAAGTTAATTGGTTGGCAAGGGCTACAAATGTTGACACAAACAGTGGTGCTGAGGGAGCCTGATGAATTTAACCAGCCGAGTCGAGTCGAGTCGAAGTCAATCACCTCCGAGTCTGAGTTTACAAGTCTCTTTTACAATAAAACATTCATTTTAAATATTTTTCGTTGTTATTAAATACATCATCAATAATACATAGCTTCAAGCTTTATTTTTCTTATTGTCTGAAATTCTACACAGGCCTATCAATCAAATGTTGAGCTATTTTTGAGACACTGTCGAGCAGAAGGCTTTTATGGTACCAATAGAATACTACTGAGACATGGACTGGGGTCATTATAGAGACTCGTGCTGTTGACAATCAGACTTCCTCAGAAAACCTTGTTAGAGTATATCATTGAGACATTGTATGATTTGACGTTTTGGTATTCTACAGACATTCCTACATCCTCCAGATATGTCCAGGCCTAACCGGGCCAACCTTATCCCGAAATGTCAATGTGTCATCTCGCCAGGATGGCGGTGTAGGATACATTCTGAACCTCGATGGGGAGGAGCCTGGTGTACTATAGCGGTCACATGATCAGGTTCACATGTAGGTACATGTAGGCGCCAGCGTCGCGCAGTGTATCGTGATTGCTACATCATACAGCTTTGTTTCATCCAAGACAAAGGCCTTTCACGATGAGTCAAGAATCCCCGCATTCAGAGCCATCCGCATCAAAAACGCAGGACTCAAAGCCAAACATCACTCCTCCTCGCCCCCCCAATTTGACCTCTCGCGAAGTGAAAAGCACTCCTCTAGCCAAAAGCACACACACGTCACAAAGGTATTCTGACCAAAACGTGATGCTTAAAGAGCGGGCAACACGGGATCAAAAGATGATGGAAGAACTGGTTCACCATGAACTACATGATGCACACTTCGAGAGCAAAAAGGTGATGGAACACTTGTGTCCCGCAGATGATGGCGTTACGCACAACGTCCTGGAAGAACTCAGAGAACAAGGAATTTTCTCTGACCAAGGGTTTAATTTTGATCAAGAAAATTGGCCCCAGCCGACTGCGGGAGAGAGTGCCTATTACTTACCATTCACGAAACTCCTGAACCGGATCATCAATACTTCCGAATCTCACCTTTCCGCAGACCCTAAAATCCCTAAGGACCGCTATTATCACGGTCTACGCTTCTACAATTACAATAAAGCAATGAAGGGCGGGACTACCCATGCATTGAAGCCAGATTTAGTGTCTTTAAACGGTGTCGCCGACGACTCGGAGCTGGATGGTCGAGTGTCGTGGCAAGATCTCGCTATCGCGTGCGAGGTGAAGGACAACTGGAATGGGCTGATTAAACAGGCTGGTACATACGCACGATGCACCTTCGTTGCTCACGAGAACCGTTACTTCGTTTTGATTATCGGCTTCAACTACAAAACTTCCGAAGTTCGATTCTGCATCTATCAAAGATCTGGCGTAATTTGCAGCCCTGCACTGAGTCTAGAGACAGAGGATGGCTTTACCGCTTTTGTAAAGGGCATAGTGGGCATACTATCATGGGAAAACGATTCGAAGGCTGGGATCGATCCATCGCGGAACAATCACTACTTCTTGATCCCAAACTGGGGTCTTTACGAGGTCGTTGGCTTACTCTGTCGTCGGCAATCTATACGGGGCCGTGTCACACATGTTTACAGTTTGCGAAAGGTCGATGACGCGAGAAAGATATCCGATGATCCACCCAGCGATATCATAGACCTTCCGAGTATACATACTTCCACTTCTCGATATCCCACCTCCACCTCCACCTCCACCTCACGCCTGCGCACTGAAGGCGTCGCACCCTCTTCTAATCGAACCTCTAACGTCTCAAATATTGGGAAACGATCACGCGAACCTGTCGTCGAAACTGGAAGCAGCAAGCGCCACAAGTCACACTCTGATCACACAGCAGGCAATCAGGATCAGGGCTCCGAGCAGCTTGAATGGCAAGGAATTGATCGCAACGATGAATCCCCCGTTTTCCCCACTTACCAACCTTCACCCATCCCTGAACTCGACCTCCTTCCTCCGCCGCTTTCCATTGTCCTGAAAGACGCATGGGCTTTGGAGGGCCGTGACGAGATGGAAGTTTTTCGTGACATTCAAGGAGAGATGGGAATACCTGAAGTTTACGCCCAGTATAGGGTTAAACATGGAAAAAAGGGAGCATGGGTTGAGGAGGAGATTCGAAAAATATTTGATCAGGAGGAAATAATATACCGGGGGAAGAAAACACAATCTGAGAAGGAAGAACACAAGGAAGGCAAGAAGATGGAGAACAGAATACACAAGCGGCTGATATCGAAAACAGAGTACCGTAAGCTCCACACGGCTGTGGGGCCGTACGAATTCTTAGAAGGCATCTTCCACGGAATGATGGGTGAGTATTGCCCGTTTTGACGTCGCTCAGGACTGATGCTCCCTTTCTAGGTCACTATAATATGTATAAGGATGGATGGCTGCACCGCGATGTCAGCGATGGTAACGTTCTATTGTTTCCAGTGCCCCAAATACGAAAGCCTCTAACACGGTAAGTCCTCTTAAATTGATAATGAGCTCAAAGCGGTATTGATGTTAAAGTATTCTAGGTTCGAATGCACCAAGAACTTGACAAAATGCGTGAGCGTGAGCAATGACGGTGACCAGGCAATCAGATGGCGAGAGCTAGATCGCGAGCTTGAGCAACGTCGTTCGGTAAGTAGCTCATCTTCGGGCTAGCCTGTTATTTAGTCTTAAAATCATTTCAGGGAACACTCCCTTTCATTTCTATGCGCTTGCTGAACGCGTGGGATGATGATGAACCCATACTTCATACATTTGCGGATGACTTGGAATCTTTCTTCTGGGTGATACTATGCGTGTTGTTGAGCATTGGCGCCGAGCGCAATAGTTTAACAGGTAAAGAGAGAAAATGGCTTCATAAATTACTGGCTGCAGACGATCCTGGCTCTAGCGAAACGAATAAAGGATCCACGCTGCGGACGTTCGAGAAAAGTCTCCCAGATAATGAGTTTTCCCCTGTTCTGAAGGTTTTTGTACCTTTTTTCACAGAAATCATGCCACTTCTGGACGAAGGTCCGAAGGTTGCCAAAGGCGTTGACTCAACCAACTTGGTTGAATCTCTAACGACACTCGGAGATAGATTTTACGAGATGTGGTTTAAAGCTTTCCTACGTGCACTGCCGTCATTGCCCAAGACCTGGGACGAAGTTTTCATAACCCCAATTTGATTACGGAGACGCTCCAACACCCGCCCATGTCGTCTCATTCTACATATTTCCGTCTCTGCTCCCCCTACCATCATCCCAGGATTATCCTGTACATATTAATATGCATATATCTACTTTGTTAGTTTGCTATTCGTTGCACCCTGAGAGGTACATACTTGACAATGTGATTCCATTTATTCCTGGTCGCAGGAATTTTGCCTGGGTGGATACGGTTTGAATGGAATTATATAACTAGAATATGGCATAGCATGGCCCTCCGGGGCAGACCTGGACCCAGCTTTCACTGGTTTTAATCGTGAACAATCTCTTTTAAAGTGGGATCAAATAAATAAATAGATGATTTTGGTCTTAGCAAGTTAAGCATTAATGAATGGTATTTGTGAGACTTGGAGCAGTATCAAAGTGCACAAAGACATCACTCATAGTCGGAATGAGTGAGCCCCAACATACCTCAGCCGCTGCCCGAGAGGCTATAGAAACGACTGAGGTATTCCTATACTAATCCCCCTACTACTTATAGTCGGAGGTGCTACTCACTACAGTATAATGACTCCTAGGAGTACAATTGTGCTCCTAGGAGAACAATGGTTACTTCATGGAGTGGTGGCTATGCTCCATGGAGAACAATGGCTGCTTTGGCAGAGACCGGGTTTATCCGGTTTTGTCAGGTTCTGACTGATCTCCCAAATGTCCACAACTAGTAAGAACCTGCCATAATATTTTGTTGGAATAGTCAAGGTCAAAAGCCTGTTAGCCTTGTTAGACAACATACATCATGAGTTGACATTAGTACAAGGGCTGATAGCTCAGTTGGTTAGAGCACCGCCATATATAGGCAGAGGTCCTGGGTTCAATCCCGGCTGGTCCAGTTTGCTTTTATCCACTCCCTGTGATCAGGTGGCTATGTGAGGTCACATGGCTACATCCAACATATTCTACTAATGTAGACACATTCCAAAAGTTCAATTTCATGTCGTCATGTACAGTCAATAACTAAAAGTTCTGGGACATTTACTGATTTCATTATAACAATGGAAACCTGGACCGTTTGGGTCCAGGAAATACAGTGGCCCTCCAGGGGACCCAGCTGTGTCCGAATCATGCCTCTGCTTCAGTCATGGAGATCTCTGACCTGTGAGTTATCTTAACAGTATTGCATAGGCATGGATGCTAGGAAGAGTAGTACATTTTTGTGACACATTACAGAACTTGAATTATCAGTGAGAACTTCCATCTTCAATAAGTGCAAATATAATTCCCATGCCCCTGAAGGGCCCACCATTGGGAAGTGTATTAATTGTAGTTGTGAGGAAAACAAAATTACCATACTGTAAGTCACTCTATAACTGTCTCTTGTGATATGTGCCTTCTCCTACTGAATTATCAGCAACATAAGTTCTTGCAAGCTGAATTTACATACACTTTGACATGTCAACTTCACATATATTTTGCCCATATCATCCTCTTTTTTTGCCAGAGGAGCCAGATAAGACAGTTTGCTCAACAAATGTTTTATATGCTCTGCAGTGCTTCTTTCAAGGGGTGGTGCTGTCCTGATGCCTTTGTGGAGGGGGTGGTGTATTGGAATTGTTAAGGTTAAAGCCTGGGCCTTGTTAGATAACACTGTGCAATTGAGCATTGATATTGATGGGTTATCGTACGTCGCGACGTCAGCTCATAGACCATATATAGGCAGAGGTCCTGGGTTCAACCCCCGGCTGGTCTAATTTGCTTTTCTGTACTCTCTGAGTCCACTGTGGATTATTACATGATGGTGGTGAGCATTGGTGATGGAGGTATTGGTGTTGATTGTCAGAACCATGACCTTTGGATTAATCAGAGTTCGGAGGATGGAGATACACTGGGGAGTGGAACAGAGTATGAGGTTGGGAGTTAGCTTAGTTTGCGAGCTAGGCCCTTCCTCAGACCTTGGTCCCTAACTTGATGGGGTGAATAAAGGGAGAGTAGAGGATAAAAGTAGAGTGGAGTAATAGTCCTTTAGAGAAGGACTTGGGTAAAAGATGGAGGAGCTTACTGATATTCAAACTGCACGCACAGAGTACAGGAGCTATGGCTTATATACTAATCACTGCCATAGGGATGCCAAAGTTTGGTTCTCAGACACTTTGGTTTGAACCCTGAACTGAACTTGTAGTTTAAGTGCTTGAACTGGACTGAACCTGGACTGAACCCACCAAACTGGGTTCAGACAGTTTGGTCCAGGTTCAAACTCGGTTTGTACTGTGGACCAATTAACACCCTATGTACTTGCCATATACTGTATATGGCAAGTGCATGGGGACAGGGGGTAATGCCAAAGGTGGACACCTGAGAGAGGGCCTAGATAACACATTGACACATTGCCTGTGTCCTCCCTTGAGTGGTGTGGCTATGATGGTGGTGGTGGTGGTGTTGGTTGGTTGGTTTGAACAATAGCAAAAATGCCCAAACCGCAAACCACACTGAGGTTTGGACATCAAGAACTGGACTGAACCAAACCTGACCCTAGGGTTTGGTTTGGCAGTTCTTGGTTCTGAATGTTTGCCTGAACCAAACTTTGGCATCCCTACTAATCAGAGGGAGTGGAGTTTGTAGGGAGTAAATTGTAATGTAGGTACAGAGTTCCATGCGGACAACTATCTAGTGAGGAGGAATCATATATGAGGCAAGTGTACCATAAGGTCTGATTACAGAGTCCATAAGGAAATATGAGAACATGCAGAGGGAACATATGGCAGACTGGAAGTCTGTGGCAGGAAAGTCAGAGCAGATATCCAGAGTACCATATGGGAGCAAGGTACAGGGCTACACCAAATGGCAGAGCACGAGGGGCATAATTCTGAGAATACTGAAGATTTGGGAGTTTGGACTTGGGGGTTTCTGACTGCTTGGAGGTCTGGAAACCATAGCCTGTGGCATGAATATGACAGTATCCCCCTTTAGGGTTGAACCCTTGAGACCTAAAAATAGCTTTGGTAGGAGTGGACTCCGGTGGATTTATTTGAACAGGGGTATATAATATGGGGGGTTAATTTGGAAATTACTTCAACTGCACAGTCAAGTCCAAAAATGTGCATACCCCCAACACCACCACTACCATCACCACTACCACCATCATACCCAAGGCCCTCAAGAACACCATTGCAAAAATGGCCTGCCTCCGCGCAGAGAGGGCGGAGGCCAAGCGCCAACTTGAGGAAAAGCAAAGGTGGGCGGAGGAGGAAGCGCAGTGGGCAGCAGAGGCCCAAAAGGCTGAAGAGGAGAGGCAGAGAGTTAAGAAGGAGAAAGCAAAGAAGGAGAAGGCAAAGAAGGCAAAGGAGACAGAGGCAGTAGAGACTCCTCAGTGAGTCCTCCTGTTGTTTACCTGCAACAAACTTGGTCCTATCCTAAGGGTAACCACTCCCCTCACTACCTTTATAGCTTTGTCTGAGTTGTGTGCCAGAGTGACAAACTCTTGGTTGTTACAATTGGGAGCTACTCCCTTTCCTTTATTGCCCATGCAACACCCCAGAGCAGGGGCCACCTTGTTGCAGTTTACTTCATTGTTTTGAGGAGCAAAGGCACCAAAGTGACCTAAGCTCCAAATTCTTTTCCCTGGGCCTTCATCTCAGTGACTTGTTGGTTGTAAAAGAAGGCCCAGATTTTGTTGTACGAACAACTGGCCAATGAATTGAGCTGATCATCTTGCTGCTCATTTTATAATTGGTGCACCTGGTACCCTTTGCTTCCCTTCAGGGAACAGTAGTAGTTCCCCTCCATTAACACCTCCTAGAGATTCCAAGGTAAGTGTGCAATAAGTTTAAAAATTATGAGGCTTATATTCCACACATGCCATCATCACTAGCTTTAGCTCTACCAGCTCTAGGCTGGCTAAAGGAGGATATTCTCAAATGTGTGTCATCCTTTCTACTTTGAAAGGCTTCCCAGGTACTGATGAACGAGATGAACTTGTTTGGAATGCAATCATCAAAGTTGCCAGTTCTTCTTCTCTATTCAAGACTACCATAGTAGATTTGGAGAATGCAAGGAACAACCAGAAAAAAGGTAGAATCATTGATTATGTGAGTGAGAACAATGCTTCCGATATTACTAATATTAAAATTATAAACAGGTGTGGGCGGCTGCAGCTCAGTTTAGAGGTGAAGTCAAACAAAAGGCTAGGATACTCATTTTCTCAGAATCCGCCCTCAAAGACAAGCTCCCAGAGGAAGTACATACTATAGTGGAGTGGTTATTGAGTAATGGAATGGGTGTCTTTACATTTGGTGGTTTAGATGTTTCTGGAAGTGTTCATATGTACTCTTCTTAAGCGTTTTATGACTATGTATTTCAGACTTGTACATATGATAAGCAAAAACCTTTTGGACATCGCATCATCAAGCTACTACTTCAGGTTCAGTGGTTTCATAAGAAGGGGGGGGGGGGGGTATCCTCTATCCAAGTGACTTCAAAGACTCACCTTTGCCATTAATTGCCTTGGCTGTTACAGCTGTGAGTTTGTAATATAATATACGTGGATTTTCCTCACTTTATATTTCACAGGTCGAAAACTGTCTTCATGAACTTGCAAAAGGTGTTTGCACCACCTTGAATTCTCTGAACAGGTCTACAGGCCCAGGTCAATTCAATATCCACTCTACCTTAACCTTTACTCACAAGTGCTTATCAGATATTTATATTATCTGTCCAGGTTAGAAGAGCTACAAAGAAAAGCTCCTAGGTGGTTTTTGCAGTTTTGTAAAAACACTTACAACAATATTCTGTGAGTAGTCTACAAAATCATTTTAGAACAACACTGATAAGCATTACATTACACACAGTCAACAGTGTGATTTATTGAATACACAAGAGGACAACTGGGAGAATAAGGTTGATTTTGCAGCGCTTGAAGATTCAGTGTCCTTATAGTTGTTGATATATGCATGTCATTGTATGGTGTCAGGAATATACTATAATAGATTCTCTGCATATGATCTCTGGCTAGGATGCTATAAAATTAGTGAACAAAACTGAGAAAATTTGAAAACTGTGATAAGGTTGTGGAACATATATAATATGACCATTCTGAGATAACCATTTATGGTTGTTATATCTATTATATTCTATGAGAGCAGCCATAGTAGAGATGGATTGTATATATCACAAAAGTGATACTATAGCTGGTATAGCAAGCATCTCAAAATAGCCCTGCTATATAGAGCTATATAATAGGGACTTGTCTAGGCATACTATAGCTACTATTTTCCCTATATAGCGCTATGACAGCTATAATAGCTATAAAAGGAAACTAGGTTTTTCCTGATGTAGAGGTATCCTTTGCCATCTTGCTTCTCATAGCTCTAACAGGCTTTCTTAACCATTGCTACCACTTCATATCGCAGATCAGAGACTGGGTAGTACTCCCAGCCAGCCAGCACAATGGGTAAGGACTAGTAGCTGGGATTTTGCCAACCAGCTCCAAGTCCCATCAGTGCCTGGAGATATTAATAAACACTTTAGTCAGGATTGTACCTCATCATGAGGATACGGTTCCTGAACATGTGTGACACTACCTATTATCAGTACATCTTCTCACCTGCTGATTAATCCCTGAAGTTTTACAATAGTTGTTCTTTTTCTTATTGGATAGTTTCATCCTCAGACCACTTTTCCTTTTATTCTATTTCCGGTCTGAATAGATGGACAATTAGCTATAAAAACCCTACATACTCATGTATTGTTCTTTAGCTTTTTATTACTTGAATAACCTGCTTTACTCCCCCTCAGAAACCCTTGAGTTTACTCTCAGTCCTCTACTTGCTATAATCTCTAGCATCTGTTGACCTCAAAACTCATTGTACCTCTTACTCCCTGCAAGTGCAGTCAGAGACAGGTGTTGTTTTTGTTATGGTTTAATGTTGCCTCACACATGTCACATGGAATAGTAATTAATATTGCCCTTTTTGAACTTGTGGCTGATCAGCACCCAATTCTATTAGGCAATTAAGTCATGCTCACCTTTACTTTCCATTCAATACTTTCTGCATTTCTACATTTTGGCAATTTTTGATAAAACTGGATATTGACCAGACCAGGGATTGAACCTGGAACCTTCTGGATACATGCCAGCTGCTCTACCAATTGAGCTATATGGCCAAGGTTATACAATGTAGGATCTTAAACATGACATGCAACCACGGACGTCTTACACAGAATAGCTGCTGCATAGTGGAGTATTGGTATGTCAGAGTATATTCTAACAATTTTTTGCATCGCCACTGGCTACACATTGCATTGTGCCCTCACTTTTGTTGTTTCCCTGACTCCCCTTCCTTTACTTAGCCCCACCATAGGCCCTCTCCTCTCCTTTATCTTCTCACCAGACAGCTGTTTTTGGATCCCTATTCTAGTCCACTTCCTGGTCACCTCCACCCTCCTCCTACTTGCACCTCCACCACATCTGATGTTACCACTCTGTATCCGCTTCTGTTGCCAATTTGTTGACCACCATGTGCCACTGCTAATTTCAGCAAAGCCCCAGTGGCCAGTCCAAATTGGGCAGCTGGTCCATCTTCATGACATCAATCTTCCATCATAACTATCAAATCATTGGTCACTTGTCTTATCTGGCTGGAACACAGGTGGGTAGTTTTGAGTTAAAAAAGGTCCATCCTCTTGCATTGTCCACGTACATTGCCGTCCCATTCACTTGGGTACATTTATCCTTCGCCCATTGTCTTTGCTACAGCCACACTTATCACACACTACCCGGGACACACCCGTCCCAGATTGGAACTACTCCTCTCCCTCCCTCATTTGACCAAGTGGTCCAATACAACCAGACCATTGGTAAGGCCATAAAACTGTCAGATTTGGAGTAGGTGGTGGACCGATGGCTCCAGTTCCTTTATTTTCAGCGGAATATTCATTTGCAGTGCAACTATTCTTGATTTTTGAATCATTTTCCATGGACACATATTTTTTTAGAATGGCTGACTGACAACAAGGGAACTGTGTTGATACTGATGATGTAACAACCAAGAGTTAGTTACTCTGGTGCACACAGAACACACTATAAGGAAGATGATGAGGGAGTGGTTACCCCTTGAGCTGCAGAGAGTTTGTTGGTTAACAACAGGAGGACTCGCTGAGGAGTCTCCTGGATCTATTGGGGTATATATACTAATACAGAGTGTTTGTACTTATGTACTGTACAGTTGATAAAGTTAGTGGCTGATGATGTCATGGGGCCTAGCCCGCACGACCAGCCCCACTGTGTGAGAAAGTTGTATCTAAAATAAGAAGAAGGCAATGCGGCATGAGAAAAAGGAGTTTGAACAAAAGGGAAAGTGCCGCGTGGCACCATGTGTGAAAGCTAAAGTGTACAAGGATAAAGCGGAGAATGAAAAAGGAGAAAAGGTCCAAAAATTGTGTTATTGTAACATTGAACTTTATTTTATGGCTGTACAAACCTGTGACATTATATATATATAGCATTTGTTGTTCTATCCCCTTCTTTTCCTTATTTTGACAATCTTATCCTGTACTACCTACATAAGATTTGTCAGCATATATTCCTTCCTTCATGTTCTTTCTCATTCTTGTTGCACAGCTATACTGTGCATAGCCTATCTTTTTTTTACTATATAAACCCCTGTATTTTACCTTGTAAGAAAAAGAAATCCAATCCAGACTTCCTCTCTAATCTCAAGTTCACTACTCTCTGCTACTTGTGATCCAGTGTGGTCACAACACTTCCCACTGCTACCACTGTTAACTGCTGTCATTGTCACTCATCACTTTTGAAAGTCATTGTTATCCCTTTTCCACTAAACTCTTCACCACTTTCTCTGATGCTGATCATGGTGGTGACAAGGACTCTGGTCGCTCTACTGGTGCCTATATTGTCAAAATGGGATCTGGTGCTGTTTCCTGGAGCTCCAAGCTTCAAAATATTGTTACTATGTCCATCACTGAAGCAGAATATATTGCTGCTGTTGAGGCTGGCAAAGAGATCTGCTGGATGCAAAATCTATTGAAGAAAATGAGCTATTCTATCACCTCTCCTTCCACCCTTCACATTGACAACCAATTTGCCATCTCTGTATCCAAGAATCCTGAACACCATGGTTGTATGAAGCATTTTGATTTGCAATGGCACTGGTTGAGAGATGTTGTTGACTCTGGCCAGATTGCTCCTACCTTTGTGGCCACTGCTAAAATGCCAGCTGACTTGTTGACCAAGGCTCTTGCCAAGCCTAAAGTTGGAGTGTTTAGGCAGATGATGGGACTGATTAGATCAGGAGGGAGCTGATGCTTGGGAGGTGCAGCATCAGGGGGGGTGTTAGTTTTGGTGATTCTGCACCTTGATGCTTTCTACTTATTTTCATTCCTTTCCCCATCTATTCCTATATCATTTAGTATTGGTTGTGTTCTCTATTATTTTGCCTCTGTGGTTCCTTTGTTTACCTTTGTTTACAAAACTTCGGACAGTATCGCAGAGTCCAATGCTTTCTATTCTCCAGCTACTGTAACAACCAAGAGTTAGTTACTCTGGCGCACACAGGAACACACTATAAAGGTAGTGGAAGATGGGGAGTGGGTACCCCTTGGGCTGCAGTGAGTTAGTTGGTATACAACAGGAGGACTCGCTGAGGAGTCTCCTGGATTTTATTGGGGTATATATACTACTACAGGTTTGTTTGTACATGTGTACTATACAGTTGATGAAGGCAGTGGCTGATGATGTCATAGGGCCTAGCCCGTATGGCCAGCTCCACTGCGTGAGAGAGTTAAGTCTAAAAGTAAAAGAAAGGCAACGCGGCGTGAGAAAGGGAAATGCCGCGTGGCACTTAAAGTATAAAGTTAAAGCGGAGAATAAAAGGAAAGGAGATGTCCGGAAATTGTGTTATCGTAACACTACCCCCCTTCTAAGGCTCGACTTCCAGGCGAGACCAAATTCCGGAGGTAGTGGTAAAATTTTCGGGCATAGGTTGAAAGAGGGAATTAAAAAGGTTTGAATCCATGCCTCTAAGCTTCCTGGGAGCTGAGGGATTCCTAGAATAAAATTCGCGAACAGCGTCGCGGGAGTTTTCCAGATGGGATTCTGGTTCCCACGTTCTGTCCTCGTCTCCGTAGCCCTTCTATAGGACCAGGAATTCTAATTTTCCACGCTTCAAGCGTGCATCTACCACTCGTTCAACTTCGAACTCTTCTTCACCTTCCTGGGTGACTACTACCGGACCGGGCCGGTCTACGCGCTGTCCCGGCAGCGGTCCCTTGTAGGGTTTCACACGGCTAATGTTAACCGTGGGCACCACCCTCATTCGTTTTGGGAGTTCCAGCTCCACCGCATTAGGTTTGACTTCCTTAATCCGGTAAGGGCCAATCCACTTTTCGGTCAGTTTTCTAGACTGCCGGTCTTTTAATTTCAAGTGGTCGGTGTCTAACCAGACCAGGTCGCCGACCTTGTAATCAGGGGCCTTAGAGCGTCTACGCTCTGCCCTGTCTTTCATCTGCTCCGCAGTTTTAAATAGCGCTTTGCGCGTTTCGTCCAAGACAGACTTCATGTCTTTTGCCATGTTCCCAGCAGCCTCGTTTTTGCTTTTGCCAGGTTCTACACCCATTCTGGGGAGGTACGATCTAGTAACCTCGAATGGTGCCTTTCCTGTAGCCGACGACTGTTTAATATTATATGAGAACTGGGCTATCTTTAGCCACTTGGCCCAATCCGTCTGTCTGTCATTAATAAATATACGGAGATACTGCTTTAACTCCTGGTTAAGTCTCTCCGTTTGTCCATCGGTTTGCGGATGGAACGCCGTGGATAATTTAGGTTTGATGCCCAGCATCCGGCATAATTCTTTCGTAAATTCGCTAGCGAATTGCGGTCCCCTATCGGAGATCACCGTTTCTGGTAACCCATGGATTGACCATACGAAGTCTTTAAATAAGTCTGCCGTACCGGCGGCGGTGATGGTTTTGTTGGTGGGTATGAATACCACTTCTTTGGAGAAGCGGTCTACTACCACCATTACTGAATCGTACCCGTTTGACTCGGGCAGATCCGTCGTGAAGTCCACCGATATATCCTGCCAGGGGCCAGCTGGTATCGGGTTCGGCATGAGTTTACCGGCCGGCGGTTGATGGGAATTCTTGGCCATGGCGCATCTCAGACAGGATTTTACATATTCCTGTATGTCTTTGACCATGCCAGGCCACATGTAATTTCTGGAGATCAACTCCATCGTTCGTTGCCATCCAGGGTGCCCAGCCACTGGAGTGTCATGATGTCTATCTATTGCCTTGATCCTTGCGGACTCAGGCACATAGATTTTGTTTTTGAAATGGAAGAACCCGTCTTTCCATAAATAGTTTTCATTGCCGTCGAGGCACGCCTTTTCCTCTGGGGAGATGTCTTTCCTGAAGATTTCTAGGAGAGCAGAATCTTGCCCGATTCTAACATTGGCAACCCTTGATTGATCTATCAGGGTGACACCTTTGTTGTCATCTTCAATGCCGTTGGCATGATCCTCTCTTCTGGATAAAGCATCTGCTTTCCCCATTGAGCTTCCAGGCTTATGAATTAATTTATAATTAAACCTTGACAAGTACACCGCGTAGCGGGCTTGTCTTCGGTTCAGATCTCGGGCCGTCATGAAGTACTCTAGGTTCTTATGATCGGTCCAAATTTTGAATTGGTGCCTAGCACCTTCTAAGTAGTGCCGCCAGTGCTCTAAAGCTCTAATGATGGCCAGCATCTCCTTGTCATAAATCTGATAGTTGCGCTCTGTAGGCGACAAACTATGCGATAAATAGGCGCAAGGCCTCCAAAGATCGTCAGGGCATTTGATCGATAAAACAGCCCCAGTGGCGAAGTCAGAAGAGTCGGTCTCTAACCGGAACTCTTTGTCTAACTCTGGGAATGCCAATATGGGCGCTGTTGTAAATGCCTGTTTAAGCTTATCAAAAGCTTCCTGTTCTTTGGCGCCCCACTGCCAAACAAGGTCCTTTTTGGTGAGATCGTTCAACGGTCTCGTGATTTTTGCAAAGTTTTCAATAAACCTTCGGTAGAAATTGCCTAAGCCTAGGAAGGCCCTAACTCCTTTGACGCGAGTAGGTTCTGGCCATTCCAAAATAGCTTGAACTTTCTCAGGGTTCATCCTGATTCCGTTCTGGCCTATGATCATACCGAGGAAGTCTACTTCCTTCACTTTAAAATTACATTTTTCGGGTTTAACGAATAGGTCCCGTTCCTGTAAGCGTCGAAGGACTTCTTGCACGATCCTGTCATGCTCAGCCTCATCGTCCGACTTTGTAAATATTAATAAATCGTCAATGTAAATGACGACACAGTTTTCCATATCCGCGAAGATCTCATTCATCATGCTCTGGAAGGTCGCCGGTGAATTGGTCAACCCAAAGAACATGACAAGGGGTTCGAAAGATCCTCGGTGGCACGTGAACGCGGCCTTCCAAGCATCTTTCTCTTTGATTCGTACATTGTTGTACCCCCATCTGAGATCCATCTTAGTCAGGATCTTGGCGCCAGCCAATTTGTCCACTAGCTGACTAATCAAAGGCAGCGGATACGCGTTTTTAACCGTGTGCTCATTCACGTAACGATAGTCCATAATCATGCGCTTCTTACCATCCTTTTTAGGAATGAAGAACACCGGGGACGTCATAGGACTTTTGGAAGGTCTGATGTAACCCTTCCTAAGTTGTTCATCTATGAAGCTAGATACCTCGTCTCTTTCAGGAGCAGAGAGCGGTATCATATGTCCTTTTCTTGGTTTGAAAGTGTCCTTCAAATCTATAGCATGGTCCCAAGGCTTAGCCTCTGGGAAGCGCTCTGATTTGTGTTTAGAAAAGACTTTCCAGAAGTCATGGTACTCGGGAGGTACCAGCCTCTTAATCTCTTCCTCAGGTTTTACCTCATCATCATCATCGTCAATCTTTTCCAAAGATCTGAGCTCGTAAACGTGACTAGCGTTCAACTTTTCGAGACGCTCATTGTGACGGACATGATTTGGTTTTCCCAAGTTTACACATTCCTGGGGACAACGTGACAATGTGACAACCCCTGTCTGCCAGTTGATCTCAGGATTGTGTTTAAATAGCCAGGTCCAGCCTAAGATTAAATTAATCTTCCCTAGTTGGGTAGCTTCGGCAGTGACTCGTTCTCTGTGTCCTTGGTATTCGACCACAAAAGAACATTTGTGTGTAATACAGCCACCTGCGTTAAGCGTACCGTCAACGTTATAGACGGGAATAGATGTTTCTAATTTTACAAGGGGGAGTCCAATTTGCTCCGCCCAGACCTGATCTATGAAGATTCCGTTAGCGCCTGAATCAAGCAGCGCGCTCGTTGAGTGTACTTTGCCCCTGGCAAGGTTTTCCACGCCAACGTCTAAACGGATCTCCTTTTGGAATAAATACGTGCGCATCAACACACGCCTTGGGATTTTGGGAAAGGGTGGCTCCGAAGAAGAAGAAGAAGAAATAGAAGGGGAAAATGACACATGTTTTTCTATTTTTGTTTTTCCAGAATCAAGCACCCTAGTGTTTGTCTCGCCGGGGCCACGCTCCAAAGGAGACGCCGGTGCAGCGGTAGTATCATAAATATTACAATTACATTTCTTCATACAAGTGCATACTTTGGATAGCAAATTTAGAAATCTATTTACAAATTGGGGAGCCATCCCCGTCATTCCTTTATTGCTCGTGCAACACCCCGGAGCAGGGGCCACCTTGTTGTGGTTTACTTCATTTTTACTAGGAGCTAAGGCACCCAAGTGACCTAAGCCCCGAATTCTTTTCCCTGGGCCTTCATCTCGTTGACCTGTTGGTCGTAGAAGAAAGCCCGGATTTCGTCGTAAGAACGACCGGCCAATGAGTGGAGCCGATCGTCCGGTTGTTCGGTTTCCAATTGGCGCGCCTGGCGCCCTTGGTTATTTTTTTGTTGGCCGGCCTGCGACCCTTTTCTGCAGTCTCTGGACATATGTCCCTCCTGGCCGCAATTATAGCAGGCCCCCTTGAATCTGCGCATCTGTCCGCCTTGGACCGCGCCAATATCCATAGGGGCTCCCTGCCCTGGTTGCAGCCCGAACGGCTTGAACCCGTGAGAGTGTTTTTGATATTGGTTTGATGACCCAGGGCGCCTCTGGGGTATGTTGTTTTGTTTGGTGGACCCGCCACCTTGGTGCATGGTGTAGAGCTCTATGGCTCTACCGACTCGTCGGACTTCCTCGGCTGCCAGAGCCAGGTTGTCACTTCTTGTATCCTGCAGGTAGATCTGTTCTGCAATGCGAGGGTTCACATTGCGTTCCAGCAGTTCTACTGCGTGTTCATTACCAAGACCCCCTTGGATTGAGAGGGCCAGGAACCGGGTTACAAAATCATCCGTCCTCATGTTTCCTTGTTTGAAGGAACGGATTTGCTGACGTGCCCAGTCACGCTCAGCTTGTGGTTTAAAATATTTTTCGATCTCAATTTTGAGATCGTCCCAGGTAGGCCACACTCCCGCGGTGTAGCACTCCTGGAGTCTAACTTGGGCGTATCGACCCGCCACAGGTCCTTTTAGTCGAGATAGCACCGCAGTAGCTACCTCAAAGTCGTCGGCGAACGCGTCCCAATTCGCCTTGACCCAAATTTGGAGCTTGATCCACCATTCGGCAAATCGTGCCCGGTCTCCCTCGAAGGCGCCAGGGTCAGCGACGACTTCGACCTTTTTGTTGAATTTCTTTTCAACCGAGGGGGTTGCTGCAGGGGGATTGGCCTGCATCTCGGCGAGTTGAGCTGTCAACGCCCCAATCTGCGTACGCATTGCGTGCAGTAGGGCGTTGATGTCTTGGGGAGGTTGCGACGACATGTCGACTTGTTTCTGATGTTACGTAAAAGTAGGTAACTGGGGGTCCCCGCTTGCTATCTGCGGATCAACCTCTTCCCAGCTGGATATCGGATCTCAATCTCCGACTACCCACACTATAGTATTTGAAAAGTATATAAAAGGTAATTGTAATAAACCCTGGTCCGAACGGTTGTCAGGGGGTGGTCCGCTTGTTAAGCTGTCAACCCTTCTCCAGACTGGCGGAGGCAAGTGCCCGGCCTGGTCAGAGGTATTCGAAAGTGAAGATTTGTATTCTAAATCTAATCAACAGTGGTTCCACACCAACTGCTGAGCTAAGGTACTCCCCTTAACGCTGGGGGCCGCGTATCAAAGGTTTTGGGTTCTTCTCCCTGAGCACTACAAGGCCGTCGCTAGGAGCGCACCTATCTGCTATTTGGGATATTCCTAACCCTAACCAATCTCCTTCACCCTGGAGTCCGGGTGCCCAGTGGGACTTTTGCACTAACGTGCGAGAGAGTAATAAGAGCGAGTCCTAATGTAACAACCAAGAGTTAGTTACTCTGGCGCACACAGGAACACACTATAAAGGTAGTGGAAGATGGGGAGTGGGTACCCCTTGGGCTGCAGTGAGTTAGTTGGTATACAACAGGAGGACTCGCTGAGGAGTCTCCTGGATTTTATTGGGGTATATATACTACTACAGGTTTGTTTGTACATGTGTACTATACAGTTGATGAAGGCAGTGGCTGATGATGTCATAGGGCCTAGCCCGTATGGCCAGCTCCACTGCGTGAGAGAGTTAAGTCTAAAAGTAAAAGAAAGGCAACGCGGCGTGAGAAAGGGAAATGCCGCGTGGCACTTAAAGTATAAAGTTAAAGCGGAGAATAAAAGGAAAGGAGATGTCCGGAAATTGTGTTATCGTAACAGCTACTCACATTGGACTCTAGTTTCCAGTCCCTGATCACTCTTAGCAAGCGGCTAGACACTTCCATTAAGCTTTGTTCTTAATATAAGCCAGTGTAGCAATAATTTATATGTGTGCAATCCTGAGATACTGCACGCATCACTCCATTACATTTGACAATAGCTCATCTTAATGGGAGGCTTTGGCCAGAGTCATCCACTTGCGAAGACTTGAGTTACAGAACACTATGTTTTCAAATATGGCACTTTAAACAATATGATCTAGATAGGTAATAAAACAGCTGCATTTCATCATATTACAGTAGCTGAAAACTTGACATTAATGATAAAACCATCAATTGGAGGTATGTTCTGAGATATTTTTGATACATCTTGCAAAACATAAGATAAAAGACATGCTTCTGTTGAGGTAGATAAGAGTATGACCACAAACTACAACCATCAAACTCTATTCCACTTTACACATGTTCTTCTTGACGCGCATGCAAACTTCTTCCTAATTTAGACTTTGGACTTTGGACTTTCTTCAACTCGTACTTAGCATTCCACTCATTACAATTTTGACCTCAGTCTCTATTTACAAGACTGAGTTAAGGTTAATACTATCATTGTAGAAATTATATTATGTAAGCGAACTTCAGAGCTTCACCCAAAGATTTACTCTGTGATTACAACCAGCCTTTTGTGGCTATCATTGTCTTTCACATGATATTTACATATGTTTGTTATATAAGAAGCATGTATTTACGTTATTATGGCATTTGTTTGCCAAAGGAATCCTTCTCCCGCGCCCTGAGGGACCGAATATCCAACAATCATACCTAGAGATACACCATACTAATTATACCATTAGTCTTTTCTTTCATTCACTAGGTATATATATTTTAAATAATTCAGTCTCTATTTACAAGACTGAGTCTTTCCTTTCATTCACTAGAAATATTTACTATTGCCAGCTCATGAGCTTCACCAAAATCTATCAGAATCAGTCAAAGGGTCGGCATTAGCATCACTGCCATACACTATCATGAAGTACCTTATAACTTTGATATCTCAAAATTCACCAAGCCTTCAAGTTTTGACAGTAGCTTACCATAACATGCAAGGAAAGCCTCTACAGCGACAGGCTGTTGATAGTTAGTGCTTGCATAGCTAGCTAGCATTGGCTATAATGCTAAATAGTTTAATTGAAGTTCAGGCTGATAGTAGTTTATCCAAGTCTATAGTCATAGTACAAAAGCTAAATTTTTGAAAACTATGCCAGTGCATATCACCATTATCTTATGATACATGAGGATGATACAAATGTTAGACGGGCAGTGCTGGGTAGAGCGTCGTATGGTTTAGCTGTAAGCGCCGTACCGCCCAGTGTATGACAGGCAAGATCTTGCTGCCAACGACGGGCGCTGGGTCGTCTGAGACGTTGACGCTGACGTTGACGGAGACACTGGCGTGGATGTTGATGATCATCAAAGCTTTTTGGAGATAAGGCTGGAAAAGGGCGGTGCTTAGTCATGGAAGTGTGTTGTGATAGAATTTGAGAAATCTCTCGTCGAACGCAAAGACATGGCCTTTTCTGAACATATCCGCACCTGGTCGGACACAAATGTTGCACAATGGCTCGAGGATATTCGCTGTGCGTCCCATGCACACACTTTCCGCATCAACGACATCCGTGGCGATGTCCTCCTCGAGCTCGACCAGCATTCTCTCAAGGAAATGGGCATTGCCTCCATTGGGGACAGACTGAGAATCGTGAACGCGGTAAAGTCCCTCAGAGTCAAGTGCAATTCCCCCCGTGACTCGTCGTCGTCGCCGACGTCGAGGAATGCCTCTCGCCGCCTCGAGTCTGTGCGCCCCGCCCCACTCGTGCTCTCCTCGTCGCCCTCCCGCACGGACCTCCCCCGCCTCATCCGCGATCCCCAAGCACCAGACTCTGCCAGAGCTGCTCACCCCATCCGTCCTCTTCCCCAGCCAGCACAGCCCACACCGCCCCCGTACTCCTCTTCTCTCCGCCCCTCTCTCCCTCCCCTCCCCCCAGCACCACGTGGCCAGCCTCCCCAGCCACCCACCTCCCGCTCTCGCACCCTCCATCCCCTCGGTATCGGTCCCCGTTCTCGCACTCCAAACCAAGACCCTCCCCCGTACGCGAACCAGCCTCTCCCTCCCGCTCCCCAGAATCCATCCCCAAAACTGGTCTCCATATGGGCTCCCCTCAGATCCCCGCTCAGGGAACCAGTCCGCAGAGCCTCCCATCCGTTAGGCATCTCCTCTCTCTGGCTCTCGCTCACCCCGCACTGCCAACCCACCCTCAGAGCACCACAACCGCGATATCTCTTTTTCTGGCGTCAGCTCTCCCCTCTCCACCCCCTCGGCATCAAAACTTCCTCCACGCCCCTCTACCACTGGCACAACCCATCCCTACGCATCTGCCTCTTCTGCACAGACAGGTCTCCAAGCACCCGCACAGCCGGCCCTTATCCTCTCCCCCATCGCAGAATCTTTCATCTCCACTTCATCCTCCTCTCCCCCCACCGCTTTCACCGTCGGTCGCGGCCCCTTCTCCACGGCCCCTCCCTCCTCCCTCTCCACCACACTCTCCCTCGACGACCTCCGTCGCAAGCTCGTCAAATTCTTCCTCCCCGCAGAGGGCCGTTCCTGCATCGTCGACGTCGCTGACTGTGCTGGCGGCATCGAGGTCATGGAAAAAGTACTCAAGAAATTCGACAAGGCCCTCCGCTCAGACGTCATGAACTACGTCGAGACAGACGACGGCGGCCTCAGCGTCGATGGCTGGAGCGTCTACCTCGAATGGATCATGGACGACGCCCCAGGCAAGTCCCCTCACTCCCTCTAACCTTTTTTTTCTCACTCAGTTCATCCATCCAGGAAACCCGCTCACCGAGGCAGAACTCCTCGCAGTCTGTCACGCGCCCCCAGATGATCCTTCCAAAGAGCACGGCCTCACCCTCCGTCGCACAGGGCGCACCAAGCGGTCCAAAGCCCTCGCCCAAATATTCGGCGAAGACCCTCCCCCGAGCCACATCCCCCGCGGTCCCTCCCCCACCTCCCTCGCGCTCTCCAGCCCCTCCCTCCACGCACCCCTTCGTCCCACGCCCCCACCACCAGACGACGACGCGCTCACGCCCGCGTTTGCAAAGTTTTTGTCAGAGACGCAGATGCAGCAGGCGCAGATGGGTATCGGGTCGGGATCGGGGTCTGGGAATGGGGTGAGGAATACGAAGAGGGCGAGTGCGATCAGTATTTTAAGCGGTCTCGGCGTGCGCGACCCCGAAAAAGCGCTCGACCCGCCCATCTCGCCCACCCACCCCTCTTCCACCTCCTCGCCCTCCTCGCCCCTCCCCTCCCGCACGAGCCCCCTCCAACCCTCCTTCTCCAAAAAGCCCTCCAAGCTGCGCAACTTCTTTGGCCAACGCCCGCCTAGCGAGCTCATCACGACGCACCTCCCCGAGTATTTCCCGTTCGCGGAGAAGAAGGTGTTGAGGACGGCGAGGCATAGTATGATGATGAGGGCGGGGGGGAGGAGGGATAGTATGCTGTCGATTAATCCGGGGGGGCAGGGGATGTTGGGCGGTGCTGGTGGGGGACAGGCGTCGAGGTTTAGTACGAGTACGCAGGCGAGTGGGGGGAGTGTGAGGAGGAGGTCACATTCGCCCACGCGGACCTCATTATCGTCCAACGCCTCTGGGATCCCACCCGAATCGAACGTGAACGCGGCGAGACCTTCGACGTCGGGTTCGTTAGCGGTGGAAGGGGCGAAGGAGGAGCCGCCGAGGATGTCGATATCGACGGAGGACGGACGGGCGGTTGAGCTTAGTGGGGACGACGTGGAGCGGATGTCGCTCGTCGGGAACGGTATCGGTGGCAGCGGCGGCGGTGAGCCCTCATCGTTAAAACCCCACCTCCTCCCTCCCGTCAAATTCCCCTCCGAATCCCTCTCCGAATCGATGGAAAACCTCACCTCGTCCACCAACGGCGTCGTCAACAACAACAACAACTACCCAGGGATGGGCATGGGAGCGGGCAGTGCGAGCATCCGCTCCCTGTCTCGCACGAGCTCGAACGCGTCGAGGCGGATGAGCTATGTGACGGAGCTGAGGAGTAAGCGGGATAGGAGCGATACGGCTAGTTTGATGACGGTGGATGAGATTACGGCGGAGGTGGAGAGTAGGAGGGAGAGTATGGCTGTTGATAGGGATCGCGACCGTGACCGTGATAGGGAACGTGAACGGGAAAGAGAGAGGGAGATGGAGATGGAGAGCGCGGATGATTGGACGAGGGTGGATAATGAGGATGAGGAGGGGCAGTTGACGATGGAAAATATAGTTGTGGAGGATGTGGATGAGGTGAAGGGGCTTGAGGACGAGGATGTGGAGGAGGATGTGGAGGATGTGGAGGAGGAGGAGGAGGAGGAAGAGGAGGGTGTGGACGATGAGGATGAGGATGGTGTGGTGACTGAGGATGAAGATGAGACTGGGAAAGCTATGACTTCGAATGGCGGTAAGCCCTTCCCCCCCCCCTCCTTCCCCGTCCACTCACACTAACCACCCCTCCAAAACCATAGGCACGAAATGGATCAAAGGCGCACTCATCGGCGCCGGCTCCTTCGGCAAAGTCTACCTCGGTATGGACGCCACGAACGGGCTCCTCATGGCCGTCAAGCAGGTCGAGCTGCCCACAGGGTCGGCGCCGAATGAGGAGAGGAAGAAGAGCATGTTGAGTGCGTTGGAGCGGGAGATTGATTTGTTGAGGGATTTGCAGCATCCGAATATTGTGCAGTATTTATGTAAGTGCGGTTTTCTGGGGTTTTTTTTTTGTTGGAGGTTGGGTTTTGCCTCAAGTCGTTGGTTTGTTTTCCGAATATTCGTCGAGATTATGCTTTCGAACTGTTTCCGTGTCTCTGCAGCATCCAATTATCTATTCTATCGACTGACTAACTAACCCTTCCCCCCTTCCCCCTTACCAGACTCCTCCGTCGACGACGCCTACCTCAACATTTTCCTCGAATACGTCCCCGGCGGCTCCGTCACCGCTCTCCTCCGCAGCTACGGCGCCTTTGAAGAGCCCCTCGTCAAAAACTTTGTACGCCAGATCCTTCAGGGCCTCAACTACCTCCACGAGCGCGAGATCATACATCGAGATATCAAGGGTGCTAATATATTGGTGATAATAAGGGAGGGATCAAGATCTCTGATTTTGGGATTTCGAAGAAGGTTGATGGGAGTGAGTCTTGCTCGTTTATTCCTCACACCACCTGATGCTCACATATCACTACCCCAACTCCCTCACCCGCACAGATCTCCTCACAGGAAAACGCGTGAACAGACCGTCATTGCAGGGCTCCGTGTTCTGGATGGCACCAGAAGTGGTAAAGCAGACGGCGCACACGCGCAAGGCTGACATATGGAGTGTTGGCTGCTTGGTCGTTGAGATGTTAACGGGAGAACACCCCTGGGCACAGCTCACCCAGATGCAGGCTATCTTCAAGGTGCGTCCTATGCCTCACTCTCACTTTTTTTTTGTTATCTTGATAAACTGATGCGTGTCATTATGTGATTTTTTTTTTATCCAATGCTAACGTTTCGCCAACGTCAAATCGTCACTCAATTCGACCTAACGGTGGAATAGATCGGACAATCTGCCAAACCCTCGATACCGTCGGATATCTCTGCGGATGCGCAGGACGTCCTTCGAAAAACTTTCGAGCTCGACCACGAAGCTCGACCAGGCGCAGGCGAGCTCCTCCAGCATGCCTGGCTCGCGCTCAAAAAGTCGTCTTCTTCTAACAAAAACGCTCTCAAGACCGTCGCAGTTCCCACCATAGAGATCTCAGCATGATACCACATTATACCCCCCAGGCTGTCACTGCTCGATTATCCGCTTTTATTTCCTCATTTCCTCCTCACCCCCATCTCCTACCCCTAGGACGTTCCGTTTATTATCTATTGGGTTTTCTTCTTTCCGAGTAAAATTTGTATATGCCTATCTTACATATTTTATGTGTTGTTCCTTTCTACTACTTTTGTTGTTTGTTGTATCTATGTGTACCCTAATATGGTTTTTCTTTTTCTGTGTACATTGTACGATAATGACACATTTTACCCGGGCCCCTTTTCCCCCCACTTAGCTTATGATCTCTTTGAATTTTCTTGATATATCTTCGAGTTTTTCTTCTTTTAAATTTCAACTATGCTTGCGCGTTTTTCTTTATTATTGATAATGGACCGGCTTGTTATTCGGACAATGGGGGAGGCGTTGGGGTTGAAAATCTATTTTTTTTTTCATATGCATCGCGAGCTCCGTGGGGAGCATTTGACATGGATCATAGAAAGTGCATCCCTTGAGCTCCCCCGTTTGAGACATAGGCACAGGGATAACCCACCACCGATAGTCACTTGTCACAACTCGCTCATCATCTAACTTAGACCAGGTGATGGGCTGGCATGATTTCAGGGTAGTATAGCCTGAGCCATCATCATGTGTATGATAGAGGCATTCCGCTCCTATTATCTCATATGATCATTAATGATTGGGCAGCCAAGAGCCTGAGAAGCTGTCCATCATACTAGAACAGCATTGAAAATACCTTTTAACAACACATGATCATCATATATCTAAAGCTGCGTTTGATTGGCTCTGCCAAAGTGAGCCTGCCTCGGAGTGCTGTCGCGATTGGCACTGCCCTCGAGGTCAGTTTTATATATGCATACACAAGCAGTGCAAAGAGACATAACACACGTCAAACGCTACTTCGATCATCTCACTCTGCAGATTTACTTGATTGAAAACCATTAAAGCTATGAATTGGATCAAAGGCGCTCTTGTTGAGGCTGCCCCGTCTGACAAGGTCTACTTGGGAATGGACTCTGCAAATGGATTACTCATGGCTGTGAAGCAAGTAAACCTGCCAGATGTCTCTGCAGCCAACAAAGAGCGCAGAAGAAACGTGCTGAACGTGTTAGAACGTGAATTGGATATTCTCAGGGGGTTGCAGCACCCACACATCGTGGGATGTCTATGTAAGTCGTGTTTCGTTTCAGCTCGCTTGGAAAGGTGCTGTTGAACCAGCTCAAGCTAGATTCATCGGTCGACAATGACCATTTCAACATCTTCATGGACTACGTTCCGGGAGGTTCGGTGGCAGCGCTTCTGCGCAAATATGGCGCTTTTGAGGAACCCTTGGTAGGGAACTTCGTTCGGCAGGTCCTCCGAGGTTTCAGCTATCTCCACGAGAAAAATATCATACACAGCGATATTCAGGGTGCAAACATCCTTATAGATAGCGCTGGCATGATAAAGATATCTGGCTTCGGTTTATCGAGAAAGATTGACCAATGCGAGTCGACAAGAAATGTCTTCGCGGCATCACCATCTGACAAGTGTCCTCTAGATCTCATCACTGACAATAGCAAACACACACCATCATTCTGGGGCTCTGTCTTCTGGATGGCGCCTGAAGTTGTGAACCAGACGGCGTATATGTGCAAAGCTGACATTTGGAGCGTTGGGTGCTTGGCTATTGAGCTACTCACTGCAGAGCATCCTTGGGCACCGCTGACTGAAATGCAGGCTGCCTTCGAGGTACAAAGGACTTGATAAAAAGGAGAATAATACTTACTGACTTGATGCGCAGATTGGCAGAATTTCTAAGCCTTCGATTCCATCAAATATCTCAGCGGATGCACAAGACTTCCTCAGACGAACTTTCGAGGTTAACCACGAAGCTCGTCTGGGTGAAGAAGAACTTCTTCAGCATCCTTGGTTTTCCCTCGAGGTTGCACAGTCCACCGCCTAAGTAGAAATTAGTTCTCGCTCTCACTCGAGGGATCTTGACTTCCGGTCAAGCTGTTTCTGTTTCTTGGACAAGACCTTGTACGATGTAGTTTGAATCTATAATATACCCTCCATACATTGCGCGATAGATGCTCATTCCCGGTTGGTGTGATGTCTCCACTCCAATTTTTATTCTGCGTCTTCGTCGTCGCGTTTTCTTTTGGTCCCACTGTCTGCCTTTGTCCCTGGACCCCAGTGTGGCGTTGGATTTTGTTGGTAACGGACTAGCTTGACCTTGGATGACTGCGTTACAGATTGCGGATGTCGACTGAAGTTTGCCTCCGCTCTGTATATAATATATCAGATCAACAGAAGGTCGCGACCTAAATAGACCATACCTCGGTTCTTTGCTCAACAGCTGGCGTGCTGGGGAATGTTCCGATATTTTATCCATTCTCACAGGATGCTTCTTTACCCAGCTTCTGAACACGTCATGTACGTCCTGCCGCGTTCCGCTAGTCTTCAACGAACCAGGACAAGCGTGCGAGCGCGATACCTGGTGACCAGCATGAAGCAATGCAGATCTGCGCCGTAACGAGATCAGCAGGATGATTGATACGTCGATCGGATACATACGCAACATCGTCTAATGGAGGACACATGGAATGAAAAAAGCCTGCTATTTTAGATGGCGTGAAATAGAAGGGCGTATCGAGCTCCTACGGCGAAAGATTATGATCTGACGAGAGAACACAAAAAAGGACATTTACTCGCCTCTTTTGCTACAGTCAACATCCCTTTCATGCGAGTGGCCGTGCCATAGAGTTCTTGATGCTCTTCTAGATGATCAAGCACCTTGGATACAAATTTGTGGTCGTGGATGTCACTTGACCACATTGGACCAGCGACCTGTACAGACAAAAATTACTTTCATACCACATCAAATCAAGGAGAACCCACATGAAATGGAGAGTCACATTCCGGGCACCGCTGAGGTACAGGTGGACCAACTTGCGTCTTAAACTGATGATTAACATTGCCACTTTTTTCATGGACCTTTTCGATTATTCTGCCAAGAGGCTGTTCATAGAAAGACTGGCAACCGGCGCAAATGTAGTAGGTGGCAGTTTTGCTACGGAAGAAACTCAGACTCTTGTAAGATCACGATCGAAAAATACAGACCTAGCAGCCTTTTTTACTTCTATAGGGGCAGAGTGAATACGAACGAATATTCGAACATAGAAATCGATCGAGAGCGATAAAAGAGGTTGTATGTAGCGTCCATAGCGACCAGCGGAGGTCGATATCGTGTTCAAAACAAGCCGGAGAGCCTTGTATCAAGTGAGTGAACAAGACATGCAAATAAGTCACCCAAGAAACGGAATGTACCGCTTCGTGACAGTACTCTGCCTTGACTGGTATGCCACCGTAATTCGAGTAACTAGGGGTTCAGATGTAAAGCTAAAAGAGATGCCAATACATGGGAACGAACCATTTTTCTGGATAGTTGGTCGTAGCGAGGACTGACAGATCGGTGCATGTGACACACAGCAATCCTGTAAAGCACATTGTAAGCTAGTGGCTTATCCTTGTTGAGAAAACTGGACATTTCACCTCCGTCGTTGACACACTGAACAGCCGCATCGATGAAGGGCGCCGCCGTCCCGTATGGATCCAAGTCGACGACATCAACGCGATTCTTCTCCGACCGGTGTTCATACATCAGTGCGCTGAATATTGCTCTCTGAGTAACCAATGATGATGCAATAGACAATAATGTACCATGCGTCGCCCTCGTTAATCCTGACTTTTCCCGAACCAGTGCGAGATTTTTCCTCTGCCGTGCTAGGTTGAGGTGAGTCTGTACCCTTAACTTCTGTGGGCACCCCGAGACCGTTAAGATCAATGTTTCTCTTCATGGCAGCAGTAGCTGACGAAGACAAATCGTTGGCGATGACATATCTACATTGAATGAAGTAAAGGGGCATGTGTGTAGATTGCACAAGAGACGGACCTCACTAGTGGTATTTCCTTCGCGTAGCGTATTGAACGTAGCCCAGTCGCAGAGAGTGCTTCCAATAGTATGAATTTGTAAGGATGGTACTTTCATCTGCAATTCAATGGAATGAATGCATACATGTGGTACAACACCTACAGTTTTCAGTTTGCCCTCAGAAGGTCCTAACGTCGAGTCTGCCATCGTCGTATCTTCGGCGGCCAAACCTCCCTTAGCAGAAGGACCTGATTCGATTGTTGCATGTTCCGTTCGTGTTCCGTCAGTAGTCGAATCATCGACTAAGGGGTCCGAGTCTGCTGCATTCAAAAGCCAGGCAAGACGACACGAATGGGTAGAACCCCACCTTTCATCTTCTTCTGCCCCTTCCGATCGCCTCCCCGTTCTCGCCTCGCCCGCCTTTCCTGAGCCTGCCCCCACTTCGCCTCTTTCTCCCCATCAAACTGCTCGCTCCACGTCCTGATGCACGCGACGCTCAAGTCGCGATTGAACTCCTGGACCGGGTTCAAGAAGGCTTCGTCTTTTGAGGAGATCAGGATGTGAGACGTGTTCTCGGTGTGTAACGTGAAGCCTTCTGGGATGATCAGAGGGGAGGGACTCGGAGGGGCGTTTGACATGTTGTTCAGCCCTCGGTTTCGTGGTGATGTTGGGATACCGGAAAACCGTGATCTTCTGGAGATTCCGAAGCCGAGGCGCAGAGGCCTGCAAAAAGATAAAAAGAGTATGGTTGTCACGGCTAGTGTAGATGAAGCTTATGCAGTCTCTGTGTTGCCTCGTCGTATACCAAGTATACAGATGAAAGTACTGTGAAAGTCACGTACGCTTTACATCATGTTCGCTTATGACTCTTGCAGTCGTTGTTAAAAATTACAGCAAGCCATCACTCCATAAAAAAAAGTTACACTTGATAAAACATCTAAAACTACGTGTGATGCTGGGATAAGATACAATTGAAAGGAGGCGAAGGAGAAGTGAGTAATTTCCGTATATCGTCCGATAAACTTTGACTTGAAAAAAAGCCAAGTACTACGTATGTCGTAAAGAAAAGAAAGAAAAAAAAGTTCTCTAAAAGTCCAAGACTCAATATTCAAATTCTTCTGATACAAGCACTATAGAACCACGTAAATCACCACGCCGTATTCGGCCGGGATCAATTTGACCAGCAATTATCTTTCGTACCATTGCGTTGAGTGAAGTGGGCCCGCAACCTATTATGATATCCCAATTCGATCAGATCAGTTGGAGAACGTCATGAGGAAACTTACAGGCAACGATGACGGAGCCCTTTGAGTGCTCGACTTCATCAGCTATTATCCGATCTAGCTTTGGCTTCCCAAGTCGTGCATGCTCCGCAACCACACCAGCATCAACCACCTCTTGTTCGTTCACCTTCAGTCTTCCCAATCCGTCGCTGTTTCTATCTCTCAGTTGCGAGATCCCGCCATGTCTGTTCGCAAACCCTGTTTTATCATCCGACGTACTTGATGTGAGCAGGGTTTCCCCGCGTGACATTGTTGGCGTGAGCAGTGTCCTTGAACTCTCTGCAGTTGAGATCGGTGAAATCAGTGCATTTCCTTTCCTCCAAGCACCATGGTCGTTTAACACAGCTAGCGGACTCGGTGAGTCGATTGGTGAGATGACAGATGTGCGATCACTTAGAGGCGATATCGGAAGAAGTCGATCTGTAGAGTGTGAGGACACGACGGAAAGCCTGTCCTGTATGCGTTTTGGCTTACGAGACCCGCTCGGCTCTCGCGTTCCCAAGTCACTCCGTTCGTCTGGCTTTGTTGCAGGAACCAGTCGAACCGACATTCTATCCAGCCTCCTAGACTGAGCTCGCCGCAGTTTACCCTCCTTCTTAACCTTCTTATTCAACACATCCTCCCCTGGCAACGCAGTATCGTCGTCTCCGTCAAAGTTCGTAAGCTCGAGCATATTGGTTCGATGAGCGAGACCGATGTCAGCAGATTCTATTTCGTCGTCCATATATTCTCCAGTGTAATAACTCAGATCGACATCACTGTCAGCAGAACTATCGTGACTCTCGATAGATTCTACGGAGTCGGCACGTCCGTGAGATGGGCTAGTTCCTCCACGTGCAAAACTAGGCAAAGGTGGTGCAAGGTCAATGGTGTTAAAAGACCCACTGGGATAGAGGGAAGGCGGTGGGCGTCGAAGTGTAGGAATATCTGGAGACTTGACGGTAGGCTGGAAGTTCGTTATAAAGATGTCCACTTGAATGGCGGAAGATGGAAGCATGGAAAGACATCTTCGGAGGATAGATGCACACCACTGGATATGAGCTGATAAAGGCCAAGAATTAGTATCAGTAATATAAAGATCAATTCTCCACTTACAGTATTCACGCACGAGCCATATGAATCGTACACGTGTAGTGAGTAGCCTTTTCTTCCCCCAACCTCCCGGGCGGCCCCCGAGATATCGCCCGTCTCTGCCGGAGAGGCAAAGACAAATGTACTGCAGGATAGAGAGACCGAAACTTACTCCCGAGCCGCCAGCGACAATCAAAACGGTGGAATGGTCTCCCCATCGAGCCCTTATTGAGCTTCCAAAGGGTCCATCTACGTAAGCTCGTAGTAAAACTCCATAGCTCATACGACCTGTGAAATTTTCTGGGGGTTCCTCGTTTGGTGGGTTACGCAGACCCTGTTCTGTGAGGCGGGTTATCGCGTTCCACAGGTCCTGCGTCCATCCGCCCTTAGCACGAATAAGCATAACTATCACGCGTCCCTCGTCAGTCTGGGCTTGCTCGTCGCACACGGAAGCTGAGGTGAACGGATGAGATGTTAATCTGGATACAGACGGGATGTTGATGAGAAAATGTTGGCCAGGTGCCCAGGAATGAAACCCTGGAGTGACGAGCCGGAGGCGGATAGTCCTGCCAGGTAAAAGTTCAGCAAGGGCAAATCCAGGTGGTGGAATATATGATGGTGGAGGGGGCGTTGACGGCGGGGAGCGATCGTGTTTTGTGAAAGTAGATGTTGGAGAAATGATGAGAGAAGCTGGAGGGTATCCTTTATTATTGGCTGAGGAGTCATGTGATTGATAATAGGAACTGAGAGGACTAGGAGGACGAGTATCATGTTTATCAAGTGGTGACCGCAGCGGTTCGGGGTTAAGTGAATGAAGATGATTTAACTCCCAAGTATCTTGCGGCGAACGAATTGTATATGGAGTAGCGGCTAATCTTTGTGCCTTGGGAGAAATCATGCCGCCCAAAAAGCCATTACTATGCATCCACCAAGTTGCTCGCCAGAGACGTTCGCCACCCCATAAGACCAGGGCAGCCCAACACCACCACCAAACGGTAGGATGGTGGAAAGCCGCAAAGACCAGAGTAAGAGGAACAAGTAAGACATGGAGGAAGTAGAATGCCTCATAATACCTCCTCCGTATGGGATGTATAGACAATATAATCAAGAAAGTCAAGAAGCCAAAAGCCTAACGAGACATGAGCAAAGAAGAGATTCGAGGGGACAGTAATTTTGCTCACAATCCAGCCATAAATGAATGGCATATATAACCAAGTGTATGTGTATGCTACTTTTCCTGTTTGAGTTCTGATGTCTGTGGCCAATTGAACACTCCACAGGGCAACGTGAACTGCAGTCAAGAACCAAATAAGTCGGCCAGACCAGCGATGAAGCCAGGCCAGCTTGTCAAAAAAGAGCTGGATCATGAAAGGAATGGCGAATACGGCAAAAGGAGGGGACTTTAAAGCAAAAAGAACGCATAGGGGGAACAGTGCGAAGGCGATTTGACCTGTTCGGGCTGAGGATGACCACCAAGACTTTGATATAGTATACTGAGGCTGAAGAGGTAGAAAAGTGGAGGTGCTATGCGATGAAGTGGGATGTTCCAATTTGTTGCTGCTGCTACTTGATACCTGCCATACCTTCTCGGAGGGCGCAATATAATCCGGACCTACAAATGTTAGGGCTAAGGATGCAAGAAGTAGAACGGCCAGGCAAAGAAGTTGGGCATTTGACGGTAATGAGAGTGGCTGGCGGTGCGGTTGGCCTTTCTGAGAAGCAACTGCAAGACTATGCTTCTTCCTCCATGTTCTCCGGCGCAGAAACCATTTTGTCCAGTAAGCCCCGAAGATACCACCTCGTGAGCCTGTCCAATGAAGGATGGCAAACACCAAGAAGATAAAAACGACTGCTATCCAGAGCAAGAATGAATATCGACGGCTGGGCACGCTGAGCGAGTGTATTGTCAAGTATGCAGTGATCCATTCGAGATCATTTGGATATGGAGGAGTTGTGGGGTTTGGAGGAAACGAAGAAGAAGCAGGCGAGGGGGAAGCGAGAGACGTCATTGAAAAAAGAATGCGTGACTTTGTGAAAGAGCACTAGGGGGTGTTAGGATTAAAGGTGGGCCTACAGGTGGAATGGAAACGGAGACAGGAACAATAATAGTGTCAGTTTGCAATGAAAGGTATTTCAGGAGCAGGACCCATCTGATGATGGTGGTGATGGAGAAGAGGGAACAGTTATTCGTGGCAAGGAGAGAACATGGAATGGTCATCCGAGTCCGTCTATTCGACTGTCTGACTGCCGGAGCGATCCACGTGCTCGCCAGGATTACGGCATCTTACTGCATCGGCGATAATCTTAGAGCCGTTGACGAGAACTTGTACTACTTCAAGTTAGTGGCAGTAGCACTCTGTCATTCACTGCAATCCCATCACATCTCCTACACTTTGCTGCACATTCCATCCAAGAAAAACATCTATTACGACCGGCTGTGACAAAGTCGGTGGTACCTGAGCTATTCATACACTACACACCCTCCTCATCCCCGTATAAATAGTCTCCCTCCCTCATTCATTCCACAGTCTCGCCAGAAATAACCTGGTTTAGAACCCCGTTTCAGCATTCCCACCCACGTCTTCATGCACTCACACATCACTTACCTCCTTCCCTGTCTTCTTGATCTTTTCCAAGACAGTATCGTAGCTGGCAGACCCTTTCACAATCACCTCTTGGTTTGCAAGACTGATGTCGTACGACGAGACTCCTGCCAGTCAGGACTATTAGTCAGACTACAGCCGTCGAGTCTCCGCTATCACCACTCACCATCCAACTTCTTCAAAACACGTTCCACCGCACCAGAGCATCCAGAACAGGACATCTGTCATCAACCGTTTAACTCGCCTCTTTATCTTATCAGTTATTTAAAAGTAGCAAACTCACCTTCACGTTGAATTTATAAGTATGGTCAGCCTGCATCAAAAACAACCCGTCAATCGGCTGACTCGTATTAGTGATCAACTATTCTCGTACCATGACTGGAAACTTTCGCTCTAGAATACAAAATTTAAGAGAATACAAACGACGAGGTCTAAACAATGAACAATCCGTATACTGCAAAGTGGGAAACAGAGGCAAGTCTTATATATGGTCGGACAATCGCGCCATCTTTCAAGCTTAGTCATGAACATGAATAAGCCTCTGTACAGCACCTGTCCTGGTCCTCGGTCAAGGCAAACGAACATTCTCCGCAGAGTGAGCGGCCTTCAGACCTGAACCGTACTAAAATAGAGAATCGTTATTCATATTTGGTCCTGTACGTTCCAATAATTAATAAGCTGCACCGCCAGATAGACTATACACCTGTCATCAGGTTGCCTCAACTACGTGCTGTCCGACCTTCATACATCTCTACTTCGTCGCCCTCTGTCGCAACAGCTTCCCACCCTCCTCCCACGGCACGTTCACCCCGCATCCAAGCAATGCATGGGCCGAGGAAACCTAAACGACAAGCATCAGTCCACAGCACCATCATCCACGCCTCACATAGGCACGTACCAAGAAAACGGGGAAGCTTCACTTCGTTATTACGAGTCGTTATATAATAAACCGGAATGCCAGCAAGCACAAAACCTATGAACGGCAAAGGTTAACTCGAATAAACCGCGGCAAGAGCTCGGAGTAAGTTACCCAGTACGGCTATAGCCTCTAAAGGTGCCGCAAAGATTGGCATGCACAGCAGGAAAATTGCAACCTATAACGAAAGCTCAGATCAGATGCATGACACATAATCAGAAAATACAATGACGCACTGAACAAAACAACAATGGCGTAATGATCCATGTTTTATAAGGCCTAAGTACTAAATCAGAAAGACTCGATAATGAGAGGGGGAAATGCTCACCTTTCTAACATGGGCTCTTTCACTCGCAAGATAACAAGGCCAAGTACCTTTTCTCACACACCATCAGCGACTGCCCAATCAGGCCTATATAAAGAAATAGTACACACAGTGAGGAAATAAAACGACCAGGATGCTACAACAGAAAAATTTATGAGTGATCGGAAACCACCGCCGATCACGATGAATGCAATCGTTAGGAAGGACTGCAAAAGAATCGCATTCACGGGGGTCTGACGAGACTTGTGAAGACGTCCGAACGTCGCTGGAAGATACCTCTCCCTACCAGCGACGTAGATCAGTCGTGCGGATGTGAAAAGAGACCCTACAGTCGAAAACTATTGGAGACAGCACGCCGCTTGAAGAATATCAAACTCACCATTGAGTGCTCCAAAACATGAAAATGCAACCATAACTGCAAAAACGGTTCCCCCAACGGGACCGAAAAGGGCTCGGCCAAAATCGAGCGCAACAGTATTACTCGACCCGACAGTCGCCTTGTCTAAAACAACGAAATAAGATACATTCACCAGGAGAAAAAGCGCCTTATGGAAGAATATATAAGCCAGTTTACCATAAAAGGGTAAAATGAGAGTTCCTTACCGTCACAATCATCATGCTGAAGTGAATAGCCCTCGGGATATTTTTTTCGGGACTCTTTACCTCGCCTCCCACATAATTAGCCTGGTCCCAGCCATCAAATGCCCATAGTCCAGAATATAACGCAAGGGAATATGCCGAGGGACTTTTGCTCGAGTCGTGAAACAAAGGTTCGGTCAAAGATGTAGAAGCGTGTCCTCGAGCTGCGCGTATAATGCCCAATATAACAATAGAAATCTGACCAAAAATCCTGTTAACCCAGTAACAGACTACCTGAAATAGACATATATACCAATGCAACTATCTACAAAAGAAAAGTTACTACCGCTTTTTTTAAACCATCTTCTAAAAAAGCGCTTACTTTGACAGTAGTAAACACTACGGCAGCACGTGTGCCCAGTTTGCGAGTTCCAGAACATAGCGCGGTAACGAAGAGAACTGCGATGACTGCAGTGAGTTTGATGGACCATTGAGGGATATCACCCGGTGCCACATGATCACGAGTAGCGTGCCAAAAAAGTCGGTTTAGGTATTCTGCAAAAATAAGACTGATAACTGCATTTCCTCCTATAGTGATGAGTTAGCCTCCTGGTTGGGGGTACCAAATTGAGGAATGCAGAACAAACCCGGCTTCAAAGCGGCTATTGCGGTCCAAGCAAACAAGTATGACACAAGAGGACCATACGAATATGCAAGATATGCCTGTGCTCCACCGTTGAGCGGTATACTCGACCTTTTGAATTAGATCAATCGACTGAAGAGGATATTTGAATTGGGATCAAAACATACCCTAATTCAGCGAAACTACTAGCACCAGTCCAAGCTAACAAACCTGAAGCCAGCCATACAGCCAAACTTGCCCCCACGCTATTCGTATTAGCTACCACAACACCCGGCGATGAGCTGAAATACGCGATAAGTACGTTTGAGGATACGTTTGCAGAACTGGCATCTCACAAAATGCCAGAACCAATCTAACGCATTGACAGTCAGCCGTCCGCAGAATACAGACACAAGGAAGCGCAGGTAGCATTCACCTGTAGTCCAACGACAAGTCCAATTCCTTATCATCTTGGGACGTCATACAATGCAACAGAGTCATTAGTTATCAATGCTCACCGTGCACTAGGGTTATGGTTTTTTCTGGACCATCGCTGTGTATATGGTCTGGTTCACTCAGACTAGTACTTAAAGGTAGGAGGTCGCGTTGGAAATCGAATCCAGAGAATGAAAAAGAACGCCCTCGCCCCGCCCTTGCGGTCAAAGGTCCTTCTGACAGCTCTAACCCTCGTAGAGAATCCTGGGATTCATGTGAATGTCGGGGAGAGACTGAAGGGTATTGATCCGCCGACGACAGTTCTGAAGTTGAGCCTCTATGCGACGTATCTGGCATAAAAATAAGGATGTGGGGTCGTTACAAGTCACTTGCTAAAGGGGAAGGGATATTCGTCGCAGCCGAACTTGAACAACACCACCCCTTCAGTAAATTGTGCGTGTATCACGGTGGCGTCTGCTTAAAACGTTAAAGCGTACAATGAGCTAGTTATTTGTACATCTTTGGATCTGGTGGCAGATAATACAATTTCGTAAGGGGGCATAACATTATGATACAGTTCCTCTGACTCTGGCACGGATTTTATCTCTATGGTAAATACACGATGCAGGGTATTAAATCAGAGCAAACCAAGCTTTTCATAAATATGAACACAACCGAGGCATTGTGGCCATGGTTCTGTACTTTTCATGTCCGACGTTCCTTCGAATTCGGTTTCTAAGATAAAGCGCCCAAATACCAACAGCCACTTGGACTAGCTGGCCTTGCTGGTTTCAAGCAGTGACTGGGCGACTACAGCATGTATATCTGTACACCTTTCTTGACATAAATCTAGACACTAAACAGTCCAGTCAGAAATACTATATTTTCGTACTTGTTGTTGTGAAAATACTTGGGTAGCCTTCTCGACCGTCATTCGACCAGACTGCCAGACATTGGTGACAATTCCCAACGCAGGCATGCAAGCCAGAATTAACGTCCCTTCCGACTTTCGAGCTTCCTTCTCTGTTGGGTCTAACCAAATTTCGTCCCCTAAAGCAGCCTGCATTGGATATGGTTTTTAAGTACACTCCATAAATAGGCTATATGCTTACCGCTGAGCAAGACGCCACAAGGCCAAGCACCTCTATCCCAGCATCTGCTAATGCAGCACTTGCTGCTATTGTTCCGGATGAAATACAACCTTCAATACCATCATTCTCGATTATGGTGATAAATACGTCTATGGTAGATTTTGGCAACAGCTCCAGACGAACGGACGACAAAACCGCTTGATGGATAGACACCGCTAGAGACCTATCTTCAGCATCCTTGTCGAGGCAAGAGACAGGATAAGATATAGAATAGGCAGTATGCAAATATCAAGACGAACACGTAGTGGCGCCTTTCTACGAGCACAGGAGAACGGCGAGAACTTCACTTCGACATTCAGTCGACCATTCTCACTGAAGGTGGTCGTTTTGGATTGCCTTGGGCCATAACTAAGAAAGAAGGGCGCGCAGACGGACTAAATCATGCAGTGCGAGATGCATTGTAAAGATGACGAACACGGCGCAGGCTATTTTAGTTTTATCCGTTTCGATATAGGCAGAGCCATTGGCCTGATTTATTAGACCAGGCTGTAAGACTAGCGCAACGATGAAGCATATCAATGAACCTGAAAGCTGACAAGAAACCAAGGTATTCTCACAAATTGGCCGGATATCTTGCGGAGAACGTCCTTCACGGGGTTTTGCTATATTCCAGGACAAAGTATCCTCTTCCTCTTCCTCAAAAATGGGTGGATAGCTGTCTTCTGGACCATTGATACGTCGACGATCGTAGTTTTGGGCCATGAGCGCAAGAAATAACTTCCAAGGTCAGTCCAAGGTCGCGACTCCGAAATCAGTGCAGTCCTTGAAAATGAGCCAATTAATTACGTAATACGTTCAATCATGAAGTTATCCTTCTCCCTGACCAACAAGGCTAAGCCAGTAGGTGCCGCTCCTTCGCTAAAACGGCCAGCAGCACTATCATCTTTCGAAGAGGACGAACCTGTAGATGCAGCGCCCACTGCTTCAGATAACCGGGATACAGCGGTCAACAAGAAGCTGCTCGCACAGAATGTGGGGTCTTCAAAGGCTACGAAGAAACGGATGGACAACGAGATGAAGGTTGACGCAACTGTTTATGAGTATGATGAAGTATGGGATAAGATGCAGGAAGCAAAGCAAAAGCAAAAAGAGGCCAAGGAGGTAGATGCGAAAGCACGGAAGGTATGGTTTCTCTTTATTTCTGGTCACACTAATCTGACTGTTCATTGGACACAAAGCCCAAGTATATTCACGGTCTCCTTAACTCTGCTGCTACACGGAGACTCGACTATCTACGTGCGGAGGAAAAGATGATACAGAGAGAACGGGAGGCCGAAGGGGATGAATTTAACGACAAGGAGGCTTTCGTAACTCAGGCTTACAAAGATCAGATGGCAGAGGTGCGACGAGCTGAAGAGGAGGAAAAGAAAAGAGATGGTGAGATACCACCATATCATATATTATTTTGCACGCTGACACTGCTTAATACAGAACTAGAGAGAAAGAAGAAAGGTGACTCTTCCACGGGCATGGCGCATTTCTATCGTAAGCTGCTAGAAGAAACGGAGCAGAAACATGAAGAGACTGTAGCAGCAACATCGTCTCAAAGCAAACCAGTCAAGGGGCCACAAGGTCCTACTCCTAATTTAACTATCACAAAACCTCCGAACTTCACGACCAAATCCGACTTGGAACTAGCGCGATTAGCACGAGAACAAGGAAAGGACGTGGAACTGAACGATGACAACCAAATCGTCGATAAACGTGATTTGCTATCTGCAGGTTTGAATTTATCTGCTCCGAACACTCGGCGGCTGGGATTACAGAAAGCAACTGGGACAGCAAAAGATGGACAGACAGAGGAGGTTCAAGCACATCGTGCTGTTGGTACGGCGGCGAGTAGGAGAGAAATCAACGAGCGGCGGGCTAGGGATATTCGTCGACAGGTTGAAGAGGAAGAAGAAAGAATGGCGAAGCAGAGGGAACTTGAAAATCAAGAGGCTATACAACGGGTGGTGATGAAACGGAATACTCGGGATGATATAATGAGCGCCCACGAGCGATACCTAGAGAGAAAGCGTCGGAAGTTGGAGGAGGCTGCTGCAGCAAATGTTCCACCAGAACACTTTACACCAGAGGTAGCACAATAGTCGTCGTTGTAGGTGTGTGTACGGAACTTATGCAGAGCTAATTTAGTGTATCAAAGAGATAGGTCCATGATGTTTGTTCTTTGGACAGTGCATCATGACAGCGGTCATTTGAAGATGATTCTCCGAGTAGGTGTCACCACTGAGGGGTGCAATATGCTAGTCGATCCTTCGCTATTGTCGTTACTACACGTCGAAACGCTTGGAGAACAGTGGCTGTAGAAGGCCTTTTGTCAGGATTATCATTCAACATCGCTTTGGTAATATCTGCAAGTTCTGGGACACAGTAGCCAGTGAGCTGCAAAGTATCCGTTTTGTTATGGCAAATCTACAAAACAAACAGTCGAACATACTTTGCATGCACGAATAATGAGCACTCCCAATGCCCATACGTCAACTTTGTAGGGATCGCTTGAACAATTCCTTTCTAGTTCCGGTGGGATTTCTGTTCCTCTATAGTTTGCGTATATCCGGGGAGGCGAGATATCGTCATATCTGCGACTTATTTCATAATCAATACAAGCATAATGCCCTTTGTAGTCGGTAAGGAGATTGTGTAAGGAGATGTCCAGATGAGCAATCCTATACTTGTGCATGAACGTAATATGCTAATTGAAGGTTCAAAACGCGTTAGCACTCAATGACTATATATAGATTATTGAAGGGATTGTGGTATACTGACTTCAATGCACTGCGTCAAAGCATCAAGGAACTTGTCCAGACAGCACGGAGTTTCAGGAATGAAATTTGAAGACCATTCTTCCATCACGATAAACCCAACATCATCTTTTGGGACCTCTATCAAATCCAAGATTGCTAACAGTTATGTTAAAGATTAAGAAACAATAAAACTGAAAAGATGTATACCAACGTATGCAATGATTCATAGGGTCATGTCGTATTGGGGGATTAGAAAGAAAGCGGACGATGTCGAATTCTCTGCCACGCAGGTGAACGGCTTTGACCATTACCTTCCGTCCGGTGCAATAATGGGTACCTCTGAATAAGTTATCGCACTTGGTAATGTGGCGTTCAGGGGACGAATGGAAAACGTGCAAGAGAATACGCACTAGGCCTCTATCCTTGCACAAAGCACTGTCATCAGAAGACGAAGAGACACGTTTATAGCGTGAATAATAATCGTTATAATGTGTTTCAACTCCTTTGCCCGGGCATTGATGATATTCCTTGACATCGCGAATAGTTTCGAGGCCGAAACCTCTGCGATGTAACAGACAACGATACTTTTCCCAAGTAGGAGAAATACGAGAATTTATATCTTCTTCGTCGATAGAAGAATTCGAAGACGAGGTACTAGACGATAGGGATAAACTGTCCCAGTCGTTTGGAGACTGCATGGTGAAAAAGGCGGCCTGCGGTGATGAGATGGAGGTGTTGAAAGGTAAAACACCGGCATAAAAGGGAAGAAAAGACAATATCTTCGATCCCGGCGAGGGATTCTATTACTGGATGGGGTCCTTGAATACAAAACACGTATGCACGGGCACCACGGGAGACGCTGTGCCAAGAAGAACACCAAACCATCAAAGACATGATGACATGCCATTAGATGAGAGCTACGGTGTGACAGACGAGTGGACTAGGAGTATATTTGCCTTTCCAAGGAGTAGTCGGCGTTCCGGGGATCACACCACTGCGCGGAAGAAGCAAATTCAGGAGACATTCCTGTGAGACTTGAAGAAGTGCGAGTCCTTGAAAAAAGAATAGTCAAATTCAAGATTAATATTCTCAGGCTAATGCGAGCCTACCGGTATATAGCTTCTAGCAAGGCATTTTACTATCCTGACCGATAGGAGATAGTAGATACCAATGTCACGCATGTATCGGTAGTTTCTTCCAACTGCTTTCTATGGATAGTTCGTTCCACGTTCAAATTCTTCATCATTGCCCATGATGAAAATGTCACGGTGTCATTATGTAGCGATAATCGGCAACTTTGGAATGAGGTGAGCGAGGGAAACTTCGCCCTCCTTTGACCAAGAACTCAGGCGTGGAGGGAGGAAGCAAGCCGTTTAGGAAACTGTGGCTGTACCGCTGGCCTTTTGCTATTCATGTGCACCTGGGAACTTGGACCCTGAATAAAACACCACCGCTTTTAACGTATATCATACAGGACCGACGTCAATGGAAGAAGGTACGAAGGCAAAAAAGACCGTTTTCATCGGAGGTATTGGGGACGATGTGGACGAGAGCGTCATCTATGAGAGTTTCTCAACCTTTGGTACCAAAGACTCAGCTCCATAACACGTCCTTTGGGATGGCATACTCACGAATGTCATTTCAGGCGATATTCTTGAAGTACAGCTACCTTCGGCTGCTACAAATCCTTCCTTGCAAGCAGGTACGTGTTGGTTTTCGTCTATTTGTTTGCCCAGTTCAGCAACTTCTCATTTCAGAGGCGAAACATCGGGGGTTTGCATTTGTCACATATTCATCCCCAGCCGATGCCCAGGACGCTATTGACAACATGGATCTCAACGAGCTAAGAGGACGTGTACTCAAAGTCAACCTAGCAAGACCCATGAAGGGGCCTGTACAACCCGGTGGTGGCAGTAGAGCTAGTATGTTCCATATATATTGCGCTAGTATTCTTGTATCTGACATCATGCTAATCTTTTTAGTCTGGGAGTCCGAGGAGTGGCTTCAACAGTATGCGAAACCACTGGCCCAAAGTGGAGGTAAGCATTCCTATCTTTATATCTGGTTCATGTGCTGATTTTGCCGCTGCAGGTGCCCAAGGAAGGCCCGTTCCAGAAAACGGCTCGCAAAATCCCGATGACGATGCAGCAAATGATGATGCAGCTATGGAGGAGTAGACTAGAGTATGCAACTATGACAAGTCTAGTTGCAGGTAAAATCACGACATTAAAGTAATCTGTGCCAGTTAGGTCTGTATCATCTCATCCATTGATATGAATTCATACATTGTATTATCTCATGCAACTGAATCAGATTTAATTCGCTTCATATTTCGTGAATGTATGCACAGCAGCTGTCATGCTTGTTTGCCCCTAGTCGAACTCTCGAACTCCTCTATTCTATATTGTTAGTTGTTGGATTTTTACTCACATTTCTACGTCAACTAACACGCGATTCATGGCACAATCTGAAGCGCAGATGAAAAGTACACTGGAAAGATGTATGCGATGCGAGGGTACAAATGCAGAATATTAAATGAGAGGGATTAATGCTACAGCAGCTCTTTTGATTGATTGATATCTGATTCTTCGAATTGCGCGCGAGCGCGCTTGATATCTTCCTGCATAAACAACAACTCTTCCATTCGGGCCAATTTTTTAGCATCAGCGGGTCTTGATAATGCCCGGCGAAGATCCTCAATAGATAAACGCGTTTTCCTTTGTGGTCCACCGGCAGTTTGGCACTGCAACATGATAAGATTCCAGGCCAACTGACATACAACGGATAAATCCAAGTAAAATACGCACAACATCAGTTATAAACTCGACCAGAATCTCTTCCATCACATTAACCGTGTCACTGGCAGGATTTCTGTCGTCCCCAAAACCGTACATCAAGCTTTTAACTGAGGCACACAAAGGTGTCAGAAGAACCAGCCAGCCAAACCTGAATATACATACGTTCTTTTGAGAACAGCCCCCTAAAATTGGCTTGCTTACGTCCACGGCTAGTTGCACCCGCATTGCCAGCAGCCATGACACTTTCTCGCATATAGGAGGGGGTGTAAGAAGTGAATGTAGTAGTCCTCGGGGTGGCTACGGCGGGGGTCGACGCAGCGGTGACGGCATTGGTCGTTGCTGTCGTGGTTGTTGCAGTTGGGACTGCAGTTTGAATAGTAGGTCTAGGTGTATGGAGAGCCGCTTGAGGATGCTGAGGGATGTAGCTGTAAGGATAGGGCCAAGCACCATAACCCGTTACTCCTGTAGCATATGGGCTCGTCTGATAACCAGGATATGCCCCTGGCGTCTGTGGATGGCCATATGCGCCCGGTGTTCCTGGATGATATGCAGCATAAGGATAAGTTGTGGATGCAGGATGTTGACCAGCTTGTGGGTAATGCGAATAGGACATGCCCCGAGTGATGGTCAGAGCATAGACGCGTGAGAACAATTTGCATATTTCGCAACCCAGATTAAGCGCCCATGGGTACTTGCCCAGTATTGTATTGCGAATATTTACAGTAAACAAGACGTGTAGAAAAAAAATCGAGAGTTGATAGGATCATTATAGCTGACCATCGAAGATCAGTCAAAATCGTAATCATCCAGGTCGATACCGCCTTTCTTTGCAGCTGAATCCAGTTTCTGGGCACTTTCCATCATTTTGCGCATCATCTGCCATCCCATTTCTACGACCCCACGTTGATCCAACCAGTCCATAACAGCATCAGCATCCTTGAGGTTTTTAGGCGGCTGTTTACCTCCTGCGAAAGCTACTTTAACAAATGCCCTACTCCCTTCTCTCTGAGCTCGGACTTCGTCGATTTCTTGTAATAACAGTTTGTATAGCCGATACTGTAAGCAATAAATCAAACTCACACTCATGAAAGATAGAGGAGTGTTGAAGTCATTCCATACCTCCCAATGATTGAATTCATGAAAAACCCGTGTCCGGGCAGCGCAGAATCGACCCAGATGGAACATTTGCTTGTCCTCCTCCTCCTCGTTTGATTCCTCGTCATCGATAGAAGAATCACTGGAGCTACTATCCAGTTCCGTAGGCTAGGTGCGGATGGTTTGAAATAATGCCACACGGACTAAATAAATGAATACCTCGAAATCAAATTTATTGTAAGGTTTCCCGCTAACTCTTCCAAGAAGAGTAGAAACCCTACCGCCAAGATGGCAAGCGTCGCATCGAGGGATTGTGAACTCGAGCCGAGTAAGTTCAAACTCTGGATGTGTCTCTAATGGCTTCTTAAACCCAGGTCGCCAAACTGAGGAAGTAACTAGCGAATCTCTCAGACCAGACAGCTTTCGACGTGTCATTTGAAGAGGCACTGAGAAATATTCTTCAACTAAAGCACATATTAGCAAATTCGGAGAAGGGAAAGTGTATTTCGAACCCACCTTTAAGAATCTGTTCCATGTACGCCCGCCGCTCAAAACGTGGTCGTACAGCCATGTGTACGAAGAGCTGGCATATTATTTTAAAGTGATGAGCAAGGTCCTGGTGAGTGCTCATGCTAAATTCCGCAGGTAGTGCCGTCGCAGTGGTACCACCTTCATCTTCGACGATGAAATCGTCTTCTTTTTCTTCAGCCCCTTCATCTGACGAGAAGTTATGATCGCTGTCGAGGCCCGGCTTGGCACCTGGGAAAGGCTTAATACTGTCATGGCTTTCATCATCGTCGGAATTTGAGTCCGAAGACTCAGACATGGGCTGTCCTTGTTTCTTCCCTTCAGTAATGAAGCTAGGTTAGACAAGTATGAGATATAAAGCTGAGATACTAACTTTTGAGCCTCTCGAGGTTTTTTTGGAACGCTGACTTTTTATTCCGCTTACGAAAACGGCTTTGAATTATTTCTGTGAGGATATGACTATGCAGGTGTTGATCGTCAGTTGCATGAACAGCTTACTAGTTTCATCGACTTCGTCTAGTAAGTCATCATCACTATCTGGTGCTAACGGTCTTTGACCTTTGATTAATTTGCGCCGACGAGTTTGAGGCTGCAGTTTAGATCCATCCTCTTCGGAGTCATTGACCTGGCGCTGCTTTCCTTTGACTTTCCCCTTGGGTCCCATGTAGATATCATCTGAATCCTCCTCCAAGATTATAGGCTCTGAAGAAGAGCTATATTTATCTATGATACGTCGCTTCTTGATTATCCTTGTCGTTGGTTTACTTGGGCCGGGTGCTTCGTCTTCATCACTCGCTGGTGCGCTTCTGGACTCGAATCGTATAGCACCAACGTCACTGTCTGCATCACCCGATCCATCTTCCGAGCTACTATGGATAGATGGCTGTGGAACTCTCCTCCTTTTACGATTATTGTATGGGGTATCATATGTCGAGCCAGAGAAGGTCCGTGTCTGAGATTGCTTACTAGCCAGTACAGGAGATGATGGAGGCGAAGAGCTAAAAAAGCCTATCAAAGATTGTTGTTTGAGTTTTCTGGGAGATGGAGGTGGTTTGGGCTTTCGAGGCATTGCGATAGATGCCTGAGAGTAATGAGTGGGTATGTCCTGATAAATCAAGACGTCAACCGTGACTTGAACGCCACAAACGCGTTACGCGCGCGTGCGAATATACGATCGCAGTGTTGCCGTCTAAGCGCCCATGCATGGCCGACCTGGCCCGCTGTGACTAACTGTAACCACTCGGACTTGGAACCAAATGCTTTCTCGATTATTGCTCACCTGCAAAAAACCATTATAAGGGCGGAAATGGCTTCATCACCATCCCAAAAGTCTCCTCGAACTCCTTTGCTTCGAGTCGACACTGAATCCCACACCAGCTCACATATGTTTGGAGACAGCTATTTGGTACCGGATGTAACCTCTCCTCGTCATAGTAATGCTCAGCCTGTCACTCCAGCACCACGTTCTTCTCTCCAGATTCCTGTTTCACCTAATACAGACCCAACTTCTTCTCCTCACCTTGGAAATGTAGCATCATCGAATCATGCACGAAGCGATTCTCGGAAGTTGCTTGCACTCTTGTTAGATCAATTACAAAACAGACCCAGGCCCCCAACCGTGTTTGAGGCATTCAATATATACGATGTTAACGTGGAGGAAAAAGGGATGGGGCAAACACTTGGGGCATTGAGGGATGCGGTGAAACAGAGGGGCGCATCTCGCCAAAAATCTACGCAATCCATGCCTTCACATAAAGATGTCAATGCCGACGAAGGCGAAGTTGAGAATATTTTTTCTACCGACACTACAGTCGATTTGATGGTCAAGCTGAAAGAAGTGTTGCTTCTGTCTAGCAGTCAGGGCTGGCAGATTTTTGAAGAAAGGTACTTAGACACCGGTGACATACTATGCTCATCAAACTAATTATAAGGTATAGTGCCTCCGGATTAGACAGAGACGGTACTCATCGTCTAGCCCCACGTTCACCACTATCGACATTTCGTTTGCGTAGCAATAGCCTACAGTTCACGGGAAGGCGGTCTCGTTCACCTTCACCAACGCCTGAAGTACGCACTGGGGCTTCTGAGCTGTTTTCTCAGTGTCTACAAGTTCTTGCATCCGTGATATCAGAAGATTGCCGGTTTCAAGTTTCTTCTCCTAAGCCCTTTCGTCCTTCAAATACTCTGCAAGCACTTACTTTGGACATTGCACTATTTCTTATTCATGTCCTTCGAAATGATCCGAAGTCGGTTTCCAAAATTGGATTTGCCGTCATTCCAGCATTTGCAACTTTTCCCCCTGAGATGCAACCTCGTTTACTGGCTTTTTTCGAGGACGGCCTACTTAGAGGAGTTTTTGAAGACCTGAATCGCATGCAAGGCAATGATGAAATTTCAATCAGTGAAATTACAGGGCAACAAATGTCGAATCATGATAATATCCCTATGGTTTCGATTCAACTGGATGAATCTCCAAACGACCAGCTTACCGCATCAATAAATTCCAGCTGGATCCCTTGGACAACTCAAAGTTATCCTTGCAAACCGGATCTCAAATCCAGCAATGCTCCTCATCAACCTTTGCCTATTTATTATCTATCTTCTATGGCTGCTCCGCTATTGGCCGCTATACTGGAGAGTGTTGATATTGCGTCCTCATCTTTATCTACGATACACCGTACCTGTCGTTTGGTCAACCTGCTGGTGACGTCGAAGAGGGATGCTCACCTAGACGTGCTTGAAGTAGTTGCGTATCACACTGCCAAGACGAGACGCGCAGCTCTCAGTCTTCTTCATACTTTCTGGCCCAAGGCTCTTGGTCATCCTGTTGTCAGCAAGCCACTGCCTTTATTTAGTTACGCTCAAAAATTAATCGAGGGAGGCCATGTAGTGTCTAAGGTAAACAGAACGGTCGACCACCCTTTTGCTCATCAGTTCGTTGCATGGCGCTTTCAGCCTTCGTCACAATCATTGGCCTTGGGGGACCTGTCTTTCCAAGGATGCCATTCATGCTTAAAGCCAGTAGAAGGCTTTGGCCTTCTATGCCCCTTCTGCATGTGCATCGTACATTTCGATTGCTACGACTATCCCCAGGGCAGCTTTGTTTCCCAGTACACTATGATAGCGGATCCGAGCACACAGAAGGTCGCTGCTCATCGATTTTGCTATATCTATCCCTCAAGACGGGACTCTGAGATGTATGCGATTAGGAAGGAATATCATATTTTCAGGCTGGCGAATATCTTCACGCTCACCCCATGCTTCTTATGCCATGAACCGATTTGGGGATACCAAGCCTTTGTTTGCTCCATATGCAAGTGTTTTTCTCACAACTCGTGTTTGGATAAGGCCACTTCTCCAAATCTTCAGCGTTGCCGCCACGCAGATTTGGATTCAAGTTATATCACCGTTGATTTTTCGCTGGTGCGCCGTTCGTTTACTGACTACTACAGAGACATCTGCATGTCACCAGAAGAACTTATCAAACGAACGTATGAAGAAGTATCCGTGTTTTATACGGTTCTTTGGACTCAGCTTCAGTTATTCAACCATGGCGTGGCTCATGGCACGATTATAATCGAAAATAAAGGAAGCGATGATCATGAGGCGGTAGCATTCGAGCTGCAGTATTATGTTGAACTCTACGAGCCTCATCTCTTACCCGGAAAACTTCCAGTTTCCGCTATTCTAGGAGAATATTTTGAAGAAAACGCTACCGCTCCATCTTCCTACTTCCTGTTTGATTGGTCTAACCTGACATATATTGCTTCCATCATCAAGTCACCTTACGAACAGCACCAGCCCTCCTTCGATGCTTCTCACGACCTTTTGAATGTCGTACAAGCCGAAGGGCTTCAACAGGACGTACCTGATAATCCGCGACATCCGTTCGAGGTTGTTGCCCTTGGACATATGCGTGATTGCTTGGGCTACGAATTCAATCTATTTTCCGACACCGCCGCACGCCTTTGCCTTTCACACCTGCACAGTCTGGGTTTTTTTACTCGCTCAGATTCGAAGCCAATTTTGTTTCACGGTCCTGTAAAAGAAGACATTCAATGCGAATCTCCTCTCCCACTCGGCTTTGACTTGTCTACCGACGTGGAAACGCTCGTTTCTGCGATTGAAGCCTGCCTTTCTGATATAGACTTGTCCGTCAATGAGATGGGCCTATTGCTTCTTGTCCGCAAATTTTGGCCAAATGGCATGGCTTCCGAATATGCGTGGCGCAGACTAAGTCAAACGGTACTGTTGTGGATACTTCAGGAGGTAAGTGAATGCCTTGCATCGTAATGTACGTATAGCATAAACCAGATAGTGACTTGTGTAGGACGACAATATGGCCACTATAGTTCGTGACTATATATCGCAACATCGACCTCTTCCAGGTATCCGTTCTCCAGCTGAAACGCCTCCTTGGCCTGCTCCGAACTCTCAAAGAAGGGCACCTGCCACTTCTTTCAATAATGGTGGTGATTACGTTGCTTCAAGACAAGCCCTTTTGGGCAGGTATGTTGGTCAATGGTTATTGGCGCTTCACAACCAACGTATTGAGGACTATGCGAAAATCATATTCTGCGCAATCAAAGAAACTGCGAAGGGTTCCACGATTGGTACCGCTCTTTTACCGGGGGAATATTCAAGTCTTCGCGAGAAGGTTTGATATTTCTTGTTGAGACATCCTGTCTATGATGCTAAATACAGTGCCCAAAGGATACCTGGGCATCTGCAGACAAAATGCTTCGTTTTATTATCAAACTTTGTCAGAATTCAGTGGTGTTTGACGCTTTTGATGATTTATTTCTCGTGTGGCTGTCTGATCTTGAACATGACGTCCAAGCTCATGCGGTATGTTATCATTTCCCTCGTTGGGACTTGCCTAATGAAAGGACATTTCTAGTCACTCCCTTCTTTGCAACGGCTTTTTAATCGGGAAGCAGAAACGACGAGTCGTTTCAGTACCATTATCGATGCAACATTGACTTCTGCGGATACATCTAGTTTATATAGCATTGATCCGTGGCGTATAGTTCACAAAACAGCGCTCGAGAGCCGGGAAGGTTTCTCTCGTAGCCTGAACTGGCTTCGTTTATTTGCTAGGTCTGGCGTAGACATAACCGTCCCCACTTTTGTTGAGTTTGCATCTCGGGCAAGAGTGCATGCGTCTTCTCTCGCAGATTGTTCTATCCTGGTGGATGCCGCGTTCCTTTCAACCTGGCTACGATCAATGGGTCGCCAGGAGCTACAATCGATATTTTCTCCTCTTCATTCCTACCTGAGCCCTCCAATTATGCAGCAAATGAAGTCTGGAAACGCTGAACTCGCCCAGTAAGTCATAGATGACGGTGGTAAGCACAAATTGACAGTAAATTGATCCTCAGGGTGGACTTGCTTCGGAAATCTCTGGCTACTTGTCTTCTACTGTATGGATGCGAGCGGAGTTTTCTCCGATCCCTTGGTCTTGTCACAAAAGATGATATATCGTACCTTCCATCCAGGTCATTATATTCTTGGCTTTATAACGCATATATCATACTGAGCCGAAATATAATAGGAGAAAAACTAATACCCGTGCCTCTAAAGCATCAGATCCTATAATAGTCGACAGTGCGTTCATCAATATTTTGGGCGACTATGTTGCCACTGGTATAGACGAAGTTGCGGGTTTGGTTGCCAAGTTCTTGTATGCTTTCATATCACATGCGCCACTGGTGGAATCCTACGAAGTCGATAATTTTATACTTCGCAATGGCAGTGTCTTATGTTCGTGGTAGGGTGATTTCGCTCCTCGCTTTAGAAGGCGTTCCTCATTTTTTTGGCTTTTTGGTCAGCATTTGGCAATTTTATGATATCCAGAGTCATGAACTATCAAGCATCCGGATGGCCCTTCTACTACGCGTTTTGGTGGTTGATACACATCCTTTCCAAGCTATTCTGAATGAACATTTCCAGTCGGGCGGAAATTGGCGGTTGAGGTTGGTTTGTCACGTTTCTATGCTGTAAAGCTTCTGATCCACGGGTTTAGATTCCTGGCCCTTATGCGGATATTCCGCATTATCCTTGATGTGACTAGTCCTGCCTTTCACGTTGAGGGTAGGCAATGGAGGTCTAGCACACTGGAAATATATTACCATTATTTCAAAGCCGGATGGGCAGACGAACAGGTAATATCATTCTGCTGAAGGGAAACGACAGCTTGGTCTGAAATCAATATATATAAGGAAGAAATCAGGGTCGCAATTGATACGTGGTCTCAAACGCTACTCCCAGCGCACTTCGAAGCGATCTCCTATTGCTGGAACGAAGCCATTGGCATAGCGCCAATCTCGGAGCGCGTCAGACTAGTGTCGTTCCTCATACAGCTTCATCCACACTTTCCAAGTTGGAAAGGTATGTTGTAACTGCCTGACCATTATCTCCACTTTCTTCTCAGAGACTGATCTATCATCGCCATAGTCATATCGTGGGACGTCATTATCGAAACTCTTCTCGAGGATGAATACTTGCAGAAGAATGGTGATGACGAGGATGGGCCTGCTGCTGCACATCTAGTGTGTTCTCTTCCACTCTTTCAGCATCATTCACCTAATTTTGTCGCATACAGTCGATGTATGGCCTGTCCTCTGAAAAAGGCCATCAACTTTCAGATACAGATCCAGAGATATCGCAGCTTCGCGTAAGTCGAACATTGTTTTGCGCACTCTGACTCTACTGACTGACTCCAGGTATCTATTGTGCTATTAAGTTTAAAGATGTTAGCAAGTGGTATCGAGATAGATGTTTTCTCATTACTTAAACTCAAACTTCACTTGGTCAAGATCGTAGGGTTTGAGGACGTCGCTCTCGTACCAGCAACCAATGGGCGTACATTCCACATCCAATTCGGGGACCTCGAAGATATTCCTGAAGACGCATACCCTTGCATCGACGAATTTCCGGCAATCCTTGATGCTCGTCATGCCTTTGATTTACCACCATCTGCTATGGCCAGTCCATTTACAAGTGACGACAATCCTTCACCTGGACTTATTGGGACAGTTCTAGTAGATGTTGTGCTGGCTACATTTTGCTCTATCTCGGATCCCTTCCTGTTGCCAGTGCTTTCCATGAAGAACTTATTCGAGTCACTCATGATCATCATATACAAACATGATTTCGATAGCACGGCTCTGAAGCACCTGGATTTTATGTTACGCAAGGCCATGCGTAAAACGCTCGAATTCCTGCTGCTCGACCTAAGCTACGAAATGCGCCAACTTGCCTTGTCTATTGTCCAAGCATACACAAAGAGATTTTCATTCATATCTGGGAGCTTAGTCATGTGAGTAGAATCAAAATCACTCAGATGACAACTTTAATTGTACTACGCAGTGAGTCTGTAGAGAAGGCTGTTGCACTGGTTGTATCCTTAGACCACAACGGCGAAGACATGCTTGTCTCTCAAGCAAGGGCATACATTGAGAATACTCTCAACATGTGAGTTAACTATAGCACCAGGGAGCGACTCGGGCTAATATTTCTAGGCTAACATCCAGCGGCATCTTCTGCGGTTTATGCAAGGTAGGTTCCTGTTCCGGTGATAATTTTGATTATCGACGCTCACAAATGCTAGCGAAACCTCGAGCCAGAATTTTTCACAGTCCTCAAGCACATCGTCAGTGTGAATGCGAAGGCTAATTCGCAACCCTCCGAACGTCTGAGCGAGCGGTTGCTTCAGAGTGTATTGTCACAGCCGCTGGACGCCAACTGGAGCATTACACAGCTTGTGGTCGACAACGTTCATTCATATGTCAAACTTGTGCATCATGAAGATTATGGTGTGCAGCTGATAAGAGGTACGTTGATACGTTGAATCTATAGCCCAGGGGATTTATTAACATATCACTCAGATATCGGTGGTTGGTTGACCACAGTGGCGCGTCGCATGAGCTATGTTCAGGACGTCAACTGTGACCCCTTACTTTTAACGCTGTCAATCTTGCTCGGACACAACAAAGTACACAGCCGCGTAAGGGATATTCCGTACACTATGTATCTGTAAATGTTCATCCATATTTTTAGGAGCTGCTTTCCTACATGGTAACTATTTTACGAGTGGCGCTGTCTAGATCACATGTCAAAAAGGAAACGCTACTAAGCATTATGAATACCACGTCAGATCTCTATAGGGACCATCAGAGTCGATCCATAAATGCTGGAAACCAAGCGCAGGCTAATGAAGTCGCACTAGCTATGTTGGATGTTCTGGAAGACATCTTACGACTCAAGGCCAGGGTCTCGCCATCAACCCTCACTGCCATCGCCGAGGTATGACATTGCTCTCAAGGTTTCTGCACTATATTCATTTGCCGTAGACCATTCTCTCAACAGATGTTAACACTTACACAAGTGTCGATCAGTCTTTCTTTGCCGTGCTCCGCAATTTGGCAAGTTCTGGTCTCTACTTCCTACAAAACCACGTCTGGTCAAGTACGATTTGTGACGAAGAACTATCTGCTTCACTCGCTGTAGCAAAGATCATACTGCGCGCCGCAGATTTTAGTCCTACCGTAGTGCCTGAACTTATCAGTGATCATTTGGAGGTGCGAGTTTGATCTGCTCATGGTCCGTTTGGTAATAACTTCAGCCTAACCATCGCATTTACAGAAATTTTCACGCATAAATACAAGTATGCGGACATGGAACGTCTTGACTCTAGCCGCACTGTCGGATACATCAGGGCAGCACGGAACCATTCTCTTTCCACACTTTTCTGCCTTCACGCCTGCATATTATGCCTCCTTGGGCACTTATGTTCATGCTAGAGCCCTACCTCCAGAATCTGCTGTGGCCGATATTGATCACGCGTATCTTTCTATAAAACTGTGGCTTCTCCTTGCCCAAACCATGTCACTAAGTAACGATAAAGTGGATCCAGGGGCACTTTCTGTAGCTCAAGATGACCGCGCAGACCTTGCTATAAAAACAGTATGGAACGAGCTCTGGCCCCCATTCGAGAGCATAGTGGAGAGTTGCATACAGACAGAAAATTCGGTATGTCGCGATATAATACCTTTTGACGTTTTCTCGACCGACAGCTGACTACCGTGGATCAGCCCTTGGCGACCATTGTGTGCTCATCTGTAGCCAATCTATTTCTTTTGGTATACCAGTTGCGCTGCGGGATCTCGCTGGACGCATTATCCCAAGCTCCACTTTTGACACGTCTGCAAAGGCAGCATAGAAAAATATCCGCGATTAACAAGGTCAGTTTCATTCCTATGCCTTGCTTGCCATCTCTCATGCAATTACAGTTGTCTCGCGCCATGGGTGGAGAACCTCTCCCTGACATACAGCTTGATGTATTGTTAGATCAGGCCACGAAAGACCTCGCGAACGCAGAAAAACTGCGGATATTAGATCGAGAATCGCAGAGGCCGCCTCCAGACCGACAGCGTAGAGATGTACGTATTCCCACATAGTAGACGACTCAGGATTTCTGTGCCTCGTTCTCTGCACTCTTGGAAGGTTAATATCACGTAGAATATTGTAGAGTCTTTTCGTGGAGGTTTTGATTTTCCATTGAATGATGAGATGTACATGCACCTATAACACAAGACTAGACCACAAGTTCTTTGACTAGGCATTCCGTGACCTGGCTTTCTGAGCCTTTTTCCGGTTCTCTTTTATGACTGTCGACCCAACGAAAAACCCAATACCAGACAGTCCAAGAACCAGTATGAACGCTGGCAGACGAATGGCCCATTCGCGCGCCGGGAAGTAGTCATGAACAGGGCTCGTGGCGTCAAAGAATGGCTGCATATGTCTCAACGATCAAAGTACTAGTGACAGCTGCAAAAGAGACTCACGAGGATGATAGCCCAAGAGGTGTAGTAAACGAACACGAATGCAGCAACCAGCAGCATCAAGCTACCCAGTGCCTTGTCGCTTGCAGCCTGTTCAATGCCATTGGTCAATTTCCTTCAGGCCAATTCAGCACGAAATCGTACCATGAGTTCCAATTGTCTAGGGTTTGTACTGAGGTTTGGCGCTGCGTATTAGAACACGAATGTGTTAAATGTAGAAAGACCTGCGTTGGTATAAGTGAAAACACGGATGCTCCCAAAGCGTGAGCGTGATCGGGGTCGCTTAGCGGACGACTGGCGCGAAAAGGTAACTTAGGGTAACTTGGACTCGGACGCTGGATACCATCCACCATCCGCGCCGAGGTCAATATTAACAGCATTCGTCAAGGGCGGGGACATATCACACGGAGGCGATTGTCAAGATAAACTACATGACTTAGCCCTACCTGCACTGAACAATTCGCAACACCAATCACCAGCTTAGGGCACCCTCGATGGACTCGCTTGCATTTGCATCTCTCGCGCTGGTCCGCATACTACTTTTGCCAGTGGGTGGAATTTCTGGGCCCACCTTTGAGAAATATGCAGCAGAGATACGCAATTTCGACAATATCAGACTCGGGGATATACCTGCAGAAACTAAGGAGGACAGAGGTCTGTCATTGGTGTACATATGCGCAATTATCTCGCACTTACAATGACCACAGCTCGATTTATGCCCAACCCGCTATCCACTGGATATCTTCACCTCGCTTTCCCGTCACATCCTCCTCCTTTCACGCACTCTCCTCTATCTTTGTTCCGTCCATCACATTTTTCTCTAGGCGTCGTTGGAATAGCTGTATGTTCCCAAACAGAACCCTTGAACTCAATCCTTGAAAAGTTCGAGCATTCATTAGGAGAAATATCTTCCTCAGGTTCAACTTTTCCTCTAGCGAAGATATGTTTTGTGTTCGAAGATAGCGAAGAAACTGCAGGCTCAAACCTTGGGGAGAATATTCCAGGCCTTGTTGTCATTCCAAGTGTTATGGGAAACAAGAAGTTATACATCGGAACATTGCTTGCTGACTTGTGCTCTCAAATTTTGGGAGAGTTTAGTCGTATAGTAAGTTCGAACACTGGATGTCCTTCGGCTTACACTCAATTGAACACTCAGGTCAATACTTTAGAGAGTCCTCTTGGGAACGAGTACTTGAACTCTGCGCTATTCCCTACACTACCACCTTCTTCAGAGTTCCCGCTGCCATTAGAGCTCAATGGTAATCATGACGTTTTACCTCAGCTTACGTCGCACTTTAGTCAGCCAGACTTGACCTCTAGAGCGTCCTTGCAACCGAATTTTCTTGCAAAGCGTAATTCATCCATGGGCCCAGGAATAAATACAATTCCCAGTACCAGCACGAGCCGCCAATCTACACTCGGGGTCCCTCCTGCGAAGAAACGACAGAGTGCTATTGGCGCTTCTTCCTCGCATGGTAGACTTTACAAAGTCCTTGCTGATTTCTTCTTGTTATCAGGGAGAACTGAGGACGCCGCCTTGTGGTACGTTCAGTACTCATATCGCAGCCTGATTTCGACTAGTTTGCACCATCAGGTACACAGAAGCCATCGTGCTGCTCAAACCAGCTCAGGATGCCATCTGGCACGCATCTGCATTGGAAGGGATGGCGACTGTTACCATTTTGGATGCTTGGTCGACTGGACATGGACTTGTGAGCTACATTATCGTTTGCTCCCGATTATGACCTTGAATTTTTCTTCCAGCAAACCTCTTTCAGCACAACAAAAGAAGCTTGGAACGATACTTACGAAAAATTATCACAGGCAATATCACTGTATAACAAGGCCCCTACTCAGTCAGAAATTGGCCAAAACAATCCGTTTCTGGCCTATCTGTATGTTACAGCTGTTCTTCGACAAGCTTCTCTTCTTTTTTGCATTTGGTCAGCTAAAGGATGGGGTCCTCTCGCCTGGACATCCATGTTGCAGCCAGCAGCCAGCTCGTTTCTTCAATCAGTCATTGCAGATACCGCCTGGGCTAAATTGGAGCGACTGAGCACGATAACAGGCATATCTCGCTCGCAGATTTCCACAGTCCTGGCACAAGCTCATGGACCCTGGCTACTTCACCTTGGACCTCGCGAACGCTTGATCACGCTGCAGTCGATAGCTAGCACATATGCGTGCTTAGGTTATAAGCGCAAGGAAATTTATATCCTTCGAGAAGTTCTAGGTTGTATCATGGATCTTCTTGTCTGCGGTCGCGAAGAAAATGACGAATATCAAAGATCAAATATTGCCAACTCAGGATTGGGTATACGAGGTGTAGATCTCGGCGATCAAAGTCCGGAGACGCAGAAGGGCAATGTTAGCATCAAGATGAATGAGACTACGGATGGAAATGAGAGCATTCTTAGGCTTCTAACGCATATCTGTAGAGTTTTAGGCGTGGATTTCGAGGCAGTCAAACTAGTCAAACTGGATAAGAGTGGCTCTGCCGTAGCTGAGGACGACGACTCTGTCGAAAAAAGTTCTTTGGAGCAGGACTCTGCGAACCCTATCCTAGAAATGTTTGGTTGGTCCGAATTACAAATTGGCGTTATTCGTGAGCTATAGCAGTAGCAGAAGCACTCCCTGGTGAGTGATTTATAGTCACCCGGATGCGCAGTAATGTGATTGCAGACCTTCTAGACTATTTGGCCGTCGCTCGGATTGCTCTCTCTTCACTGAAGACGATGCATCCAGTATTGTCAATCGGTGACCAATATCATCTTTACCAGACAGCTACCAGAGCCCTTGCTACTGCGAGACGGCGAGGTAGCTCAGAAACTGTGGAATACTGGGCTGGGCGCCCTGTAATAAGCATCTCCGTGTCTCCGTATGGTTCAAGTCCCTTCTCGACGGTGGACCCGCTAAACCGTATCTTTGTAGCTTGCCTCTTTCCAGACGGCCAATAGAATCGCCCGTCTCTGCACTGGCGCCAAAACAACCTGCAATTGACCGCATTCTTGCCGGGGCTACAGATCCATTTCTATACAACCCAAGAAGAATGACATCAGCCATGGTCAGTGTTTCAATTTGCTATTGAACAGTGTTTAGGTGGGAATTCCGAAAACTCATTAAGACCAATAGGGTAAAAGCATGATTGTTCAAAATGAAGTCATCGAGGTGACCGTCACCTTGCAAAACCCCTTTATTTTCGAAATCGAGCTGCAGAGCTTGTCACTAAGGTCTGTAATTACCAGTACCGCATTGCCTTCCGGTCTGATGCATCTTCTACAGTACAAGAGGTGTACCATTCGAATCCCACTCTGTTACAGGAATCATCATCCCTTCCAATTCTTACCACCATGTTACGATAACGGGTACTGCATTAGAAGCAGGTGCTCTCATTGTCCGAGGATGCATTGTGCAAGCCCCTGATGGAGCTCCTCGCGAATTTTTATTGCCATTGTACTCGAGCGAAGAGGAGGATAAAATGGCACGCCAGAGCAGCGCTTTGAAGGGTGATCTGGATCGCGTCAAATACTCTGGGCTTGAATCTCGGCCATGGGAGAAGGAAGCAAAGCGACTCAGTGTCACTACTGCACCGTCGAAACGGACAGTGCGATTTTTAGAGTGTAAAGTTGTTCCAGAACAACCTCAACTTCGTATAAGGTGGACTTCTCTGACACATGGAGCTGTAATGTTGTACAACGGCGAAAGGTAGGTCGCCTTTCGTCCTTCTCGTACTGCATATCGAACTGGCAAATTTTAAAGGTCTACTATCCGTCTCACCCTCGAAAACGTATCATCCTTGCCTATTGACTTCCTGAGGTTGTCATTTGAAGACTCCACGATTGCTCTAGCTCAAGATGCTTTATCTGAAGGGGAAATGTCTGTGTTTGAAACGTACGAGACAGAGTACGAGCTCATTCACAGACAAGCATTTTCTGCGAATAGCAACAAGGATATAAGTACAATCAAACCAGGTCAAAAGGTCGTCCTTACTGTTACTTGCCTAGGGAAAGTCGGCTGGTGCGTATGCTTTTCAGCAGTATTTATGCTATGCTCAAGCAAATAACATAGCACGAGCGGTGCCATCCATATCTCATATTCATATGTGAATCGCCCACAATACGACCTTCAAACTCCTGGTGGAGTCATCCACACCCGCCTACTGACATACCCAGTTACCGTGACTGTGTATCATATGCTCGAATGTCATGACATGAACATCTTGCCTTTTGATAACACCTCAGCTTCAACACCGCGAGAAGATGAACAGGATGACTCGATACAAAGTTGCAAGTCACTTACAGAAGTACCGGACAAAGATGATTGGTGCCTGCTTTCCGTCGATGTGCGCAATACGTACGGTTTACCGTTTGAAGTGACTTTCGAGCGGGTTCAGGGTGGTTAGTGAACGCTTCATTACTCTATGCTATCTTATTAATTCTGTTGCCCCAGATGTACCACGTGCATCAGTCTCCTCAATAGTTCCTCCAGGCTCTATGACACGGTAAAATTCTCTTTCTTTGCCACCTAGTCACCCCATTGAACCTTTCTTTTTCAGAATTATGATCCCTATCAAGAAATTTAAGCTACCAGAAGCTGAATCATCAGCAGCTATACCTACACTATCCGAACGCCAGTTTGTCGTTGCGAAAACCAACTTGACTTCAGAAGAAGAGAGAACTCAACGTGAAATGTTTTGGTATCGTGAGGAGCTCCTAAAAGTTGTTCGTGGAAGATGGAAGGAAGTAAGTGATGGTTCAGTCCAGTTTACAGGCATTTTTCTCATATTCAATAGGCAAATGGGACACGTTCCGGCGAACTATCCTTACGACGACAACGCATGACTTTAACTATGTTGAAGACGTTACGAACGGAAACTGCACGAGTCAATTTATCCTTGGTTCAGTATGAAACTGACGACCTATTGCCACGCAAAATTGAATGCAAAGGAGGTGCTTACCTACCCAAGCCAGATGAAGTTATCTATCTTCGAATTGAAGTATCAAATTTAGCATGTTAGTGCTCACGCCTTACCGACCTGGATTGCGTTCTTATCTTTCCTTTTTTGTAGCTACCTCATTCACCATCACCATCAATCTCCACATGGATCCTCACGAGCACATCCTTTTTGAAGGCGTTCTCTGTGACATTCTCCTGGGAAAGATAGAAAGTGGAGAATGCAAGACGATGGAAATGCCCATATGCTTCCTGTGCCATGGCCGCTTTGAAATATGTGCAGAGGCACGTATATTAAGCGTAGCAGATGCGAGTGGTAGAGCTGGCGCTGGTCGCATTCGGGCTGTGGTCTCAGAGTCACCATGAGTGGCGTGCCAGAGACAATCTCACGAATCCTTCCCTTTTCATTAATGCATAATGCCTTTGCGGAATCACTGGTCTTGTTTAGAATTTACTGATCGATGTTATCATTCAAGTAAAGGATATCCTCGCAGTATACACAAATACCACTATACTGTATCCACAAGTAGTTTACACATCCACATAACGTAGTTCAATCGAAATCCGATTCATCTTGTGTAAAGGCTGCAGTATAAGCCAGGATAGTGCCATATACCAATCTACCAGACGAACATATGATCAATAAGTCATTTCAAGGGGACCACATGAGGGAACGTACGCTCCACCGACAATAGACATGGTGCATGCAGCCGGCCGTATGACTTCAGAGTGTGTCAGAACGATAGGAAGAGCAAAGCCGGTGACAACGACGGTGGATGTGATAAAGCGGCCAAGGTCGACTGCGCTTGACCCTTCATACGACGACGAGAAGTCGTCTCCACCGCAGTGAGCAAACAGCGCATTCGGTAGTGGTGCCAGCACAAAAGTCAGGGCTAAGTGAGATGTAAGACACGCGAAAGATAGGTTAGAGATAAGAAACGAACCAACAAGCAAAGGAAGCCAGTTCGCCCATAGTGCGCATGATAGGATTATTAAGAGGAAACCAACAGCAAGCACAAATGAAAGCAGGATTACGGCTGTATAGTTGTATGTTCAGTCAAAACGCATAGAACATGATGGAAACGTATGTGCTGACTTTTAAGCCCTGCTGGCATCGTGAAAAACGTCGAATAAAAGAGGTTGGGGGCGTCTTCACCGGTAGGGAGAAACAATATTACAGTGTTGGGTATCGCCAGGTTCCGAATCAACGACAACCCACGAGACACAGCTTGCATTACATAATCAGACCACTTGAGGGGAAGGCGATAAGATATGCTTAATAGAGGGCTCTATGGTACAGTAATGCTATAAGAATACAGGTAGCTAATCGTAATCTATCATCTAAGCTTCCTTAATCCACGAGTCCCAATAATGTTCGTTGATTTATCTGTCAATGCGCCCTTGGATGGGATAGACGATTTGTTCGTTATAATCTTTTTAGTCTCCAAGGGTATGGACTGTAAAGATGGTATTGTCGTTACCGTAGACGAGACTGAAGACATCGATAATGCAAGAGGGGATGTTGAATTAGATGATTGCTCTGAGGGCGCAGGGGTCCCCCGGTCGGAAGACTGTAGTGTGGCATCTTCTTCATGCTCTTCTTCCGGAAGGGATGGCTCTTCCGCAGGAACGTTTTCTCTATTCCACTTAGGTGATCCGTCCTTCTTCCAAGCTTTCATAAGAGCGTCACGACTTTGGGTCAGTTCCCATTTATCAATGACCTCCCAAACGCGTTTCCGAGGTGTCAAACCAGTAGGTATGTCTTCACGGGTTCCTTGCTCGACAAGTGATTGCGCGGTTTGCTGTAAGGTGGACAATTTCGAGCTCGCGGAGTGGTGGTGCTTCTCCGTAATTTCTGCAATACCTGTACTCTAACGACCAAAGCCAGAACGATGAGACAGAGTAAATCAATCGACAGAGACGCATTCACTGACCTCTGAAAGAACCCGCCCTACAAACCCTTCTACGTTTCGGGAACTAGAGGCCATCCCACGCTGCAAATGGCGCATATCCGATTGCACATCGGTGGCCATAGCATTCGTGCTTTCTATTCGTGCTCTTTTAGCACGTTTGTGACGGTCAAGACCTGTGTCCAGCAAATGGGGTTAGCCCAACATGTAAGGTAAATATAGCTATCCTCTTACCGCTGTTGAAAGCCACATCGAAACTCTGCCCATTACGTTGGATTTCTCCTGAGAAGGTAGTTGTGGATGTAGATACAGAGCCCTGTAAACCAGAAAGACTATTCTTGAGGGTTGCTTTCGCTAGATCCATATGCTGCATACTCATGAGTCACCACTAAAATAAAAGATAGTAATGTCTACCTTGAGTGCTCCATCTCTTGTTCTCTTCCCTTCTGCTCGTCTTCGCTCAAATGATGTGGTTGCTTCAGCTTCTTGAGTAGAAATCTCCGATGATAATGCCTCATGACGTTGGCTAAATTTGCTCAGGTCTTCCTCGCCCTTGACATTTTCATCCAGAAACGCCCCACAGGTTTGTCGCAGTTCTTTATCTCTAACAGCAACAAACTCTCCGAGCAACCCAGAAACGCGTTGAACAAGCTCGTCCTTCGCTTTCTCGGACCTGACCTTCTCGGTCTCCAACGCACGCACCAAGCTCGTATTTTGCTCTCGAATTCGCGTTATCTCGGCTTTGACCATATCATCGACAAGCACTCTTGTGTCTGACGTTGCCTCGCCTTCTAGTCGTACGAAGTCAAGAGCTTGCTGGACGATGGTATCGATGAGCATGCCCATCGCTTTGAACATATCTTCAGCCTGGTAGTGAGATTAAATGAGATTGGAACGAGCTGCAGAGGTAATAGCTTACTGTAGCATAGTCACTTAGGGCTGAGGAATAAAGTTCCTGACACATAACATCACAACTGGCGCGCAAGGATTCTGACCATCCATCGAAAGTAGCTCTGAGGTTTCCCTGCATCTCTTGGGCAGCACGTTGCGTTGCGGCTATTCCCTCAGAGGATGCTTCATCTTTGGATTGTATGGTCTTCAAATAGTCTTGTAAGCGCTGTAACTGCTGGTCGATGCGTTGTGAGTGGCTTGTGAGAGTTTCAAGTTCTTTGGTTTGGAATTGTCTCGCTTCGGTCTGAAGTTTCTGTGCATTGTGTGCTGATGTCTTGATGAACTCGTCAAGTTTGGCAGAAAGGACTTGAACTTCTCCCGTAATAATCTTGCCATGAGTCGTTACCGCCTTCGAGTTAGTATGAAAAGTTTTTGTCTTTCGCTCTGAGTGGTAAACCTGGTGAGCTGAAAGTCTTCATCACGGACTTTGGCAGAATTGACTCACGGAGTTTATCGAACAAGCTGCTAACGTCGCAGATACTCTCTGTAGCAACCTGCTTCAGCCCCAAGGCTACACCGTCCAGCTTGCCTTCGTTGGCCTGATATGCTTGTCGTACTATTATCTCTTCCTCCAGTGCACCTTTAACAACTTGCAATTGACCATCTTTCACTTCAAGTTCTCCCTCTGCTTCTTTCAGCTTCTCTCTTGTCACTTTCAGTTCTCCGTCTCTCTTCATCAGCAAACCAATGCTCTGCTCGAATTCCTCCCTAACGCTTCTCAATTGGCTTTCCACGATTTCGACCTGTTTCTTCGCTTCCTCCATTTCTGTCTGTTTGAGTTCTTGTTCAGCACTCATCTGGTTCCAAGTTTCCTCGGAAAAGAAAATCCCGTTCTTTTCGCGTGCAGCAAGGACATCAGCTTTGAGACGTTCTATTTCAGCCACGTATTCTTTCAGGAGGGAGTTTCGAGTCATGCGCTGATTTACTTCAGGTTTGTTGCGGATCGACTTGGCACGCATTGCGTAGTCCAATGTGGATAACGTTTCTTCCATATTTGACCGCGCTGGCGATATGGTTGCGATGATGCATGTTTTTGTCCGACCTCCCAGTGAATCTTGAAGAAGGCGTGTCAACTTTGACTCTCTGATACGACGAAATAGTTATGAGACTATGGACAACCGAGCGGTATAAATTCTTACCGATAAGGGACGTGTGATGATCGATCAACCAAAGCATTAATTACACGTCCCAGAGTAAGTAAGCTTTGATTGATCATTCCAGCTTCTTTTGCTCTTTTGTTTTCTGCACCTGATCGTCCAATGTTCTCAGATCCTGCCAAATCGACAAGGTTAAGCTTGCCGACTTTAAGCAGGTCGTCTCCCATAGCTGATGTTTCTTTCATATGCACGGTGATCGAGAATACTGAGTGAGATCGACTAGAGTGGTCGTTGAATTTGGTAGCTGCAATTTGCCTGCGGTGACTGCCTTTTGTAAGGAGAGCCAAAGCGTCGCTTGCATCTTTGACTGGCATTTCTTCCAGACCTTGTATGAATACGCCTTTCTTGCTGGCGTCATCGAATATCTTGAGGCTTCCTTGATTGTCTGCCGAGTTACCCTTCCCCATAGGTTGAATGCTCCCTGTAGGAGCAGAGAGATCACTTGCGAGAAGATCTCTCAGTTCCTCGTTGTAAAGCTCGACGAATGATATCTTAACGCTATAGTCTGCAGAAGATGTCTCCAGTTGATGGAAAAGGCGAAAGAGAACCCGGGGGATCATCCCGGCTTGGGAGGATGGGTTGCCCATTGGCGTAGGTGTTAAATCACCTTGCATAGTGTAACTATTCATAGGTTAGCGAATACAACGCAAACATATCTTCAACAAACGCACGTTTTTCCAGTCCCAGTTTGCCCATATGCAAAAAGTGTGCAATTGTATCCCATCAGTACTTCATCCAGCATGGGGCTCACGACGTCATGATATATCATAGCTTGATCCGCTTCGGGGCCAAAGACCAGGTCAAATGGGTAGGTGCGAGTTGGTGCGAGCGTTATGACGCCCAAGCTCGATACTGGGGAAGATGTTTCTATTGTCACGTCCTGACTCTTGGAGCCATTCGAGCTGATGATGATAGGAGAATTTTCCTGAACCTCGCGCTCCGAACGTCTACGACAGCGGATGACTACTTGAATGTTGGTTTCTGCGTCGTCCTGTTGGTGAGACTGAGATTTAGTGCTTTTGTTTTGAGAAGAGGATGCAATGCTGCTGATCAGTGTTGCTTCAGTGGGAGACGTGAGTGTGGGCGTTGTGTGAGATCGTGCCATGGCCGAGGGTGGCCTGATAGAGTTTTTCGCGGTCAAATTTACACGAGATCTGGATGATGGGGGGCGTCGTGCAGCCATTGTATGATAGCTTCGTCGTCGTCGGCGATGATGAGCACGAGCTTGACCTCACTGTATCTGTTGGCAGCACTGTCAACCGTGACAGACGCGACAAAGAATAACGCGACTGGATCACGTGCACCCGTGGGACACTATGTCTGTATTACACGATTTTGAAGTTGCTGACTGTAGCGTTGACTTCTGTACTCGAATATTTCCTTCTAGTAGTCGACCATGGGGAAACGCAAGAAGTCATCACGAAAACCGGCAGCTGCAGCAAGAACCAAGGTTCCGCTGGGTACCCCTTTGTCCTGTGGATATACCTTCATCGTGCTAATATTGTATTAGATACTGCTTTTACATGTCTGTTTTGTCACCACGACAAGTCCGTGACAGTCAGAGTAGACAGAAAAGAAGGCATCGCTCAGTTGGTTTGTAGAGTGTGTGATCAGCGGTATCAGAGCAAAGTCAACCGTACGCTCAGGTTCGACTATCCTTGTTTGCTATCAGCTCATATGTTCTCTAGACTTGACAGAACCTATCGACATCTATTCTGAGTGGATAGATGCTGCTGACGCTGCACAAAAGGACGAGCACTCCCATCGCCGTCCCACTGCTTCTTCAAGCAGACCTGTTCCAGCCCCTCCATCCATCGGAAGCGATGACGACTAACCTTTAGTTTGCATCCTTGACGGATATCGAGGCTTTTATGGCGTACCACCACTCTCGCCATCACCGTAAAACCTTCGATAGCCAGGTGCTTTCACGGAGAGCACATTTGGTGCTACCTTCAATCCATATGGAGTGTAGGCTACCTGGTTATCTCTAGATCCCACCAAGCTATCTAGTTGGTCTTGAAAACAATAGAGATGATATCATTATTATTCTTACAGCTTTTGTAGACTATTGTCTGTTAGGATAGCATTGTAATTGACCTCCTACAGAGCTGTGGATACTGCAATTGTATGTTAGAAAATTGCTTGATAAGATAATTTACCCGTGGCACAAGATTTCAGCCACAAATAGAAGACTTGGCTTCCCGCTGCCCTTTGACACTCATTTAGCCACTTCTCTGCAGTAAGCTGACGACGAAATCATTTCAGTCACGACAGCGAGCACTTTCTTTGATTTGATCACTTTTATATACCCTTGGTGCTGGTGGCACACGTTCTCTAGACCAATACCCCCAGCATAGAATCGTCTCCCACCATGGCATCCAGTACTAACATCAAGGTCGTTTGTCGGTGAGATACCGTTAGCCTGCTGCTTACAGCGCATAGGGCTCAAATCCAACCTTTCGCGATATTTTATCGCATCACAAACAGGTTTCGTCCACCCAACTCTCTTGAGCAAAGGGAAGGCGGTGAAATCGTGGTAGCCTTTGATGACAATCTTCAATCCGTCTACATGCGCGGCTCCCAGACCGTCTCGGGGCCAGAGAAGGATGGGTTCACTTTTGACAGAGTGTTTCCGATGGGAACGCAGCAAAATGAAGTCTTTGATTATGGTGTAAAAGAGTTAGTTCCACGTCAATCACGCGTAGCTCAACGTGCGTCAGCTAACATGAGCATCATGCAGTATCGTCAAAGGTAAAGTTCATTCCAACTTAAACCGGAGCAGTTATCCAGTTACAACGCATGTAACATTCTCATCGACGCGTGTCGATGTATACTTCCTCACCTGCTTTGCTTTGCTGTCACGATATCTGATTCTCTCACAGATGTATTGGACGGTTATAACGGTACCGTTTTTGCCTACGGACAGACAGGTAGTGGAAAGACATTCACCATGATGGTATACTTGTATTGTTATTCGCTCGCGTTGTCAGCTTCTCATACGAATCCACAGGGCGCCGATATAGACTCCCAGGAGTTGAAGGGAATAATACCTCGAATAACGGAACAAATATTTCAGTCGATTGTAGAATCCGACGCACACCTCGAATACGTCGTTAAAGTATCTTACATGGAGATTTACCTTGAGCGCATAAGGGATTTGTTGGCGCGTAAGTTTGCTTATGCTCACCATTGTAATATATATACTCAAAGAAATCCCTTTCTAGCCCAGAACGATAACCTTCAAGTGCATGAGGAAAAGTCGAAGGGTGTTTACGTGAAGAACCTTTCAGATTACTATGTTAGCAGTGCTCGTGAGGTCTACGAGATCATGCGACAAGGAGGAGCAGCTCGCGTTGTTACGTCCACGAGTTAGTACAGCTCTCCACTGTCTCTTTTATTTTCTGACTGGAGTCTGGTAGACATGAATGCCGAAAGTTCACGTTCACATTCCATTTTTCTCATCACCATTCAGCAAAGGAACACCGAATCTGGTGCACTGAAAAGCGGCAACCTATATCTAGTCGATCTTGCCGGCTCCGAGAAAGTTGGTAAAACAGGTGCATCCGGGCAAACTCTGGAAGAAGCCAAGAAGATCAATAAATCGCTGTCCGCTCTGGGAATGGTCATCAATGCTTTGACTGATGGGAAGGTACGTAATGGGTAGAACAGACTGCCGTTAATGCACTGAACATACTTTTTTCCCTTTTCAGGCAAAGCATATACCGTATCGTGACTCCAAGCTCACCAGAATTCTGCAAGAATCTCTTGGTGGAAACTCTCGCACCACTCTTATTATTAATTGTTCACCTTCTTCTTACAACGAGGCCGAAACTCTCGGTACTCTTCGTTTTGGTATTCGCGCGAAGTCCATCAAGAACAGTGCTCGTGTCAACGCAGAGCTCTCACCTTTAGAGCTGAAAGGTCTTTTGTCAAAGGCAAACCTAGCCAACACTAAGCATCTGGCGTATATACAAGCATTGGAAGCAGAGCTCGCAATATGGCGTTCTGGTGGCCACGTCGAGCAAAGCGAATGGGCTACATCAGATAAACCTACTGCTGGAACCGCTACGAAGAAACCAGCAAGTTCTCCTGTTCCTTCTTCGACTCCTGCCAGGAGCATGACACCTGTCAATCCTCTGATCGAAGGTTTGAGGGGTGAATTGGAGAGTCGACCTCAAACTCCTACTGTTGTGGGTCTCGAGAAGGACGAAAGAGAGGAGTTTTTGAAGCGAGAGAACGAGTTGAGCGACCAGCTGGCAGAGAGGGAGAGTGCTTTGAACGCAGCGGATAAATTAGTGAAGGAGCTTCGTGAGGAATTAACGTTCCTTAAGGAACAGGAGAACGCACTTTCTAAGGTTCGTTCGTTGTATCTACATCTAAGCTTCAGGATTTTCTGACGAAGCTATCTCTAGGAAAATAAGTCGATGTCTGCACAACTTAACGAGCTCCGTCTGCAAGTGGAGCGATTAGACTATGATAACAAGGAGGGTATCATTACGGTCGACATTCTTAAAGAGCAGAACTTGGACGCTAAGAGTGAACTCGAAGAGCTGAAGAGAGTTATTGCCGAGTTGAAGAGCGCTCCGAAGAACACTTCGGTGGAAGACAAAGAGAAGCGTAAGCAAGACAAGATGGCTATGATGATGGCGAAGTTCGATACTGTGAGTTTCCTCGCTTACAAATTGACATCCTCATGAACAACTACCTTACAATCGTATAGGGCGCGTTTTCGGAGAAAGACGAACAACTCAGGCAGCTCCTTGCTAAATTGGATGCTATAGACACAGAAGACTCGATCAAAGCGTTGACCGTTGAAGATTTGGTTGCTGTGAGGAGGCAGCTTGCAGATGGGCAAACTCTCGCGCGTGAAACCGTAGATCGTCTAAGACAGAGTCAGGAAGAGAACGAGATGATTGTCCGAAGACGGGACGAGTTGGAGGGCCGCCTATCAGCTCTAGAAGCGGAATACGAGGAGCTTCTGGGTGAGTCATTGCATCGACATTGAACACGAATGCATTACTGATCAGAGCTGTTTCTTCTTTGTATAAAGAGAAAACAATCAACGACGAGGAGATCAGTAATGTTGATCTTGCAGAGTCTATGTCTGAGCTGAAGGTTCGTTTCAAGCATTTAACGTGATTTATTTTTCTGAAATATTTCATAGAACAAACTGGAGGCGCAATATGCAGCCAAACGGGATGCTCATGTCAGCGAAGTTGCAGACTTGAAGCAGCAGCTCGAGTTGAAGTCGAACGAAATCAGGACCCTCAATTCATCTATTGACGGGCTGAAGGGCGTGAATGAGGAGCTCAAGGTATGTTTACTCCGATCAAGTTCACTCGTGGCTGACTTTACGTATGTGATAATCAGCGTGCTTTTGCTGTCACCTCCGCTGGTATCGAAGGCGGAAAGAACCTGGCGGAGAGCGCTCAAGACTTGGAGCGGACACGCAAGGCTATCAATGTGCAGCTAGCGGAATTCGACGGAGTCAAGAAGTCTCTTATGCGTGACTTGCAGAACCGTTGCGAGAAGGCGCGTCATCCGTTCTGATTTCTACGTTATCGCTAATTTATCGTCATGGCAGGTTGTGGAGCTCGAAATCCAATTGGATGAGATTAAGGAGCAATACAACAACGTGATTCGGAACAGCAACAGCAAAGCCCAGCAGAAGAAGATGGCGTTCTTGGAGCGCAACTTGGAGCAACTGACTATCGTTCAGAAGCAGGTTGGTATCCGCAGCTACCACGTTTTTGCAGTCGGACTCAGTTCCTTTTATAGCTTGTGGATCAGAACTCTACGTTGAAGAAGGAAGCTGGTATCGCAGAACGTAAACTTCTTGCGCGGAATGAACGGATACAGAATTTGGAGAACCTGCTGCAAGACGCAGACCGCCGTCTATCAGTTCAGAACCAGAAGTTTGAGGCCCAGCTCCAAGCAGTCAAGGATAGGCTTGACCAAGCTCGCGGTGAGTGCTGACGAAGGATGATGTGTTACAAGTTTATAATATTTGTATTTAACAGCACAAAAAGCTTCGACAACGTCTACGTTAAACTTTGGCCGCATTGCTAAACCCCTGAGAGGTGGAGGAGGTTCTGCCGCGGCTGCAGGTGTGATGGGCGGTGCTATGCCAGTTTCTGGGGCTAGTGCGTCATCAGCCAATCCATTGGCCAGATTACAGAATGAAGAGGGGTAAGTGGTGATTTACATTTATTCGCTGGTCTTCACTAAAGATTTTCACGACCACGTTGATGCTTATCGGAACAGTGCTGGCGGTAAGTTGGATAGTGCGATAGTGCTATCAATTATTCTGACGCATTGTATCACGCAGCCAAACGTGCATCCTGGTTCTTCCAATCTCGGAATTAGATACAGCTTCGAATCGTTTTTAACCTCCACACATAATACCCACAGGGCTGTTTGTATCTCGTTACATTGCATCTATCGTCGATCCTTTTTAATGCATTATATTGCGTCCAATATGTAGGGAAATGAGGACGGGGAAGTAAAACAAGGTTTTGCAATTTGCAAGATAAGTATAGACTATGCTATTCTTGATCGAGGCGTAGACTAGTACCCTTGGGGTGAATGGTGCGGATACGATCCGGCTCGAAGGTATCCATCCAGAGTCCCTGGTCTCGTGAAAAAACGGTGGGAGATAAGAACATGGATGAGTAACGTGCAATGGGTAGCCCGGGCCAAGATTGCATAAACTGGGATCCGGCTCGGCTGTGGATGTGGTGCTATAAAGGCGCTCAGACAGACTGCAAAATTGCAGGTCGAGCTGTTGAAAAAAAAAAAAAACTGACAGACGCGATGAGAGTCTGAGGTGTTCCATGGTGATCGCAAGTAGTAATATTTTTGTGACAGACCTACAGCCATGGGGGCTGAGTGGATGCCGGGCGTTAGAGGTGGCGTTGAGCTGGTATTACCTAATGGCGACTTCTGTGAAGGGCTGGATAAAAGAAGGCGTTTGGTGGAAAGAAGAAAAGCGCATCAGTGGGTGCATGATAAAATTTGCAGCAGAACCACGTCAGAGAGATCTCGTTTGTAAATTTTTATTCGGGGCTTACGCGAAGGCGGGGACCTATGAAAGGCTGTGTGTGGTGTCTCATTCCGCAATAAACACCGCGAGTTTCGGTCGTCTGGGCGCGGTAACGAGCGACGCTACACAGGGCCGTACGGGTCCATTTTCGGTTTCAGCGGAACCAAATTACCACTAGCGATTCAATAACGACGTGTGGAAATAACACCAATCCCACCTTCCTTTGCTCTTTTTTTCTTTTCTTTTCACAGCTGCAGCGCGATCATTCCTAACATTGTCGCGTTTGCTCTTTCTTCGTCTTCAGGTATCGCCAATCCGGGGTGTACACACGCAATCTGCGGGATCTTATTCTCTGGTCAGTGCCCTATTATTATGTTCTAAACGCGTCGTGTCCGAAACACACCCTGCCAAACGTTTTTCTTTTCTTCGCGTTATCCTTCGCGCGTCCTCGCATTGTTGGCGGTCTGTTTATTACGCATCCGCTCTTTTTAAGCTTTGTTCAACGTGTCTCATTGGTCTAACCTTTATTCAATTACTCTTTAGCCTAATTCTTTGCAAACATCCACTTACAATCCTATAATTTGACATTCCTGTCTTTTCCGCTTTCCGTGAGTCACACCTCTTCCTTCCTCTTTCCTTCCTTGCGCTGATCCTTGTCCCAGCGGGCAAATAATTTACTCTCCGTACTTGTTCTACATCCATGTCAGCTCACACTACTGGAGATACTTCTCGCAAGCCCTCGGGTTCCTCAACTCGCTCAGCAGGCCACTCCCCATCTGCGTCTCCGAGTAACGTGCGTTGCGTCTTACTCTCACATGACTCACACCTTACGAAATTTTACAGGCGCACTCGCAGCGAAAATTAACTCCCACAACCGCGAGCAACATGTTTGGGATGGGCATGGGCAGTGCTACTAGCTTGAAAGGTCTGAATTCTGGCTGGCAGGTAAGTGATCCACTATCTGTCATCAATTGTGTCTTACTCATGTCATACACAGGTATGGGGCACTGCGACTCCTCCCTCCAAAAGGAACGCGTCGATCTCTTCCGCAGCCAGTGTCAACGATCTTTCGCCCTCGCAGGGTGATAGCACCTATCGCGGTACCCTTGGTGAAAGCTGGAGTGCCCCAAGATCGTCCAGTGCTACTTGGGACGAAATGAGTGGTAGTCCACAAAAAAATGACCTATCGCAGGTAGTGAGTCATGTCTCGCTTCCATACGACTCTCGTGGATTGATGGTATTTTTAGGAATCCCCTCTGTCATTACATCATGCAAGGCAAAGGCAAGCTAATGTCGGTCATGCGCCCGCTCTTGCAGCACCGCGGATCGTAAGTTTTGTTTTACCTATGCGAGAAGCCGAGCTGACAATTCTTCTTTACGAAGGACGATAGAGCTTCGGCAGCCGCGGGGCAGTTCTCGCCACAAAGATTCGACAATAATATTTCGAAGGACTCTTCCGTGCCGAATAGATACTCGACGACGACTTCGCCTACAAAACCAGTAGTTTACGGATCCGCCGCCTTCGCGAACCAGAACGGGAATTATGATTCCTTGCAGGCGTCTTCAATTGCGGAAAATGAACTGTCTATGAGTCTACGTGGCATGGCCGTGGAGGATGACTACGTTAATGGTCAGGCATCGCAATATAGGCAACAAGTGATGGGCGCTCAGTATAATGGAGTACAAAGTGTCTCGCCCACTATCCCCCAAGTTCGCGCTCCCTACCCTATGCAACAAGGTCGTTCCCCTTATGGCACTTATGCTCAGCCAGAATATCCGACGTATTACACTAACGGAACTGGGCGTGATCCTTATATGGAGTATAGCTATGGTTATGGTAATGCTGCAGACCCTTCGGTTTATGGTTCCACTACCGGCATAACCAATGGTTCATCTCCGGGCAACTTGTACTCTATGAGTGCGCAGACGTTGCACCCCAATGCTGTCGCAGGCCAACAAACTGGTATGTTCTACGATTACTCGACGTCTGGTCGACCGCCAGCTTCGCAATTCTATTATCCTGCGCCGCAAGCCATGCTATATCCTACGCTATCATCGCATTCGCCGATACCAACTCCCCAGCTCAGCGCCGCTATACCTGCCACTTTATCTGACAAGAAGCGCGATTTGCAGGTACATATACTCTCATATGAAGTCATTGTGTTTTATGTGTTTATTCTGTTTTTGGTATAGTACAACATACAGCAGCAGATGACCCCACAGAACCTTATATACCCGGGCATGCGTTCAACACCATCCCCTCATTCGCAAACGTACGGCGGGGCGCTCGACTATAGTGCTCAGCTCCCTATGTTGCTTTCAGGAGGTGGGATGTACGCTCCCGGAATGAACGGCCAACAGCCTCTGCACATGTACCAGCAGAATATGGCTGGGCGTCGCAACGATGTTCATGAGCCTGCTATGGCTCTTCGCAGCCCCCTGCTTGAAGAATTCAGAGCAAACAAGGCTCGCAAGTGGGATCTCAGGGTGTGTGCTGAGCCATATCTTTGGTTTCAATTCAATATTTACTTTACGATAGGATATATTTGGCTATGTCGTGGAGTTCAGCGGTGACCAGCATGGATCACGGTTTATTCAACAAAAGCTCGAGACTGCTACGAGTGAGGAGAAGCAGCTCATGTTCGATGAGATAGTTCCCAACAATACGTTGCAGCTCATCCAAGACGTATTCGGAAACTATGTAAGACGTTTTGCGCCCACTGTTGCCCTGCCTGTCTTCATTATACTTTTTAGGTTATCCAAAAGTTGTTCGAGCACGGTACACAGGTGCAAAAGACTGTCCTTGCTAATACTATGGAGGGTCATGTTCTTCCTCTGTCTCTTCAAATGTATGGCTGCCGTGTCGTACAAAAGGTACGTCCCACTATTCTCATTCTCGGCTGTCCCTGACCGAAAGTTCATGTCATCCAGGCAGTGGAATATGTACTCCCAGAGCAACAAGGCGCGTTTGTTAAAGAGCTTGAGCCCCACGTATTGAAATGTGTCAAAGACGCCAATGGGAATCACGTAAGTTGAATTTATTTAGACTTTGCTCCGCATTTTAACCGCTTTCCCCCGAAAGGTCATCCAAAAACTGATTGAACGTGTTTCACCTGAACGTTTGGCATTTATCAACTCGTTCCGAGGAAATGTGTATGACCTGTCGACACATCCCTACGGCTGTCGGGTGTTGCAAAGATGTTTTGAGCATCTCCCAGAAGATCAGACTCGACCACTTTTGGACGAATTGCACAGGTATATGATCAATTTGATGCAGGATCAGTTCGGGGTGAGCTGTCATTTCTTTATCATCAGAGAACTGGTTATCTAATCGTGCGGGTTAGAACTATGTTGTTCAGTTTGTTCTGGAACATGGAAAGGCTACGGATCGAGCACAAGTCATCCTGAAATTGCGTGGACAGATTTTGCAGATGGCCCGTCACAAATTCGCCTCTAATGTGTGCGAAAAGGCGCTTATGACTGCGGATGCTGATAGTCGCCGTATCTTGATTGAGGAGATCATGACCCCCAAGGCTGACGGTGTGAGCCCTATTGTGACCATGATGAAAGATCAGTTTGCAAGTAAGTTGTTGTGATTTCGCAGTGTTATTTGTTGTTGAATTATATTCCCGTTATGTAGACTACGTTCTTCAGCGTGCATTGGGTGTCGTCGAAGGCGAACAGAGGGAGAGGTTGATGAACCTCGTCCGACCTCAGCTTGTTAGCATGCGAAGGTATTCCAGTGCATACAGCAAGCACTTAATATCCAGTAAGTATCTCTGGTCGCGCTTCCTGGAAACCTCTGACAAGATTGCAATTCATAGTCGAACGGCTACTGGAGAAATATTCCAAGTCATCCGACTCTGTCCAAGATTACGCTGCTATCTAAAATTGAAAAACTCACTAATATTGTCGCGCGCCACACCTCCCTTGCATCCAACCTAATAATCGCAATGCTATGTTACACTCGCACACTCAATTTTCCTTCATGCTCATCAATATTAATCTGGCAATGAACATTCGTAATTACGCAATTTCATTCACCGTTGGATAATTTTTCTTGTGGCCCTGTCCATAGTATTACATTTTTATGTTTATAGCCTGTTGGCGTTCTGTGGACTCTTGTCTCCTTCTTTCCGCTGTCACCCCAGTTTTCGGTCGTCCTTCCTTTTAGTTATATGGTCCATACGCATACATATATATACCTGAGAATATGGGTTATAATGATCATTGGATTCCTCTCCTGCTAAAAGTGATTTGCCTTGAGGGATAGACGTAACTTGGCTGTGTGAATGTGGTCGGCATGAAAATATAGAGACAAAGTGGAACAAACACCGGTATTGGTGCAGCCTTCGTCGGTTCCATAAGCGCAATTGAAACGTCACCTCTTGTAGCTTTTTCTTTAATCCTCCACGAGCCCACCTGGCTGTTCAGGACACGTTGAAAACATGAGTACGGTCGAAGCTGCCGCCTCGCTCTTTGGCTCGGACGACCAAGGACCGGACCCTTTTGCAGCGATCGGAAATGAGGAAAGAGACACGACCTCTACAGCATACCTTCCAGCTCACGACGATGACCAGCACACATCTTCGTCTTATCCTTACAACATGGGCCAGGATGCTTCCAATCTCTTCAGCTCAGAAGAGATGCCTTCACATGCCCAAAACTCACAGTACGAACCATGGTCGCCTCCAGCAGTGCAGGACTCCACCCCGGCCTATTCTCAGGACTTGAACGCTTCGAGTTACGGGCAAGCGCAGGGGTTGTTTGACCAGCATGCTGAGTGGTTGGACACCACATACCCTTCTGTGGATTCGCAGCAGCAGCCTGGTAAGTTATCTCGTGTCTTCGTTGCCATGTTCACTCTCGATTCATGTCTCCATGGCGTTCAGGGCAAGAGACCTTCCTTGCTGATAGCCATGCTGTTCCAGCTGACTATAGCGCACCCTATGTTCCAATAACAAACGACACGTCCTCGACTTATGCACCACCTAGCTCCAACCCATATGCTCCTCCCACCCAGCCTCAGTCTCTTTATGACCCTCCTAACCCGCCTACGTCGAATTATGTACCTGCCCAAGCCACTGCATCACCGTATTCGCCGCCCGCATATGACCCGTACAAAGCACCCTCCAGCCGAGCTCAACGCGCAGTTTCCCAGCCTCAGTCCTCTGTTCCTTACTCTGCAGCTCCGAAATCATATGTGTCCAATGTTGTGCCTGCTCAACCGCCACCGGCGCCTTCCACTGCTTCTGCTGCCGCGTATCGCCCGAAGACGTTCAATGCTTATGACCCTCCTCTCCCCCCACCGAAGCCGTCAAAGCGTGCGGTGAGCGCCCGTGTCCCACGGTCTTTATCTCCGGCCAAAGGACAGCAATCGTACTCCTCATATGATATGCCGACGCAGCCAACTCCTCCTCTTCCGGTAGAAGCTCAGAGTAGATATGTGTCGCCATCCTTGCCAAATAATAATTTCCCGCAACATGCTCAGAACTCATATGGAGTGGGAGGACATGCAATAGGCCAACTGCCCTCTCGACAACCTCAGGATCCCTCGGTCGCCCATGCCGACCCTTCGTATCTTCCTTCAGGCGCATACTACGGTGAAGGCCATAATGGCCATTACGGGGCAGATATGCCGCCCAAGAGTGATTATGCTCAATATCAGCCCTCGTCACCTCCTCCGGCTTCTCACGGTTATAACCCGTCGGAGCAGACCCATCATATGTCCAATGGCACATCCGATTATGAGCATCCAGCCCACGATTACCCGCAAATATCACAGGAGAAGCAACTTGAAACCAATGAATACGTGGCTAATTCTCTTGCGGATGAGATTCCTTGGGGGAATTCGGAGTTGGACTATACTGAGGGTACTCGAGCCCCATCTGACGAGCAACCATCGGCTTTACGAGGTTGGGAGGGCGATTTTACTGCGCCTGCGTCTAATGGTGATCCCGCGTATGGTCACGCGTACGCAGACGTGAAAACACAACCCTACGGAAGTATCGACTTGACTCCATCTTCGCCTCCTCGTTCTCCTTCGAAAATAGGATCTCCCAATGGCCGTGATACTACCGCCTTCAATGGAAGAGACTCTCCGAAAGCCGATTCCACGCATTCGCGGACGGGATCCAACAGTTCGCATGGGTACTCACCCAAGCAACTTCTCGCTCAACGAGCCGTCTCCCCAGAGCGTGCTCCCGTGGAAAGGAATGGGTCTATGCACTCGAAGAGCGGATCCGGTGATTCGCAGTCTCGCGTGTCTATAAGCAGTGCTTCTCGGCGTGCAATTTCTCCAGAGCGTGGTTCACTTGGAAGAACAGGATCTCCATTCATGAATCCGCCTCAGGTCCAACAGAACAGTTTACAGTCGTCAGAGGGTAAAATGCCATCCATTCATTCGTCTGAGCCTTCCGGCGTTTCCAGAGCATCTTCCCCTCATTCGGTGAGATCACTGAATGGACCGCAGAATGTCAGAGCGTACCCATATATGCCACCAAAACCTGTTGCCAACCCGTATGACCCTCATTTATATGACCGTACGGATAGAGCGTCATCACCTGGTTCGACATCTCTTCATTCGCGACAGGATTCTCCTAAACCTGACCCGTATGCTCCGCCGAAGAGCATGATTTCGAAAATCCCGCCTGAGATACGAACTCGTTCCGGCTCAGATGGCTCTACCTTTTCTTCGATATCGGCTACGCTTGAAGCAACTACTCACCGCAATGACTATGGCAGCCTTCCATCCAGGTATACGCATCCGCCACAAGGACAAGCTGGACCGTATGGGAATACACTGAATCATGTCCAGGAACACTCTTTAGGACAAGATCTTTATGGGTCTCCACCAACGTATGCCCCATACGTCCCATCACCATCACTTTTGGGTTCTAATGATCCTCTGGGCCGTACTTCTACTCGCGCTCCGATCATTACTTTTGGGTTCGGAGGGAAGCTAGTTACATGCTTTCATGGTTCTTTCGCTCTCAGCACCGGATTTGATGTCGCCCTTTCTTCGCGTAGGTCTACAGATGTGCAAATTCGCCTGCTGCATAAAGTCGTTCCAGAGTCGACTTTCGGTTCAACAGTCGTGTACCCTGGTCCCTTGTTTTCCGACCCTGGCACTCCGACAACCAGTCTTGTGCGTACAGGAGCTTCCACACAGCTCAAAGCGAAAAAGGCATCGGTGGTCAAATATCTAGACGAACGAGCTGAAGAGCTTTCGCACGGCTTAGGATACTTTGATGCAGATAGCGTTGATAAGAGGCACGCGGAAGGGAAGCTTGTGCTAGTCCGATTGTTGAAGGTCATGGTTGAAAACGACGGTACTTTATCTGGCAGGTAAGTTATGCCTTCCTTACACTGGCATATTGAGTATTCTAACGATTGTCGATAGTGCCCAGATTGACACAGCTGTGCGAGCAGCTCTACTTCCACGTTTAGCCACTTCGCTCCATAAGACTTCCAATGGATCGGCTGGTCTCGCCCCTTCATCCTTCTCATCCCCAATTCCTGATATGCACGCCATGGGCATGAGATCTACCATCTCATCGGAAACACCAATTTCAATTTCGACTCTTCTACCTTCAGCTCTTGATAAGATTCAGGAGTTCTTAATTCGTGGAGAACGGCGTCAAGCTTATCATTTTGCATTAGATGAGAAGCTATGGGCACACGCAATGGTCATTGCCAGCAGTATAGACAAGGATTCGTGGAAGGAAGTCGTAAGCGAGTTTGTAAAAACGGAGTTGGGTGTGAAAGGCATCAGCGCAGGCAGTCTCTTGGGTACGCGAGCTGAAGACGCCCCACCAGCGAGCAACGGTAGAGAATGGCTTCGTGTGGCGTACAGTTTGTTCTCGGGGCAAGGACCTGCTGCAGGTGCGTATACTCCTTTTGAACATTCAATCATCGTTAATGTAGATTTTTTGGTTTAGTCCATGAGTTTGTACCTACTAATCTACTATCAAGGGCAACGGGCTCATTGCAGGTCCCTGTTACTCCTATGGCTCATGCCACACCTATGTCTCCGAATTTCTCGTTACCCATTGTGCCAGGGAAAGTTCCACTAGAGTCTTTGTCGAAGTGGCCTGAGACAGCTGCAGTTATGGTGTCTAGCCCTATGCCCCCGGATTGGTCGGCGGCCATCACGGCTCTAGGTGACTTCTTGGCTTCTCACCAATGGGTTGAAGCAGCACATGCATGGTATGTTATTCACCTATCGTTCGCAAACATATGCTCAGGCCGAAATTATCGCTAGTTACCTCCTTGCGCCTCAAACATCTACGATGGGTGGTGTTGGTAGTCCATCGACTCGAGTCGTGCTTCTCGGTTCTCCTGCTCCTCAGACTTCTCCTGCTTTCCATAGGGACTCGGATCCTATTATTTTTTCCGAAATAGTAGAGTTCGCTATGTCACTGAAGCCGGTCGCAAAGGGTCAAGATGGTTTCCACGGCCTACCACATCTCCAAGCATACAAGCTAATCCGTGCATCAGCTCTCGCAGAGTTGGGTCATGTACAATTGGCAAGCAGGTTGGTAACACCAGTCGTCCTGTGTCGATTTTGCTCATAAGGTATATAGGTATTGCGAGGCGATCACAGGCTCTCTTGGTCGCTCATCACCATATATTAATGCGGCCTTCTTGGAGCAGATCAGAGGACTCGCTGATCGTCTAGTGGGAGCTCCTCACGTAGAAAAGCCTGGTTCATGGATAGGAGGGAAGATGAGCAAGCCTAGTCTAGATAGCATTGGGAATTGGCTAGAGGGTCGCCTGACCAAATTCATTGCTGGAGAAGGAGATGCTCCTGCTTCACCTATTGCCGAATCCACCCACACCGAAAAGCAGGCATACTCTGGTCCCTTCTCCCACTACAGTACGATATCGTCTGCTACAACTTCTGCAAGCCCGTCGCCTCAGCCTTCTATGGTTAACCTCCACGCAATGTCCAACACTCCTCCTCCTCGACGCAGTGGTTCAGCTATGGCTCTTCAATCTTCTGCCCCGGTTCCTGTGCAAATTGACCGAGCATCATCGGCAATGGAATATTACAGACCGACTCGTAACATATCCCCGGCTCCTCGTTCGGTGCCCCCTAATGTGACAAGTATGCCTTACGGTCAAACACCATACGGTCAAACATCTTACGGTCAAGGCCTGAACGGGCACGCGCCTGCCAATGGCTACGTTTCCAGTTACTCGGCTGACTCTGCTACCCGCAAGTCATCTTTGGAGGTTACGGAAGAGGAAGGAGATGATGGTCGAGGGTCGGGTTGGTGGGCTTCTTCTCAAGTTGCCGACTCTAGTGCCCCTACCCCTACTGCTGGCACTTTCCATCAAGTGGCAGACCTTCCTGCCTCGACTGATGGTTTCATTTCCTTAATGGACGACCATAGCCTTGCGGTGGCACCTAGTTCAGCAGATTATCGACAAACAAACCACTTTGCTGATGAGGACGACGACGATCTAGGATTAGGGAACAGTTCTAGTAAGCGTGAAACTCGCCAAAACTCTGCGATTGAAAACGGTACTGGCAATTCAGGCCATAACGAGAAGGACGCCAGTCCCTCGACGCAGGTTGCGGAAAAGTCTGGTGAGTAGTATGAAAGTATTCTATAAGACCCTTATAACTCACATCGTAAAATAGATGCAAGGCCACCTGCTGCTCCGCCAGCAGCAGCCTCAGGCTCGTGGCTAAGTCGCTTCTGGAAACGATCTGATGCTTCACCAGCACCGGTAAAGGCCAGTCTTGGCGAGGAGACAAGTTTCTACTATGACAAGGATCTCAAACGATGGGTCAACAAGAAGGTATTGTCGCTTCTGGCTAGTTAGGTGTTAACCGTTACTGATTTTTTGGTGTATAGGCTGGAGCTGAGGCCGAGAAGCCAACAGCACCTCTCCCACCTCCTTCTAGAGCTCGTACTACCTCACCTGCGATAACGAGTGAAAACCTGCCGTCCGGTATTGGACCAGCTCGTTCTATGTCTGCTGGTGTTGAGTTAAACGCTCCGCCTTCTAACAAACCGCCCATGAGGGTGCGCTCCGGCCTTGTTCCTACGGACATTGCGTCAATGCCAAACACACCAGCAGCTTCGGCTGCGATGGCTCCACCACCTCCTGGACGACCGCGGTCACAAGCTACCAAACGCCCTGTCCGTAATCGCTATGTAGATGTATTTCAGCAGCCAGAGAATGGTGCATAGACCTTAGAACAGTTATCAATATATTTTGACCTGACTTTCACGCAGACTAGTACTCGTTTCGTTAACTTTCAAGTTTGTAATTTGCTCTTTTGTATTGCGCCACTAGAAGTGGACTCAAGCATGAAGCAGTATAGTATAATCTATCCATTTTGATAACGTCTCAAACTATGTTCTTTTTTGAGCATCCTAGAATAATAATTTGAATGGATAACCTGTAAGAGATAAGGTTCAGCGATTAGTTTTTCCTACCGACAGTCGTGTCTTTACCTCTGTTTTTCACCCTGAACAGGGATACTAAAATTGAGAACATGATGAGGTTAACCGCCGTCCACAGATAAATTTGCATTCGTTGGCGAGGAGGTGACATTTGGTAGGGGGTGACAATGGTTAACATCAAGACTGCAGCTCCGGCAACGCCGTCTACGCATCAGGTTAGCACCGGAGTGAAGCTGTGAGATGAAACAGAACATACAAATCATGGCTACCACCTGGACTTCTTGTCCGAACTGGTTAGAATATCCCTGAGCAATCCATTCTCCATTCGGACCTGCGTATGGGGATCCTCTGATGCGAGTAAACATGTAACCAGACGTCATGACGAGAGAGATTACGATTGTGCCAGCAGCCCAGACCCATCGACTTTTAAGGGCAGGGGATATGAAACGGAATAAAAGCGTGATGATGGGAATGAGTGCTGCCACAGAGCCCCAGCGAGCCCAGTCAATGGGAACTTTGTATGGAATCGGGACAGGCGTGTGGTTGGATAATTGGTTTGCGAGAGGTTCAGCCCCAAAGCCGCTGAGAAACCAAGGTGAGAGCGCGAATGGGAACAGATTGAAGGATCATACTGTGAAAAGTCATATTTGTAAGGTATAGTCCTTCCAGTGGAACGAGGACCTTCGGTTGCGGGATAAACTTGGACTACGGGTGCCGAAGCTAAGCTGAGCTGAACAGCCAAAGAATGACGCTGAGTAAAAGAACGAAGGTAAACTGTCACCAAGTACCTTTTGAAAGACGACGGAGGCGTCATCAAAGTCAAGTGTACCAAAGAAGTGGTTGTCGCGCTCTGCTTTAGGCACGGTTGTCCAAGCTTTGGCAACTTCAACCCAGGACGGGTCGAACTCCCTATGTATATTGTGATAAGACTTGCGCGGAATTTATGTATATGGCGACTTACTTGCAAGGCGTACACTTCATCCTCTTGTTCATTGCAGTGAAGTGTATTGCCGCAGTCCAGTTGCGTTGGGGTGTGGTTAACAAGTCGAACGAATGCTCGTCGAGCCTGATGACACCATTTCCTGCAGCTGCGAGGTCCACCAGCTGTTCTTGTGGTGATTTCTTGGCTGCAACCAAGCAAATTGGCAGATATAAAAGAGCGAGGATGGGCCAAAACATGATTGGATTCAAGTAAGGAAACGTCGACGTGTAAGAGCAAGGTTACCTATACGCGTTCTCGATTTGGCAGTATGCGTGGGAGAGTGCCGGCCACGTCCCAACACCCGCCTCTTTTCTCGAGCTCATCATTCCATACGGCGACCGACGCCCATTGGCAATGTCTCATGCCCTCCTTCTCCGCCTCTTTCTTTCTCCTTCTTTCTTTTCCGTCCATGTCGCTCTGCATTATCTTATGATATATGCAGATAACATTGGAATCACGTATTATCTCACTCGCAGGCTAAGAGAGCTCGACACCCATGAGTTACGCGAAGTATGGGGTTTCATATGGTGAACATGTTCGTCATGACGGAGTCCTCAATTTTGACAACACAATTACCAGCCATCTCCTTGTCACAAGACCGTCCAAGTCGCGAGCACTGGAATGTTTCGTTGTAGAAGTTGCACAGCGATCCACCCACATAGCAATGATTGTGCGTACACGTGAAGTATCGACTGTTCAGAATGGTGACATTGCATAAACAACACAGACACTTTGGTTCATGCAAGCATCTCTTCAGGATCTTGCTGTTTCTGGTCATAATACCCAGTCTTTTCTTTTGTGCCAGCGGACATTGCACAAATGTCATGAAATCATCTTTGGAGACCTTCCTCCTGCTGTGTCAGGCCCCTACTCTACGATGAGCATGCCTTTTCGGTCACGGTTTGCTCGAAGGAAAGTGAAGCCAAACGTAGAACCTGCATTCATCGGTTTGGCTGTTATACTGGCGGGGGCTCCAGGAATGCCTCGTCTCACGGAGGTTATGGGAGAAGTAGCTTTAGAACAAGGTCGTTTCGACGGAGAGGGACAGGATCTGAGGAGCGTTGCTGCACCAGACGATACTACGCGAGGCGTCACACCCACGATCCAGGACCCTTCCCCTGAGGACGATGATAACGAGTCTGACGAGAGGAGTGAAGATTCAGATGAGCCATTTGCAAATAATTCATCGGCCCCTCCACATTCAAGCGAAGCACGATCAAAGGTTTCTCGAAGAGGAGTCTCCCCGACGCCTCGTCGGCGCACCATTGGCGCAGCTCAAACAAGTCCTGCTCTTGTTCATCTGCGAAATCTACATAAATCAAGATTATCAGATGACCCTTTGGATCAGCTCGATCCATCTCCTCCTGCTCGTGCTACTACACCCTACCAATCATCTCCTTCCATCTCACCGTCACAACATCCCCCTCGCCCAAGTCCACTAAATCCTGACACGCTCTTGCAAAAGTATGACCTACAATCACAGGTACATCTTTTGCGAGGCCAGTATTGTCGTTCTGAGGTGCGTGGTCTTATTCTCAATATCTTTCGGTGTATCAAAGGATCTTCAGGTTCAATTTCTTTTGACGCTGGAGAGCATTTCTAATCGCTTGTTGGTCGTCCCAAAGCCTGCTCGTGTCAGTGCTTTAAGGGCTGAACTTACGGGCTTGAATCATAAGCTACCTGCAGAGGTAATATAAATATTAGCATTGCATGAGAATTTGTTTCTCATTCCGTGACAGGTATGCATGCCTATGTGGTGTTCTTCATCGGATTCCCAACTGCCATCCAATTCTGGCTCGCAACCGCATCACAAGATTGTCCGGATACCCCCTGGGGAGAGTGTCGTGCTAAATTCTGCTGAACGGGCTCCTTATCTGCTTTATATCGAAATACTTCACAATGATTTGGATTTTGACCCAGGTAAGAGAGGAAACAAAGAAATATTGAAAAGGATCGTCACGAAGGAACAGGAGCGCAAAGGTGCCTCTCGCGATCTCATTGCTTTCAATACCCCTCCAGTTCTTCGGCGTCAAAAGACACTTCCAGAACCCCTCGAAGATCCAGAAACGGTAGGAAAGGAGCTCGTAGAATCTCCAGATTTCATGTCAGACTCGATTATGTCAAGCAGCACAACTTCCTTGACTGGTGAAGATGAAGAGATGGACTTGGTGGAGCAGCTGTACGGTGCAGGCCGATCTCTCCGAGGTCGCATCGATTTATCTGAATCTATCGTGTTACCCCCTGCGCCCAAGAACAAGGAACTAGAGATGGCGACTTGGTCACGAACGTCTTCGATGCCTTCTTCCCCTATTGTTGAACAAGGATCATCTGCCTCTCAACTGACTCCAATGATCCCTTCCTCTTTTACGGGACGAGCAACACCGTCAGCCCTTCGATCCAGCATGTCAGAATCGTATTTCAACAGTAACGGTCGTATGCTCTCTCTCGATGATTACTCTGAGCGAATGCGTACGGCCGCAATAATGCTTGCTCAATTAAATGCCAATCTTGTCAGAGAGCCGATCACATCTTTACCTACGCCACCCAACTCTGTAGACCCGCAAACTTCGACCCCCTCGTTGTCAGGACCGTTGAGCTGGATATCTGGTTCTGGCTGGCTAAGTAATTCGAGTGATCAACAAAACGATGGGCCTTTGCATCCTTCTTTAGGGGGTAGAACTCAAGATCCTGCACCTGCCACCCGGATGCGAGTTCAGCACTCAGAAGCTGCCGCAATTAGAGATCGAATCATGACAGAAATGATATCTTTAGAAGAAGAGAGGATGCAACGGATGCGAGAAAATCGAGAAAGTGAAGGTATGATGAGCATTAGCGGTGCCAGTGATGGCTTCAGGACTGCGGAAGATGAGAATATTATCAAGCGAGAACTTAACAAAGCCGACCCTTCTGCCATTGTTTTTAGCGAATCCTGGGCTGCCAAAAAGGTGAGTTCGGACTGCGATTAGCTGGTGCCATCATTCACACATTTTTCGCAGAGTCGGATACGGCACGGTTCACCATATGGTCACCTTGGTAATGCTCTGCTTGGATTGAGTTAATGTTGAAAGCTCACCTTTCGACTAGCTAACTGGGATTGCGTATCTGTCATTGTAAAAACTGGTGGTGATTTGCGTCAAGAGCAGCTCGCTGTTCAACTTATCAAAGAATTTGAGCGGATATGGCAAGAAGAAAACTGCCAATGCTGGGTAAGATAGTATGTCTTTAAATGCCTTGTTATATTGTGAAGCGTATTGAACCAATTTCGCAGCTTCCGCATCCTGATTACTGGGGCATCTTCCGGTCTTGTCGAGACTATAACGGATGCTGTGTCAATCCATTCAATCAAGAAGGCCGAGTATGCACGGCGATTAGCGGAAGGCCGACTGGGGCATGTTACACTGCTTGATCATTTTAGATCGGTATGGCCTTTGATATGTCTTTCTTGTACATCTAGTGACATTTTTCACAGACATACGGCGATCCAACGTCGGCAAAATTCACTCGTGCGCAGCGTAACTTTGCGAAATCCTTGGCAGGTAAGTCGTTTGTGGTTCATGTTGAAGGCTTTCCGATACGACCTTCATTCAGGATACTCGATTGTGACGTACTTGCTACAAATCAAGGACCGACATAATGGCAACATTCTGCTAGACCGGGAAGGCCACCTCATTCATATTGATTTTGGTTTCATGCTATCTAACTCTCCGGGTAATATTGGATTTGAGGCAGCGCCGTTCAAGCTACCACCAGAATATTTGGAGGTCCTAGGTGGTATCGAGAGCGAACCTTTCTTGGAATTCAAGCGACTGTTCCGAGAAGGATTCGAAGGTGCTAGGAAACATTGTGATAGGATTATCAGTGAGTAGACTATACTAATCACACTCGAGTCGAATCACGCTTACGCATTCCATAGCCCTGGTTGAGCTGATGCAAAAAGGTATGCGTGAGCTTTTTCCTAGCTGAAGAGATGGTCGTTGACTCGTCCTCTTCTAAGATTCGACCCTGCCTTGCTTCGCTGCTTTTGGCCAGCTGACGGCTGCTCAGCTTCGAGAACGATTTCAGCCAGCTCTCACACATTCATTGGTGGGAGAATATATTGATCGTCTCATTGAAACTTCACTGGGATCCAATTGGACACGACTTTACGACTCTGTAGGCGCTCTTCTCTTTCCCTCTTAAATATCATATCTCATATTTCGTCCCCCAGTATCAATATTATTCACAGTCCATTCTATGAGTCACGACTAGTCACGAGCGAGCAGATGTATTTTTTAGACTGGGTGACAGGCATTGACATACATATTCTCTGGTAGAACACATCGCCAAATCAATTGAATGCGCTGGTTGTTACGCCTTGCATTGTGGATGAAAATGGGTATACAGGGACAATGGACTGCATTTATATCTTAATTGATTTTCCAAGACGTGTCAAGAACTACTCTACTATATATGTATCACTCCTTCCCCCTATACTTACCTCATCTTTCACCCATCAACTAAATAGTTTGTCGTATTTGTTCAAGCAGGAATACCACTCATAGTCTGTACGGCACAAACGATCAGCATAGCCATGATAATATCACACGTTGATCTTACCAAAATTTTGTGTAGGGTCACACCAACACCTTCCTCGACTGTTTGCATCGCCCTGAGGACAATGCTGGAAAGGCTCGTGGCGGTAGCCAATGTCGTTGAAGAAATGTATTTGGTCTTTTCTCGCAAACAGGGCAGCACCTATGCTGTGAACGGGAGCATCACCCCAGCGCTGTGTATCAAATTCAGTTGGTGTTGGGCAAACCTGTTACGGGATGGCAGGAAACTTTACCTCATAGTAGAATCCGCCTTTTTCGTCAAGGAAATCGAAGAACTTGGAGTAAGGCACATCTCTCCAAAAGTCTAGATCCCCAATTTCGAAATTACTCCAGACTGACGTAAAACATGATGAGATGGGGCATTTTAAAGCAGAGCTCGTTAGACACGTACAATGACAGCGGTTGTACGATTCTCCACCATCGTCGCTCAAAAATGCCATCGCATTGTCAGGTGAGACAAGGGTGGGGTTGGAGTTTATGAATTCTGGGGGACCTTTCAGTTGGGATAAATTCGTTGTTGAGAACGGATCGTACCTTTAACACTGTTCCAAAGTGTAGGGATAGTGGTTGGGTACTCGAAAAGTGATACCGTGAACCCTAACAAGAGAATATATGTATACGTCCTTGACTCAGACATTCTAACCATTCACTTACCGTAGACCTTCTTTTCATCCTGCATGACTAGGAAAGGGTCATAATCAAGGTCGCAGAAGAATTTGACATCTGGTCTACGTGGGAAGGTATGCGTAAGAGGTTAAAACATTAGAGAGAAAACTTACTCTACTCTCCAGTAATACTTGTATTTCTGTAGGAGCTCTTGTTTGTAGAAGAACTGGGAGCTCAAACATGAGTTGCGTGTGAAGAAATGCAAGTAATTGAAAGCTTACGCCAGAGTTGAAACGACACATGTTTCGGTACCTATGAATGACTTTATGTCAGCCACCAAGAAATAGCAAACGATTAACCACATACGGCACACTACCTGGTGAAAGCTCTGTTTAATACCAGATAGAAAGATACAGAAGACAACACTCACCCCCATATATGACATTTTCCCTCACCATATCTTCTCTCGCCTTGGTTGCTCGGTCTTCGTCAATCCAATCGGGCTGATACCAATCTTCAGCTGGTATGAGACCAAACTCAACAGGAGCGTCGGTGAGAGCAGTAATATGTCTATCATTCAACATGAGAGTTAGACAACGGCCAATAACGATGAATTTACTTCTTGAAATCGTCTGAGAACGGCTGCTCGTTGAGGAAGACATAGGGATAGTTGAATTTGCGGTTGAATCTATCCTCCAACTGTCTCATGCTACTCATGATTCCTGTTAGATCACTGTTGCGGACGAGCATGACGAATGTTGCGTTTGCTTTCCTATCTGGTGAGGATGGCGAGCCTGTGGGTTTGTAGTAGTCCTCTGGTACTGGTGTTCGGTAGGGAGGCTCTGCATTCGGCTTCGCTAGTTTTTCTGTCAACCGCGTGATAGAGGTCATATTTCCGTATCCTTCATGAGAAAAGCTCATTATATAATGTAAACTGATCTATAGGAAACTTGAAGTGAGCTTTAACGAGAGATTGAATGAATGTCGCGTACAATCATGCCCAGCACGAGCAAAATGTAACGCATAGGCGTCATCATTTTTGGAATATGCAAGAGTCCCTAGGGGGCTCTGTGAATAAAAATGGGTGAAGTATGTGAGCTGTGAAAGAAAGGACGAAAGGTCAGACTGGATGGTGGTGGTGGTTGGAAGCGTGTTTGGTCGCAGTGGGGCCGCGGCAGAGCTGAAAGCAAGCACCCGGCAGCCACCGCCCCACTGCGTAACAGACGGCACGTGGCGGATCTATCAGTGCGGCAATGCTGTGGGATCACTTTCTCAACTGTCCAGGAACACTTCCTTAAATAACTGGCTCAAAGCCTCCGTTTGGCGGCAACATAATGAAAACATGTGGTTAAATAACGCCCAAGAGGTTGTCCAAAGAAAGAGCGGAAATATCATAGTGCCAGTGCTGGAATAAATTATTGTAAATGGATCACTACGCATCGCTCTATGTATCAACTACAGCCTGCTCTGTACCTGTCGCAACATTTAAAAATACACCTCTGATTCTGATACGTGTTCTAATAGGTCAACAATTAGAACAACCGCAGCCAATGACGTAAACACGAGTTTTGCGCAAAGTCTAGGAGAGTGGCAGACGTTAGTGTTTTCACAGGAACCAGTCGTGGAAGATCATTTTACCAAAGTTGTCATTAGGATCGCATGAACAGCGTCCTTCTCTCCAGTCACGGCCTTGCGGACAGTGTTGGAAGGGACTGTGTCGGTAACCAATGTCTTTGAAGAAGTGTATCTGTTCCTTCTTGGCGAATAAAGAGACGGCAATGCTATGAATAGGTGCGTCGCCCCAACGCTATAGATAACAAGGTGAGATTACACAAGGACGAGGGAAAAATGGGCCAAATATACCTCGTAATAGAATCCGCCCTTTTCTTCCAGATAATCAAAGTATTTAGTGTACGCTTCTCCCCGCCAAAAGTCCATGTTTGCTATCTCAAAGTTACTCCAGACTGCGAATGTAATGCAATCCAATCAGTATTGTGCGTTCATGCGTGATCTACCTGCTCACAGTGACAGAGATTGTAAGTGTCTCCAGCATTATCGGAAAGGAAATCCATTGCATTGTCCTCCGAGACATATTGAGGGTTCTCGGAGATGAAGTCTACGGTATGGGTATGGGCGTCAGGAACGAACAACATCATTACAGAAATTTTATGCACCTTTGGTTGCCCCCCAGAGCGTGGGTATCGTAGGCTCCCATTCTGGCATAGATATAGTGAAACCTATGATCACACGTCATCAGGTGTAACACTATATTATACGATGAAACTCACCATATAATTTATTGTTGTCCTGCAAGAAAAGGAACGGATCGTATTCGAGGTCACAGAAATATCGAACATCAGGTCTAACTTGCAATTAGGACTCAAATTTGTTGAGAATGTCCGATATACTCACTCCACCCGCCAGTACCATTGGTATGGTTGCAGAAGTTCGTGATGATAGAAGAACTAACCAAAGTAAAATTAGCCTACAACCTGGTTATGTAGTAGAGAAACTTACACCGGAATTGAAACGACACATGTTACGGTACCTTCAAAGACGGTTAATATACAAGTTGAAGGGGCATAACAGGTCATGCTATACGCACGATACACTACCTAAATCACAGTGTCAGCACGTGGAACTTGGGTCCGAGAGCTCAAACGATCTTACCGCCATAAATAATCCCCTGCCTAACTAATTTATTACGACCCTCAGTAGCTCTTTTCTCATCAATCCACTCAGGCTGGAACCAATGATCATGTGGAATAAGGCCAAAAGAAATGGGTGCATCGGTCAGCACGCTGACACGTCTACACGTATCGATTTTGAGCCACTTATCACCCGTGAATCTGTCCGAAATACTCACCGTTTGAAATCGTTCGAAAAAGGCTCTTCGTTGAGAAGAACCCAGGGGTACTTGAATTGTTTGTTGAACTTGGCTTCCATCTGTTCCATACTGCTGATAACCCCTGCCAGGTCGCTATTTCGAGCGAGGATAAGAAGAGTGGCGTTCGCTCTGCGGTGCTCTGGTTTGTTCGAGGCCGTAGGATCCAGTTCAAGGTGACCAGAGTCTGATATAGGTGTAGACGAAGCGTTCTCCAAGCTCGACTCCAGTTCCAAGCTACTATCATGAGGTAGGTCAACCACCACCGTTGAATTTTGTGGCAGCTGCCATTTTGTTGTCAAGCGGCCGATAGATGACTGGCCATCCTCATCATGCGAGATACCTAATAGATAGTACAAGCATAACTGGGTATTATCGTGATCAACATCAACATATTTACAGGTGAGGGAGTGGTAGATACCAGTATGGCCACGACCACGATGAGCGAACGTCTATGCGCTGCTGTCAATGGGATATTGTACTGCATGGTACCCATAAGCAGGAAATGAGAAGACTTGTGTCCCTTTACACGAAAAACCGATAAGAATTGAGGCGGGGAAAGGAACCGTCACAGTGGTGAGAGACGAATGTCTTATACACGCCGGCACCGAAACCTCGCGAAGAAGCGATGTGAGGGTGGACCCTTCTAAGCTTCGGTTTCAAGAAAAGCTTACACATAAGATATCACCCACATTTGTATATGGAGCTGCGCAGCATGCCGTTGGAGCGTGAACGACTATATCAGACTATAGCCTGTTCCCGCAATGGAGCGCGGTTACCTGGGGCAACCACCCATGGTTTACGAGGTATAAAGGCGTTTCAAATGTTCCGATCAACATCATTTCAAAACACGCCAATCCCGAATGCTCACCTCTCGCAATGTCTGTGCAGCGTCTGTGTTCGTAGTATCCTGCAATGTCGCCACAGTCGCCAAATATGTTTCATTCGATAGTCGCTTACGAACCTGAGCTAAAAATAACAAGTCTGATTGAATTTCGATCTACGAAAACGTCATATCAGCGATAAATAAAAAGTAAAGATTGAGCGAATTTGGGGATGTACTGTTCTCTTCCTCACTCACGAGACAGGTCAACGAAGTTATCGATAACCACCTGACTTGCACTTGACCTTGACCTCGATTCCTTTATTGCTCTCGACACAGCTATTCCGCGGAAAATAGTGGGGAACGGACGCCCAGGCAAAAAATGCTCCAATCATTGAAAGATTAAGATGGCCATATACAGGATCGTCGAGATTCATTCTATTAACTCTCACATGCAAATTTGGGACGTGGGATCTTCAGAGTGGGTATGAGACAGTCTTAATCTAGCCAGTCACCATATCTTCATCGAGTCCAGCTAATCCAAGTCCACTTACATCTCTGTGCAGCGACGAATGGTAAGACGACACGAAATGTACCTCCAATGTCAGTGCTGTCACGAATCGGTAGTCAGATGGGTATATGAATCATCACGACCGCATTAGACGAAAATGCTGCCTTGATCCTGGAAGCCGCAGTCCGCAGCAAAACATCAGTTTATCACGTCAGGGCGATAGACGGTCATAAACCAAATCAAAAAAAACACCGTACTTGAAGGGTAGTTATGCCCAAAGGATACTGGACTTTCGTTTTTCCTACCGGCCCGTTGTATGAGAGTTAGAGAGACGATCTTGACTATACGATTAATTATTCCTGGACCGCGAATAGCCTGGGTGCGATAGAGCGTTTATTGCTTGAGGTACAACTCGTAACTAAATGAAAAGAGACGGAACTGAAGTTGATAGGCTGTGATATACGATAACCTCATCGCGATTATCACCATGGGAAGGTACACTGACAGCTAGCAAGACGATGGACAGGTTTTGCAATTGAAGCCTAGGAAACTTGCCATTTAGATCGCCATCAAACTATCCAGCGTTGACAGGTATGCAGCAATGCTGAGCCGGGCACAAAGCAGTTCATTACCACCCATACCTTCGTGGCCCTGCAGATTTTAACCATCACAGTCGCCTCGCGCCGTACTACGGATTACAGACCCCTCGTGTTCTGAGTAATCGTTCGATGGATACTAGGCCAAAAAGACAATGTGTACCACACAAGCTTGGATTTCCTATAGGATACTTGGACGAGCGTGTCGAATTTCCAGCTGCCCTCCAAGTTGCAGCATAGAGCAAAGAGACGGAGTGGCTAGCTTCCGTATGTGCTGGTCTGAGTTTGGACATGTTTGTGCACCCAATTTTTTGAAACTCGTCACCGTGACCTTTGGCTGTTTGCGTTCTGTTATTTTGCCATGGCCTCCTCTTCCTTGCCAGAAAAAGACAGCTTCGATGCTGCTCCCCTTTCTCCTCCTCAAGCCCTCCCTTCTTCCCCTTCGCCATTTCTCAATACCGTGTCCCCTTTAACAAGCGTTTACAACCGATTCTACGAATGGCGCAAGTCATTTGACTTCCCCAATCCTGGAACGGTCGAAAACCTTCAAAAAGAGGTAAAAGGTGTGCATTCAAGCACTATATTGACCTGTCATAGTATCTAATGCTTTTTCTGCAGCAACGCACTTGACGAATTTCATATTCGATGGCGCTAGGGCGGACCTCACGAAAAGTTTGTCAATGAACCCGGCTTTCCAAGTTACGCATGCATTCGCTCTTGGCTCTCAAACGAGTGCACCATCATACAACTTTGGTGCTGTTTTCGCTAACCAGAATGTATGTTTCTTTGTCCATCCCACGTCCCTACCGTCGTCCCTAACGTTCGTTTCCTTATAGGTATTCCTGCAAGGAAGCATAGACCACGATGGCAATGTCAACGCGCGCATGAACCAGGGATGGTCAGAAAGCAATGTTACGAAGGTCCAAGCTCAGGTATGTCATACCCTTTTTTTCTGTGTGGCATACGTGTTCATCTCGGTCTCTTAGCTGTCATCTCAACCTGGACATAATATGGTTCAAATGGAGCACGACTACCAAGGCCTGGACTACACAATTAACGCAAAAGCTATCAACCCTTGGCCTACAGATCTTACCGGCATGTTCATTGGCAACTATTTGCAATCTGTGACCAAGAATATCGCTGTTGGATTCGAGACCCTCTATCAACGGCCAACCCCGGAACTCGCAGAACTCACCACATCGTATCTTGCGAAGTACACGAGCACGGAGAAAAACTGGATTGCCACTGCTCAAATCCAGCCCGCGGGTATCCTTCAGGCAACGTATTGGCAGAAACTGAGTGAAAAAGTGGAGGTCGCGGCTGACTTGCAGCTAATTGCGGCACCACAACGGAGAGATGCGATTACGACGCTCGGTGCCAAGTACGATCTTCGCATGTCAACATTTAGGGCGCAACTGGATTCGACGGGCAAGGTATCGGCGCTGCTCGAGCAGCGATTTGCACCAACTTTTGCGTTTTTGGTTTCTGGTGAAATTGATCACTTTAAGGTATGGTATCAGAATAGTCTCCCTCGATCGTTTGACCTATTTTCTTCCCAGAACTCCGCCAAAGTCGGGCTTGGTGTAATGATTGAAAGCTCTAGTCTGACGCCGGAGGAGATGGGGATGCCTCCCCAACCATAGTTTTGCAAATATTATATAGATCTTAATTACCTGGACATTATTACAGGCGCACACGCTACTCTCACCAATAAGCAACCACAGTCAAGTTAGAATTCGTCAAGGTTATTCGTGGAGTGTCTACTCTTTCCTATTCTTATATCGTGGCGTGGAAATGTGATCATGATGCTCGTTGACGTTCTTTACTTATGAGATGAGACTGTTGGCTGTACTCTGACCACTACTGCTATGGGTGAAGCTTTATTGGACATCCGTGGTCTTTCTTGTTTGAGGGAGCAAGGTCACCCGTTGTTCTCCAAGCTAACCTTCCAAGTGAATGAAGGGGACATTATCGTAATACAGGGTAAAAGTGGTTCGGGGTGAGAGATGAATTTGATATTCACAAACATTGTGTGCTCTAACGTATGCTACAGTAAAACGACTATGCTTAAATGCATAGCCCATCTAAATCTTTACGAGGGTTCAATTTTCTACAGAGGACAGTAAGTAAATTGCATAGCAACTAGGGTCATTTAGAGCGATGTTAATCATCGTATTTGTTATTCAAGGACTCCCAAAGCTCTTGGCAAGCTGTGAAGTCATTTTCAAATATATGCCATACTGATGGCAACCACAGGAATTCCCAACTACCGTACCCGTATATTTTATGTCCCACAAAGACCGTCCCTGCTACCCGGCACTCCTCGCGATTTCCTAACTGAAATATCCTCCTTCAAGGCCCGTAAACCGAAGAGTCACGCAGCGTCCAGCGAGCGGAACTACCCCATTGATGTTTCCAAGGCATGGGGCATAGATGAAGAGCTCTGGGACAGAAACTGGTCCAATCTGAGCGGAGGAGAATCGCAGAGAATAGCGTTGTCCATTGCCGTAGGCCTCAACACAGCCGAAGTGCTCTTACTAGACGGTGAATCCTCTTCGAAATACGATACTAAACATGATCTGAAACTTCGTCTAGAACCAACCTCGGCGCTTGACCCCGACTCTTCCGCGCGGGTAGAACGCTTCATTGCTGACGAGTTGAGGTCGTCTGAAAGTCATCTCAAGGCAGTCTTATGGATCACTCATTCTGAGGAACAGGGCAGGAGAGTTGGCACCAGGTTCCTTCGTATATCACTCAATGGTTGTGAGGAGGAAACACTTCCGGAACCCTAGAAATTTCATAGGATACAGCTTGGACGCCGCACTGTTATAACAGTATGCATAAAGTCTCGCTATTTTCCCATTATTATGTCTGTGTAGAAGTGAGCCTTGCGATGAGTGGAGTGTTAAGTTATAAATAAATAACTGAAAACAAAATATGCAAAAATAGTCCCACCGAGGATTGAACTCGGGACCCTTGCATGGACTGTAACCTCATAAGTACAACGCTCTGACCACTGAGCTATGGGACTCTGAAATATTTTAGCTCAATGGTCTCTATCACATGTCGCACATGTTGCAGCCTTCCATTGCGATCGAATGGATTGTGTTTATCATACCTCTGTAACCCTGGCAGGAACAATAGTTATACATAAGCTACACCTGACTATAGTAATAAAAAAAGACAAGATCACAGAGATAATTAATTATCCTGGTATGGACAGGAGCCAAAGGGAACATCGCGCATACGAGAATGACAATGGAAAGCTTCACAAACAATAACCATCAACCGTCGAATTAAATCATTCCGTACTCGCTGCTGCGTTCGGCGGGGCTTCTGCACTTCCTAAATTGATACGAGCTTGGATTGTATCAATCATACGCAACGTAAGGCCAAGCTTGGGCCATAGCGCGTTATATATATCTGCGTTCCGAGTGCGCAACATCTCGGCGAGCTCTATGCGAAGTTGAGAAAAGAGCGGTTGTATATGTGAGCGGACTGAGGCGAGTATGGGTTCTTCTACGGTTTGCAAAAGATATTCAGGTGGAAGTAAAGCAGATGGAGGTGGAGAACGAGGGCGTGACACGAAGGCTTGCAAGGCTGCGTTAAGAACCTCTTGATCCTTCTTGTTCTTCTCTAACATGTCCATACATTGCTGAAGAGATGCGCCCATCTATAGGATTTCTATTTAGTGATAGATAACGTAAGACTATAAAATACGATGTATACCTGAACAATTTCTGCTTCCATCTCACTGCTCTTCGCTCTCAATTCAGCGTTTTCAGCCTGCAATCGATCATTCTGTAGCACAGTATCGTTTGATCGAAACATTAAGTTTCCGATCTCCACAGCCAATTCCCCTACTTGTTCCCCAGTTGCGTTGATGTCTTCTTCTATGCTCTTAATAATAGACGAATGTTGAGCAGCGATGGCAGCTTCAAGTTCAGCTTTTGATGACTTTTCCTCCTCTGGTGACAGCACAGCTCCTAATTCCTGCACCTTCGATTCTATTCGTAAATCCATCTCATCGTATATGTCATTGTCTCGTTGGTTGATGTCGTTCTCCACATCACTCAATCGACTCTTCACTTTCAGCAACTCTTCACGTATCTCTTCAAGATCCTTCAGTGTAGCATCTCCCTCACCAGTTTCGACCTTATCTTCGGGTAAGGCGTCCTCGCCTTCAACCCGACGCCGTTTAACTGCTCGGTTGGAACTTTCATCCATACTACTGGCAATATCGTTTGAACCTCCCGGAGTCTTCTCTCTCTTTCCATAATGTTTTTCAATGAGGACCATCATGCCAGCATACATTTCATTGACAGAGGCCTTCAAAGTTTCTAAATGCTGGCACATATCGCTGTGCTTGGACTCCAGATCCTTGATTTCAGGTTGTTTGAGCGCTGGCCAGAAGTCGCTTGCAATGAGTCGATCTACAGCTTCGTTCATTTCTTTTTTTTTTGCATCGCACTTTAGCTCGAGTTGGGTGATGCACAACGAGCCCAACGACAGGCGTTCATCGACTTTGCCAGGAAAGTCTGCATATTTTACTTGGCTTGAACGACGCATAGTCTGTAGATCTTTTTCGGTTTTGAAGTATTCCGCTCGAGCTTTTACAGATGCAAGCATAATACTAGCAAAAATATAAATATTAGAAAAAAACTGGGACGAAGAGGTATAAACCTACTCGATACGACTTGACCATAATGCCCGCTTCTCGTCGGATGACAACTCTTTTTTTTCTGCGGCGTTGGACTTGATAGTCGATCCTGATGATAGGTTAGGTGGTGCAGGAGGTCGTCTAGGATCAGGTGGGGGAAGAGGAGGAGGCTGCATGGATGGAATTGGCGGCGGGTCCATATTCGACTGGCTCGGCCGCCTTGTAGGGCGTATTTCTTTGGGAGCATCAGGCTTACGAGAACTGCTCGTGGCAGCTAGTGGTGTTAAAGGAGGTTCGTCTTTGTGTATGCGCCGCGACGTGTGCTCATCTCTGTGATGGGATTTCCTTTCATAATAATCTGATGTAGTCGAGCCAGCGGGAGAACGTGAACGTCTACTACTGTGCCTCATCGAAGGCATGTCGTCTGGCCGCCGTGAACGGTGAGAGTCAACGCTTTCGCGCCTAGCGGGACGGGGGTCGACTGAGCTATGGATGTGTTGTCGGTCGCGTTTAGGTTGGAGAGAATAGTAGAAGTCAGAATCGTTGTCTTCTACGAGTTCTGGTGATGGAGGGAATGAGGATTGGGCGGTTCTCCACTCGGGATCGGTGGGATGAGCAAAAAAGCAACTTTTGTCAGACCGAGCACAGCCGCGCTTTCCACTTACGAGGCGTCGAGGGCGTCCTTCGTCGTCGAAGAACTGGAGTTACAGTGCAAGGATAATTCAGTAAAACAGTAATACTTTGTGAGAGAAAAAGCATGCAGTCCACCAAGGACAACCCTAGGCCTTGAAAGAACGTTTGTAGTATCAAAGAACGCACGTTACAGCGCCAATCTTTCCGGGTTTTGGAACCGCTTCCAACCATTATTCACGAAATAGGAGGATTGGTGAAACAATTATATGGGTGACGGGGTTTGCAACTCAAGGTGAAATTCCTTACAAGTCGACCGCGCCGCCGACTGGGAATTATACAACATTAGGCAGTGATTACTATCAATGTGGCTGAGAGTCTCTGTCGTTCATACAGTACAAGACTTCCTGGTAATTAAGGGAAGTTCTGGGATCAACAGGAAACTGTGATAGCTATGCAAGACAAAGATATAAACTGGATAGATCATTACAGAAATTTACCGTGTCAACAGATCATGTTCGGGATATCCTTATTCAAGGGGCTTGATGATTCTCTAAACGTGTACATATAGCCTCAGCGAGCTTCAAGGCCGGTTGCAACCTGTCGAACATCGCCGTGAACACTTCCCCAGAGTTGTTACTGATTTGCACTGAAAGAACGTCCTTGACTTGGGCCAAGGTCGGCTCGATGTCACGAGTCACGACATCCAAGACTTTGGCTTCGACCAGAGCAGACAGGCATTCCATGTCAGGGTGCGGCGGGATTTCGTCAGTATGACGAGGTTCAGCGAGGTAGGCTTGAACCAAGGCTTGTAATCTTTGGTTCTCCTGGTTAGATTGTTCGACCTCGCGTTGAACATCCGTAAGTCGTTGCCGAATATGTGCTAGCTGACCTGCATTCTGAGAAAGATGAGCAAATACTTAGGAATGAAGTTGATGAGATATAAACTACCTGTGTGGTCAGCTGCTTGAGCGCAGCATTCTCCTGCTCGAAGTTGATACCTTGTTCTTTGAGGTTATGTTGTGTGGTGATCAGGGCAGCTACATAAGAGATGGGACTCTCTATCGACTTGCCGACTTCCGCAGCTTTCTGTTGAAGTTGATCTATTTGAGTCTGCAGCGCAGACACTGGTTGCTTATCATCCTGAGCATCTCGGTCTGTGTCTATTGTCTGTAAAGCCTTCGCCTCGAGCACTGCAGCTTCAAATTTCGCCTGCACCTTTTCATCAATGCCATCCAGAACTTTTTGAGATGAAGGCAACGATATCTCGGTCTCCATCTCATCAATGCGATTCTCAAGTTCGGAAAATTGACGCCGAATGCTTGATATAGCGTCTTCCTCGAGAGGAGGATGCTGTTTCTTCGGTGAAAGAGGGTCATTCATGATTTGCCCTTCTTCGAGTGAGCTCGCTTGGGAAAGAGCGATAGAGTCTCGTGGAAGAGGTTTTGGGCTGATTAAATCAGTCAACAACGGACGCATATCTTGAATCCAGACGATGGCTTCGTCCACGTAGGGCTTGACCTTCGCTCCTACATCGTACTTTTCATAAAATTCCAATGGAGTATTTGATATATCGGCGTTCTCAGTAAGTGATGTCAATGCCGCTGAAAGGCTCTCGCCATTGTGACGAATTTTGGCTTCTAACGCACTGCGATACCCATCAAGCTTTGTTTTCCCAAGCTGACCGACACGAACAAAACTAGCAGAGGACTGCGCGCGTCTCCAGTCATCACGTTCAGTTTCTGCTTTGTCGAGAGCTTCCCTAGCCCTGACTGCTCTAGCAAATTGCCTGAATATTGCGTTAACTATTAATCCTTCGTATAGATATGTAAGGTGAAAGGATACATACTTGATAGTCTCTTTCCATGCTTCACGGCGCGCTTGCATCTCAACTGATCGTTTTCGTTTCCTCGACGTAGTATGGACAGGAGTAACGATAGATCCGCCTGGAGAAAGCGTCCGGGGCTTTTCCGTCTGCCAATCGTCAACGCTATCCTGAAACTGGGTTTCGGCGCTTCGTGATTCAGCGTTATCTCTTCGAGATGCGCTTGTGTCGATGGAGGTCACGCGTGGTCGAGAACTACGAGGCTGAGGAGCTGCAACAACAGTAGACGTGCTGTCTCTGCGGCCCCATTCTGCCTTTGACGACTCTGCTGGATTGGCGCCGTGCGAGCCCCACCCGGAGTCTACTGGCCCTTCTGCTTCACCAACAGGCCAGTTCTCGTCGGCATCTTTATATGAGCCCCTGCGATCACCTTTACGAGGAAAGCGAGGAGGTTCAGGAAGGGGCGCACGCGGCCTAGCCCAGCTGTTACTTGTTCCTTTCTCTGCATTCGCATTGGATGTGCTATTATCGCCATACACATCGCGTGGTTTCTTCGCACTGTCATTTGACACACCCCATCCAACATTTGACCTATCGCCGTGTGTACCGGAAGGTTTCTTCGAACTATCGTTTGTTGTGCCACCAACGTCTGGCCATCCGCCTCCTCCTCCCGTGCTTCCCCAACCTCCACCCGTAGTAGCACCAGAATCTCCCCATCCACCTCCTAAATTACCCCAGCCCGAGTCTTTTTCTTTGTTGGTAGAAGCCCCTGTATCAGCGTTGTCCCATGTCCAACCACTCCCTGAGTCGTTCTTGTTACCCGCGTCCTGGTTTCCGCTGGGAGCACCTCCACCAGTATCCCAACCCGATCCACCTGTATCCCAACCTCCACCGCCTCCATTGTCCCAACTTGTGGCGGGCGCGGCGGGAGCACTATCTCCCCATGCAGCAGGGGTAGCTGGACTGAAGCTCCCGCCTCCGCCTCCACCAAAACCTCCGCCTGGAGCCCCACCGCGGCCTCTACGCGGGCCAGAAGGAGGGGCACCTCGACCTCCACCTCGTGTACCAGCCTGATATGGTTTTGGTGGTGCTGCACTGGGCCACTCTGGATCACTTGGGTGAGCAAAATAGCAACCACCACTTGCTATTCGACGGCAACCACCATTTTGTGGCGAACCGTCGTCGTCGTAAAACTACAAAGATAAAAACGTTAACCTTTCCCGTCCAGCTTCCAGGAATGAGTAAATCTGAAGTTAAACGGTGAAGCACTGAGGTAGAAGAGTGCACGACTTTCCCCGGGTAGAACATCAAAGATCAGAGGTGGACATCAAACTCACTTTACACCTGTACCTTCGAGACATTTCTCAAGTTTAGAGACAATAAGGGTGTGAGCGGCAGTTCGATTAGGTTCATTTACAGTAATGTCGCTAATGCGAAGCCTTATCAGCCAGCGTCAACCGCACCGCCAGAGCCGGTAATGTTTGACCTGATAAAGATGAAAGAGAGCTTGATAAATTCGGAAATGACGATGAACGCCAGATCCAAATGCAACGAGTACACCAATAAAGAGGTATGCGACGAAATCCAGAAACAAGGAGATTTGGTTTTTATGCGATTCCTTTGTGTTTGCCCAGTAATTGCCCTAGTTCCAGGTAGCCCACGAGTTGAACGTCGATGAGGATGTAAAGAAGAAGTCAAAGATGGGGCTGAATTCCCAGGTGAGTTAACAAGGGACTGTACGGATAAAGCACAAAGAAATTAGAAAGTAAGGATATCACAAGGTGACAAAGAAAAGTTATTGCGACGCAATAAATGCCTTTCCGTGAACTAGCATGTTTGAACGAGCGGCTTTTCTCTTCATGATCAAACAAGATATCGAGCTACAGTTGTCATCCACATCATTTATATCTAGAGGCCCTAAGCTGCTCACTTGCACACGTAGAGATAAAAATATAGACAAGACCCCAGTTCTTTATATTTCGACGAGGGTAACTGTAAACAAAAGTGTATCCTAACCTATTCTACAATACTCAAAAAATAAGTCATTCGTAAGCGTCAGTCATTCATGTCATAGCTCGCATGAAAGCGGGTAGAGGTAAGGGCAGGGGCAGAGAATAAGACAACAATGAACCAAGAAGAGGGCGTAGCGTTTCCGTCGATCAAGTAAGAAAAAAAAAATGGAGCAGATAAGGGGGAAGAAACCAGAATGAACATGCCCTCGAATATCGTTCACCAACCACCGAACCATCCTCTCGGCTGAGGCCTTCTTGCTTGCCTTCCGTTCCGCACAACCCGTCTACTGGTCGGTATGCCATCCACCTCCACTTCTTCTTCCTCCTCGTATTCATACTCCTCTTCATTCGGTCCTCCAAAGGTCTCCTCTTCAGTGATAATATCAACTGAAGTGGTTCGGGGAATTGCAGTGGAAAAGGAGGCTGATACAACTTGAGGAGTAGGGAAAGCGGCGAATCGGGTGTTGGCTGGTGGTGGTACGGTTACGGTTTCGGCTGGCATGGTTTGAGTAAAGGTGACAGTTCTGAATTCGGTTTCGGCAACGACAAGAGGAGGGAGTTCCTGAACCAAAGAAAAAAGGTTAGCAACACATTCTAACACGAGTAGAAGGAAGACCAGTTGGGTTTTTGCATCGCAAACCGAGAATAACGCGAGAAAAGAAACGGTGAATGATTATGTTGCCTTCGGCAAATCACGTGGTGAACGCGTCGCGTCGAATTTCCAACCTTTCGATCGCGTCGACCACCACCAAGAACAACCACACAAAAAACACCAACTGGCCTTCACCCTACCACAGGAGGACGAGGGGGACGAGATGAAAAACCGTTGTCCCCCAAGCCCGGACGAAGGAGGGGAGTGAATAATACGGACACAATGGATTGAAGGTTTTTTCCGGTTTTTTTAATATTTTTTTATTTATTATAAACACGACGGAAAAAAGCCTCCTTCGTCTCAGAGCTCGGGACGGCGCGGGATGGGCGGTGGTACCTTGAGTTTTCTCTTTGGACTTGTAGGTTCATAGATGTACTCTTCTTCTACAGTTGGGCTGTCGTTCCCAATAATGCTAGTGCAAGCAGTAAGCTGAGCCATTCGGTACGCATATCGTAAGAAAACTTACATTAGTTGTTCCATGATCCAAGATTCGCGACGTGACGCATCATGTTCTCTCCGGTTAACACTCTCTTCGCGACGGGTAATTTCTCGTTCACGCTCGCCAACTCGCAACTCGCGGTCCAAAACCTCCTCAGAACGAATGCCAGCCTCTTTCCACCAACCAGGGGGAGCGAGGTCCGCTTCCTTCACAACTTCCTTGATGATAGTTTGCGCAGGAGCATATTCGATTGTTTGAGATGCGAACGAAGGGCAAGGAGGGCAGGGAGCTTGAGTGGGCAACACACCACCTGGTGCACCAACAAGAAGTTCGGCCTCACGGCGAGCAACCTCAGCCTCTCGCGAGGCAACTGAGCTCTCGCGGGCTACCAAAACCTGCGAGCGTTTTGGAGTAAGGTATCCCCACAGTCCTGATGACGCGGGGTCGTCTTTGCCGGCTCCACTTGAAGAGGAGGGCAGTGAAAGCATCACAGCGAGAACAGCGAGAACCAATGATAAAACAAGCAGTAGAGTCGTAGACGAGATGGTACGGTGGTGGTGGTGGCGCTCACGTTCTGAGCGATGTCTGTGTTCACGTTCACGGTCGCGGTCATGGTGAGATGAAGAAGGTTGAGCCATCCTTGCCGTCGTTTGATTCCTGACGCTAATCGAGTTCGATGGCGACAAGGATGTCGAAGTCTGGGCGCGATATGAAGTCGTGGTGAAAGAACAAAGGACTCAGAGAAGAAAATGGGTGGTTAACGCGGTTGGTACAGGTGAAGTTGGATAGTGATGGTTTATATGCAGAAAAAGTTTGAGTAAAAAGCAAGGGGAGGGCGTCGCAAGATGAAGGGTAAGAACAAGGTTCAAGAAAGTTGAACATCCAATTGTTAAAAATTCCTTATTTACGTTATTTTCTTTATTTGCGTGCTCAATCGGAGCCAAATAATACCCTAACACGTGTACAAACACGAGGCTTTTCCTGTCAATCCCGTCCAGAAAACAATGGAAAAATAAGACTCGATAGTCGACAACGTGGACACATCAATAACATCTCGACAACCTCACTGTTGTCACTATTGGCCAATGCAGCACTCAATGTAAACAACCACGCGGATGCAAGTGTAAAAGCTGTCACTCGAAGATTCGAAGCAGCCTGGTGCGCCTTCGAGGGTGTCCACCTTCCTAAATTTACCTAACAATTACATTTTGCTCTAGGTGATCTTCTGTTACTTAGGATACCGTCGCCGGAGCCTACAAGTGCAGGACGTTGGCAGGACGCGCTATTACATTCACAATGACAGAAATATCGCGTGCAACGGTTCAACACTAAGCTTATTGACACAGATTTTTAGTAGTGCTTCGCTATCGTATTTCACACAAAGCCATATCCTCAGTTGTTTCAACATGTCCAATCTCACGACGATGCTAACATACCATAACCCGACACGGCAATTTGTCTGGGTGAGGTGATACAGTAGTGAAAGCGATAGAGAGAAAGGACTGTAGCCCGACATCTCGATCGGTCGTTTCATCCAGCCTTCACGCTTTCGTGATTTCGATTGCTCTTGCCTTCTCGCAGAATCAGCAACCACCATGATCACGTCAACGCGTAAAGAGGTTGGTAAACGTTCTTTGATTTCGAACACCAGAGTACCGGAGGAAGCACTGGAGGCAAACTTGTGGGGCGGAAGCTGGGTGGTGGCATCTCGGCAACATTCATATCTGGTCCCGAAGGGCCTAGTCCCCCGTAGGCAGTGCAAAAGCTCCCAAGGAAAACAGTTGTTCCATGTTGGCTCTGTCTCAACAACACGAAGGGCTAGGTTTCGACGGCGAGGTCAAATTTCGGTAATGTCTGCGTACTAATTGCAGTTTGTTCGAGGTGCAAGCAATCTTCTTGGGACTAATGCGAACTTTCATATCTCCCTCCCCGAACGTCCCATTGTAATAATCAACGTGCACCTGCACGCAAGTCGTGGTTTCTATCGGATGATGCCGCTCACAAAACCTCGAATTCTTAGACGGAAAAAGGTCTCCATTCGAAATTATCGACATAGGCAAATTATATTTGTCAACTGCTATTTGAAGTGACAATTACAAAGTGATACAGTTAGTTCGACAAACTTGGTATCTCTGGAGATCCGATAATTGAGCTAAATGGTCAGGAAACAACAACAACAAAAACAACAAATCCATCGTTAAAGCCTTCATTTTAAAACTTGCTTGGGTTCCTGAACCTTGAAATTTACCATATAGCGGCCGTATTGACTCAGGAAAGTGCCTAGCCGTTGGTGCACCTCTACTTGGAAATCCGTGTAGGGGAATTTTTCACCATCCACAGCCAAAATTCCCTTCGATGCCAAAGGTTTTATTCTATAAGCACTGACTTTGAAGTAGCGGTTCTAGAGGTATAGAATACTGATATCAAAGACAGATCACCTTTCTTATGGGAACCAGACCTACCGTGGTGCTCCAATATGGAACCCCGTCCTCAGCGCCATCTAAGGCCTTTAAGAGCTTAGCTCGGTTGTCCTTCACCATCTTTAAACAGCTGTTTAGTAGTATAAATGAATATAGACTCACCACTTCTTTGACAGCTATATCTATCAAGCCATCATCCGGAAGCGACACAGGAAATTGCATAAGACTCCTGAGAAGATCATCTGAATGACGTCAAATGTGTTTGAATAACTAATCCGCACCGGCTGACATACGGCCCTTTCCCGGCGTATATCCAGATAAAGGGTTTTTCATACGTCGTCCAACCCTCTTCAGTACCTCCTAGATATCGCAAGGGAGGTAGCTCTTCCAGATCGTCTACACCACTCGACGATGGGTCGCATGGCTTTTGACCTGTATTTTCTTGTGCAAAGCGAGCCATCTTCTCCTTGTCGTCTTCAACAAGCCGGAATGACAGCTCCACAGGACATGTTTTCAGCGAGAGTACTAGAAAACAATCATGAATATACGAGCAGATAGAAACGTTGAAAGGTTGGCTGATGTACCTCCACGAAGGTACCCGTAGAGAAATCGGCTGTCGCCCATCCAGCGCAGATGATCAGTTCCTATGTCTAGATCCGCCACGAGTCCAATTGATTGCGACATAAATGATATTCTTCGCTTGTCATTCTGTATGAATGAGAAGAGATCAGCCTTCATGGGATGGCCTAGAAACAATGATAATAAATCAGCTGGCTCCAGATTTCATTCAATGAAATGTACCTTTCAGAACGTTCAAGGCAGCAGCCAAAGAGTCTAGGCCATCCTGCGGTAACAGTGACATGATCAGCGGAGGAACACCAGGTAAGCATATTTTTGTTCACTTCTATGCCCAACAGGTTCAAGGAGAGTGCATTACCAGATCCAGCTGGTATAGGAGCTATAGGTATAGCGAAGGCTTTGCCAGGTTGTTCATGCTGAGCAAATCCGTTCAATACCTCGTGGATAAGTCCGTCTCCAGAAACGGTGACTACAGCATCGTACTTCAATTTAAGTTCTTGTGCGATTTCGCAGGCGTGGTTTATATATTCTGTATCTGTCAGACGATGATAATCTAGGAAGACGGCATATGACGTTTGAAGGCTACTGACATGTGATATCAAGAGTACAGCCGGCAGCTAGGAATACGGGTTCAACTTGATCCGTGAAGATGGATTTTGCCTTCCCCTATCACTGTGATTAGACTGGCATGTACTGAAACAATGGCAATAAACACACAATTCCTCCACGTGGATTCACGAGAACTTTCAAGGTCTTGCTTTGTTTTGCACCTGATAACAGGATAAATAAATTTTAGAATGAGGTGTTCGAGTCCAACTAATTAACTGCACCTTTATATGCTGCATCCATCAACTTGTCGGCCCAGTCCATTGCAAAAGTGTTATGTTCCTCTTCTACAGCACCTTCACATTTACATAATACAAAGTTCTTTTTGTGGTTCCTCGTCAGATAGGAAACTTTCAAGGAGCCTTTGGCGTAATAGGCTCCAATAACCTGGCGAAAAGGCACTTGGTCGAGTCGCGTGTTATGCGTACGACAAAAACCGGAAAAACACGAAACAGATGAACATTGACTGGAATGTTCGTCATCCATAATCCCTCCTCCATAATCCACAATTAGGTCGGCGTCAGTGAATTTCAGTAATACATTTCGTCCGTTGTTCTTCACTGTCAACTCGTGTGCTGTCGCCATGTAGTTGAATGAGTGTCCCGTTCTACTATACAATATCTCAGCTTAGACAGCTGTATCCTGTATAGAGGGTGATGGTAGTACAAGAGGTCATACAACTTTTAGAAGTGACCACCAGCCCCACTCACATATACGGGTACTGTCTTGTTGCCAAACAAACTTCTGTAAAGCATCCTCTGCCAAACTACCGGTGCTGCTGACCTCATCCGAAAGCCGAACAGCTTTCGGAAGCGCGGGACTTGCATATTATGTAACGCACATGCTGGATTGCGGACATCGGACTCCACTATCAGACAAGAGTGACTCGACATAAAAATACACCGGTATGGGCTGACATGTCCAGATGGTTTAAAAGATAACGATGTTTTTCTTTTCGCTATCATTACGAACTCGTCCTTTCTTGTGGAACATTTCTTACAAGCCAAAACGCACAATGGCGACCAAGGTACACGCCGTTGCTCAGACTGGATTCGGAACAGGCACAAATGACCTCTACGACCGGTAAGGTGTCGGATTATGGTGATAATGCAGTTTAGTCATCCGTATAATCAGAGCACGCCCGTCCTACCCTTCTCAGTCAATTGCTCACATCAGAGAGGTCGTCAAGTCTCCTGCTCCCCTCAATGTCGTCGAGTACGTTAGCCACATGTCAGGGGTATCCTTCAAATTCCTTCTGACTGTACCAAAAGAATCGGTGCTGGAACCGGTATATTCACCCGAGCATTACTTGCCCATCCTGCATGGACCGCTGATATCCACAAAGTAAAGGCCATCGAGCCCAGTGCTGGAATGCGCGAGGTGTTCTCCAAAACAGTAGCTGACGATAGAGCCACTGTCGCAGAAGGAACATTTAACCACACTGGTGTGGAGGATGGTTGGGCAGATATCGTCATCATAGCCCAAGTAAGTCTTATCTGTCAACCTACACGTCTGCTTGACCGAATGCGTCTAGGCATTCCACTGGTGCCCTGATTATGATAGTGCATCTGCTGAGTTTGCTCGGATCTTGAAGCCCGATGGTGCAACTGTATGCATCTGGAACCTGGAAGATAGGTTAGTGGTCACGCGCGTCTGTACTGCTCCTTATCTCTCAAATATGTATTTTAGGGACGGTGCTGGATGGGTCGCTCAACTGCGCGATCGTGTTGAGTCTCACGAGCAAGGCACCCCGCAGTTCCGTCTTGGCCTTTGGCGTCAAGCATTTGACACTGCATCTTATACTAAGTTGTTCCAACCGCCGGAAGAGAAAGAGTGGACGTACCATCTCCCAGGCTCTGTTGAAATCTGTGTCAATCGGGCTCAGAGTAAGAGTTACATAGCTGTCCTTCCTCCAGTCGAGAAAGCCCAGGTAGTGGAGGATATCAAAGCGATATTGGCCAAGGGCGATGGTAAAGTGTGGATGGATGAAAGTCAGGGGTTATTTGAATACCCTTACAAGACCTTGGTCGTGGTTGCCAGGAAGAATTCATAATTTATCTTTGGCCTTGTCAAAGATTTGGTTTGTATCAACACAATTGTTATGTTGTAGTAGTAGCTTAAAATTATTGTATCGCTACTTGTCACGCAAATGTGAAGACTCGGAAAATAGACTTCGCCACAATGCGTTCCCAGGCTTACTTATAATTCAGGGCTGTCAACGACAGAGGTCAGCGTAGTTGAACGAAATCACAATGACATTGCTCTTCCCAAGGCTCATCCACGGACGACGATTCGTTTCTACATCAGCCTTACATGTGGAAGGCCTTGATAAATGGATTGCGTCCAAAAAGCAGCTTGTCTTGCATGATACACTCCGGGCTGAACATCTCTCTGATCTCTATATTACACTGCCCACTCGTGATGGTGGACAAGGACGACCATACCAACCTCCCAGAGATGGTACACAGTTAAGCTTCGGACACCATCTAGTATTCTTCCACCCTCGTAATCCTGAGTCAACACTGCGTGCAGATGGGACAGACACTGATTTCTGTCCCCCTGAGCCATTCACGCGCCGAATGTGGGCAGGAGGATCCATGATATGGAACCGTAACAGTCCGCTGCTGGTCGGGAGCAAAGCGACAGCGGTGTCTACGTTAGAGAAGATTGAAAAGAAAGGATTTGAGAAGAATACACCCATGGTTTTCGTTAAGCAGAAGATCGAAATAACTATCGAGGGCTCAAATGAACCGTCTGTAGTCGAGGAGAGGTCTCATGTATACCTAACATCGGGCGGAAACAAGCGTCTGGCACGCGAAGGTGCCAGTGCATATTTCTTTTGCTGATGGACCACATATGCTCATCATATCTGCACAGTCCAAGGGCTGCCAACACCAGATTTTTCCTTTCACTTCACACCAAGCCTAACGACACTGTTCCGTTTCTCTGCTCTGACTTTCAACGGCCACTATATCCATCTCGACAAGGATTATGCACAGAAAACTGAGGGCTATCCTGGTGAGCATGCCCTGCGAACACAGAACCTACCTGCTGCTCTGCTGACCGCTAAACTCTAGAGAGACTCGTCCATGGCCCTCTCACGGCTCTCATGCTACTAGAAGCAGTCGTGTTCCAGAAACCTGGTTTGAAGATAAAGTCCTTCGATTACCGAGCAAGAAACCCCGTCATAGTTAGTCGACCAGTGATTATTAACGGAACCTGGATGGACGAATCGAGAGTGGAGTTATGGTCAACGGACGACAATGGTGTTGTGGGAATGACAGGTTCTGTCACATATTCAAGATAGTCGAAAACCAGTATGTTATAAGATTAAGAGTGTTTGCATGTCTCACTGTTTTGCAGGAAAAATGTAACTCGTTTGTGAGGTAGAAATTACGAACTCGTGTTTCTGAGAAAGGGGAATAAGACACGTGGACGGTTTGTTGTAGAATACGATAAAGATCCTCAGAAATAACTTGACATAGACAAGCGCTGAACTTTTCCCAACGCGCTAGTGGCTATTCAAACTCCGACAACACGCTTATAAGTCGCGTCGCGTCGCGTTTGTTGATCAAGACCTGCACTTGAACTACTCCCAACACCAAACCTCTATTTTTCAGTCTCGTCTGTTGTTTTCTATATTCATATTCAAAAGTAACATATTTATTCGTGATTGTTTTCTAGGTTACTCAAAATGCCTCCCAAAGTAAGTCCCTTCTTTCCTGCTTGATTTCGAACAGCCATTTAAAGCATTAAATCCAGCCTGTCTCTACCGCTAGCAAGGCCCCTGTGTCTTCCGCTGCTAAAGCACCTGCATCGAAGGCAGCAAAGAAAACGGCCAAGGAGCCAGCGCCTGAAGGCGAGAAGAAGAAGCGCCGCAAAGCTCGCAAGGAGACCTACAGCTCTTACATCTACAAAGGTCAGTTCATATCTATATGCATTACCATTCTAGTTGCTGAAAGATATGCAGTTTTGAAGCAAGTACACCCCGATACTGGTATATCCAACAAAGCCATGGCCATTTTGAACTCCTTCGTCAATGACATCTTCGAGCGTATTGCCACTGAAGCTTCCAGTAAAGTCTCATTTTCAGCTATATCAACACTTCACTGACCGAATCTGCAGAGCTTGCTGCGTACTCCAAGAAGTCGACTATCTCATCACGAGAAATACAGACTAGTGTACGCCTTATCCTTCCTGGTGAGCTAGCAAAACATGCTATTTCAGAAGGCACCAAATCTGTAACGAGTGAGTGCCACAGTCCTTGTAGATACATTAGTTGCTAATAGTTATCCAGAATTTTCTGCCGGCAAATAAGCTGTGTCGCTCATTTCCTACGCGATCTTTACTGTATCATATTTGCAATCTATATGTTGTACAATACACACATCATTAACACCTAGATGAACAAGCTTGAGAGTACGGCTTAAGGTTAAATAATCAACTGAGAATTAGGACTATCCCTCGAACAGGATTAGAAGCCTGTGCAATCTCAAGTTAGATGATGTGGAAAATAGTAGGAAGATGGATACAATACCATATTTATTTCCAGCCTCCTTCCTGTTTCTCCGTCCCTGAGCAATTCTCTCTTCAAGAGCCTCACGATTCGTGTATGCCTCGGTAAGTAGTGTAGTCAATTGATGGCGAGATCGTGCCCTTCCACCGAGTTTTGCTCCCTATGAAGAGACAGTCATCAGACAACCTCAACATGTACAGATTATGAAGACTGCTTTTACCTGCACGTTCATCCTAGGTTGAGCAGGTTCGGCATCTCCTGCCTTGGTGACAGCTTTCTTCGCTTCGCGTTCTTGGATCTCCTTTCGAGCTTTCTCCATCTCGCTGGCCATATCAACCTCCTGAGCATCAGCAGTTGCGGCAGCCTCAAACCCTCTGGCTGAACCCTTCTCTAGAGCACGGACATGACTGTCGTAGTCTTTCTTCCATTTCTGATAAAACTTTTTATAATATTCTGAATCGTACGCCTCCCATGCACCTGTCGGTGTTAAATAGTAGCCCGGGTAAGGATCGTCTGGACTGGGCTCAGGGGGCGTAAACATGTCAACGCGGGGAGCAGATGAAATGGAAAAAGACGGTGTAGCTAGCGGAGTCGAGGATATAGGAGGCTTTGAAGAAGATGCCAGACCGTCTACGAGAAAACATGAATGCATGGCAGACAAAAATACGAAAATGTACTTTACCCGATGAAAATAAGTCGACAGGGGGTGCAGACGAGACCTTGCGCGGATTTTGTTTGGGGTTGATATCATCCAACGAAACGTTAGCTTTACCTTTCGCTAGAGATGGAGGGATCATGAAAGTTGACTGCACACTTTGCGCTGTTTCTGGATTGTCCGTTGACGTAGACCCGGTGTGGTGCATACAGTCTTCGTCATCTCCCTCCGGACTGGGAGCCGATGGCGCTGAATCTTTCGTATGTGATGTACGAAATACGAGACCAGGACCTTGGCCAGCGCCGAGAACACGCTGCGGAGCAGGTTTAAGAGATGTTTTCTGCTTTGGTGCAGGTAGCATAGACACGAGTGAGGAGGCGCCTGCCCCAGTCGTTAATCTTGGTTTTTTTGCAGGCGGTGGCTCATCCCTTGATTTTGATTCTTCATCTTCTGGGAGTAAAGCTGGGAGACCGATGGCTATTTTCTTAGGTGCTCGCTTTGTCTTTGAAGGTGCTGAGGAACCATTTGTTGCTTGAGTGATAATGGAACGTTTGGGCGCAGGAAGTGAAAAAGATGATTTTGGAGGAGGTGGTAGTTCAGCAGCCAATGAAGAGGTGGATTTTGTCCCCAACTCCAAGGCTACCTCGTTGTCGCTTTCGTTGTCGCTGCCGTAGTCCTCGATGCCTAGCATGTTCGTGGTGGTGTGGTACAGACGTTTACTCTTGTTTGGCCTCACATTCTTAACGCGTCCAGCTTGCGAAATAGTCCAATGCCGCTCCAACCTGAAGGCCATTGTTTCATCTTAGACAACTACCACCACTGCGACAATGGCGACCTTCTCGCAATCGCCTGCACCGCGCAGGACCCATCGTCATGGCTCTCCTGTGAGCGGTAGAACACCACCTGCCTCAAGACGTCGCGTCGCAGTCGGGACTAGCAAACCATCATCTCGAATGGTCACACCTTCACATGCGGGAGACAGACATCCTTTTATGCACGAAGATGCTTCTGTGATGTCTGGAATGGACGTCGATGAAAACACTATTCTGTTCACCGAGCGTACCAAAACCGATATGATATTCGCCAAATCCGAAGAACTATCAGTCACATTTTACGCTAATTTACCTATGGAAGTCAGACAGGTATTGAAAAACGCAAGTACGTAGTTGTGTTTCTTGAATTTTAAATAGCTTGATTAAATGCGATATTTTATTATGGCACATAGACTTTTACGGTGATTCTTATTCAGGAGAGATTGATACTCTTACTGGTTTCGCGTTGATAGTCTCAATGCGGACCTGCTTTGTGTGGCAGCATGCTCAGGTTCAGTCGCACTTTGTCTCTATTTCAACTCAGTCACTCATGCCCTGTGTTAGGCATTAAAAAGCACTCCGACCTGCTACATTTTTGCATGTCCAGTCGACAATAGCTGCCCCCATCACGCTCTCGTGCCGTACGGACAGTCTCGTGAACCTGGTCTAATATTGGTTTCTCTTCGAGGTGAAGTTCGCTTCTGGGATAGCATAGGTATAGGACTTGCGGGTGGAGAGCACTTTTCCACAACTCATCTGGAGCTGAAGGAGGGCGAGAGTATATCGAGTCTCATTCGGTCGGATGTAAGTACCGACCAGCCCCCACTTGGTCTCTATATTGGCTCAAAAAATTGGCATACAGCCTCAAACTTACATAACCGCAACTTCGACGGGACGTCTGTTTCGATTGTCTCTAACATCTGCAGGGGGAAAGCAACATCTGCACCCTCGCGTCTTTTCCCGACCACAGGCCTCGTCGCTGTCCTTAAGTCGCCTATTGCCCAACTTGTGGTCGACTGCACCGCCTTCTATCCAATCTGAGAGCGGGAATATCAGCGCCATTGCATTAGGAGAATCCAACAGTCTTGGGAAGGAAATATGGTCTCTTGTTGATACAAGAATACAAAAGTGGAATATGTCCATAGAAGGGTGGGAGGAGATTTTACTTGACGAGGAATTGGCAGGTATAATTCGACCAGCTATTCGAAGAGCATTCAGTTCGGCTCCAGCTGATAACAGCACTCTCGATTTGGAGCTACTGGATTTAGCGGTAGAGAGGTATATTTCCATATCTACATATCGAGAATCGTCGACTCATCTGCGTAGGTTAGGAACACTGGTTATCTTGGTGTCTTACGCAGGTATAGAAGAGGGCAATGCTATGGACGTCGGGTCACATCCTCGTCGAATATATGCTCTAGTTCGTTTAGCATTTATCTCGGATATTTTCAAAGTCGAAAACATAAGTAGTGTGCCTTATCAAAGTGTAGGTCTTTGACTTGTTGCACATAGTTAGTTCTCAGTTCTTATCATATTTTAGACATCGCGGTCTGGTGCTCCCGTGCATCCTCGTATGAGCTTGATATCGGATGGCGCTTTGATCAGCATACAGTTTGGAGATGCCGTTGCTCTGTGTAGTAGAGGTATCTTTCTTGTTGTTCACTCATCTAAGTAGCAGCTCTTTCTTACTTTTTGGTGACAGAATCCGAATATCAGGATTGCCTCTGGTTGAAGTCTGCTACCGACAGAACGCTAGGTGTTGGAGTGGTCGAGGCCGAAAGCGCACTGCTAGTGTTAACGGCAGCTACCATGATGAAAGTCTACGTTAATTTGGATGCAGTTCAAGAGTTTGATTCCGAGTGAGATTGACATTCTAACTTGTGTCCTCGGATTTTTCCTGATGTCCTACTATAGGACTGGCCGTGCCGGTCTCATCAAGTCAATTATGACTCAAGCAATTCTTTATGGATCCATCCCTGAGGCATGTTCTCACCTTCTTCTAGTTATTTATTGTTTTTCTTATGAAACCTGGAAGTGTAGAACCCTTTACATTTTGCCTTTCCCCCTGAAGTTGACGAGGAAAGTTTGATGATTGGTGCCGAGCATCTCAGTCGATCGGTCCTTGAATCAGGTATAGTTGGTTCCAGCATTTTCTTTCACCTACTCTTACCTTCTCATAGAACCAGAGATCATAAGGCCAAACCATGACCTGACCTCTCAGTTGTCAGAACGTAAAGGGCGGCTGAGCTGGCTCATCAGATTTATCAATGACAATGGGGGCCTGACCAAGGTTGGTAGATATTGCATAAAGCAACAAAGTAGTTATTAAATCTCTACAGATGTCTCAAAAGAGCCGCCAAAGATTGGCAACAGACGCTGAAAAGTTGTATGCATGTCATCAGCTATGGATTGCTATCAACGAACACTTTGAGTGCGTTTTATTTTATATTATTGGTAAATTCAATGCTGAGAGCATCGACAGTCGTGGGGCTACACATAGTATACTGAGCGAAGCTGTCTACGCGTATATGGAAGCAATCGCGGACAATAATCATGAGGACATCATCAGAGCTTTTTTCAAATACAGAGTCTCGGATATTGGAAAGCTTCTTCCGTATATCCTGCAAGCTATTCAAAATTCTGCTCGAGACGTTGCGAGAGACCTCTCCGTCTCACTACCTGAAGCAAATAAAAACACACTGGTGAGCTTTCCATCGTTGTTGTCCAAGTTTCCAGAATAATTCGGTATCAGACGATACTTAAATCGGCCTTGGACTACCGCGCATATAATCTGGGAGTGTATGGAATCGACCTTCCGATGATCAAGCCATGGACTAGTAGGCCTGCTGTCATTGACATTGTTTTGGCGCTTTTCGATACTACTACCAAAGCTGTCGAGTCTCCAATATCGGATGATGTTGCTACTAAACTTAAAAGCGAGTTAAGTTTACAGCTTCCTGCCCTTGCATCTATATTATTTTCCTGCATTCTTGAAAGATTGGAATGGCTAGAAAGGTACGGCTATACACTCTTATACTGAGCGGTGGATCTGACTGCAAATCTGAAGTGCTGTTGCTGCTGACGAGCCTGCAACGGAGCGAGACAAGAAAGAGCTTCAGGACAGGTTCGAGCAGCTGCGTCCGGAAGTCTTGGAGACATTACGTGAGTGATGGCCATCAATCTTTAGCAATCCTGTCTGATAGAAGGTTCACGATAAGGTGTAAATGGCCACATAGAGGAAGCTTTCACTCTAGCTGAAAACTACAGAGACTTCCGCAGCCTCGCCTCTCTTTGTAATAAAGATACCACATATCCTCCTCAAAATAACCCAAACGCAGTTCGAATTCAGACATATATCGAGAGGTTTAGGGAAGAGTTTACTACAGAACTTTACCGCTGGTACTCGGAACACGGTATTTCACATTATCGTTTAATCCTATTCCTCATTCCTGAAAGGGGACTTTTAGGAGAACTGCGGGTGATGTTCGCCCAAAAAGACCTGTATAGCGGCTACATGGATAAATTTTTCGCTGATCACCCTAGGCCCACGATCTCCTGGATTCATGATATTGGAAGAGGTCGCCCTGCCGCCGCTTCTGCATCTCTCCTAGAAGAATCAACGCGTGCTCCTGAGTTAGAGGTCAAACAAGTTAGTAAGATCTCCTACCCTGACATTATTGTTACTTACATATCCACTTTCGTGTCACATGTAGTTCATGCTTAGCGTAGGGAAGCTTTGCCAGTTGGCTGCACTACAAGAAACGGAAACACTGCCGCCGCTTGCAGATGATTACCTCGACGGTAAGCAAGCTGCTAGTGTTTGCCGGTGCTTTGCTAACGCTTATGTGTAGCTTTTCATGACGGCTTGGATTTCGTAAGCGTACAAGAAAAAATGCTGCAGGAAATGAAAGCTGCTATTGCCTCTGTCCGCGGAAAACAGTCCCTGGATAGCCAGGTAGAAAAGATAGCAATAGCCAAAGGCAGCAAACTCCAGAGTCGAGAGGCTTTACTTGATGTAAACGCAATACTAGTCCTGACCAAACTGTAAACTCACCAGTTTTTCCTTAGGTCTTCAAAAATTTGATCCGACAAATGCTACAAGGTCGGGCTTTATCAATTGAAGACGCGGTAGATATTCTTACTTTGAAGGACAACGCTGAGGATATTGGCGATTATACCATCGCCCTTCATCTGCTTTCGCGAGCTACGGTAAGCTAAGAGTCCACAACGGTTGGATAGCAATGGCTGACCATTTAATCTTCAGGATCAGGACATACCTAGTGTCAGAAGAAAATCATCCTTCAGGAGAGTGTGGTGCCGAATTTACAATCATGACGAGTACGTGTTTTGAGCACTCACCCTACTCAATGTGTGATTACTCATCCTCTTCTTTTGATAGCTGGGATGAGATCAGACAAACAGCAAATGTGACAGATTCTCAGCTTAATTCCAAATTCCGAAGTACTGCGTTGTATGCTACTCTCCTTGTCGTTCTTTCCAATCCGCATCAACTGGAAGGCTACGATCTCGAACCATCTCAGGCTTTACCTGTACCCCTGATGCCAGAAACGTCGTCTCGTTGGCCTGGCATGCCACAAGAGCAGGTAGAAGCATTGGGTCGTGATTATCGGGCGGAGAGCACTGAACTGGAGCAACTGCGGCTTGAAGATATATATCACCGCGTGAGGGAGTTGGCCGTGAATGATACCATGTACGGCAGCGGGCAGTAGCAGTTATATAGTGTTTTGGTCATCGTGCTTTGCTCGAAACTAGTCGACCGAACAGAGAATCTTTAAACCTCTGGTACTCTACTCTCGCGCCCATCATGATTAAACTGAAGTTTCTCGCTCTCCATTCATCTGAGTACTCGTCCTGCCGTTGTTTCTCCTGAATGACCCAGTCTTTGTAGAACACCGAGAGCGCAAGCTCGCGGTCGTGAGCGCTGGCTGAGCTAGGCAGGCTGTCTAATGCAGATTGTTTCGAAGCTTCGAAACGGGTGTTGCTCTGAAGGCAGTGTCATCTGGAAAACAGGCAACCTGAGGTAACCTAAGCACTCACGTCTGTCCAATATTTGTGATTGAAGGCATCCAACTGCTGCCTCTGAAGCTTATATTGCAACTCGTGATCGCGCTCGTCTTCCGTGAACTCTCTTAACGAGTACGGGTGACGGGTTTTGGTTGGTGGTGAAGGAGCATCGTCGTACAGGATGGGTCGAAGGTTGGAAACTGGGTCTGAAGGACCGATGAAATCACAGGATCTGATAGAGGAGTGGAATGAACGAGCGAGTTGTGGAAAACACGAGCGCGGAGTCCTCGTTATGACTTGCCTGAGAGTGCAAGGATTCATGATGGTCACTTTAACGTTATAAAAATATTCAAACTGAGGCGTTCATATCGAGTCCGAGTCCCGTTAAGCACAGCCACAGGCCGAACCTATACTTTACCATTGCGAATTTTTCTAGGACATTTTAAGGAACTCAGACGTAGGGACTTTTATGGTTTACAATATAAGCTTGTATAAGAATATCTATGACAGGGCTAGAAATCACAGGTGGCGGCCCTTGGGTTCCTCCACCACGTCGGTAGACTTCGAACTCAAGATACCACCAGCTATCCACGAACCGGCAAGCAAGCTCAAAAACACCCACACTCCTTTGACCTCGTCCTTGTCCAAAGGCCTTGAGCCCGCTGGTTCGGATGAAGAAGAGGATGCCGCCGTCCCAGTACTGGAAGAGGATGTTCCCACCTTGAGCGAGGAAGGTAAGCCAATGTCGTCGGCGAGGTCTTTCCAGAACCCGCTGCGGGGAGAGGCAGACGACGCGTCTGTGTCGACTGACTGAGGCGGATGTTCGTCTAGGACGGTAAGGTCATCGTGATTTTGCATGTTGGTCGTTGGCTCGCCGCCGTGAAGAGCGGTAGTACCTCCCACAACTAATATTTTTGGTAATGCAAGCTCTGGAGACTTTTCTTTTGGTGGAGCTGATTCCCAGAAATCAGGAAGAAACGGCTGGTAGAATCACTGTCAGGTGACTGTAACAGATACAGTGTGTTTCGAACCTACAATTTGAACAGGTGTTTCAGGATACGGCTGCGAGAGATCTGGAAGCCTGACAATCATAAGAGGCGACGAAGAGGCACTGGCTGGCTGGGAAGATGGGGGAACACCCGGCGTGGCGGCTTGAGTGGAAGCATTGCGGACGCCTGATGCAACCTGCGGTGGTGAACGCTGTGCGTGCTCGCCGACGGTGCTTTGATCATGTTCCTGTATTCTGGAGATGAGTGTTGCCTTTGTCCCTTGCCTGGGCGTAGACCTAACCGGTCAATGCTGGTGAGGCTAGTGCGCGACGAAATGCACATACTGTGACAAGCCTCGTTTCTTGGCTTCTTTTTTAAGGACCACTAGGGTCTCTTTTGTCCATGATTTCTGGAGGAGTACGGCAGAGGCGAGAGTCCTGTTGCGTGGTCTGAGTAGTGGCCTTGCAGAGGTGAAGCTGGCGCGCAACATGGTCGGGTGCAGGTATCGATACTGGCGGAAGAAAAGATAGAAAATGGGATTACATAATAACCGGGACATGTGGCAGCACCAGTGCCATCCGCATTGTACGCTGTTTTGCACAGATTTATTGGTACGACGGCGGCTAGGAGGGCGAAGGGTTGCGTGTGTTGGCGCTGTGATTGCAGATGTCTGCCGTAGTCTAAACAAAGAACGAGGCATGGTTTCTCATTGGGTATTGGACCCGCTCTGCCTCGTGTTTCTGTCGCGTGTTCGACACCCACTTGACAATCAAATCCTGTTTACCAAGATGACTCTTTCACCTATACCAACTCTGACGCTCTCTCCTTTTCACGTCGTGGTCCATGTTACTCTCTCCAGCGTAAGCCCCCTTGCCCCATAATCATCATCTTGCTCTCTTATCTCGCTTTCAAACTGCGGCTCTTTCGCTTTAGATCCACAAACGCCAGCTTGCCTTCCCAATCCTTCTGGGGCAAGTTCAAGAACAAAAACAGCAAGGAGGCTGAGATGCGCGAAAAGCAGGCTCAAATGGCTCTGGCTAGGCAGCGTCTCCTCACGTTGGCGTACGAGGATATGGAGACAGTGCGCATGGTCAGTCCCTTCGATCCCCTCCGATACTAGTCGCTTACCCCCCTCCTGTAGCTTCCCCAAAGATTTGAAGTAAGCTTCGCTAAACTTTTTCTCCGTCTCGTTTCTAATGCACCTCTAGGATCTTGAGGCAGTTGCGAGAGACTGGACCAAGCCTCCTCCAGAGGCCATCTTCAGTCTGAGAGTGCCTGTAGAATATGCATCGCTGAGTGCCTCTGTAAGTCTGATAATCAAGAATGTCTCATGATGTCGCTGATATGATTCTTAGCGATTGGTTTCGGGCCCTTATATTTATGTATGTACCAAAGACATGATATCAATAATCCTTCCAGCTCAATAAAACGCTTAGTTGACCGGAGAGGACTCGTATCAGATTGCAATAATGGGTGTACAAGGTTTACGAGTCGAAATCGTCAGCGATGCCCCTCCACCACCAGACGAACCACCGTAAGCGTCTTCATATCCTGAATCTTAACAAACTTATAACTACCCCTCTCATCTCCAACAGACCACCTCCGTAAGTGTTATTTTTTTGACATCGTTCTGCTTGACCAAGTACAATGCACAGCCCTCCACCGGTCCTTGAAATGCCAGCCACTTTCAATCTGGAACTTGTCCCTGGTCAACAGGTCGCACTTGACACCACCGTTGCTTCCATCGACGAGCTTGATATGGCTCGCATGGAAGACGGCACTACGGTCGATGGTATGTTCTGGGGCAAACTCGATATCGTGCACGACGGCGATACACATAAAATGGAGTTCAGCGGTACTCGCCTTATAAATCAGGATGTGTCACAAGAGTTGATCGTTGATTCTCGAGTCTTGAATAAAATTTCCGTTGCCACCAAACCTGCTGCCGCTAAATGCCATCTCAGTATACTGGCTCCTGCTCAACAGTACTGCGACGTGGTTTTAACTCTATCGCCGTTGTGGAAGTTAGGTGTTACGTGGCCACCTGCAGAACCTTTGGGGGAAGGGAAAGTCAAATACTTCCTTCGAGTTCACCCTGGTGGTGCGCTGGAGCATTTCGAAAGCGAGATGGTGGCTACTGCCCTATATTACGAAGTCATGTGAGTGCACTATTATGTGTGAATTATACCCTTTACCTATTGTCCTTTAGACCTGATCCTTCGATGATGGATCCTAACGACTATATTGCTCCTCGTAACGGTTTTGCTATGTCTTTCCGGGACTTCATACCACATTTTATGAATGTGCTGGACCAATTGGGCATGTCCCTTCATGCGCGGACCAATTTTATCAAGTAAGTTTTTTTTTCAGAACGTGTATGGAGATATGCTAGACCAATATTTTCTAGCAATAACATGTCTGCCTTCTCCTCGCATAAAAATATTGCCTATCGTTTCCTTTCACCTAGTAAAATCGCTGCAGCCTTTGATATCTCGGTAACGGCGGATCCTTGTATCTTTACTCGTCTCTTTCTCATATTCCGCGGGATGTCTGACGACGACGTTGGGCTTTTCGCGGGAGCTGGCGAGAAAGAAGCCAATTCGGTTAACTGGCGAGAGGTTGTAGGGTGGTCTGAGAATTCCAAGGACACGACTCGATTCCGTTTACTAGAAATGTCGGTCTTGGAGGTGACTTGAGGTCTTGCCGTACATTCTTGGCTCCTATTTTGCTCGGTTGATTTCTTTTTCTTTTTTCAGTTCACTGGTATGAATTGACAATCGCCCGTCACTTATCTTTCCAAGGGTGCTTTCTTTGTTGTCAGGCTTTGTAGTACGCATATATCTTGATCATGAGGTTTACTTTTGCTATCTTTTCCTACTGTTTTACTAGCATCTTCTTCTACATCTTATTGTATTTAACGATGGCTCCCCTTCTTGCTCTTGTATCCACTTACCTGAATACACTCCTTAATTTCCACTAATGTGACAGCGATTGTGTGACGCGGTGACATAACGCGACGCGTTTCATCAACAAGCTCTCAGCAGTCATCACAACTTGCACTCTTGGAACATTAAAGCTATTCTGTGGAATACGCCACGTACATCTCTGGAGCCATGAACAAGCTATCTGAATAGTAAGTTTATTCCACCTTTGCATGTGGGCGCGTTTAACCATGAGATTTTACCCAGTGAGCTGGAGCGCGAAGCCAATATTGCTCGAAATCGTGTTTTGCTGGAGCAGTTGGATCTCAAAGGGGTTGGAACGCAGATGGGTTTCCCCGCAAATAAGGTATCGCCACCCAAGGCGAAAGCCAAACCGATACAACCTAGAATAAAGAGGGAAAAACCCAAGATCGAGGCCCCTCCCCGGGAGACTAGACAGTCTGCGAGACTCAAGAAAGAGGTGGTCGACCCCAATGAGAGCCCGTCGAAGAAAAGGAAGCGAGAGGTACGCGATGAACTGGCTCGTAGTTGTGTCTGCTTACTCAGTGAGTACGACGCGATAAGGCTGAACAGGAGGAGAGGCGGAGGAAGGAGGAGGACGAACGGTTGGAGGCTGAGGAGAAAGCTCGCATCGCAAAACGCCCACGCCATGACGATTTAGATATTGCGACCCTTGCCGATGATGCGAGTAGTGAAGAACTTGCTAGCCTAAGGTCCGCTTTCCAGGTGGTCACTGGGGTGCCGCAACCCAAGCGCGTAGCAGCCGCAGACGCTTTCGTATTCGAGGAGGATAAGAAGGAGAATGTGGCTGTTACGGCACTGAGAGAGTCGATGCGGAAACTGAAGGTTGTAGCACGAGCCAAGGTGACCGAGGATAGGATTTACAGTGCGGCGTATCATCCGGAGATCACTAAAGATCTTATTTTCTTTGGAGGTGAAGTACATTCACTCTGGCGTTGACTGTTAATTGACATGGTTTCAGACAAACATGGGCAGTTAGGCATATGGGACGCACGTGCTCCGGCCGCTGAAGTCGCTGATGAGGACGGAGAAGTGGCTTCAGCGGAGGATCAGGAAGGCGGAAAGTATTGGCGTTTGCAGCAACATTGGCCAGCGACTTCTAAATCATCTATATCCTCCATCAAGTTTGACCCTTTGGACTCTCATAGCGTACGATTTTATGAGTCTAATCAAATTTTGCACTTATTGACCCCCGTACGATTCGCGTATTCTAGGTCTTCACAACGTCTTATGACTGTACGATTCGCAGCCTGTCTTTTACATCGGGGATTTCGCAGGAGATATATTCGTCAGAGGATAATGCATTAATCACTAGCATTGATATGCCTCCTCGTGGCAATGAAATGTGGATATCTGACGCTGAGGGAGGGATCACTCACCTCGACATGCGGGAGGATAGAGACAAAGCTAGGCGATATGAGCTTGCTGACCACAAAATCGGGTCCGTCAGCGTAAATCCGACGAGTCCACACTTCCTACTGACAGCTTCAAACAATCGGACACTAAAGTAAGATACACCTTGCCGATTTGTGAATCCCAGTTGATGTAGTGTCGTTTTCCAGGATATGGGATTGTAGGAAGTTACAAACGTTGGCTATTGGATCGGGCCGAGCTAAAGGCCCATTCAATCACGACTCGGAAACTGTACAAGAGTTCGTGGAGTCGAAGAAGGGGAAAGGCTGTTTGCGTGGGGAATTTAGCCACGGCAAATCAGTTAGCTCGGCGTATTGGGATCCAAGGGGGAGGAGTGTCGTTAGCACGAGTTATGACGACACACTACGACGTGGGTATTTTATGCTTTTCATCTTTAACCAAGTGGAATTCACCGTAAATTATTATGCACAGTTTGGGAACTTGACGCTACAAAATATGAATCGCGGAATGAGTTCCCTTCCTTCACACCTTTCAGCCGCATGAAGCATAATTGTCAAACGGTAAAATCACATGCTACGCATTGTTTTCCGAAGGCTCACTTTGAATCGTCATAGGGGAAATGGCTAACAATTCTGCGAGCTGTCTGGACGCCTAATCCAGATGTATACCCACATTTTACGGTAAGTCCGTAGGATAATCATGATTTATGGGTAGTGACAGTACTGGTTTTCTTATCTTACTGACCTCCTCGTGCGTAGATCGGTAACATGGACCATTCGCTGGATATCTACTCATGCAAGGTAAGCCTTCCATTGGCTTTATTGATAACCAATTTACTTCATGCCATCCTATATAGGGAGACCTGATTGCACGACTCTCAGATCGTTCACGGTGTGTATTTTACGTCGGATTTTCCGCTGTAACTGACGGTGTTTGCAGGATTACCGCTGTCCAAGCTGTCACATGCTCACATCCTAGCATTATAGAAAGGGCTGCAAGTGGTAATGCAAGTGGTCGCTGTGTGCTCTGGGCTCCGTCTTCATGACACACTCCTGCTGTGATACTTGGGATATTTAACACTATTTTCATTATTTCGGTCGTTTGGCTTACAGGAATTAGTCAGTTGCACACAAGACGTATACGATAGTAACCTTTCAATCTGTCCTGAATATTTATCTCATATATATGGCTGTCTGATTCACACTATTAGGATAGAACAATCATGCATGTCGATACTACTAAACGAGCAAAGAGTGATAATACTAGTATGACCAATTTTCCCATGCGAGTAATAGTACAGTTGGCGGGTGTACAGTATTAAAAACAGGTGATAACACAAGATCTGTAGGAAGTATAGGTCACAATGGCATACCAACTGATATGGGTATGGGAGGTTCTGTCGCTGCCGCCGGACGTTTTCCTTCCCTGCCCAGGCCAGCCGCTCGCTCAGCTTCCTCTATCGTATAAGCTGGCTCTTTGAGCTCTTTGCATCGTCTTTTGTGAACTTTGCTTCTCCAATGTGACCGCAGTGCAAAGTCAGTTTCGTAGTATCTGCGTTCCGAATTCGTTAAACATCGTGCAAGTTGAAAGGACTGAAGAGCCTTACTTGGCGCATTCGACACAATAATGCTGAGCTAAACCTGGTTTTTCAAAGTCAAGAGGTTGTGCTTCTAATGCTGCACGGTTCTGAAGAGAGATAAATGGTTAAGAATGGATGGATAGGAGGGCTAAGACTGACTTTTGGATCGAGGTCAATCAGCTGTATTTGATCTAGGTCTTTTGTACGGACCTATGAAAGTACTTGAATAAGATCAAGTGGCAAAACACACAGGACACAGCGCTTACTCTAGTCCTAGAAGCTCTGTGAACATCCCGTCGGGCATGGTGCGCTCTTGAACGACGAAGGCGACCCATGTGGATATTATTTTTTTCTTGATCGTATTCTTGATCGTTTATTGAAAAGAGGAGACCCTAACCTTAATTATGGGTCGTCTCGAAACGCGCTCTGAATAAACATTGGACCAAATAACGCGTGTTTACCGTGACCACTTGGCATGGCATCTGCTATAGCACTCGAAGACATCTGGGACGCGCCCATCTTACCCTCAAATCCCCCACATATATCAGAAAACCAGAATGAAAACAGCTCCAAGAATCCTCTCTTTCTTTCGTCCGACTCAGATAATGACATGCCGCAGAAGGCGGCTAAGCCATCCAAACCTGATATAGACGCCATGTTCGAGGACTTGGATGAAGATGATGATTTGGCTTTTAAGCCATTGGCACCAGCTTTGGACCTCGAGGCCTTACGACGTGAAGCCACAGCTAAACATTCGAAGAATAACGCCGCCTCTGCTTCACAGGCAACACTGACAGGCACTCCAGCGTACGAGTCTCAAGGTAAACATGACGAGACGCAAAACAAGAAGGATAACGAGGATGATAAGAAGGAGAGAAAGAAACTGCCCAAGCTAGATGATGCCAGGCTACTAGGTCCGAGTGGTTTTCCTCAGTTGATCAGAGATACGAAGAATTTCGTCCCAAGAGGCAAGGGGCACGAAGTTAGTAATGATTTCTTCATTATTATTAACAAGGCTGATCGTTTTGGATAACAAGGCAGCAGATCTCAAAAGCATCCTGCAAATTTACCAGTTCTGGACGCATAAAATGTTTCCAAAAACACAATTTCGTGATACGGTTGATAGAGTTGAGAAACTATGCCACTCCAAACGAATGCATGTAAGATATACCTTCACTTTCTTGATGTCTGGCTTTTGTCGCTGAACTGTGGGCGCTTGCATAGGTAGCTTTGAGTGTTTGGCGCGATGAAGCCAAAGGACTGGTAAATGGTCAAAAACCAGGAGACGACGATAGCGCGGTCGATCTTACATCCGATGTAGAGTTGGCCCCTAGTACAAAAGACATTCAGAGGTCTGCATCGGTAACCCGAATGGATGATCATCAGCGGTCATCTTCAAGGCCTCCTTCTCTGCCGCCGTCATCTTCCGAGCCGGAAGATGATGACTTTGATATAGATGCCGTGATTAGAGAGGAAGAGGAACGTGCAGCTGCTATGAAGGCGGATTCCGCCATGTCTGCTTCGGTAGTATCAACTACCAGTATTGCGACACCTTCCACGAATCCACAATACAGTAATAGGAACAGTGGCGTTCGTGTACCCGATCTAGACGATGAAGATATGTGGGAGGCGCTAGACGCTTTCGAGGATCCCCTTCTCGATACCCCTTCGGATCAATTGGGCGTAAAGCCAGCTTCTCTCCCTGCGGCAGATGCTCAAGGTGAAGACGAGGATATGTGGGACATTGCTCGAGAAATAGAGCACGACGGGATGCAGTCTTCTAATGCTACTTCGTCTGCTGTCCCTCTTTCGCGAGAACCATCTAGTGCGAACACTTCTATAGGGACTAATGACGAGGGATGGGATGATATGTATTTATAGTAAATTTATGGGAAGGACGTCGACGTTTGTATTAATATTGTACCACTACTACCTAACAGTGTCGCCAGCGCCAGTGCCACTTGAAAACTACTCTCGTCTGAAATACAGCAAGGCGATAACTACGATACACTGGGGTAGTTATTGGGCATGCAGTAATGATATCTAACAGAAGGGGCAAGGGGTGCATCTATCTGATATCCACCATCGAGCGCCGCCATTTGGAAGATAGCTCTTCCACCTTGAGCAACACTCCAGCGGCAGCTCTTTTCAGCTTTATCTCATGTGCCCCACCTCCACCTTCAACAAGCACTCCTTTTTCCAGATGAGAGAAGACTTTGCCAGCCCACTCTTCCGTGCCAAACAACAGAGCTGTGTGTTCGAGTCCCATAGACCGACCACCATCAAGTTCTAAGCACCCATCCAAAACGATGAGCGCGAGTTCTAACGCAGCGGTTAGGACAGATGCCTCCTTTGCCTTCGCGTCGTTTTGTGTTTCACCAGCGTGGTCTCCTACCTCTTCGTCTATTCGGGATAGGGGCCTGGTGCCTAGCGTGACTGCTAGTTCTAGTGCCTCAGGAGCAACTATAGCCAGCCATTGTGAAGCATTTTGTGCAGCATGCACTAATATGGCCAGTGTGCTGAGGAAATGTGCTAGTACAACGGGATTGAGGATCAAGCCTGTACCCGCTCCTCGGTACTGATGCAACGTTTCGCGAAGTGCAGTCCGCTCTTCACGTGCTTGTTCATCGCGAAGGAAAAGCCAGAAGCGATTGATAAACGGAACTATAAAGAACTCAGCGGCGACCTCTGTGAACGTCGTGTCCTGCGGTGGGTTCGGGATCAAGGGAGCTGGAGCGTTGGGCATGACTTCCGTCACTTTGGCAGGTTTTCGAATACGCAGCTGGCGCTCGCGTACAAGTTGTGGAACTTTATCGGCAACACCTTCACTGCCTCTATCCATGGCTTTGCGGGTGATACCATCTAGCATTTGCTGAACGACGCCGCCACCTTGCGATGCTGCAGCGATATAACGCTCGTGCAGTGCGGGAGGTAGTACTTTGCTGGGAAAAGCTGTCCGACTATTTGAGACCGGTTGAAGGGCAGAAGAGAAGATAGGGAGAGAAGCAAGCTCTCGTGCACCCAAGGCCAGCGCATTCAGCATCACATAACGTTGCTCGGTAGAATACTGATTCTTGAAGAATTCTTCGATTATGGACCTAAAGACGATTTAGTGTGTACACTGTGAATTTATGCATGAGACGTACGGTGCCGCAATCCGAGGACAACATGCTACCAATGCATTTACGGCACGTTGACGTTTGTTGTCAAAATCGTCAAGATCATAGTTATCCTGCAGTCCAACAAACCCATACACAAGGTTCGGTGCATTTTCCTCTGGCAATTGATGGTTGTTTAGTTTTGCACGGTACACGAGTAACTGTCGTAGCAAACTAACCGAGTTCCGATCCATAGTTTCTCTTCCTCCTGATGAGTTCCTCTGCACAGGTTAACGCGACTTCAAGTTTATCCACCTCCTGGGTGTCCTCGCCAGTCTTCAAACCAACAGTGCCTCGAACCATTGTCCCCAGCTGTACGAGATAAACAGGTTGAGGGATCTTCTTGACACCAACACGCAACGTAGGATCTTTCTCGATTTCCTCGAGCTCGGAAGGCGTAGGGGACACAGAACGAGAGGACGAAGGGGAAGCATAACCCGTAAGAGAATCGTCAGAATCATATCCGGTATCGATTTGTATAGGCTTCTTCGATTTGGGCAATTTGGCAGTAACTACGTCTTCGTGGTTGTCCATGGTGTGATGATCACCGGAGGTTTCACTCGAGTGACTTGAGGGCAAATTTTGTTCGACTTTAACATCTGCATCCATGTCCAGACCTGCGATCAGCGTCCTAATATCTCGGGCCCAGGGTCTTCCATCGCCCTCCCCGTCCCAATCGCCAAAGTCAAGCTGTTTTCCTGCACGTTTTGCGACGACTTCCGCCACGAGCATGCCGCAGCGGCGCACGGAATTATCATTGTGACTGATATAGAGGCCAATTCCTGAAATGAACGAGGATGAGATGGCTATGGAAGATACCTGTGGCGAGGAAGGGGGAAAATAAGATACGCAGAGCAGCAGCAGAGCAGCTAAATCTACAAAGTTCGTCTAGATTTAACTCAGTTTCAATGAAAAGTAAAAGTGAAACTCACAGTGATGGCGGGAAAGCAACGAGTGCTTGACATGGTCTGGAGTACCCCACCTTTCAAGGACCTTTTCTAGAAGAGTCACAAGAACTGCATACGGAGCAGTCAATTAGACAAAAAGTATAACCAAAAGTTTATCGTGAATAGTACCTTTGACTTCAACAGTTCCACGCTGTGTACGAGCTTGAGCAGCCCAGCACACGAGGATCCTAGCATGGAACTCGTTCCACTCACGACCGAAAGCAATAGCTAAAATACTGTTCCAAACTTCTGACTGTGGCTCAAAGCGACCAACGACGCCCCGTAACAAAATAGCTTCGCGTTTGACAATCCCTCTATCGACCGAAAGTGGACTCAAGAGAGACGTCGGTGGACGCGATAACGAAGACAACAAAGATGTCAGAATTGCTTGCTGCGTGAGTACTGACGGTATAAAGCGAATGATGTCATTCCAAAACGCTGAGTATTGGCCCGGCGTGTCGTTTTCTAGTCTACTTCGGATAGTCGGCAATGTAACATAGAAAAACGATGGCTGAGATGGAGTCGTAGGTTGAGTAGGTGGGAATACGCCGACATTGACCAATTTTGCGAGAAGCTGGCATACAGAAGTACCGGTCTCTATAGCAAGTTTAGTCCAGCAGCCTAGAAACATGCCACAAATAAGAACGAACCTTGGAGCGGAGCACTGGATGATGCGTTTACCAGAACTTCGCAACGCAAGCTTAGGTTGTTGAAGTATGTAGCATGGTCGAGCCCAGGCGGTAAATCCTTTCCCTTCAACGCGTTGGCAACTTTGGCTGGAACAGAGAAAACATTGCGAAGACAGTCACCCCAGGCAAGCGACTGCCTCTCCGAACTAGTACTTCCCGAGAATACTGCACGATGCAGCCTATCAATAGGAAATCCTTTTGAAAGCCTACACAAGAGCTGAATAGATTGTTCTGTGAGCGATAAAGACAATATAGTTGAGTAGGCAAGTAATGCGATCTCCCCAGCGGCAGGTAGTGCGTTAGAAAATGCGTCTGGGCAAAAGTATTGCTCTACCAGCGAAATAAGCTTCTCCTCAACAAGAACTGCCTCCCATGTAGGAATCACATGTTGCAATAAAGCCCTCTGTATAGGTGGGATGTGTCGTGAAGCATTGAGAGTGCAGCTGGTCAATGGATGTAGATTGTATCGCCTGTATTGCGGTGGGAGGAGTCCTAAAGAATCCAGCGGAGCACACAAAAGCGAGAGCAGGGTAGGAAGTTCGGTGACAGAAACTTGCAGCTTGTTGATTACATCCTTTATTTGCGTAAGGGAACTGTCCAGGAATTCTGCAGACATGAACGTAGGAATCAAAGGGAAAACTCGTAATATTTGCGTTCGATTGTAAGCTGGCTTGAACTGGGGCGAATTTAAAATACAGATCCAGTTACAATTGCCTCAGATCACATTTTAAAGCAATTTTAAAGCATTATTTCTCTGCAGCTACAAAAGATATCGTACACATAAGCTAAAGATAAGATTGTACACGCTAAAACCGTACAACGTATAATATGTGATACTAATACCAAGAAAATAGAACCTGGATAGCATATCAACCACATAGTCGCAGAATGAGACAGATCATATATCGATCATAGATAAGCTTAGTATGCAAACCTCTGTTTTGGCAATATATTGGGCTTACCCTCGTCATTGTCAAAGCCACTCACCACTATAGCGGCCCTCTCAGCTTTTATATAACACAAACTCGGAGCTGCCATGAAACAGTTGTGGACCTAGCTTCCTTTTCGGTGTCGTAGATATCCTTTATACAGGAGACCCTATTATATATATATATATAGTGCCTGTTTGCTGCCCAGATGCCTTTGTCAGTTGATAAACTGGCTCTGATAATGACACATGCACACTCACCAACACGAAATATCTGCTTCGTTTTCCTGCTAGGGGCCTCACGTGACTCGCCGTATGTCTGCGCGTCCCGGCGAAACAAATGAGTATTCGTGGACTGAATCAATACGCATATGCATACGCGTTCCACGGCTAGAGTGCGTTGTAGTACAACTAAGGCAAGGCTTGCGTTGTCCATGCCGACACGGTAACATGACACCCGGCGTGTATATAAGATAGGCAAGACATACATTCACTTACAATCCAACATCTTAGAATACTAGTCAACTTTGCCTGCTACCCAACATGCGGTCGGTCTGGGGAATCATCTGTGGACAGTTCAACGCTGTACCACCCGTCGAGAACGCTGATTTAACAGGCAAAACCGTTATTGTCGTTGGTGCTAATGTTGGTATCGGCTTCGAAGCCTCGAAGCACTTCGCCCGTATGAACCCCGCAAGGCTTATCTTGGGGTGTAGGAGCACGACCAAAGGAACGGCAGCCATCGAAGGTGTGTAGTGTCCGTTTGGATACGCACGTTAGCCATGAATGCTCATCATGTTGGCTCCTCCATAGAGATCAAGAGCGAGACAGGGTATGACAAAGCTGAACTGTGGTTGATCGACCTGGCCAATTTTTCGTCCGTCCTCGCATTCGCAGATAAATTTGACAAAGAGGGGCAGGGACTGGATATTCTGGTAATGAATGCCGCCGTGTTCCAACTCGCGTACCAAGGGACGCCCGATGGCTGGGAGACCTCGTACGTTCTTCATTTGCATGCGTGAATGACTGTGCTAATATGCTGTGATGGCGTCTTGCTGAAATGTAGAATCCAGGTCAACCACCTCTCGACGGCTCTCTTGTCTATCCTCCTCACACCACACTTGATCTCGGCTGGAGGTGCAGCCTCACTACCTTCCAGATTGGCGATTGTAGCAAGCGATGTTCACTATGTTGCTCGCTTCGAGAAAAAAGTCACGGAAGCCCCAAAAATTCTTGAAAAGCTGAGTTCGGAAGAGTATTGTACGCCATCGTGAGTCCTTGGCCTTGAAGTATCCAGCTAGTCCCAAGTTAATAGATTGACGGTGCATGAAGGGTTATGAGGGCCAGATACAACGACTCCAAACGTCCGTCTTGTCCTCTTTAAAGTCACTTTACTGCTGATTTTAACCTCCCATTAAACAGTGCTCAATGTCTTCTTCGCTCGTGCCTTCAACTCCCACCTTCCCCAAACCACCCCACTCACCGTATCCGCGGTAAATCCAGGGTTCTGCTACTCCCAGCTACGACGTGACATGTACGATCGCTTCTTTTACAACCTCATCATGCGAATCGGCGAGATCTTACTCGCATGGACGACCGAGGAGGGGAGTCGACAGCTTGTGTTCGCTGCCGTGGGTGCGAGGGACAAAGAGGGAGAGGAAAGGATGAAGGGCGCATTCATAAGTCAGTCGAAGGTAATTGAGCCGAGCGATTTAGTTCTCAGCAAGGAGGGCGGGGTGTTGCAGGAGCGACTATGGGTATGTTGATCATTTCTTTGCATGCTTTTGACAATGTACTTTGCTTACCTTGTGTGTTATAGAATGAAACGATCGAGATCTTGTCTGAGATATCGCCTAGGGTCCGAGAGATTGTTAACAATTACCTTCAGTAGTGCCTCGAGGTTTATGGATCGATTGGTCTCGTCAGACTTCAGATGTAAATACTTGTGCTTTAGTCTCTGCTTTAAGCCTGCCATCGTGTTGTTTTCCTCGGTGAAGTGCTTCGTACTTGTGCATCGCGATTCACTATAGACATGATGCAGGCTGTCCATAGGAAAGACTTTTGAGAGCCTACGCAGCCGGTAAGATTGCTCTGTGAGTGGTAAAGACAAAACAGCTGAGGAAGCCAATGATGCGATCCCCCAGATATAAGCTTATCCTAACAAGCACTGCCTCCCATGAATAACATGTTGCAATAAAGCATAAAGCCCTCTGTAAATGTAGAATATGTCGCGAAGGATTGAGAGTGTAGCTGGTCAATGGATGTAAACTGTATCGCCTGTATTGCAGTCACGGTTGAAGCAGTCCTCGGCAAAAGCGAGAGTAGGAAGTTCAGTGACAAAAGTTTGCAGTTTGTTGACTATAATTACGTATATCCTTCATTTGAGTAAGGGAACTGTCCCGGAATTCTGCAGACGTAGGAAGCAAAGGGGAAAACCGACTTGAATAATATTTGTGTTCGATTGTAAGTCACAATCGACTCGGAGTCGGACAAAATATACTACAGCTCAAGTTAGCTTTGCAGCTACAAAAAGTATCGTACATGTACGCAGATAAGATTGTACACGCTGAAACCGTACAAAGTATAGTATGTGATAGTGATACCAAGAAAATAGAACCTGGATAATATATCAACCGCATAGTCGCAGGATAAGCAGAATAGATCAAAGAGGAGCTTGAGAAATAACTAGACGAGCAACCAAAAACTGATGAACAGCATTCCATTGAAGATAATTAAAGTAACGAAGGGAACGATCGTTTATTTACGAGCAGTGGTGAGATGTTTGTTTCTTGGCTTTAGCGTAGACGTTGATGCGCGCTTTCCCTTCCTTGTAGTACTGGCTGCCTATGGAGCGGGATGAGTCAAAATACAACATAAGACTGGGATAAACGGCTGTGACATACCTTCTTTGCAGCCCCAGTCTTGACAGCAGTAGCCTTGCTGTTCATTGGCTTCCTTGCACCCTGTGTAATCGACCCCGTTCCAGTCCTTGCTTTCTTTGCAGAAAATGCGTATTTCCTAATGGGTGTTGCTGCCACGGAGCCTTTGACTGTAGGGCGAGCGGACCTCACCCCTGTTTTCGTGGTCTTAGCGGTTTTCGTGGTCTTTGCTGCTGGAATCTTCTTATGTGCAGTGGCTTTCGCGGGTACAGCTCCTTCCTTTGCAACAGTCGACCTCTTTGATACTGGTTTAGCATTCTGAAAACGAAGAATGGGCCAAATCGTCAACGATTGCTAAGCGGCCCCCAGAAATGTGATAATTTTATGTACCTCTTTAGTGTCCTCGTTTTGCTTTTTGGGAGCCAGCTTCACTTTCCCCGAAGTGCCTGTTAACAATGGTAAGGCCTGCATGAAATTGGTGAACCTGAGACTAGCTAACCTTTAGGAAGAGCGAAGTCCCCTTTATCAGCACCATGCGTGATAGCCCTGTTTAGTTGACTGGTAGACGTGGCGTTTATCGCCACATGGTATTTAGATTCGACGAACTAGAGAAGTACACCGTATTAATAACATCAATGTAAGGAATCAAGGTTCAGAATACTAGCCTTCTTGATAGCAGGTCGTGAAACGCCATTACGAGTACCATCCGTAGCGATAGTAATGCATTCCTGAAACAGGGGTAACCAGTAAGAATCGTGTAACATGCATATACGAGTAGATCACGGCATCGACGGCCTCTGCCTAGCGATGCGAGAAAGAAAAAATGCATACCTTTATCATGTCAATCCAAGAAGGGTGGCTCACATGATGTCCTTTAGCAGCGACACCCGAAGCCTTGGACATGGAAGACTTTGCAGAGACCTTCTTGGTAGCAGGAGAAACTACCATTATTAATTTGGGAAGATAAGACGGTTGAGAAGAAAGGTTCTGTTAAAAGATGAGAACGAGGAGGGAGTTAGAGGTTAAGGTGAGGTGAGGGGGGTAGCAGATCCGAGGCTCCGAGTCTAAGGGGCTGTAATGTGATGACGTCACGTGACACGTCGCGCACGGACGCAGATACGAGTAATACGATGACCAGCACACAAGCTGGCGAACATAGAGAAGTCAGCAAGCAGTACTTCTATCCATTGAATGTCGGTATAATCATCTAGCTTGAGCTTAGTGACGCACCATATTTATTGAATTCGGGTAGCGACCAAGGTATGCACCTGTCTGTACTCAATGATACTTGGTATCGCATAAGTAGTATTGTTCTTGAGCGTTACTCTCCGTAATCTGTGGATAAATGCTTGTCATCCACAGCATAGAGTAAGTGCTGGAGCTCTGGAGGATTGCACATAAAAACAACGGTTCAGAAAATGTGGCTGAGATTGCTTTGTGGTGGTTCAAATGCAAGCCGAGACGCCGATTATGCGAGGATCATTATGCATCTGTGTGGCAAATGCAGCTAATAGGGCCGTAGGCGTTTACGACGGCCGTCTGATTCAGAGTCCTTTGCTAGCGTCTAAGAATCCTGGACTCTCTCACTCTCTACCTTGAACAACTGCCACATACTTGAGACGAATATCCCTGCCATTCAATACTCTACTGGCCAAAGTTATGTCTATCTCAGACTATGTGGTCACGGACGACCTAACCGTCCTCCTCGGCCTCATCTCAGTCTCGGTTTTTCTCCTGCACAGTCTATACAGACCCCAACCGCTTGTTCATCCCATATTGCTCGGTAGGCAAAGTGAAGCTGGTCGCGTGAGGCACCCGGGAGAGAGCGCTGTGTACAGAAACTATGGAACAGGACTTTTGGGCAGGGTATGCATATGTTTATGGCTCAAAACCGCTGACGTGCACTAACATCGTTTTTGTTCGATGTGCCTGTCTAGTTCCCTGTGAGGCCGGAAAAGGATTTAAATACCGTGTCTGGTTTTCTCAAGCCTGACTTTGACTCCCCTCGCACACTCTGGTCAACTAAAGTCAGTAGACCTGTCCTTATTGATTGAAATTTCATAACCGTTCCTTAGATCACAAATGCTCAACTTTTGGAACGCATCTCAGCTGTTGGAACTGGCCTCATCAAGCTCACTGGCCTTGTACCGAAAGAATCAAACGTCCTCCTCTTGTTGAACGATAGCATTGGTGCGATCTTCCTCTCTTACAACTTCGTGTCGCTGACTTGTTCCTCATGCAGAATTTGTCATCAGCGATTTTGCACTGTCAGCCCATTCTATTCCTTCTTTTACACTCAGTTCGCCAAAACTTTTGTCTCGTGTGCTCGAGTCGCATCCTCCCTCTGTCATCATTACACACGGGAGTTTCCTTCCGCACATTCTTGAATTGGTTTACGACGCACATGAACACCACCATACCATCGTTGTCGTAGGCCAATGTGACACGAATCTATTGCCGAAATCTGCTACACAGGTCCGTATCATCCGATGGGACGATGTTGAAAGTGAGGGTTCCAAAGGCGAAAGAGTATCCGGCCCTGCTCCTTGTGCGTTTGGCCTTTTTTCGTACTCCTCTTATAACTCACGTTTCTATAGCACAGGGTGACGTTGTCAACGTGTCATTCTTCGAGTCCACCTCTGGTGAGATACAAGGTGCACAGTTTACTCACGAAAACTTCACTGCCGGAGTTACTGCGACCCGTGCTTTGTTTCCTCCATCCAATGCTTTGTCATCTTTGGATACTATTGCATCTGCCCATTCTCTTAGCACGGCCTTTGGACGAGTTATTGCCTACACGGCTCTCTTTGAGGGAGCAAGTTTTACAACTCTCGCAACAAGCAAATTGTTCCACGTTGACGGTGAGTTATCATTGGTATTCAGGCGGAATATGTGTTCAATTGTAGCTATGCAGTGATACCTAAGGATGACATAGTCGATATCAAATCAGCAGCTACTTCCTCCACTCCGTCTCCTACGGTTTTGTTCCTTAAACCTGGCCACGTAGAGGCCCTCTCTTCATCCATCCTCGCTAACGCCAAAAAGTCTTTCCTGTTTTACCCTTTCGCCTGGCGCCACAAGCTTGCAGGTGTCTCCGAAGGATTCATCACCAGGGAGAGCCTGTGGGATCGAACTGTCTTCGATGGCGCTAGGGAGAAGGTTGTTGGTCAAACTGCGAACACTACTAGAACTGTCGTCGTCAGCGGTGGTAAGTTATGCATTTGGACACATCCCGTTGTATTAGGTCTGAGCGCTATTTCTTTTGGTGTTTAGGGCCCATTGATCTTGCTTCTCTGACACCTACCCGGATTGCTCTGTCTGTCCCTCTCGTCAACACGCACTCGCACCCCACTGTCGCCGGTCCGGTATTTGCCTCGCAGCCGCTTGACCTCCAGGTATTCCCGACCAATTCATCGGACAAGTTTGGTACACTTGCGCATGTCGGTGCGCCGAGTATCAACGTTGAAGCGAAGCTTGTGAACGTGCAGGACGACGTTGTAGAAGCGGGCGGGGATCCTGTTGGTGTGATAGTCGTTCGAGGACCCCCGGTTGGTAGCCTTATCGAACCCACAGAAAACGGGGAAGGATGGGTGAATACCGGAGAGACAGGGCGGGTGTTAACGAATGGTGCTTTCAAGGTGCTAAACACAAAGCAGTGATGCATGCTCTCACACCATGTTACTTAGTAAATAAGATTTGTCCCAATACATTGCTGAAGTACACATGATGATACAAATGACTTGGAGTGTCGCTCACGGCCGTAAAGAGTGCATCAGGGCGTGTCACGAACTCGAAGGCTCTTAATAGAAGGCATACCACACTGCCACCGTGCAAGGCACGCAGCGTGGCTGTGCTGAATTTCCTTCCCAATTTTAAGTTTGTGTGACGCGTCACATTCAACAAAGCCCAAACGCGTCCACACGTGATCTGACGCGCAGGTCCATATAAAGCCATGTGTCTCGATCCCCTTGCACACCTTTTCCATCTTTTTGTCTCTCTTCCATTACCATCCTATCAGCAAATATCCAGCTTGAGTATTTCTATCCACAAACCTTAGTAACTCCAATCGCAAAGCAAACAAGTCAGCAATGTCTTCCAACACTTCAGCCTCTCCTCCCCCAATTGAGAAGATTGCAACCCCTGCTTCAAAGGCCACCAAGTCCAAGTCTAAGACTAAGCAAGTCGTCAGGAAAGTCGCAAGCAAGTCTGCTGCAGCAAAGACGTCGCATCCCTCCTGGAAGGAGATCATCAAAGTGCGTATTATCATGTGCGCATATAGTGCTATGTAATTGACTGGGTTACATAATAGGAATGTATCATTGCGAACAAGGAAGATTCACGCACTGGAGTCTCACGATCCACAATCAAGAAGGTACGTAACTGTTTCATTCATGAGTATCGTGCATAGGAAGGCTCATAAGTCATAGTTCGCAGAGGAGAAATATAGACTTGACGTTAGCGGGACGAACCTGTATCAACTTAACCGCGCCATCACCAATGGTGCTGAGCAAGGCGTCTTTGCATTGCCTAAGGGCCCTTCGGGCAAGGTTAAACTTGCACCCAAGATCAAACCCGTCGCTGAGGCTGCAAAAGAGGTATGTCCCATCTCGCAATGTATTGTTATGATGACGCTGAACTGAATGCATAGAACTCGAAGCCAACATCCTCGAAGAAAGCCGCAGAGCCGGTGAAGAAGGTCGCCAAGAAGCCAGCGTCGACCACTGTTAAGAAGACCGCAGTAGAAAAGAAGAAGACTGTTGCCGCACCCAAGAAAGTTCTTACTGCTGCTAAGAAGAAGGTAGCTGGCGCATCGAGCAAGAAGCCTGTTGCGAAGTCAACGGCTTCTGCAACGAAAAAATCTTCGACCGCAAAAACTACAGAAAAGAAGAAGGTAAGTAATTATAATGTGAATGTTTAGTTCGTCGATGATTAATATTGTGTTTTAGGCGGCTGCGAAAGTCGCTGCTACAAAATCGAAGGCGAAAACGAGCTCAGCTTCCAAGTCCAAAGCCTCCAAGCCAGCATCAGGAAAGGCCAAACCTACCTCTTCAAAGGGTAGACCAGTGTCAAGAACCAGGAAGGCTGCGGCTTGAGCATTTTCTTTTTACTTGTTAGTTCTCGTTCATACCATAGACCCTTCCTCCCGATGTTTGTTTCTATCTCTTGTGTGGTGTAGCGGTGCCACTAATCAGTCCGTGGCTTGTATTCATTCCGGGTGTCACTATGCTTAGTTACCTACCTTATTGTATGTACTTGTACTTGATAAGATTATTGGAAATTATTGTATTTGAGGTACAATATATTGCAAGTGCTGGTGCTTGAATTTATTCGATGTCATCCGCACTTCAGATTCATGAGTCAAAGTATCCAAATTGGCAACTTGGCTTTATGATATAAACAGCGATGATACGTCAACTGTGAAATGAACCGCACATGACTCGACCTAGCTCACCTGAAGGTTCTCATATATACCAACATAGGGTGGTATGGTAGGATTAATTGAAGATAATATGAAAAACCTGATGATACTCTAACCAAGAGGGTATCTTGCAAGTGTTATAGATCACTGCCCTCATTCTTCGCAGCAGCCCAGCAATGATGGCCACATCCAGCAGCGCACATATGCCCCATAAGTTGAGCAGATCCTAGAGTAGACGTTGCGCTAGCGAAAACATCCGATGAAGGGGCGCTGCCATCGGTATCGCCAAGGCTCAACGAAGGACTGTCGCGGGCTACGAGATGAGCCATATTCTCATCACCAAACGGAGTCGGCCCCTTGACTTCTACCAAGGGACGTCCCATATAGTATCTTCTGTAGCATTCTTGATGACCACCGTGTTCGCAGATAGAACACTGAAACATCAGAGCCTTGACAGGTAAATGGCTTTGTAACCCCACCCCAGAATCAGCAGTGCATCGATAATCCTAATTTACAACGTACCATATGGCGCATTTAAAAGCCTTGCGGCAAGCATTACAATATGAGAAAGCTCCTTTCTTAGAGGAGCCATTTCGTTGCGAGGTAGACAGATTAACGGGCTTGCGACAATTTCCACATGCTGTATACACTGTGGTCTCCAACTGATTAAATACCGATAGTTGAGCACCGCCTTTCCAGAAACAACTAGACATACAACTTACCTTGGTCATGTTACATACATCATTGACACCAGAGAATTTTCGCAAATAAGCCGCAGATGTGTCGAGGCGTAGTCGAGTCAGTATGTCTGAAGAATGGTTAGGCAATATATATGACATAGGTGTTTGTTCGTACCGATATATGACTCGACAAAGCGTAAGAGTCTCGATTTGCTAATTGAAAGCTCTTGGCCTGCTACCAGAGAAAGCATCGTGCACATTTGCACGTCACCCTATCATATCGACCTTCAGCACTGATCTTAGGGAGTGAACATTCTAACTCTCACCTCGTCTGCATACTGCTCCAAGGCATCCCGGAGTGCTTGCCAACCTATATCACGCAGCTTCGCCTCTTCTTCTTGAACAAGCTCCTTTCTCTGTCGGCTGATCTGTACCTTACACATTGAAGGGAATGTACGCTCTTCGTCACCACAGTCTTTGAATTGAGGTGCAGAGTCACCAGAAAAGACCTGCGATATCTTCCGTTTGTGAGACGTCAATGGCTGTTTATCGACCGACTTGTTGCTATAGACGCCTCGAGCAGTGTCATCTATTGCGAGCTCTGCGTCAAATTCCTGATCTCTTGCAGACGCATCTCCTGCAATCACGGTTCTTATAGAGTTTTGCGATTCTTGCTTGATCAAAGCGCGATGCGACAAGGGAGCAGCTAAAGAAGCTACAGTGGAGCTACGACTACGTGACTTGACACGGCTGGATTGTTTTCTCAGCGAGCTTGACTTTCGCGTCCTGTTGCGAGCAGCATTTGAGCTACTAGATTCTGTATCGGTAGAACCTGGTGATGGAGAAGCTTCGCCTTCGCTATGATCTTCGCCTTCATCATCTGTCCACTCCTCCTGGCCCGCAATATGTGACAGAGGACTTGGGTGTGTAGGCACCCTGGTTGGCTTAGTGTACGGGGATATGAGTGGGCGAAGGCCAGTTTCCTCATCACTATTACTGCAATAACCATCTTTTCCGGGGTCTTCAGAGTCATCGTTCTCAGACGAATCGGAATCGTCAAGGGCACCTTCACCTACATGCCGAAGATTACTATGACTTCTGGAACTCTCGCTAGGGTTTTCGCTAGTCGTGTTTGAAGTGACGGAGGGGCGACTAAGGACAGAAGGCCGCCGAACAAATCCTGTGTTCGACTCACGGTGAGAAAACACCGACGGCTGCCTGGGGGTTGCTAGTGGTAAGGCGCTTAGAGGACGACGAGGAGAAGACGAAGCGGAAGATACAGGAGTCAAATTCCGTGAATTTGAGGGCACTTTAGTTACAACTTCTGCCTCAACGTCGTGCCTGGAGGCTGGGCTACGCTGAGTTTGAGGCAGCTGCACTAGAGAATCAGAAGAGGTCGCACGCTTCGACGCAAATTTGGATGGTGTAGAGCTGATTGTTGGCAACGCTGCTGGCGCAGATATGGAATGTGGGAGTGGTGGATTAGTAGCTGGAGCGGGTGCCGGAAGCGATTCACAATAGTTGTCAGGAATGATGTCGGTCAATAAAGACGCTAGTAATAACCAGACCTGGGATGCTTGGACCTTGCCTGCTTGTATAGCGATCTTATACGAAGAATCAACAACACAGTCAACAAGATGATGATATATACTAACCTCTGAGTTCATTATACATATATGCTGACGATCAGCTCCTTCAAACACGTACTCCCGGGCAAGTTTTGAAAGAGCTTCTGAATTCTGGTCGCTACTGCTCTGGGTATACATACCCATACTCTGTAATCCTGGCACGCGGGCACCATCGCCGAGGGTTTTGAACTTCATCTTACGATCCTTAATAAGCTGTCGCTTTTCTGGATTTCTGGAATTTGTAGCATATTAGTATATGAGTTTCTAACAAAGCCCCAAGTAAACGTACAGGTCATCATAAGGAACTTCACAACGTGTCTGCCTGTCAGATACAAAAGCCAGGGATCCAGAAATGCCCCATGAAAGAGACACGCGAGGAACAGCGCTGATAGGTTTCACTGACTGCCTCAAATCAAGCTGTGCGAAAGTTCCAGAGGCATGTTGTGCCCACATAGAATGCGAATCACAAAATGCGATATCTGATTATTTTGGATGAGTACCTTATGAAAACTGTTACAGTAGAAGTGCACACGTACCCGTGACCGCACCCTCTATGAAAGAGGCTTCCACTGTCCATTTAGCAATCCAACCTCTTCTGACATCCCATATTTCTACAGCATCTCCCACTACGTTCTTGCTATCTGACACCTTACCTTCGTTTCCGATTCGTAAAGCTAGTTCAGAGGGGGGCATGCGCGGGCTTGTTAAAGTACCAGTGCCAACAATATTGTGCATGAGATCAGGATTGGAACCATAACCAAGCTCTGCATTCGAGACCAAAGCAAGTTCACATGGATAATCTGGTCGCCAAAGAACACGGCGAACAGGATATGCGGGGTGCAATGTATAAGTCGGCTTGTGAGGAATGTGAGAATTAGCCCCTGTTGCTGTTAAATCCCATATCTAATAATCGTGGGATTGGAAAGTAAACTAATTAGACTCGTCACGTTCTACAGGGGTAGCCACCAAACCTTGACAGTGTGGTCCAAGCCGCCACTAACGACCCAACCTCCTTCGATGTTTGGCGTACCCTCAGATCCTGATGAGGTATCTGCAGTAGAGGTAGCATTGCACCAATCAAGGGAGAGGATAGATCCAGAGTGGGCAACAGGAAGACGATCTAATTGTCCTCGTTGGCCCATTTTCAGATCCCACCTTTGACAAATCCTGTGAAGACGTGACATGACAGGATGCAAAAGCTACAAACCGGTATATACTACCGTTGTCCAAGCCTACAACAGCCTGGAGAGGAGATGATAAACTTGGAGAAAATACCAAGCTACGGACAGAAGTCGGATGATGAATTTTCATCAAAGATCTCGACATATCTCGCAGGTCCTGACATGCAACACCTGTGAGTCAAAGTGCGCATATGCGAAATTATTCATACGCACCCAAACGCGCACATCCCCATCAGCAGACCCAGTAATACAGTAATAATGAACGATGCGCGAGTAGGAAAGCTTTTGAATGGACCGAACGTGATCTCTTGTTCTGCGTTCTACCATCATATAAATTGTGGTATCACTGAGTTATAAGTCCCCCAACATAGTAACATACCAAATTTCGATTGCCCCGACTTGTCGATATCCCACATTATGAGATCGCCGTTTCTCGCACTTGTTAGTATCTTACGGTCAAATGCTTTAGGGTGTATAAGCCCTGTTGTAGGTTCAGACTTGTATCATAATGAGGGCATACCTCCATAGCCCCAAGCAACATCTGTACTAGCACTGTCCATTTTCAAGCCACTACCATCCCAAAGATTGCGGGTAGAATCAATCCTATGACCGCCACGACCAATGGACGACTTGTGATCTGCATTTGAAACTTGAGAAGGCCCCGACATGGTAAGAATTCGGAGAGCTTTGACAACTGGATGAGTATCTTTGACAAGCCCAGACCGATATGTACACACATTCTTTGCCCGCAACAACACATCTCGTGCCGTCCTCACTTTTGGCTATTGTGCCTCCGCCATTTGGCGTTGTGCGATGCATGCGCACGCTGCGTAGAGGACCCTGATAGCCATGTTTGCGTGAATCAGAGTAAAAGTCTGATAATGCGCTCTTGGAAACATCGTGACCTGAAAGATGATAGTTAAATGGTCGCCTGTTATGGGATTGCATCTGGCTGCATGCGCGAGAGAGCAAGCAACAGAGTTGCCTGCAAGTTGAATGGTGTTCATGCCCTAGTCCATGGACTATGGTCCGTGGGAATATAAGTGCAGGACGGTCTTCTTCCACCTTTTCCCTCCAAGTTTACATTCTCTGGCTCGCTGGTCGAAATGTTTGCTGCAAGGTTGCTTCGGGTGTCACAGCGCGTACACTGCCCTTCATTGGCCTCGAGAAACATATCCACGACTTCCTCGAGGCATTCTGACGCTCTTTTTGTGGTGAGTGGGACTCGTTTGGCACCTAAAGAATCATCTAAACTGGCGTAGCATCGGGACACTTCGTATAACAACCCGAAGGTATGGTCGTTCTTGGGACTAATGAAAGTCCTACCTCAATTCAATGCCTCCCTCTGCTCTAGATTCCCTTTGAATTTACATCAGATAATATTAAGAGGGCAGAAGAAATCATCTCCCGTTATCCTCCACAATATAAGAAGGCAGCAGTGATCCCTCTTTTGGACTTGGGACAGAGGCAGAACAAAGGATGGACGAGCATCAGTGTCATGAATTACGTGGCTAAATTTCTCGAAATGCCTCCCATGCGAGTCTATGAAGTCGCAACTTTCTACACCATGTTCAACCGGTCCGTACCATGTCTGCTCATGTAAGTTGAGAGACCCTGACAAGTTGCATAGGGAACCTATAGGCGAGAATTTCGTACAAGTATGCACTACTACGCCATGCATGCTTCGTGGTTCTACCGAAATCTTGGACACAGTCTGTGGTCACCTCGGCGGTATTAAACCGGGAGAGACAACGAAAGATGGCAAGTTCACGGTCATTGAAGTCGAATGTCAGGGCGCTTGTAGTAATGCTCCAATGATGGTGATCAATGATGATTTCTACGTATGTCCATCGACTCTGTGTAGATACACTGTCGCTCATACCTTCGTTATAGGAGGATTTGACGTCGGCCACCACGACGAAAATATTGGACGCATTTACGAAAGGGCAAAAGCCGAAGCCTGGACCTCAAAGCGGGCGATACACCAGCGAGAACTCAGCTGGTTTGACGTCGCTTACTTCCAAAGTCAGTAATGATTCTACCAAGAATACCTGGCCTGTTAATGACTGCCCATTTTCTAGCCGTATGGCCCTGGAGAATTCTGTACTCCAGAGTTCAGCTAGACGTCTTATCGTTTTGTTGATAGCTGTGCATAGAGTGTTACATACGACATATGAGACTTGCCAAGTAATACACCCTTAAATAGCAAAAACGGTTCCAATCTCTATCGAAAACTCAGTAACTCTCAGTCGTCTCCTTCCCCATCATCATACCCGTGTCCGCCGTAACCGCCTTCAGGCAACCTCTCAATCATGTATCTGTGAATGGATAGCGACATAAGTTACTAGAGGCCTGAATGATCTTTCAAGGGCTTACTCGATCTCTTCCTTAAGATCATCGCAATACGTATCTTGTGTATATGTTAGTTCGAGGATGCGGAATAAATCAAGAAATATTTACCCAAAGGAAGATCGTGCTTATCGTGACCTAAAAGTGGAAGTCGGTAACTGAATCAAAAATTGTATAGTTTGTAAAAGTTACCGAAAGGCATTTCAACCTCATCTGCTATTCCTTCTATACCCATAAATGTGAATGCGACGACAGTGACTATAGGTATCGTTCCCCAACCAAGGTCGGTGACCAAGGTGAATGGAAGTGCGAAAAGATAAAGTGTAACACATTGTTTCAAATGGATACCATCTATTACTTCAAGTCAGCAGCGTATCATAGCATATTCTATCCGAGAGGAGCTCACAGGACACTGGTATGGGCGTATTGGCAACCCGTTCCATAGAGGACATCTGGTCCACCATCGATTGAACTCTGAAACACTTGTTAAATAATAAATCTCCACAGAACCTGTATTCCAACTCACAATGCGCTCATCGCATTTGTGCCTATGTCGATGTCAGTTCATCATGATCGAAGATAGGATATATGCGAATGTTTTCTCACCTGCCGGACCAACAGTTTCAAGCAAACCCTCACGCTTAAATTTGAATATGGCGCTTGATAGTTCGTGAGCGATCCTGTCGACCTTGTGTTTAGCGGCTCGTCTAATAAATCCACCATACAGAAGAAAAACCCACATCAAAGGAAGCGGAAAAGACAGGCGATCGGCATATGGATGGAACTCAACAGTCTGGTGACTTTTTGAGAGCAGAGGAGTGTTCTGACCAGAAAGGTTTTTCTTACTACGCTTGGGCCTCACCCTTTTGGTCGCGTCAGGCGACTCAGGTCCACTAGTCGAACCGTTCTGACCCGTCACTGCATGTTTAGTGGCAGAATAGGCCACCGTGGGTGAGGAATGTTGAGTATTATACCCCACCTCGTCGAAGCGAGCAAAAGATGGTGGTAAGATGCCGGTATAATCATCATGATGAATACCATCCTCGCCACGAAGGTAGTGTTTCACTGCATACGCAAACGCAAGACAATAGCGGAGCGCCTCAACTTTCTGACGGTGGAGTTGAGAGGCAGTGAGGTTTGATACAGGAGTTTTGCCCTTGATGTGTGCGGATAGAGGTTGTTCATCTGTAGGTGGCAACGAGACATGAACCCAGATCATACGGGAAAGATTGCGTATCTGATCGTGCTGTGAACTTAGCTGTTCCATCAATAGTCTAATGTACGAACGTTAGATGTGATAGTGGAGAATGATTTTCTCCCGTCCCAGTAACGATCATATGAAGTACTGAAAAACAATTGAGATAAACCTTCACGGGGGGTTATAAAGAATGTACACATGCCTATTCCTAATAGCAGATAGATGTCAAGTTTATAGCCTGGGGATGGTGAAAGTAAGTAAGCTTACCTGAAAACCAGTATGAGACCAACCTGTGATACAGAACAAAGGTATTGAACAAAACTTTGTAGCCCGACAACGAAAACATACATACTACGACAGAAAGAAGGGGCACCACAGAATTTGTGATAACAAGATGCTTTCCTTTGGACCATGCATAAGTAACGAGAGCAGCAAAAATCGTGACTGTCAGGACGGGTCCTATTATATGCGATATGATCTGAACGAATACTGATAATTATCTCGAGATAATTCAAGGCGAAGAACATGACGTACACTTCCTTTCACGCGGAAAACATCGGGAAGCCAAGAGTACTATTCATCAGTTCATGGTGAATGCTTATGTCCTCGCTCATCTCAAGAAAAGCTGAATGTAATCACTTTGCGCAAATGCTTCCTTCGAATTCTTGGGGGCTAAATCACGTATTTGTATATGGGTCGCTGCAGCAAGAGCAGGTTGACATTACCTTCAGAGACAACGCCAGACTGAACTTGGAGTTCTTTACAGAGGACATAACAACGAACCAAAGCACCTTTCAGCTATATCTCGTGTTCCAGAGAACCTGCAGTACGTCGAGAAGGTTAATGATTCTAGAGGTTTCGTAGGCTTGGTGCTAAAGGCAGCCTGCGTGAGCCAGCTACGTGTATGTGCGTGGTGTATTACTGCAACTGCAATGGGATAGTCGATAGTTCACCGGCGTGAGAAAACAGTGCCATCGCATTATTTTTATTGTTAATTGCTCGAACATGTACAAATATGCGTTTTTGAACAAAGTCTGGAGGATATCAAAAGGTACAGTGCAAAGAATATACAGGTTGTTGGTGAACTTCGCACGATGATAATAAAACATTAGGGCCTTGACGATGCTGCGATACTATGTCCGAGAAAATAATCGATGCCGGTGTAGTGACGTTTGTTTCGAAAAGCTTGATTGAAAAAACATCGTGATATATGACTATCACTGAATGGTGACGCGAGAGCTTTACGAGTAATTTTCCTTAATTAGATAGGGGAGACAGAACTTCCCGTAGCTGTCTGGTTTTCCGGTTGAGAATACGCCGCCGGGTACAAAGGTGTGGGCTTGATGATAAGAGGCGACGCTGGAGGGTCCTCGGCTAGAGATACAGACATATGCATGCGTGATGAGAGAACATTCGAAGTAGAATGATCCATGGAAACCAATGGACTCGAGGCAGAGGGAAATGAAATAGTGTTTTGCGGATGCAAGTAAGACAGGCGTTTAGGCAGGCTCGAATAAGACGCGTGACCTAGATTGAAACGCGAAGTGAAACGGTAAATTTCTGATAAAGGCTGCACATAACTCTGAGCTGCGCAAAGGTCGGCGCATTGCTCAGGAGATGTGTTTTGATGGCTGGAAGGTGGGACTGAAAGATTGTGAGGAGAAGATGAAGACCAAGTCCATCGGAAGCCCGATGTTTCTTGTGGGTTTCTCTTTTTTTCCTGCCGGAAAGCTTGAGGAGGTTGTAGAGGGATAGGTAGTAATTGCTCGACGGGAGTCAGCAGATCACTACAAGGGAGTCCTACCATCGTAAAACCAGAGCTGTCATGGTGTAAGGGGTTGTACTGGGTTTGCGGATCACCTGTGCAGAACATTTGGAAAGGAAAAGCAGACCGAGGGGGCTCTAATTGATCATGTGACACTGGAATATTAGAAGCCAACCGACGCATGGACATGGACGGGTAGGTTGTACTTAGCTCCAGATGGTAAGGTGGATAGCTTTGAGGATCCTCCAGGTCTATAGGCTGTAAGGCGTGATACCTGTAACCAGGATATTCGTTCTCTGTTGATTTTTCAGAACCAGGAGTAGCTTGGTGATTCGGCGGGCGATTAGCTGAGGCCAGTGGTGAACAGGGAGCCGATGCATGGCGACGGGTATGCTCTTCATCCAACAAGAAGTCGGGTGGTTGATAGTCACAGGAGCTAAAGAAATTGGGATTAAAAGGAGGACCCTGTGAAAAGGAATTAAGTGTGATCGCTTCAACGACCGCCGCACAAAAAGTTAATATTACACATTCTACATTATGGAGAGGTTGCTCCAAGTCGTCCGATCCACTAACATTAGACAGCGTAAATGTTGAGGGAGACCGAGGTAGTTCTGATAATAAAGTTCTCACTATGACGCAATCATTAACGACGGAAGCAGCGGTATCAGAATATGACAAACTAGTGGAGTCGCCTCTGTGGATTTTCTTTAACCTTTGCAAGTGGCTGGAAACCTGTTTTCGGGTGCGGTTTTTCCCCGTTTTGTGTAGGATATATGATTGAATAAGCTGACAACGACCGAATGACTTGATGCGTGAAGGTATGGAGTCTATGTCCTCAGAATTTACGGCTTCTTTCGGCAACTGATAGTACTTGAGACGACGTTTTCCCATAGGAGGGTATATAGCAACCGCTTGATAAGAGAGCATCAGCGAGCGTGTCATTGGTTAGGATACCCATTGCATACCTTCCATAAATGCAGTATGGACGTCTTCTGTCCAAATATCTTCATAGCGTGATGATTTACTATTCTGTGCAGCAGCGGCTATTGACATATTTTCTTCTGAACATGACATTGGTGTCATTTTATTGGTTATAGGTGTCGCTGAGTCGATGGCGAAAGGTTTCAAGCAAAGCTCCTCTTGTGATTGTGAAAGTTGGATTTTGTAGGAGTGGGTGGGGTGGGCGTGGGAAATACGCGTCAATCACGTGACTTACAGAAAGATATCACATGGCCATGACGTAGCGACCCTTGACTTGGACTGTCGAGTCGCCTCTACAGTAAACGTTTTAACTTGAAATCCGTCCATTTATCTGAACAGCGTGTTCTTTTCTTGTTCCCAGTTCTCAGATGGACATATTCACTGCTTCAGAGTCGCTCAGGGATACGGCCAAGAGAAAGAATGCTCCAAAACCGATCAAGGACACCATCGACCATGTCATTTCTTACCTTGTTCTACTCGTATGGTTTCGCAATTAACCGCAGCTCAAGTAGTACTATAACTGACTATGACACCGTAGAACTTGTCTTCTCCTTCACCCCAAGCGCTGCAGAAGCTCGGTTCTGTCATGCGGAAACCATTCGTATCACTGTACACTACATTTCCGACTGCCTCGCTCCGTCTCTCTGCCGCCATCTTTCTCAATATTCTCAAGGATAAAATACTATTACCGCAAGACTCTGGGAAAAAAGAAGTCAAGAAATCCTGGGAAGGTGTAGAGACTGCACTTTTGTCGGGCGTTCTTGTAAGAATCACGCATAAATAAGTGTGCTTTTAATTATACTTAGAATCACATAGGATTTTTTGGATATGAAGTCTGATGGTAACGCCTTTTACTTATGTCTACTTGTAAAATTCAGCTGATATAGACATTTGAGCTCTAAGCAAAGAAGTGGTAGCCGAACTATTTTACCCTGCAATATGTGGTCCTTTCTTTCAACCTATTGCTGTACAAACAAGCCTCGGATTAAGAAATGCTGTACGTGATGATTATACGATACTCAATTGGTTATATATTTTTGCTGCGCTGACTGACTATCATATATATATGCTAAATGCTACGCCTATTTCTCTCTTACTTTTAGGCATATATGCTATTATCAGATACCTCATCATCGCACCCTGGAAATAAATGTCGGCTTCGCGATTCTGAAGTCCTTGGAGGGTGGGTTTGCACTCGGATATCATTTTCTTGTTCCTTACATCCGCACGAAGAGAACGTATAGGCATAGCTTTATCGATTACAAAAGGTATCCATATCGCATTAAGTAGATTTCGGTGATCTCACCATATCAATTTTAGATTTTCTGGCCATTGAGTCTCTTTTAGCCCTCTTTGCTTGGCTTTTGCCTCCCACAAATAAAACAGATTGCGGTAGAGCCGCGCGAACGGAATTCATCCACCAGGTTTTTGGCTCATCACAGCGGTTCAAATGTAGCGCAGATGTGCTACGGATTCTCGGATCTGTTTGTAGTTCTGACTGGGAGGATACGGCGGTGAAAATAATGGATGCACTTGCTGCCGCTGATATTACGTCGTGCGTCCTTTATCCTTACTTGCGATATTTGGTGGCTGCTTGATAGTGTCGACTTTTTAGTCCACAACCTTTTGCATTAGATGAAATCCATGCTTGCGGCATGGTTTTTCCTCAGCCAACTCCAGCTGATAGGTTATATCTCGATAAGCATTCTTTTCTTGCCAATGTCATACAGGATGTAAGTGTAATATAAGCTGATAATCAGATATATGACTAAGTGACGTGGACTATAGGGGAGCATATACGAGAGTCTGGAAGTCTTGTACAATTCTGTTGACCGCGTAAAGGTGGCCTCGCCTGAAAATGGGAAGACCCGAGTTATGGTATATCTTACATCTCCGCCTGTTGTCGCAAAATTGATCATGAAAACCCCTCCCGGCCAAAAACCAACCGTGAACTTTTCATTGGAAGATCGAGATACGGATAGATTTTTGAAGGCTTTAAGAAACAGAAACGTAAGCTTCCGCACCCCTATTATGATAGCAATGCAGCTAAAACCATAGATTATCAGGGGAGTACTAGCATTCCAGTTGACATTCCTCACAGTAACAGCAAACGGCGACAGATGATATTCCTTGCTTCTGGAGTAAAACTACCTGGCGATGATTGTTATACTCCCATCCCTCCTTCCGCAAGCTTTGAGGTGCGTTTCAGTTTGGGGTCCTTGAGCAATTCTTTTGAGTGACTTTGAGTAGGAAAAGGTCAGGCATGTGGAAGAATGTACGACGATGAGCTATCATTCCATTCAACGATTAACTGAAATTAACTCACAGCTATAGTTTACTCAACGGACAACGTTCCTGGTGATTTCGTACGTTCTTCGGTCTCCCGCCAAATGATAGCCAATATGCAACCTCCTTCTCCTATCAATGCTGATCAAACATGCACGGACCAAACCGCAACAGATGCTAAGGATGGCCAAAGACACTTGCGGCCTTCTCCTGTCCATATTCCGTCTACTCCTGTCACCTCGAGTGGTGTTTTTCTGAGTACTCCGTTGCGACACTCAACTATCGAAGAAATGCGAGAATCAATCTTTGGGGGAAGTGTAGAAGAGTTATCGGATTGTTCTGACAACGAAGGAGGACACGAAAGTCTGCAGCCTCAGGTACAGCCATCCAGTGAACAAATTATACTTCACGAAAAAGTATCTCGGCAGCCTCATGTTACACGGAGTAAGGGTAAGAGAGTTGTGCTTTCCGACGATGTAGGAGGAGTCACTCCTGCCGCCGTCAAAGAAACCAAGAAGAAAAGAAAGGCTGCCGTTATCGTTGACCATGACAATACATTGCAAGAAGGGTCGGATCCTATGAAGAAATCTGACGATGCATCTGGTCACCGCTCTATTAAAAGAAAACCAATCGTTTCCGCTGGCAGGTCCAAGCTGGCTGCGCCTAATGATTCTGTTACGTACGACGTACCAGCAGTCGACGCCAGAGGATGTACCACTATCACTACCAAGACTCTTGATCCGCAGAGTGACATTTCAGATTCCAGCAGGTCTCATTCCACAGGACTTAAAGCTTCAAAACGTGATTCGGTAGATACCACTTGCGGTAACCCGGACATAGAGAAGATTACTGCCAATTATAACAAAACCTCTCCTCAAGCTACCAGAGCCTCTCGTATCAGCCAAAAGCGCAGTGTGGTTGAAGATACAACAGCTGCAAGTCCTAACGACGTCAAATCCGAGCCCCCATCAAAGAAAAGGCGTATCCAAAAGTCTAGTGAAGAAGCAAAGAGTTCTCTCTTGCCTTCTGTTACGCTTGCACGGACAGCCAAATTACCTAGAAAACGGGCTAGGGCGTCTTCACCCATTCTAGCTCCCCAAGAAGTTGGATTACACACGGCTATCTTGAAGGTATCAGGAGACCGTAAGAAGAAAGCTGTCGTGGAATCGAAGGATCGTATCCCGCCCCCACCCGCCCGACAAACTCGAGCAACTGCAATGCGACGTAAATGTGGGAAACTCGAACCACTACGTCCAAAGCCCCTCCCCGTTGAAGTGGAGTTAGCAGAACAAAATCATCTGGACAAGTCTGAATCTGGAATTGAAATTCCGTGTATAACGACTGGTTATCTGTCCCGCAAGCATGCTGATTATCCCCACGGCGTTAAAACTTCTGTAGAAGGAGAAACGAAGCCAGTGAGTTCCTCACACCTTTTGTTTGTCTTGCAGTGCCGACTTCAAAGTCGATGATGACTAATAGATAATTTACGTGAGCGAAAAGGAACTGACTTCCCCTTCGGTAACCCGTGCTCACAAAGAGCAAGATGTGCCTGAGTCCAAAGTGAAATCACTATACATGTTAGAGCCTTTGATCACTGATGTCATCATGTTTAGGTTTCAAAAGGAGTGTCTTCGGACCGTTCTCCAGTAACCAAATTGAGGCACCCATCAACCGATTTTGCTGATCCTATATACCCTGATGATTCTATTCCCGGCGGTGAGGGGAGAGTGGAGCATATGCAAGGCGACGAAATTGCAGTGACTAGCGATATCAACGCCGCAAAGTTGAACACCCTTCAAACTGTTGATCTGAAAGAATATACTGAGCACCCGGTTCCGGTGGAAGGTAACAAATTGGATCAGGTTCGTGTCTATCGTCAATTTATGCGACTAACTGACGTGCTAGAAGGTGCTCACATTTGGATCACCTGTTCGGCCATCGACACCACAGAAAGAGGTAGTAATGATTGACCTTACTCAGGACGAGTCACCCGTTAAGAAGACAGAAACCAACCTCAATGATCATTCTGCACTTGCACGGCCTTACACGGACGCCCAACAAGTCTTGGATACCGAAAGTAATGTTCATGACCTAATTCCAACTGAGATCTCCACGATTCAGGAGGCCCATAAATGCCACAATGTCACTTTTGCTTCACCTCTTGAGCAAACTACGTCGACAGAGCCTCGGCTATGCGGAGACAGCACGATGCTCGTGGAAAATTCTCGACGTCACCACGCTGATGCAGAGAGTCCTGGCTCTCAGGCCTCTTATATGGGAACTTATCCAGAAAATTTGAAGTCTCCCGTAGAGTCTCAACTCCTGAATGCACCTTTGCTTAGGGATGTCTTTTCGCCAGTCTCTGAAGCACTGGGTGTCAGGAAATATCCGAAGTTATCTCCTCAGTCTATTCTCAAACACTCATCTTCCAAGGCAAGGTTGGAAACCGTCAATTTCACAGACGAAGGCTTGTCGTTATCTCCATCGCAACTGCAACCAGGACGAGAGTCGTTTTCCTCCTCGGTCACAATGTACAAAGATGGTAAGAGAAATTTATTTAACCATACGTTCGACATGCCTCAACGTGTAATTAGAGTGGAACTGGCAGAAGCAAGGTTTTTCCTCGGGACGTCGTGGCTTAGTAGTTCAAAATCCCAACAGCACCAGATACGATAGACTTAACTCCGTGAATGAAGGGGTAGATATAGGAGATATTGCTAGTGTCAGTTCTTCACATTTGCTGGTGGATATCTACCTATATCTGATTTTATTGCCTTGGCTGTTAAGGTGCTACACGAGATACATAATGCGAGCCCCTTCAGAATATTGAAAGTAAATTTCCGCTAAGCACTGACATACTTTGACAATCCAGGCGATTACAAGTGGAATATCTTCCAGGTTCGAAAAGGTGAGGCACGAGGTACGTGTTAGCAGAGATAGACTTCTTCAAGACGCGGTTAGTGATTTACGGGAGATGCGTTTGAAATGGTTCTTTTCCCCCATTTCATAAGTCTGTTTGAGTCTCACAGATTGATTTTTAGCTACAGCCATCACGATTCCATGGTAGAGCTCGAAGAAGAATATGCCACATATCGTCGAACGCTTGCGCATGGTTGGGAGGACGTTATAAAAGCAAACCAAGGATTCTCCTCGACACTACTCAAGGTTATTGAAAACCACGATCGCAATATTTCCTCCAAGACATTCCCGAGATCAATTTTACCGCCAAAGCCTGACTTCCTAAAGGTAGGGTAAATGGCAGCTGGAATCCCAATTTCGTAGGAACCTGTAACATGCCTTCGCCTGCCCCCTGTCCCCTCCGCTTTGTCTTTGAACTTTGTATCCAGAATTATGTCATTTCAGGGTAGAAACCATGTACAGTCATGTTGAAATGTTCATTTCTTTTGGGACCTGTATATAGCTTAGACTAGACGTGTATACGTAAAGCCGGGCTGCGCCGGAGCCAAACTGTGACTATGTGAGAATCTATACATGTGGATTCAAGTTTGATTTCAGACTCGTGATGCTACAGATTGTTCGCCATGCCCGCGGCGCAGGCATCGTACGGTTCAGTCATATACTACGTCCCAGTTGTGCTCGCCCCTCACTTTCTTTCTTACCCCATACACACTGGCAACTTTCAGCCTTTTCGAGACCCTGTTCGTCCATCGCGAAAATGACAACTAAACCAGATGAATTCCGCCTCCCAATTGACGTGCGACCAACTCATTATGACCTTACAGTCCAAACAGACCTAGAAACATTTACCTTCAATGGTTTAGCCAAGATAGAGCGCGTCTTTTCCATTTTTCTTTACATTGTCAGCTTCATTTACTGTTCGGACACAGACTGGATGTCAAGAAGGAAACATCATCTATTGTTTTCAATACAGCCGAATTAGACTTGAAGGATGCATCGATCTATTCGGATGTTTTGAAAACTGAACAAGTCGAAACTGCTCGATCTTTTGATACAGCAGCTGAACGAGTCACTCTCCAATTTTCTACGCCCCTCCCTGCTGGTTCGAAGGCAAGGCTCTCCATTGGGTTCGCAGGCAAATTGACCACAAGCATGATGGGTTATTACAAGTCCTCCTACGAGCACGAAGGCAAAACTAAGAATTACGCGTTGACACAGTTTGAGGTACGCAAAACCGTTGGGCGCCTCAGAAAATCTTGCCTCATCAAAATTTGGTCATGCTAGCCCACTGCTGCTAGACGAGCTTTTCCATGCTGGGATGAACCTTTACTCAAAGCTACTTTTGCAATCACGATGATTTCTAGAGATGATACTATTAACCTTAGTAACATGCCTGTGGTTTCGGAAAAGATATGGTCGCCCTCGAACACGTCAGAGGACAACGATACTTCATTAGTTCGGTTATTTTCTTCTTTGACCACGGAAACTTCTTCGTCCGAAGACAAATGGAAGATATCGCAGTTTATGACCACCCCGCTTGTGCGTAACATCTCTTTGACCAAACTAGTATGACGTGGTTGCTGACAGAGGATGCAAGATGTCCACATATGTGGTAGCTTTTGCCAATGGAGACTTTTCATACCTGGAGAGTTCATACACGAGTCCGTTAAGCGGGAAAACTCGCCCATTACGGATATATGGTCGGTCCCTATGATGATCATATGCGATGAGTATAGTCTGAGCTTACTCACCACAGCTACTTCAAATGTAATTGATCAAGCTCAGTTCGCCCTTGATATCAAAGCGAAGGTGCTTCCTCTGTACGAGAAAGTATTCGACATCGAGTATCCTCTGCCTAAATTGGATACGTTGGTGGTATGTAGTGGACCTAATTGTTTTGTGTAGTGTTACCTGATTCTCTTGATTCATATATTTTGTACAGGCTCATGATTTTGATGCTGGTATGAAACAATCTACTTAAATTGGACGCGCTTACCGAAATGGTATTAACAGGCGCTATGGAGAATTGGGTATACTATGGTCATTTTTAAAAATTTACTCTTTCTAACAAAGCATAGGGCTTAATTACAGGACGCACAAGTGCATTCTTATTAGATCCTGCTAGAGCAGACATGGCCGCCAAGAAGCGCGTCACTGTTTTTGAATCTCACGAGATCGCACATATGTGGTTGGTCATCTCTTTTACGCATGTTCTCGGAATAACTTAACATCGGGGATAGGTTCGGCAATATTACTACCATGGAGTGGTGGGACTATCTGTATCTCAACGAAGGTTTGTACTGCTACTGTATTGTATCGAGGTAATGCTAACATTATAAAACTAGGATTTGCGACTCTTGTATGTTTCCAGGTCTGACCTATATTTTACTAGCCATGTTAATAAGCTATTCCTAGATGGGTGAAGTTATCATAGTTGGTAACTTGTTTTTATTCAAGTGCTTGTGATACTTCTCTAACCCCTTTTTTTCTTAGACAAGTAAATGTTTTTCTTTCAACTTTACACATTGATTTACAAGCTTTATTGTGAGGATTTTCCCGGAGTGGAAAGTGGACTCTGAGTTTATCACTCTTCACTTGAACGACGCCCTCAATCTCGACGCGAAAGTCTCTTCGCATCCAGTTGAAGTGGACTGCCCGGACGCTAATCAAATCAATCAAGTATGTGTTTTCTGATTGCTAGTGGAAAGGGTCAACCTGATTGAGGCACTTTCAGATATTTGATTCATTGTCGTACGCTAAAGCCGCTTCAGGTAAGTGAAGTACCAAAGTGATAACAATGATGTGGTGATGCTGATCATTTGTAGTGCTACGAATGTTGTCCAACTATGTCGGAGAGGAGCGTTTTTTGAAAGGTGTCTCGTTGTACCTCAAGAAAAGGTTATATGGTAACAGTGTGACTCGAGACCTATGGGAAGGAATAGCAGAAGCGACTGGTCTGTTAAACCGTGTGCATCGAGGCAGATATGGCTGACGAGTTGATATAGGCATTGATGTCACAAAGATGATGGATAACTGGATCACGAAGGTAATGGATTGTCCATTCATGCACGTGAATCTTTGACGTATCGACAAATCTCAGATCGGTTTTCCGGTCCTTACTGTCACTGAAACTAAAGATGGGATACGCGTTCGTCAAGACCGCTTCCTAGAAACGGGCCCCGCAGAACCAAAGGATAATGAGACGATTTGGTACTTCTAATATTAACTCAACGCTTGACGTTCAATATTTAATCTGCTGAATGCTAGGTCTATTCCTTTGAGCCTTTTGACGGTAACAGAGCAGGGGAAGCCCATCGTTGATCACGGGATCGTGTTAGATACCAGGGAGAAAACTATCGCAATTGACACAACCAAACCGTTCAAGTTAAATGCAGGGACATCTGGTGTGTGTAAGTAATATTGTTTTAGTCTCATGGACCATCGCCTTTTTGCTGACGTCATTTGACAGACAGAGTTCTGTACTCTGATGAACGGGTGGCGAGTATCGCTGAAGCAGCAGCGAAGAGCGATGCGGTATTTTCTCTGAATGATCGAATCGGCCTAGTGCATGATGTGATGGTGCTATCCAAAGCCGGGTTTTCGCGAGTGAGCAGCGCATTGACGGTTGTCGATACGTTGCGACATGAGAAAGAATGTCAGAGTTTCGATCTTTGCCGCCATCAGTTTACATGCTGATGAAAGACTTTTCAGTCCTTGTATGGGACAGTATCGCGGGTAATGTTGCGACGCTGTTGTCAGCTTGGTGGGAGCAGCCAAGGATAGTGGAGCTTCTGAACAAGTTCCGTCAGGTAGGCCAACGCGAGCTGTTGCTTGGAGTGCATAAATGCTTATGTTATGTTAGTCATTGTACGGCCCTATAGCGCAACGACTTGGCTACGATTACGCGGTGGATGAGACAGCTGATACCACACAGTTGCGTACACGCGCGATAGAGCAGGCCGCTCGCGCTGGAGACGCTCGGTAGAACTTTTTCCCCCTGTGGATTGGTAATGTGGCTGATGATTTGGTTTTTATAGAGTTATTGGCGAGCTCAAGTCCCGATTTGCGGAGTACATGAAGACGGGCGATGATTCGAAGATACCCGCTGACCTCTTTAGGATCACATTGATCGTCGTACGTGTTATCTCCTGTTGATCTCGTGAATCCGCTCATGTCAGCGTCTAGTCTGTGAAGCACGGTGGACGGGAAGAATACGAGTTCGTCAAGCAGCTTTATGAGAAATCTACTACGCCGCCATCTGCAAGTACTTCTGCCATGTAAGTCTGATTTAGCTACTTGGGGAGTAAATACTCAATGTCGGGGAAATAAGGTATGCTATGGGCTCTAGTGAAAATGAAGAGTGTCTTCGTGATATATTTGATTATATCCTAACGAATGCACGGGACCAGGATCTGGTGTACTTCTTCGCAGGATTGCGCGGAAATAATAAGACGAGAAGACGGCTTGCAAAATTTTTCAAGGATAATTATGATACGGTGAGTAATGAGGCGGTTTGCAAGATGACGAGACGTTGAAGCAGTAGTTGCAGTTATATGCGCGCTTCGAAGGAAACTTCTCGCTCAAGTATATTGTAGAGGTAAGTGACCGGGTATATCTGATACTGCTGTAGTTGATTTGTGACTTGCAGGAAGCGTTTGGTGGTTTGAGCACAGAAGAAGACTACGAGGAGACTGTCAAATTTTTCAAGGTGAGTTGTCGGGAAGGATTTTGTGAGCAAGCACTGAGGATCTTATAGGACAAGGACACAAGCAAATACAATCTTGCGTTGGAGCAGACGCTCGATTCGGTGCGAGCGACGTCGGCCTGGCTAAAGGTGAGTACGATCAGCGATTTCTTTGCATGGTGGCTGAAGTGGTGTCAGCGATCGACTACGGACATACTCGAATGGCTTGAGATGTGGGACAAGAGGGAGTAGAATATTAGTAGAATGGATCTATAGATGGGCCTCGGTTTGAGCAGACTTTGCAGTTGAGAAACATGGGATCCCACAAGGTCCCTCAAATCTCCCCAACCTTGTGCTAACGGAAGTGGATCTGTCTCCTTGTCCATCCATATTTATCCATGTAAAGCGGCCATGTCACCCAATCCCTACTAATCCGCGGGATTATACAAGAAAAAAGTTGGATGGTTGCCTAGATGGCTGCAGCAAATAAAACGACAGGGAGCGGGTACATTCCCAATGTTAATAGTACAGATCCTGCCATATCACAGAAAGGGCCAGGTATGCTGGAGGCCATGGTGCATCGACGCAGCACTATTCCTACAACAAACAGTGGATAAAAAGGAACAAGAGGTACATCTAGCTCATTTCTCTTATACATCAGTATGTTTGTATCCTGTTACTAGTACATTGATAGACACTGTGATCATTCTTCATCCATGTACAGCAATCATTTCAGCCAACCTCTGTGGAGTCATTTCCAGACTTCGTGGTTCGATGACACATGGAAAGAGGAGTGGGTGGCTATAATAACCATGGATCAGCATGGTTTCAGGAATATGATAGGATACAGTCACGTCGTTAATCCAGAAGTCCATTCGACCTGAAATTCAACTTCTTTTCCCAAGTCATCTACTGCCTTTCTTATATTGAATACGGACAAAACGGATGCGATGCCTGCCCATAAACTTGCATCGGCCACATGTCGACCTATGCATACTCGCCTCCCAAACCCGAATGCGTAGCTTACAACATCGTCGACAAGCTTTCCATTCGAAAGAAACCTTTCAGGCTTGAATTCATATGGATTTGGATAAATGCTCTCGTCGTGAGACATTGCCCTGTAATGTAACGTTAGATAGACAGCCAGCAGAAACCAGCCCACTAACCATAAATTTGCCATCACAGTTGCGCCTGTAGACATGGATGAAATACTGTGCTTATGAACACATACGGGGGCTAGAAACGAACCTTTGGGTATGTAGTACCCTTCATATATATCATCATTAGTAGCAGCATGCGCAATGCCTGTCTGTGATGTGAGGATAGTAATAGATAGAATAGAAAGTTTACTTGCCTAACGGTACAACAGGATGCCATCTCAACGTTTCACGAAGTACAGCATCAATGTAGGGCAACGATGCCCTATCACTGAACTCAGGAAGCCTATCCCGGCCCACTATAGCGTCGATTTCAGCCTGGGCCTTTGCTTGGACTTTGGGATTCTGTAGCATTGCAAGAGTAAAGATGAGCATGGCTGAAGAAGTCTTAGAATGAAGCTTTAGTATCAAGTAGTTGGATATTCATTGACAGTTCACCCACAGTTTCTGATGCGGCTGGATGAGAATTACAACCAAAGATGTTAAGCTCTTGGTCAGTTGATACACCAGACGTGATCTTACCATTGAAAGCGGTTGCTGCCACGTCCTTTACTAGGTTTTCGTGGTACTCTACGTTTCCACCATCCTTCATTCGACCCAAAAGGTCTGAGCAGATACATGGCAGCAGCGAGTTTGAAGTCTAGCCCTATGCTCAGTATCGCCTTTCTTACAGCAGTAGACGACGCACCAGATTCTGTGTGACATGTCGATAAGGCGCATCTACTTGTTCTTTGCTGACCTGGCGGCTCTCTTGTGCCTTCTTCTGGAATCCTGCCCCTGGTAACCAGTACGGTAGTCGAAGGACTCAATAAAGGAAAGGCATTCAGACATCCGCTAGCCACCAGAAATGTGAAACAAACTTACGAAACGGAAATGCACCCAGTAGGGCTGCTTTTTCAGGTGTTACCACTCCAATTGCGAGATTAAGAGTATCCTCGACAATTTTAACGAGTGCATCATGGCGTGGTGCGGTATCATATCCATAAGCAACGGCCATAATAATAGAAGAAGACATGCTGAACAAAAAATTTAATGATCATGAGATGAATTGCGGACATGGCAGGAATCTCACGTCTGAAAATGGCTATCATATTCCTGGGGCGTTTCAAGCAGATTAATCAGGAGCTGATGTACCTTAAGCATTTGCACTGGACGATAGGTGAGTGCAGCTTCAGGGCGAAATGTCTGATGAAAAAGCCGCCTGCACTGTCGCCACCTTTCACCATAAGGCATAAATGCGACATTCCAAGTCCATCCAAACCTACGATGCAAGCAGTCACATTACTACCTCGACATACAGGATAAAGGAAAGTGCATACAGATCAATTGTGGTTAATGTCGGCCTATCAGAGAAAACACTCGATCGACGGTCGAGTATATCTTTTGCTATTTTCTCAGAGTTGATGACAATTATGTCTTTGCTGAACAAACGAGAATACACAAGGGGCCCTTGTAAACCAAATGACAAAGCCTTTTCAGAATACGAAAGCCGGTACACCATCATAAAAACGTACCATATGTTTTTCCCCAGTTTGTATATGTAACCCAAGGTTCTTTGGAATTCACACTCATTACATTTCCTACCACAGGAAATGGACGTGGACCGGGCGGGAGCGGGCACCGAGCACGTTTCTCCCGATTATTGACCATCAGCCTGATGGCAAAGAGTGAAACGAGGGCACCAAGGATAGGGACCAGAGAGTATATGTTTGTCACCTCAACGTTGTCAAGCATCTTGATCATACTGCAGTGAAGGATAAGATGCGGTTTTCGTGGACGTGCATACGGTTTGAGTACGGCTATATATGATTGTCTGGTGGGAATATATTTTTCCTTCTTACTCTTGCGGAGTGTTTCTTTCGATTACAAAAGACATGAATTAGGAATTTGGTTCGCCAAGGATATGAATAGGGTTTGCTGGCTAACTCTTGAATGAGCGGAACTGTCGCATGAGAACCTGATTACCTGTTTAACAATGATCACAAGGTCAATATCCGTAGTGATAGGAAGAAGGAAATGCGCAGCTGATTATGTTCACTGAATGCACTCTTCGACAGTTATAACGGGAGCTCGTGTCTGAAACCATTGAAGGATTCTGCTCAGGCTGTTCATTGACGAGTAAGCACCTATGCAAGTTCTAGGGCTGGACTCATTGGTGGGTCCTCCTTGGTGATTCTCAGTGGAAAAGAGAGCATGAAATAGGTGATTCAACATAATCACCAGCTGAAGGATGGTGGACACTTCTTCAGCCGCTGGACAGTAGGATAGAATCTGTCGTTACGTCAATGTAGGTATGATATTAGCGCCCAAGACTACAATGATCACGGTAATCAGTGACAAATGCAGATAATGCCCAGGCTTCTCCCAAGCCGCGCTGTTTCGAGATAATTGCTAGAGCAGGAATGATAAGTTGTCATTTTGCAGGTGCAGCCGCTTCCCTAGAACGTCTGGAGACTTCACCTAGAACAGCTCTTCTGGGAGTGAATTCGGTCTTTCACTGGCAGACTGGGTTCCTTTATTGAGGAATCGGTCTCTGAGACCCAACATCCCGTCCGACGGCCCAGACCGGCACCGGCATCCGCGATCCATCCGCAATCTAAAAATAGATTCATTCATCTCCCACCTGAAAGCATCTCCGACATCTTGAACTGCGAGCCTTTCTGCTCATCATGGTGAGCCTTGCTGCTAGTAATGTTAATGTATTGACTCAATATTTGGATAGTCATGTCCCCTTTCTCACAGTGGGTTGTATTTTCCTCTTGCCTTCACTCACCATGCCCCCCAGACCATTCAGTCATATTCCATGTAATATACCCATTCAGTACATGATAAGGACATGCCACCTAGGACATCATATACAGGCTGCCTGGCTGGCCAGTGCTCCCTGCAACAGTACCCAGCCACGGACATGCAAGGAGGGCCAGCCAGGTCTTATCTCTATTTGTGAGAATCTAACTCTTATGCCAAATAAACAGAGAGTTAAGTTGTCTAATTGCAAGCAAGGTCTTTCACAGATGAATAAATATTTAATCAACAGCTAAGGAATATGCACATGAAGTAGCTGGCATATATACCTAAGAAACACATGTAAGTAATGAGGTGCTGACTGAGTGACATGTATAAGGCATGAGGCAATTGATAAGTACTTTGGTAAGTAACTATGTCATAGGTCACATGATTGATCATGTGACTATGATAAGATAAGATCTGGAGAAATTATAGCATGATACACTGTAAGTGCTAGTAATCGTTATAATTGCCAACATGAAATTTATGGAAGTATTGAGACTGATATGATGGATTCATCATCATCATTATTTTTAAATAAGGTAGAGATGAGAGATTGTGACATTACCTCCTCCTTAGGCCATGTTCAGTAGCATCATTTGGAAGATGATGGTTTTAGAACATTGTTGTGCTGGGTGGCTTGATGATGCTGAATTTTAACTTTATTGCACTGGGTGGCTTTATAATGCCAAATGCCAAGCAGGCTGGTCATAGGGTGATACAGAATTGGGTGTCTTTGAAGATAGAACACCTATATCAATACCATCAATTTACCCACCAAACAATCCTATTGATGGTGTGAAGGCCAGCCAGCAGCAGGCTTTCCAAGCCTCCACAATAGTACCCTCTATGGTCATTGAAAATGACAAGCATCAATGATACAACTAATCAAACAATTACAAAGAAGAAAAAGGGGCCTAAGACCATTTGGACTGGAGTGGATTTGAAGAAACTTGTGGATCTTGCTGTAGAGTATTGAGGGCTCCTTGGAGAGGGGGGGGATTTCAAACCCCAGTTCTGCACTGCTGCTGAAGATGTGTTAGGGCCTATGATGACAAGAGGAGCCTAAAAGACCACCAATTCTATCCGCACAAAGTGGTTCAGTATCAGTACTCTAGTGTCTATCATGCCATGGCCCTTATTGACAAGCCTGTTAGCTCAAGAAGGAGTTTATTTGTGCTGGAAACTTGGTAGATATGTCTGGGCTCAGATTTAGTGTTTCAAGGGGCTTAAAGATCACAAATGTGAACCAACATATCTGGGATGCGCTTTGCAAGGTAATTAGCATCTAATTTCCTATTCCCACACATTAACTCGCCATTTCCAGAGTAAAAACAAAGAAACAAAGGCAATTTTCATTTGCTTAGCTGCAGATGGATGTAAATGGTATAATAAGATTGTGGGAATTTTACCCAGCCAGGAAAAAGGAACTCATGTGTTTCAAGCCTCACAAGTGCAGTTTTTGAAGGCACCCACCACATTGCCAAGAAAGGAGGCTATTGTAACAACCAAGAGTTAGTTACTCTGGCGCACACAGAAACACACTATAAGGAAAATGGATGGGGAGTGGTTACCCCTTAGGCTGCAGTGAGTTTGTTGGTTAACAACAGGAGGACTTGCTGAGTCCTTCCCTATGTATTGCTCTTGTATATATACTAAAATACATGAGGTACTGTACAGTTGTAAATAAAGTTCAAAGTCCGATGTCTAGCATGTGACCGGTCACATGATGAGTCTAGACACTGGTCAGGTGATGTGTCACATGACTGGTCATGTGACTATGAAAAGTCGAAAATGTAAAGTAAAATAAATGGTCACATGACTGGTCATGTGACTTGGAAAACAAAAGTACAAGTACAAAAGTGAAGCGTAAGTAGGTGCTGGTATGTTAATTGTAACAGCTATAGTATTTGGATAGAGATATACAAGATGAGGAGGGGGAGCAGGAGCAGGAGCAGGAGCAGGAGGATTGTGGCGGCAAGGATATGAAAGAACAAGTTTAGCGGATAGTGGATAATTGGGGCAAGCACGACAAAAAACATTACGATGTCATGCACCAAAGTTGATTGGTAGCATGGACAAGTGTCAATAACGAAGCAAATATTCAAAAGACTCGCCTTTGCGCCACATAGGCACAGTGCCACATGGAATAGTAATTAATATTGCCTTTTTCGAACTTGTGGCTGATCAGCACCACCTCTATTAGGCAATCCAGTCACGCTCACCTTTGCTTTTCCATTCGGTACTTTCGGCATTTTGGCATTTTGGCAAATTTTCGCATTGCCACTGGCTACACATTGCATTGCGCCCTCACTTTTGTCGTTTCCTTCACTTCCCTTCCTTTGCCTAGCCCCACCATGGGTCCCTTACTCTCGTTTTTATTCTCACCCGACGGTCACTTCTGGATCCCTATTCTAGTCCATTTCCTCGTCACCTCCACCCTCCTCCTGTAACAACCAAAGTTTTTGATACTCTGGCGCACAACTTCAGACAAAGCTATAAAGGTAGTGAGTGGAGTGGTTACCCTTAGGATAGGACTGAGTTAGTTGTGGGTAAACAACAGGAGGACTCGCTGAGGAGTCTCCTTGATCTATTGGGGTATATATACTACTATAGTTTGTTTGTACATATATACTGTACAGTTGATGGAGGCAGTGGCTGATTATGTCAGGGGGCACAGCCCGTGTGACCAGCTCCACTGCATGAGAAACTTGTATCTAAAAATAGGAAAGGCAGTGCAGCACGAGAAGTGGAGTTTGAACAATAATGGAAAGTGCCACATGTGTCACGACTTGAGCCAGAGCGCTAGTCAGAGCGCTAATTTCATTTTCATTTTTCTTTAATATCTGATCACATGACAGACATAAGTCGTTAAGCTGCTGCTATTTAGCGCGGATAACACAAATACTTAGTTATATCTAGTCACGTGACAAACACGTGACAGAATCCAGACCATGACGTAGAACATCAGTCAGCGCCTCATGGCTGAACCTCAGAACGTATATATACTAAACACTAATGTACATACTTTTCTTCAGTTGTTGATTACTTCTATATACTCTACTTGAACGCTACTTGTTGATTGAGAACTTGTCCCTCCGTTAATTCGGCAAAAGGGATTGGATCTTACAACATGGCACAGGGTGTGAAAACTACAAAAGAAAGTTGAAGAGGAGAATAAAATTTAAAGGTCCGAAAATTGTGTTATTGCAACACCTCCTACTCATCTTCTTTGTACCCCCACCATACCTGATGTCACCACACTCTATCCACTTCCGTCGCCGATCCGTCAACCACCACATGCCACTGCTGATATCAGCAAAGCCCCGGAAGCCAGTGCAAATTGGGCAACAGGTCCATCTTCATGATGTCGATCTTCCATCATATACTATCAAATCATTGGTTGCTCGTCTTGCCTGGTTGGAGCGTGGGTGGGTAGTTTTTGAGCTGGAGAAGGTTCATCCCCTTGTGTTGCCTATGTACATTGCTGTCCCATTCACTTGGGTACATTTATCCTTTGTCCATCGTCTTCACTACAGCTACATCTACCACACGCTGCCTGGGACACATTTGTTGCTGTTGTCACAATGGGCAGGGTGGTAAACGCATGAGATGGAACCACTGTGAAAAAAAAAGTCAGTAAGTAATTGAAAAAGAATAAAATGATAAAAACTTACTTTCCATCCACCACCTATTATCAAGAGCCTCCTTCCTCTCAGGAGTCTGTCTCTCAGGATCAAACCAGACAAATCCTTCCACCACCTCATCTGCTGGGCAGATCATGGAGGGATCAACTGCCTGTCCCTTGTTTTCTCCTCCGCTAAAGTGGAAAATAAACTAAGATGTCCGTCAGGGCTGAATATAAGGGAAAATGGAAGCAAAACACAAATATGGTATGTATTGAACTAACTTGCCTTCCTTGATTATCCTTGCGGCTTACACCGCTGTATTCCTATCCATCCAACACGATATCTGGCTCACTTATACACCAATATATTTGTATCTTTATTACATTGATAAACACATGTAAAATCATACTTCATCCATGTAAAGCAATCATTTCAGCCAATCCCTCCGCAGTCATTTCCAGATCTCGCGGTTCGATGACACATGGAAAAAGGAGTGGATGGCTATAAAAACCACGAATTATTAGCATGACTTCAAGAAGACGACAGGATGTACATATTCACGTTGTTAATCCAGAAGTCCACTGGACTTCGAATTCAACTTCTTTCCCCGAGTCATCTAACGCCTTCTTTATATTGAAAACGGACAGAATGGATGTGATGCCTGCCCATAAACTTGCATCGGCCACATGTCGACCTATGCATACTCGCCTCCCAAACCCGAATGCGTAGCTTACAACATCGTCGATAAGCTTTCCATTCGAAAGAAACCTTTCAGGCTTGAATTCATATGGATCTGGATAAATGCTCTCGTCGTGAGACATTGCCCTGTAATGTAATGTTAGATAGGCAGTCAGCAGATAACCAGATTACTCACCATAAATTCGCCATCACAGTTGCACCTATAAACGTGAATGAAATACCGTGCTTATGGACACAGACAGGGGGCTAGAAACGGACCTTTGGGTATGTAGTACCCTTCATATATATCATCGGCAGTAGCAGCATGTGCAACGCCTGTTTGTAATGTAAGGATAATAGTGGACGGGGATAAGGGAACCTACTTGCCTAACGGTACAACAGGATGCCATCTCAATGTTTCGCGAAGTACAGCATCAATGTAGGGCAATGACGCCCTATCACTGAACTCAGGAAGCCTATCCCGGCCCACTATAGCGTCAATTTCGGCCTGGGCTTTTGCTTGGACTTTGGGATTCTGTAGCATTGCAAGAGTAAAGATAAGCATAGCTGAAGAAGTCTTAGAATGAAGCTTTAGCGTTAAGTAGTTATATATTCATAGACAGTTCACCCACAGTATCTGATGCAGCTGGAGGAGAATTACAACCAGAGGTGTTAAGTCTCGGTCAGTTGATGTACCAGACGTGATCTTACCGCTGAAAGCAGTTGCTGCCACGTCCTTTACTAGTCCCTCGTGGCGTTGTATATTACCACCATCCTTCATTCGACCCAAAAGGTCTGAGCAGATACATGGCGGCAGCGAATTTGAGGCCTAGTCTTATGCTCAGTATTGCTTTGCGTACTGCGGTAATCGACGCACCAGATTCTGCGTGACATGTCGAAAAGGCGCATCTACTTGCTCTTTGCTGACATGACGGCTCTCTTGTGCTTTCTTCTGAAACCCTGCCCCAGGAAACCAGTATGGTAGCCGAATGACTGAACGAACGAGGGGCCTTCAGATATCAGCTAGCCACCTTCAATGTGGAACGAACTCACGAAACGGAAATGCGCCCAGTAGGGCTGCTCTTTCAGGAGTTATCACCCCAAGTGCGAGATTAAGAGCATCTTCCACAACTTTGACGAATGCATCATGGCGTGGTGCGGTGTCATATCCATAAGCAATCGCCATAATAATAGAAGAAGACATGCTGAATTGATTATTTAAAGATGATGAGATGAATTGCAAATATAACAGGAATCTTACGTTTGAAGATGGCTGCCATATTCGTGAGGCGTTTCGAGTAGATTCATCAGGAGCTGATGTACCTTACACATTTGCACCGGACGATATGTGAGGGCAGCTTCAGGGCGAAATGTCTGATGAAAAAGCCGCCTGCACTGTCGCCACCTTTCGCCATAAGGCATAAATGTGACATTCCAGGACCATCCAAATCTGTGACGCAAGCGGTCACTTGAATTATCTCGACATGCGGGATAAATGGATGTACATACAAATCCATTGTGATTAATGTTGGCCTATCAGAGAATACACTCGATCGGCGGTCGAGTATATCTTTTGCTATTCTCTCAGAGTTGATAACAATTACGTCTTTGTTGAACAAACGAGAATACACAAGGGGCCCTTATAGAGCAAGTGACAAAGCCTTTTCAGAATACGAAAGTCGGTACACCGTCATCAAAACTTACCATAGGTTTTCCCCCAGTCTGTATATGTAACCCAAGGTTCTTTGGAATTCACACTCATTACATTTCCTACCACAGGAAATGGACGTGGACCGGGCGGCAGCGAACAACGAGCATGTTTCTCCCGGTTATTGACCATCAGCCTGACGACAAAGAGTGAAACGAGAACACCAAGGATAGGGACCAAAGAGTGTATGTTTGTCGCTTCAACGTTGTCAAACATCTTGGCCATACAGCAGTGGATGATAAGATGCAAGTTTCGTAGACATACGATTGGAATACGACTATATATAATCGTCAGGTGGGGCTAAGTTCTTCCCTCGTATCTTTGCGGAATATTCCTTTCAATTACGAGAGACGGTAATCAGGAAGTGGATGGTGATCACGAGTTAGGTTCGTTAGCTAACCCAAATCAATGGGGCCGTCGCGTTGAGAACCTGTTTGCCTGTTTAACAATGACAGGGTCAAGGATCCGTAGTGATAGGGAGAAGAAATGCGCAGCTAGTATTGTTGATGGAATGTACCTTCCGACGACATGATATAACGGGAGCTCATGTCTTAGATTGAAGAAATCCGCTCAGGTTGTTCATTGGCGAGCAAGCACCTATGCGGGTTCCTGGGGACAGGCCGGGGGGACTGATTCCTGATTGAATTGCAGTGCAAAAGAGCACATGGGATAGGTCATTTGACGTAACTGCCAGCTGACAAGGATGGTAAACGCTTCATTTATGGCAGTACATTGCGTGTTATCGCTGAAGTTGGAAAGTTGGGTAGGAAACCTATCTTTATGTGAATGTCAGTATAATGTTGGCGCCCAAGACTACGATGATCACGGTAATCGGTGACATACTGACAAATACGATAGAAATGCATATATGCAGATAATGTCAATTGTGGTGAAAGCCTGATGTGGTTGAATCACAAGCCAGCTTAGCATTTTAGACCTGCATAGTGGAACCTACTAGAAATGTCGTCACGGAGTGGATATAATATAGCTGACACGCCTGCACGCTGTTTGGTTCAGGATTCGTAGCGCATGCGATTGATAGCACGCATATAATCGTGTGTTATGGTCGACATGGCTTGAGGAAAGAGGAGGCTGAGAAGGGAAGCGGGTGGACGGTGTGCTTACCTAATGAGCGATAGCACTCTTTCTTTCGTTCGTCGACGTTGTTGTGTTCGTTGAGCGATGCCGTATGATCCAGTCCGCGATGCTGTGTTGAACTCCCCCATCAGTCCTCCCTCGTCGTTGCCCCCGCCCCCCAGCGCCCTCTCCTCGTCGCCCTACGACTCCCCCTCCACGTCTCGCCCGTCGTCCTCGACTGCCAGCCCGTCCCTCACTCGACGAGCAACCGATCTCTCTGTTCTCCTCAATGCAGACTCGCAGGAGCCACGCACGCCCCTGTCCGCACGCCCATCCACCCTTGCCCACCTTCTTATCCACGACAACACCGTCCACGACGACAAACTCGTGTCTGCACCCGCCCTCTACCGAAAATCTCCTCCCTCCATTCTCATTCCCCCCTCTTTCTCACGCCAGCTACCCTCGTCACTGCCTTCAGACCATTCCTCCTCTTCAAGACCTGCCCCTTCGCCTCTTTCTCCTTATATGCACTCTTCCAGACCCTCTTCGTCCAGTTCAAATCCATCTTCGCTTCCTACCGTCACTCCCGCTACAACCACTTCTCCTTCAATGCCCCCACCTCCCCCACCCATCCCTTATAATCCCCGCAGAAAAACACCAGCTGGTTCTGTCCTCGTCCCCATGTCCTCACGTGAGATAGAGCTCTACAAAAATTACCGTGGTTTAGGCAGCCAGCGTCTATTGGGCAAACGTAAGAGACTTGTCCCAGACGACGACGACAGCCCAGCCCAGCCTCCACCCAAGAAGTTTGCAGGTGATGTTGTCAAAGTCGTTGAGCACTGTACGTCGTTCCTTTTCGTTCTACTCACTCCATGTATTTATCCTTCTTTTTCTTTGCGAATGTCTCCAGACAACACAAGACCAGATGTTGGCGTAAAACAGCGCTTAGACTCCCCCATAATTGGCCTAAAACATTTTAACAACTGGGTAAAATCAGTCCTTATCACCCGCTTCGCCCACCCCGCCCTCTCCTCTCACTCCTCTTCATCACGGAAAGGCCCTCCCTCTGGAAAGGTCCTCGACATGGGCTGCGGAAAAGGCGGCGATGTCTCAAAGTGGGTTAAGGCCCGAATAAAAGAACTCTTGGCCGTCGGTATGTCTTCCTCACCTTATTCCATATTCCTCCCCTTTTTTCTCAACACTGTAAATAAATAACAATGTAAACCCATGACTTTTGGTGCACAATAAAAACAGATATCGCTGGAGTATCCGTTGACCAGGCACGCAGCCGCTGGGAAACCATCCGAGGACCGCGCTTTGACGCTACCTTTGCTACACTTGACTGCTACTCGGAGCCACTCTCCAAGGCCTTCCCACCCGCGAAGCTGGCGCAGCCGTTCGACGTCGTCTCCATGCAGTTCTGCATGCACTATGCTTTCGAGACCGTTCAGAAAGCCCGCTGCATGCTCGACAACGCCAGTCGGTGGCTCAGATCTGGTGGTGTGTTTCTTGGGACGATACCGAATGCGGAGCAATTGTTGTATGTTGCCCCCCGAGTCGTCGTCTATGTATAAATTATTGACGAAGTGATGACATCATCATTATTGTTATCTTGGGTTAATAGAGAGCGATTGGATGGTCTGCCCCCGGATGCAGAAGACCTTTCGTTTGGAAACTCGGTGTACAAGATCCGTTTCGAAGACCGCGTTCGGAAGCCCGTATTTGGGCACAGATACCACTTCTTCTTGCAGGACGCTGTAGGGGACATACCGGAGTATATCGTTCGTTGGGACAGCTTCGTCCAGTAAGCTTTTTTCTTCCACTCCGAACTTTTTCCACTTCGCTGTCTGTTAACACGTTGATGCGTAGATTGGCTGCTGAATACGGATTGCATCCCATATACAAGGAAGAGTTCCACCAAGTATTTGCTGAGCACCAGGATCACGAAGAATTTGGACCATTAATGGTGCGCATGAAGGTTGTCGACGCCAACGGTGAGAGCGCGATGGACGAAGATCAGTGGGAGGCTGCAAGTAAGTGTCCAGCACTGCCCTTTCATGCGTTCACGATGCTGATGCTAATGCTGCATCAGATATCTACATAGCGTTTGCATTTGAAAAGCGATAATGAAAGTGAATAGTGCCTGTTTATATATATTTCTACTTTCTCTGAACATACTGTAATGTCAATCGACAGGGCTAGGTTGCATAATTCGATACGAACAAACTTTAATCCTATGTACACATTTCGTCGCACATTTCGTCACGAATATGAAATTATGGAAACTGAAAGGTAACGAAAAAGAAAGGCATATAGCAAGAATGTGTCCCATTAAGATTACAGAGAAATACCAAGACGTCTCTGATATGCGTATGGGAAAAACTCGAAATAGAGAAAGAACCTTACTCCTGACCGAATCCAACAGTCTCCCTGAACGCGTGCAATAGTTAGCGACTCATAATGACTCAGAAACGTAGATACGCACTCTACAGCAAGCGTCAGCTTCTGCTCCAGGCTCGCATAGTCTTTATAAGGGGGAAGATCGATGCGATTGAAGCACGTATGACTCTTCGGCAGCTGTGACGGTTCACCCGACTTTTCTATCGTGAAGCGTCGAGGACCGTCTGACCCTTGAAGATCTTTGAATCCGTTGACGGGAATACGAGACGTGCCTGTCGCGAACTGCAAGAGCCGGGACTTCCGTTCAGGAGGCCAGCCACGGACGCACTTCCAGAACCACTGAATCACTTCGTCATTCATCTCATATCCGCGGTAGTCGGTAAATTTGGTCCAGTCATCCCTACAACTATCATCAACCCCAATTTCGATGGACAAGGACAAGATGGAACTTACACATCAATCTCAGACATTCCGCCGATCAGCAACTCGAGTTCACGCTCGTCGAAGACAGTGATCAAGTCCTGAGGGATCAATTCGCTAAACCCGGACATGAAGGACTCAAATTGTTCCTTGACACGTTTGGAGATGCGGTACTCGACCACAGCATCAACATAATCCTTCTTGTTGTCTTCCGTCACCGTAACATCGCCACCTCCAGGCTTAAGCTCGACGTTGACCATCTCTCCAAAGCGTTCCTCTGTGGTCGTAAAAGTTTCGTCAATGACGTCAGTAATGTCATTTTCACTGATAAAGAGAATTTAAGTAAATATAAATAGATAAACAGGCCGTACTCACAGCATCCATGTCAAACCGCGATGTAACTCTGCATCCACACTTTCCAAATCGGATAGGGTCACCTTCTTTTTCAGAATCATCTTATAAAAGCTGACAATGAAGTAGGCATCTAAGAAGCGGCGGTGGAAAATCCCAAGGCCGAGACAACGACCGATGAACTTGAAGTAGTTCAAATGCTCTGGATTTACACCAGAAGCTGGATTTATTTGTAGCGTGTAGTTGTCATGTGCCGAATATTCGAAGAGACAGTAGAAGGGATTGAACATCTCATGCGAAAGAAGGAAGAAGAACTCTCTGCAATACTATTAGTTATCTTAACCAACACAACGAGCAGACCACATACCTGGACAGGCCTCCATAATCAAGACCATCCTCGCCATCGAATTTGATCATAAGCCTCTTCTTCAAGTCATTGGGCGTTTGCCTCATAATTTCCGCATAACTATCTTCAAAGATATGGTTTCGTCTGACTTTAATTTGACAGTTTCCAGGCTGAGCCCGCATAGCCGGCTGACTCCTGAAGTATATGAGCTTCCTCCTAAAGTCCCGCTTGTACTGAGGCACATTAGCATCCAGTGTAGATGGCATGCGCGGATCATCCCATGTAGTGGTTTTCGTATTATGATCCACAAAATAAACGCGAGCTGTGGATGTTAATCGCATCTCCCAACCAGAAGGCAAGGGGCCAAGTTGAGATATCGTTTGTGGCTGAAGGGCTGTATTTTGGCCATTCGGACCCATCACACGAATAATCGTTTGCCGACGAGGGTCCACCCAGGTAGTTGTGCGCGTATTATGGTCAACATAGTATGGGCGACCTTCTGGAGTATACCTCTCTTCCCATCCGGCTGGCAGACTTCCAGACCCAGCAGTGGTTGCATTGTTGCTCGCAGCAATTGCTGATCCAGCTGGAGAACCTGTTGGCTGCGGTGTGGTGGACGAAGCGCGATGCGCATTAGCGTTCAAAGGATTATTTGCATCAACCATATCATCTGCAAGGATACGTCGTGAATGCTGATCTCTGGCAGCATTGGTCTCTCCCTCCTGAACGTTGCTGTTAACAGTTTGGTTGCTTGAAGGTCTGTTCCAGGTAGTGCTCCGAGTGTTGTGATCAACATAGTAGGTTCGGCCGAGCGGATCAATACGACGCTCCCAGCCCGTTGGAAGAGGCCCGTACTGGTCAACATTGGGGTTAAAGTTCCGCTGAGCATTATTTGTGGATGGTCCAGAAGATGTGGTCAGCTGCGCAGAAGAACTTTGCGATGAAGCGGCAGCTCCCGCTCCAGTGCTAACCGGCCGAGAACTTTGTGACGAATGGGAAACGTGGTGTTCAAGTTCAGGCCCTGTTGATGACGACGACGACGTCAAGTGAGGAGTAGGCATTGAAAGATGAGGAGAAACTGCTGCCTCCGCGACCGTGGCGTGAGAACTAGGCGTACGGGAGAGCACGTTCCCATTAACAGCTGCACTGGGTGAAAGCGATAGGTTAGACTCGTTTAGTCCCATATTCGCGAGAGCGTCTGTAACTCCAGAAACCTGTGAAGGACCTGGGTTGTTCATAGGCTGATTGATATTTGTTGACAAATAAATGATAAGTTTCCCATGGACAACCAGATTGTCATTAGACTTTTTCAGATCCAACGTGAGCATCTCTGGAACGGAATGTGAGGGTTACTATACGTGAGCCGAAAAGACTCCTCTTACCGTGGCCGCCTAACTCGAGGTCAAGCACGTCACTAACGCGCACATTTACCACCCCAAGAAAGCCCTGGTCCCGCCTCTTGAATTTACGTTGATCGAATATTTGGACTGCGACGACAGAGGAGTCTTTGACAGTGCTGATTTGATGCGTGAGATGTGACGATTATAACATTGCCCCAATCCCCATGACATTGCTACTCACATATCAAAGCTCTCGTTCCAATATGGATTCAGAGTCTTTTTAATGACGCTAGTAGTGTGTGTCTGTTCGGCGTCTACAGTGATTACGGCGAAAGGGTCTGGGAGGCGGAATACATCGCGCTTAGAAAGACCATCCGCAGCAACGACTATTCAAAGGCCAATTGCTATCAACAAGATGGACATATGATACAGACAGAGCCAGACGTACCTGTGACCCTGATTTTCTTCCTGCTGCGAGGATTGCGACGATAAAAAAGCGATTGTGAGAGATTTCAAGTTGAAGACTTACAGTGCATGAGCAGGAATCGACATGGGCTATAGCACACAGCTGATGACGGGAAGAAGAAAGATCAAATGAAACTGGTTTTACAGCTACGAGGCTGATGAAGGGTCCAAAGCCGACAGGTATGCTCGGACGTTGAGGGGAACGACGAGCGAGACCTAAACTGTCACCGTTATTGATTGTCCAATTTTCAGAGGCCGCCAATGCCGGCCGGCAGTGCACAGCGAAGCGCCCGCACAGCTTTTACCTTGGCGGCACAGTCAGCTGAAACCAATGCAGTACGCTTCTCATTAAAAAGGTAGAAAAGAAAAGACCGGTACAAATAATCCTCAAGAACCTCACCAATGAGTAAACAACATGAAGACAGATCATCAAACATAGATGGCAAAGGACTGTAATGTCTTCTTGTCAAAGATTTAAGGCAGAAATAAGGTATGTATAATTTTACTAATATATGAAGGTCTAGATTTGGTGGGGGTAAAGTCAATTGAAACACAGTTTCATGATAAACTTTGTCTCAAAAATAATAAGAGTATAGAAACTGAGAATATAGAACTTTGTCATGGCTGAAATCAATGGTAGTATCCAAGTTCCATATTGTCATTGATGTAAACTGTAGGCATTGGCTTATATAAGGAATCAAAAATTTTCTGCATTCCTACAATGTTGCACCTCAGACTCATCTACAAAGTCTGAGGTGAGACCCTTACTTTCCCCCCTTCTAAATACCTAGCTAATCATTAGTATAGCTCTTATCTTATCTAGATCAAATCCAAATAATTTCAGGTCATGAGCCCTGTCGACAATGTCGACAACAAAGAGTTGCTCAGAGTACCAAAGCTTGAGCCCGATGGCTCAAACTGGTCTATATACAAGACAAGATTAGCTTGGGCACTGGCAAATAAAGAGTGTCTAGCATACATACTTGGTACTGTGCCAATACCCCCAGTAACCCTGACAATGGCAGCAGAGTGAGAGACTCTTGCAGCCTGGTCCAAGAAAAAGAATCATGTGCGGAACATCCTGGTATGTATGATCCCAGACTTGACGCTGTTGATGATGAGAACTGCTGTTAGAAAACCACACACAAAAACAAACTAACACACAATCCTCCCACATTCCACGGAACTTGTTTATGGGCTTTGCCTCCTAGAACAGTGGAGTGGTCTGGTTGTTCGTGGGGTGGTACGTATAAAGATCCTTCAAAGTAAAAACCCAGAGGTGTATGGGTGTGGGTTTTGAGGAGGAGGGATAGTTGAATTTATAGATGATAGGGGCTTAGTGACAAGTATAGATGAGCACTACCTTGCTAATGGTAGCACAAGGTAGGTTTGAGAACGACGAGGTGACGAGGTTTCCAGTGATAGCAGGCTCCTGACGCACAAACTGTAGTGCTCAGAAGGACTCTAATTGAAAGGGATAACAATGACTTCAAAAGTGGGAAGTGACGATGACAGCAATTAACAGTGGTAGCAGTGGGAAGTGTTGTGACCACACTGGATCACAAGTAGCAGAGAGTAGTGAACTTGAGATTAGAGAAGAAGTCTGGATTGGAGTTCTTGTTGTTTTTTTACAAGGTAAAATACAGGGGTTTATATAGTAAAAGAAAAGTAGGCTATGCACAGTATAGCTGTGCAAAAAGAATGAGAAAGAACATGAAGGAAGGAATGTATGCTGACAAATCCTGCATAGGTAGTACAGGATAAGATTGTCAAAAAAAGGAAAAGAAAGGGATAGAACAATGAATGCTGTGAGTAATGTCACAGGTTTGTACAGCCATAAAGTAAAGTCCAATAGCAAAAAGAGAGCAGTAAAATCATGATGTCATGGGAAGATGCAGTAAAAAAAGGGCAAGGCAAAACACTATCAGTATCAACACAGTTCCTTTATTGTCAGTCAGGCATTCTAAAAAATATGTGTCCATAAAAATGATTCAAAAATCAAAAATAATCGCACTGTAAATGAATGTTCTGCTGAAGAAAAAGAAACTGGAGCCACCGGTCCACCACCTAGTCCAAATCCGGCAGTTCCATGGCCTTACCAATGGACTGGTTGTGTTGGACCACCTGATCAAACGAGGGAGGGAGAGGAGTAGTTCCAATTTGGAACAAGTGAGTCCCAGGCAGCGTGTGATAGGTGTAGCTGTAGCGAAGACGATGGACAAAAGATAAGTGTACCCAAGTGAATGGGACAGCGATGAACATGGGCGACGCAAGGGGATGAACCTTCTCCAGCTCAAAAACTACCCACCCACGCTCCAACCAGGCAAGACGAGCGACCAATGTTTTGATAGTATATGATGGCAGATTGACGTCATGAAGATGGACCTGTTGCCCTATTTGGACCGGCTGCCAGGGCTTTGCTGATATCAGCAGTGGCACGTGGTAGTCAACGGATCGGCGACGGAAGCGGATAGGAAGTGGTGACATCAGAAATGGTGGGGGTGCAAATAAGATGAGGAGGAGGAGGGTGGAGGTGACGAAAAAGTGGATTAGAATGGGGATCCAGAAACGACCGTCAGGTGAGAATAAAAAGGAGAGGAAGGGGCCCATGGTGGGGCTAGGCAAAGGAAGGGGAGTAAGGGAAACAACAAAAGCGAGGGCGCAGTGCAATGTGTAGCCAGTGGCGACGCAAAAATTTGCCGAAATGCTGAAATGCGGAAAGTACCGAATGGAAAAGCAAAGGTGAGCGTGGCTGGATTGCCCCCATAGAGGTGGTGCTGATCAGCCACAAGTTTGAAACAGGCAATATTAATTACTATTCCACGTGGCACTGTGCCTGTGTGGCGCAAAGGCGAGTCTTTTTGAATATTCACTTCATTATTGACACCTGTCCATGCTACCAATCAACTTTGGTGCATGACAACACTGTGCAAGATCCTCCACAAAACTACTGTGGCCAATATGTGGACTGTGATCAGCCGAGAAAGCAAGAACAAAACAGAGCTTGTTCAGTTGGACCTGAGAGACAGGTTAGCCTCTCTGCACTGCCACAAGAAAGGCAATATGTGCACACACATTGACAAAATCTGCAACATGTGGGAGCAACTAAGCACTGTCATACACCAAAATTGATTGGTAGCATGGACAGGTGTCAATAACAAAGCAAATATTCAAAAGACTTGCCTCTGCGCCATACAGGCACAATGCCACATAGAATAGTAATTAATATTGCCTTTTTTGAACTTGTGGCTGATCAGCACCTGCCTGTATTAGGCAATCAAGTTGTGCTCATCTTTGCTTTCCATCCATTACTTTCCAAATTTTGGCTTTGGCATTTTGGCATTTTTTTGCATCACCACTGGTACTGGCTACACATTATGCCCTTGCTTTTGTTGTCTCCCTTACTCTACTTCCTTCCCTTACTTGGCCCCACCATGGTCCCTCTTCTGTCTTTTCTCTTTTCACCAAATGGTCATTTTTGGATCCCCATCATTGTCCACTTCTTTGTCACCTCCACACTCCTACTTGTCATCCTCGTGCCTCCTCCATGGCTGATGTCACCTCTGTCCATCCACTTCTATTGCCAATCCGTCAACCACCATATGCCACTGCTAATTTCAGCAAAGCCCCAGAGGCAAGTCCAAATGGGGCAGCTGTCCATCTTCATGACATCAATCTTCCATCATATATTATCAAATCACTGGTCACTTGTCCTGCCTGGTTGGAACACAGGTGGATAGTCTTTGAGTTGGAAAATGCCCATCCTCTTTGTGTTGCCCATGTACATTTGCCATCCCATTTGCTTGGGTACATTTATCCTTTGTCCATTGTCTTCACTACAGCTACACTTACCATATGCTGCCTGGGACACATCTGTTCCAGATTGGAACTACTCCTCTCCCTCTCTTGTTTGACCAGGTGGTCTAATACAACCAGACCATTAGTAAGGCCATGGAACCATCAAATTTGCACTAGGTGGTGGGCTGGTAGCTTCACTTCCTGTTTTTTCAGCAGAATATTCATTTATAGTGCAATTATTTTTGATTTTTGAGTCATTTTTATGGACAGATTTTTTTTAGAATGCCTGACTGACAACAAGGGAACTGTGTTGATACTGATATTATTTCTGCCTTGCCTTTTTTACTGTGACATCATGATTTTCTTGTTCTCTTTCTGCTACTGGACTTTACTTTATGGCTGTACAAACCTGTGACATTACTCACAGCATTCATTGTTCTATCCCTTTTATCACAACACAATGGGATCCGCACCCGTGTACAGTGATTCTGGACCTTCTGGGCATGCAACCAATCAGTATGCTTTCCAAGTACGCCTTGGTAGCTTAGTTGGTAAAGCACCAGACCACGAAAGCTGGAGTCCCAGGTTCAAGCCCTGGCCAATACATGTTTTCTCATACTATAAACAAATGTCATAATTTGTCACCTTTCTTTTCCTTTTTTTGACAATCTTATCCTGTACTACCTACGCAGGATTTATCAGCATATACAGTATCCCTTCCTTCATGTTCTTTCTCATTATTTTTGCACAGCTATACTGTGCATAGCCTTCCTTTCTTTTACTATATAAACCCCTCTATTGTGAGGAATCGATTTTTCTTATCGCATTCCCGTCATGTCGTGGTTAGCCGACTCGATCCCCGTCACTCCTCTTGCCCTTGGACTAGAGATTACAGCAGGTGTCTTATTACTTTTATCATTTTTCTTCTTATTCTCTCTTCACACTCACGTTCTATCGTATCTACAACGAGGTAGACTTGTTGTCGACCCTCGAGAAGATATCCAGATGACATAGCCACGATCCAGTGCTATGTCTGGGAATACTTCGGAGGAATATTGATAAGCGAAGAAGGTTGTGAGTCAGCGCCTTATCATGGGCTTACTGATACAACCAATCGCACATCCCTTACCAATACGTTTTCTCATACGATTAGTAAATACGATAGATCGGACCACCTTCTCCTTTTTCTTATTGGTTAGCTAGCTGGTCAGACCACTTTCTCAGTTCTTTCCTTTCTTGGTCTGACCATCGCCGTTCACTATATAAAGAGGTACATACTCGATGTATTGTTCTCTAGTTCAATATTAGTTTGGATTTGCGCTCTTACTGATACTCTTCATTCTCATACTCTGATTCACCGCCTTCAAGAAAGGACTTGACCAGACATTGGGCTTTGTTATATAGCTTTGTATTTATTGCCTGACATCTATTCTACCTGTAAAAAGGAGAAATCCAATCCAGACTTGTCCTCTATCTCAATTCCACTACCCACTGCTACTTGTGATCCAGTGTGGCCACAATACTTTCCACTGGTACTACTGTTAATTGCTGTCATTGTCACTCTCCACTTCTGAAGTCACTGTCATCCCTTTCATTTTAGAGTCCTTCTTAGCACTACAGTTTGTGCGTAAGGAGCCTGTTATCACTGGGAATCTTATTATCTTGTCACTCTCAAACCTACCTTGTGCTACAATTAGCAAGATAGTGCTTGTCCATACTTGTCACAAAGCCCCTATCATCTATCTTCCAACTATCCCTTATTCTCAAAACCCACACCCACACACCTCTGGGTTTTACTTTGAAGGATCATTTCCCATGAACAGCCAGACCACTCACTGTTCTAAAAGCCCATACACAAGTTCTGTGGAATCTGGGAGGATTGTTTGTTAGCTTGTTTTTGTGGTCCTTCTCTTGTTCACAAGAAAATATCCCAATAATATACCTCTGATTGAGAGCTATGTGCAGGAATACTTCAGTGAGAGATTAATCAATAATAACAACTGTGACTCAGCACCTTCTTATGGGGTTACCAATCCAGCCAATTGCACATCCCTTACTAAGGACCTTTCCCACACAATTAGTAATTATAATAGATCATGCCACTTCTTCCTTTTGTCTCATTGGCTAGCCATTTAGTCGGGCCATTTTCTTATTTTTTTTTCATTTTTTTGGTCCAGCCCTTGTTATTTATAAGGAGTAGATAGTTGATGTAACACTTTCTTAGTTGAATATTAGTTTGGATTTGCACTTATATTGATACTTTTCAATCATTATACCTAGCTCTATTGCCTTACCTTAAGAATGTGGCCTGACATTGGTTTTATTATATAGCTTCATACTGTATTTGTTACCTGATATTTCTGTGTGGCAAGGATGTTAATGCATTATGTGCTTGTTAGTGCTTGTTCAGCATTAATAGCTTGACGAGGAGCTATTGTGCTGAGACCTTTGGGCCATGCTCTCATGTGGTGTGTTATCTACAGCTGCATTCTTTGCAGGTCCTTGTGTGTAGTCTAGGTTAAAGTTTGTATTGTTTAAGTCACTACTTGATGCTCTTGGCAATGCCAGCATATGAGTTTCAAGTTCAAACAATGCAATATAATCTGGTGAAAGGCAACATAATGTCAGTGTTAAACCTGCCAAAAAAAACCAAATATGTGGTACAACTCTAAATAAGGGAAATTGCCATCATTTTGGAGGCTGCTGTGACAACACCAACAAGGTACTACCTTGGGGAACTAGAGAACAACACAACTAAAACTCAATGGAGGAAAGGGAAGTGTACAACGAAGGAGAACTGTTGTAGATCCTCGAGAAGATATCCAGATGACATAGCAATGATCCAATGCTATGTCTGGGAATACTTTGGAGGAATATAGATAAGCGAGGTAGGCTATGAATCAGCGCCTTCTCATGGGCTTACTAATACAGCCAATCGTACATCTCTTACCAATACTCTTTCTCACACAATTAGTAAATACAATAGATCGGACCACTTTTGCTTTCTTTTTCTTATTGGTTAGTTGGCTGGTCAGACCACTTTCTTAACTCTTCCCTCTTTTGGTCTGACCGTTGCTATTCACTATATAAGGAAGTACATACTCAGTGTATTATTCCTTAGTTCAATATTAGTTTGGATTCGCGCCTATACCGATACTCTTCAACTTCAGTACTCTGATTCACCGCCCTTTTCAAGGGACTTGACCAGACATCTGTTCTTGTTATATAGCTTCGTATTCGTTGCCTGACAGTACTATACAGTTGGTAAGTAAACTTAAAAACCCAATGTCCAGCACATATTGAGCTAGACACAAGTCAGATGATGCGTCACATGATTGGTCATGTGACTATAAAAAGTCCGAAAAGTAAAGTAAAATAAAAGGGTTACGTGATCAGTTGCATGACTTGGAAAATGGAAAAGTAAAAGTATAGTAAAGTATAAAGTAGGTACTGGGGTGCCTATTATAACACCTGCTTCAGATTTCCCTTGTCTCGGGGCCTACTAATATCCATTCCTCCAGTTCATCACATCTCCATCTCCAGTTGCTTGATCCTTCCAATGGTGATGACATCCCCACAATTGTATATTTTGACAACATGATCATAGTTTATACAATGAATCTGGTGAAGCTATAATTTTTTCAGGTGGTCAAGACCCTGATGAAACATCAACAGTTTACCGTGATATTTGACACTTTGTGCACTCCAGTCATCCTACTTCTTGTCGCTCTTAGTTTGATCATAATCACTAAACTATCAGAGCTACTGTCTTCCAGCCCACATGGAAATAATGGGATTGCCCCTGTAGCAAACATATTTTCTAGAGTGACTGGGGTCTCAAGCATTGGGAAGGTCTTATCCCACTGTGTATCAAAAAAGGTTTGCTCCCATATTAATACCCGTAGTTTATACTGTATGTGAAAAATATGGATATATCCCACATAATTCATAGTGGGGCTATCCCTTCTTTGAGATTTGATATGGGGACTATCCCCGCTTTGTAGGACTTTCCCCTACTTAGGATTTTGCAACCACTAAAATAGGCAGGGGGGAACCAAACCCAAGAAAACAGTGGTAGCCTCAAAGCCCACTGCACAGTTGGTAGGGTAGGAGCGAGTTAAGTAGTATTCAACAGGAGGCCTCACTGAGAAAGCTATGGGGGGGTATATATATAATATATTGAACAGGTATTTGTTGTATACTATTTGTAGCTAGGTACTGCACAGTCGATAATTAATGGTAGCTGATGATATCATAGGGTCTTTATTTCTCTATCACTCTATCAAATACTACTTTCCTCCCACTCTTATCCTTTGCTTGCCTTTTGTTGTGTGTGCATCAGAGTATAAAAAACTCTAGTTGTAACTTTAGTTCCATTCAGAGGAAGACAAAGGTGAAAATAAAGTTGTATATAATCAACACAGGGGTTCCACATCGCCTGCTCCAGCAATTATACAGTTAGATAATTAGGAAGTATGTTAAAGAAGGAGCCCTTGCTTATGACTAATTTTGCAGGTCCAAACTGGTCCTCAATATCTGATAATTAGTGGATCTGAACTGGACCCAATCACTGTAGAGTGAACCTGGAGACTCAAACAGTTTGGTCCAGGTCCACGGCTAGACTTTGGGCACCCTTATACTTAGCAATCTAGTTTTTATGTCTACCTTTTCAAGTTCATTTATATCTGCCTTGTATGCTGGCCCATTCTGTAGGTCTCACATTCTGAAAACAGCTTTCACGTACAAGCTCCAAGTTACTAATCACCACTGGAGCAAAGGCATGAAGTCACTAGACTCTGATAACAGGTAGGTCATTCTACCTTACTACGAGGCTTGCAAACAATTTATAAACTGAAGTGAGATGTAAGTTAATTTTCCGGAAGACCAAATGACGAAGATCCAAAGCTTGACACTTGTTCATCAACAACGACATGTAGATCTGCATAGGTACATGGTACAGAACCCCGCTTTACAGGCGGCTTGCACCTGGCTAATGCTCAGATTGCTCACTGAACCACTTAAACGTCCCGGTCCCAAAGTTGACGTGAGGAATATCAACATTCAAGTGATCGACTGGCATAAGTTCTGTGGCCTGTACTTCGCCATCGTTTTCACTTCGCTGTCTGGTGGAGGTGGAATTCTACACCACCCTTTGAACATCCACTTATAAAAAGGGTACTATCACACTCGCCTTATTGGTACTAGTGAGCCTTCTTTCAGGCTTGAGGAAAAACGCTTTCGCCTGTGAGAATGTCGTTCGAGGAATACCGCTTTCAGAACGGTTTCCCTGCTGATATCTCGGGTCGATTATTTCCCCCTTTTCTGGAAAGGCCTTCGCGACCCTGGAAGAATTTGAAACTCGTGGTTTCTGTTCTGCCATCACGCTTTGCATGTTTTCCATAACTTCAAGTAGAGGGTCCGTCTTTGGTGCGGTGCTGGGCGTTTCTCCAGTGGCTTCGGCATCGGCAAACGGATTCCGAGGCATGACATCGGTGGGTGACCGATTGAGTCGCCTACCGAGGGCAGAAAATGAGAACGATGACCTGCGTCGACCAGGTTTGGCGCGGAGTGTCTGTTCAAGGTTTACAAGAGACCCACGTTATGTATTATGGTCCGCCTTGTTGGTGTATATCTTACCTGAGCTTTGGAAATAGCAACATGTAATCGAGGAGGAAATTCTGGAGGCGGTGCTGGCAACTGTTCAACGCCTTACGATAAGGTTTCCGCTGTGATTGAAAGAATATTGAACTTACTTCGGACTCCTTCATATTGCTGCTGCCATGCTTTCGCGCCTTATCAGTGCTATGTTTAGGATCCTCCTGATGGGTCGCAAGAACTCACCCCTCTGCGATGCACGGACCGTCCGTGGAGTATGTCAACCGGCTCATCATGGGCCTCACGCTGTGACGCAATCAAAGTCATAAAATGCAACCTGCCATAGAGTAAGTGTATTGCTGACCTCCATATTAGGCGGTACAGGCGCCTTACTTTTATTCTCGTGGAAAGGATTAAGGTGTACCATGATAAGTAACAATGAAGGCAGTGCCAACGCTTCCCTTACCGCATGTTAAGCACAAAAGCAGGGGATGTCTTAGTTTTGGAAGACTGGCAGTCCGAACTGAAATCCAGTTTGATTTATTATTTATCTTCGAGCGCGATCGATTATGTGTTGTTGCGAGAACATTAGGATATCGCAGGATTGGGGTTACTCGCGTGCTTTAGGGTTAAAGGAAGCGCTCCTATAGAAGTCTCAACTTCTAGGTATTTTGAATCAACGGAGCAAAGTGGCGAGTACGCAGGTCTCCTATGCTGACCAATCGTATGGGACGAAGGAGCTCGATTTTCTTGCGAGGAAGCTCCGAATGCAAAAAGCAGATGAATCTTCAAAGAGTGGGCATTCGTCACCGTCCTGGAAAATAACGAAACTGCCCTTCCAAGAACCAGGAGGCGTCTTGAGAAATATGCCGGAAAACCCATGAGAAAAAAGAATGCTGCGAAAGCGATGCGCTGCCCATAAAGAAACGTCCCAGGCCATGCAATTGCGGGAAAAGGCATGACGCATTGTAAGTGCGCGCTCTTGAATGAAGTACGTTCGATTCGAAAGGTCTTCTGGCATGAGAAACGATGTATCCTGCTGGGAATAGATTGTCTATTGTAGCGATACAGCATACTCCATTGATCTGGGTATTGAACGCGCGTCTAGGATCCGGATGAATCTAGAAGGTTTTCGATTACGGTCGCTGCGCAATTGTGCTGCCATGCAGGTAACAAGGAACAGCCACGGAGATATATTCTGCCAACGCTCTCGCCGGAACAACCTGAGAGAAACCAAAGAGCATAGGTCCATGGCGAATGAGAGCTTCAATAAAGGGGACAGCCTCCCGAACAAAATTTCCAAATATTCTTGAATAGCAAAATCGGTGAGATATCACTGGCAAAGTTGATGTCCGTCTTGCCCGAGCAGATTGCGATGGACAGTCAGCATCCTTGTTATGCATCAAGCAGCTACATACATAGGGTGATGAATTGACTTCACTGCCACGGTAACTTCTCTCGGCGCAATATAATTGGCCGGTTGCACCTTGTTGCGGTTCTCAGGGAATTGTAGACTGTAAGCTAGGGCCAGCGTAAATGGTAAACGAAGTCGCCAGGATTTCAAGGCATAAGACCAGACGATATTCACTGTAGTCAAAGTAAAGGTTAATTGTAAAGGTTAAAGACCATTGCCAATGCCGTCACGGGGCTGGCCGTACTGTACAGTACAGCGAATTCGAAAGGATGCTAGATTAGGTCACCTGCGTTCTCTGTCACATCCACACAATTGTCGAATCTCCACTTTTTTCATTACTCGCATTGACTTGGTTTTATACTGACGCTAGCAAGATGTCAAATGTGAAGGCACCATTAAATACTGTATTGTCCATGTATCCAGATGTCTAAGGTTCACAGTTGAATCTGTTTCTGTTATGGCAGGCGCACCAGCACGCAGCGAACGCAGACGACTATCGATCACAGGGCCTTCTTATCCCTGCAGCTGAAGAACACTACAAGGCGGCAGAAGCATTCATGGCTTGTGTGGAGCAGTCAAACGACGAAAATGTGAAGTGACATGACTATGGCTATAACACATCCCCCTATAACACTTGTTCCATGACGTTTAGGCAAAGCGGACACTGAGGATGTTGTACAATGAACACCTTAAGGCCGGAAAAGAGTTACAGAGGAAGATAGCCAAGCTTCGAGAAGATAACCAGGACCCAACGATGCCTCAAAAGGCTTCTCCACCTGGCACGAACATGCATCCAGTTGCAGGTTCCATCGCTACTCCTTACGCTCCTCACCCTACACCATCCCCCCCTCCATATGCTAGAGGTCTCGCTCGTCTAGCAGATTCTCAAAATAATGTGGATGAATCTTTTATGGTTCTTGGGCAGCGGGTGCAGTCATTTCTGCTCACTTTCATACTTCCTTGGGTTGACAAGTACTCTATCATTTATAAGTCTGACCCGGGCGATGCATTCAATAACTTCTGGAAAATAATGGAAGGAATGCTGGATAATCTTTCTCAGCCGGTAGCCTTTGCGACTGCGCCTTTAGGGGTGGAGGCTAACTCCCCCAGAAAGGGGCTACGTAAGGACGGCAGCTCAAGTAGTGACACTGATAACGAGGATTCACTAATATCGCGAACATTGAGGAATACCGGAGTTGATCTCAAAAGGAACTCGAGTACGTCTGTGACGTCATAAAAAATGATAGATACAAACGCATAGCGTGCATCTCAACTCTTACAACCCATAGGACAACAGATTGGCTTGCGTGAAGAAACGGATGAGGAGGTGTTAGCGGATGAAGGTAAGATCCTATTAACCGTACTTATCGTCTGGTTTTCGCTTTATTTACGTCTCAAAGGCGACGAGTTGTCAGAGTCCTTCTGCTTAATATCTTCCGGATCTGAACCGTCTACCTCAACGCTGAAGAAAGAGAATGAAATGCTGAAACTAGAAGTGGAAGCAACGCAAAAACGCTTGGCTGCATCGGAAAAGGTACTGCAGATGCGCAAAGATCAAGACCAGCAATTGCGCGATAGCATTGTGATGGCCCGACATCAGGTACTTCCAATGTATAGCGTTTTTCGCTTCATTAGCTCACCCGTTATTCACGCAGGCACAACGAGCCATGGGAGCGTCTGTGATACAACAACGCCCGGGACAAGCTGTCGACCTGAGTTCTTTGAATATCAATTTACCTGTTGTTCCTTCACCAATGACAGCTCTGAATACGGGGCGAGATCGTGAGGCACAACTACTACGCCGTATCCGGGAACTTGAGGAGGAAGTCAGACTGGTTCGCACGGATAATGACAAGCAGGTGGGTTTCAACCGCTTCCGGTTTTCACCGTGTGATCAATGTTTGTTCTATTCACAGAAAGCGGTGATCGCAAGATTTCGTGACCGTTGGGAAAAGTTGAAAGAATCGGCGAAACGTAAGAAGGATGCCAAAGCTGCTGCAGAACTCGCAAAAATGGGTGCTCGAGAGCGAATCGAAGAAGAACCCGAGGGAGACTTAGAACTGGATGATCATACGATATAGCGCGGTCTTGTGCAGGCCGATTGAACATGTAAAGTATAGTATATGATCTGACTCTCCTTGTATCGATAGCTGGTTATACCCTACTAGTATGAATACTGCTTATTGATGCCAACAAGTATTCGTGTTATAATGCTTCTTTTCGAACAAGTCATCTGTCATAGCAGTCCCGGTCAACATGAGTAGAACTGAAGCGAGTTGTGCCATGTAGTTCTGCCACCATACGTTTACATTTTTTGCAAATTTCCCCAGTGGGTTAGAGCGTGCAGAGGCTGTCCATAACAGTCAATGAATTGTGAGCTGCGATTCCAAACTTCATCGGCTTCTCAATAAGGTGTTCATCATTTGCGTGATACTCCAAATCCGAGTCATAAGCGACGCCGAGAAATCGTTATTGCCAGTCTAAAGGCCAAAAGCCTCTGTATAACCACCAGCCTTTTCCACCGGTCACGTACACACGCCCTGGAAAGACTTGACGTGATCTCGGCATTCAAATTTGGTGCTACCGTTCCTACTTTGGAAGAAGTTCCTCTCCCAGGCAACGGAAGAGGTCTTGACTGATTGCAACACCATTGCAATCCGCGAGCGGAACAGCTGTCTACAGTGCACAATCCAACGGACATTATCTGATAAATGTGATCTTGCCCAGAATCAGCAATCGGATGCACAAGCGAAGGCTATTAGGGCATTATTGTTAGGTCTAGATGCGGTCAACAGCGGCGCTTTTGAAGTAAATCCCCTTTCTGACCATAAAAGATTATACTAGGCCTGCCAGTGGGTGTTGTGCTGATCGGCAAATATAAAACATGAAGGGAGCATGGATTTTTCCAAGACCAAGAGATTTTTTAGCTGTCATATTGCAATGCATGTTCGATGGACCTTGATGTTGCACCTCAGCGCTGGGTTGACATCGCTTATGGGAGACGGATGGGATTGTGAAAACGTTGCAGTTTCCGCAAAAAGTTGTTCACGACTGAATGGCAAAGTAATGGAAATGCTAGGCGGTGTAAATTGGGGCGAGCTAGCGGGCATGTAGATTGCGAGAGAGCTTATTTGCCTTGGTACGAGTGCCTAGACTGGTAGCTATGCAAAGAGACTGTAGTCGATTATCTGTAGAGAGCGGACTAGTTTATCGAAATCTGTCTTGATTCCTGCCACACGCTCCCTGGAGATCGCGCCCCCATCTGCTGCTAACACAGGAATGTTGACTGTTACGACAATGTCGATATCTTTCCTCTTCACTCGGAAAAGAGACAGCATTATCTCTACTTGGTCAAGCACCGGCCGATTGTATTTCCGGATCTGCTGAGTCCCTTGCAAAACGATTGGGGATGGAGTATCATCGCCTCTATCGTTTATCACGTCTTGTATGTCAAGGACAGTGCATCCCTCGGCATCATTGTCGTGTGCCAAGGAGTCAAAGTGAAATCTAAGGTGATACCGAAAATAAGAGTATTGACTGTCAGTGCGAAGATAAGCCGGACCTTGCAGCTCCGTGATCGTCTGGAGCAGCCACTGCTTCCAATATCTCTATCACAAAGCTCACGCTATTTTCAGCGTAAACAAAAACCTCTTGATTATCAGGAACCTGACGCAAGTTTCTGTCAAGCAACTGTAATCTAACCGATTGAGCAGCTAGAGAAAAAATCACGTACGAGACATCAATCACTCGCGGGGGTAAATCTGCGACAATCGCACCACCGAAAAGCTCCTTTTGAGCTGGAGCTGGCATGAGAACGGAGCTGAGGACTGAGCGCTGAGCTGCCAAACGTTGCCCGTTTGGAGAAAATGAACGTCTGAGTCAAGCCAGATGTAGTAAGCCAGCGATATCCTTGCATCACGTGAGCCGCGCAAAACGCGAGGATACGATCCAGCTAGACCATGTACTGTTAGTAGCCCAAGTTGCAGAACTACTTGCTGTAGTTGTACAGGGAACATGTCTGATTCGCTGCGTCGCTCTACTTTGCTTCCTACATCTGATATTCATGGCAATGCTCGCTCAGGAATTCCAATGCCATCTTCCACCGTGAAGAAACCACCTTCAAACATGCGCATGTCAATGTCCGGCCCAGCAATTCGTGGGCCATATCCTCCACCGCCCCTAGCTGGTCCGAGCACTAATCCACGCCAATCTATCTTCCGCTCGCAGAACGCGAACCCTCTGTTGCAAAGTACAACTAAACCTAGTTATGGCCGCACTCCTCTTAACAGGTGAGTTCGTGTCGCGTACACGCGCTATATGTTATGTTCACGCCCTTCATTTCGCGTTGTTTACAACGATCTTCTATCCACCATCTCTGTACACAGTAGCACGCGACGTGGCTCCGTTTGGGCTGGCAGCGCTTCACTAGCCGCTCCCTCGGGCAGTCAGACTCTAAAGGATCCTCGCCCGATCCGTGAGCGTTCGTATCAAGCAAAAATGAGACAAGATATTTTTTCTTGGCTGCAAAGTACCGACTACGAGGTTTCCATGCAAACCCTTCAAAGCATAACGGGAAAAGACTTTCGAGCTATCTTCAATCATCTTGTGACCATGATCGACCCATCCTATCCCTTTGATCCTCGGTCACGGTTTGAGGACGAATTTCTCCCATCCTTAAAAGCGCTGCGCTATCCGTTTTCCGCACAAATAGATAACAAATGGCTAGCAGCGCCAGGAAGTATGCATTCTTGGCCATTTCTAATGGCAGCTCTGCACTGGCTAGTCGAAATGGGCAAGGTTAGTACTTTTGTATGTTGACTCTTTCATCAACTGGAGTATAGCCATAGGCGCGATTAGAATATCTGGAAAGTGACGACCCAACTCTGCAAATTGTGTCTAAAATACCTGAAGAGTTCAATGATCCCGTCCATCATCAAGCACTTGCATTCGACTACTACGCTGAAGCATACGTAGCGTTTTTTCATGGTGCAGATGTTTTTGAAGAACAAGATAAGCTTCTTGAAGAACGTTATGGTAAGTCGTATTATCAATCTTTGTTGCCACGCTAACGATAATCCAGCCAAAAAGAACGAAAGGGTCGTGGCTGACTTAGAGAGTCAGAGAGCTCTACTTGAGCAACTTAAGACTGAATATAATAAACTCCTATCATCATCGGTAGGGACAATATGAAGAGTCATGATTTTGGGCTTATTTTTTCTACCTTTGGCACAGGACCCGCTGGAAAAACTGCAGAAAGAGAACGGCTATCTAAAGCGCGATAGAGCGAAATTTCAAGACGTTTTACAACGTTTTGAGGCGCGCAAGAAGCATCTCATTGATACGATCGCAAATGAAAAGGCAGAGCTTAACATCCAAAGTACGTGGCTTTAGATAAGGAAGAAGTCATACCAATAGTCTTGCCTGTAGCCACAAATATGGAACAACTCAAAGCCGAGCAAGAAAAGCTCGGAGAAATCGTTAAAGTGCAGAATCTCACTCCAGAGGAAGTCATTCGTATGAACACTGACCATGAGACTCTTTCGCGCAACTTGGATGATCTAAAACACAAAATTGCCGAGACACACAAAACTGTAATGTCACTGGAAGTTGCTGTAACTAACCGCGCCGCGGCGGCCGAGGAAGCTTTGGATTTATACACTAACCTGCTCTCTACCTTGGGACTATTTCCTCCCTTGCCTCCTCCACTAGAAGATATCGATCTCACTTTACAGTTGAACATTGCTGCAGCCAACCCCCAACAGCTTCTCTCTGGCTCTGACATCAGAAAGGTTATCAAGCCAGTGTTAAGCGGGGTTGCAGAGACTCGGAGGACGGAACGAGCAGACGTTGAGAGCGAGAGAATAAAAGTGGACAATGAATTGGACCAACTGACCATGGAGTGCGAAAATGTGGACGAAGAAATTGGAGAAGTTGAGAAGAAGGTGGCTGGCTTGAACGAGCAAGCTGACGACCTCCGAGACGTAAGTCCTTTTACAAGTAAGTGGAATAAACGTTGAGTGCGTCATATATCAGGCCGCGCAACAAGAAGCCACGGTTAGTAACGCCGAAGCCGCCAGATTGGAGAGAGAACTAGCGCATGCCCGGACGGCGGCACTATCCAGTGGTATGGGTGTGAAATCGCGATTGCAGGCATTACAATTTGAGTTGAGTTTGGCTTTTATTGATTGTACTATCTAGGAAACTGAGGTGTGCTTTCTAGCTATCGAGAACAAATTGAGAAGGTCGCACGGCTAAAAGATGAGACTATTCGAGCCATCATCAAAAACAGCAACGATATCGCGACGTTCAAGGAAGAAGTCTCGCAGCAGTTGAGACACCTGAAGGAATTCGTGGATGAAGATATATGACGGGACGCATGGTCTTATTCAGCCGTTGCAAGCGCGGTGGTACATTTTGCTTTACTACTGATAATTATGGGTACCTATTGAGATAATGATGATGATTCGGGAAACCATCGGTCCATTGGCACGTCACAGGGAGTGTATGGTACTATTTTAAAGCTGTGTGCAAGCGATAGACGTATTCTGCCCACAAGAAGATTTGGAGAAAATTGGTGGCCATCAAACGGAAGATGGTGGATTTTGGGTGTCTCACCGATGCAGGAATCTCGGACTGATGATTGTCATCAGGTACAATAGCTAAGCGATAAATGTCGTAAAGCGCTCTTAAAGGTGGTATTTAACGTCGATCGACAGTGACCCTGGACCGTCGTGGCTGAGCCGCATAATTTTCAAACGTCAGATCTCGTCAGAGCTGTGGAACTGCACTGCCCATGTTTCCATACCATTCTGGCTGTTATTCTCAGATTGACTGCAAGCGCCATGAAAGCCCTGAGAAGCATTTCTCAAGCAAGCCAAGCGACCATCTCACACCTCGACTTAATTTGGTGCATCGCAGGAAATAGATATTCCTATACAGCCCGTGCTGGCTGTCATCCACGCTTTGGCCCATTTAATTTCAGGCCTATCAGATGCGTGCCATATGTAAGTATATCTTAAGACTCGGGGCTACATTAGCGGTGCTATCAGCCAGCAGCTATTTCGGTCTACTCCCATCTCACGCAGGCTCCTCTGGGGAGTGGTAGCATCCTACAATGCTATCGGAGCCGCGTACCGCGCTCATGTCGCCCAGTCACTTTTGGAAACTGCCCCTCCGGAGTATCTTCTGAGTCTTGGTTCAATCTCGAATTAGGCTGTCAAATCCTTGCTTCTGGGAAGGCATTGATGTCGTAAGGTAAGCGCTGACATGGACGCTGACACCTTGGATTGTGGCATCAGTTCCGAATGCTTGTAAATGCAATGATGTGTGCCGCAGCTCGTTGGCGACCGGGTGCCGTATACAAATTGTTTTCTGAGGCTACTACTCATTTCCAGCCCTCGAACACCGGACGACGCGGGTCACCCAGGAGCCGGACGTTTTGGTGTGAAGTCCTGTGAGTCTTTGACTTGGGGGACCGTGGCACCGGAAAGTGTCCGATAACCATGTTATTTGATGGTCCTTCTCGCCGTGGGTTAAGGGACTGCTGTGAATCTACAAGTAATCTCACAGCTCTCTTGCCTCGTTTAGAATCATCAGAAACGAATAAAAGGAGAAATGTGCGAGGCTATATCCTTGCGCCTTTCATCCTCAGCCCTGACACCCCGGAGGTAGTCTTCTCCATTACACTTCAGTACTACAATGTCGAACATGCCTGCTCCGGCCTACAATGATGCAGAGAAAGGGACGCTCGAGGTCCGTTCACCGCAGATTGCAGCAAGCACCGAACTTTCCAAAAGCGAGAAAAAGGCTGTCGAGATCGATGTCTTCCCAGTGCAGGCCTTAAAGAAAGATGCGCCACCTGCAAATGCTTCAAAACCCCCTCCGAAACCGAAAAAGAAGGTTTCCAAGTGGATATTGTGGGTTATCTGGTTCAATACCTACAGGTACGAGATTGCATATACTGCTATAGCGCAGAGGTACCAACTTTGCGACTCTCTGCAGGAAGTTCTTTACATTCACTTTCACCATCAATATGATCGGTATCGGCCTTGCCGCATCTGGCCACTGGCCATATGCACTCGAGTACCCTGGTGCTCTGGTCGTCGGTAACCTGAATTTTTCTGTCCTGATGCGCAACGAGATTTTCGGCCGTCTTCTGTATCTTTTTGTCAACACGTTGTTCGCTAAGGTGGTTTTCACTCATGACGTGCTAAGGGCTTAAGCTTACCATTATCCATCAGTGGACACCCCTTTGGTGGCGATTGGGATGTACATCGACACTCCAGGTATCTTATATTAGCTACGTTTCCTTACACAAGCTAACAGTATAATTGACAGCATCTTGGTGGTATACACAGCGGTTGCGCGTCCTCTGGTGTTGCATGGCTCATCCTCATGGTTGTCAACGAATATCGGGCTCGCTCAACTTTCAACGACTCCGTACTGGCCTTTGGTGTCGCTACCACTGTCATCTTGGTAATCACAATCATTGCGGGTCTCCCTTGGGTCCGAAACACCCATCACAAGTAAGCTTACTTAGACTTCCTCATTAATCGTTGTCGCGTATTCAATCTTCTTATTTAGTGTCTTCGAGAGGAACCATCGTTTCTTCGGGTGGTCCGGACTATTCATGACATGTAAGCTTTTTTTTTCACCGATCGATTGCCTTTCTCACTATCGGCCATCAAGGGGTCTACACCATTCTCTCTAATACGTACTCTTCTGAGACCAAAGCTTGGAATATGAGCGGCGTTCATGTCATTCGTCAACAGGCATTCTGGTATACAATGGGAATGACCCTTTTGTAAGCCCATCATTCGCTGTTTTCCCTTGACTATGGCTGACGTGCATCCCAGCATTGTTCTACCATGGATATGTACAAGGAAGGTTAGGGTTGATATCGAACTTGTAGGTTACGCCTTACGATTGCTCATCGCAATACTTGAATAATTGTTCTTCACAGCCTTCTCCCAAGGTCGCCGTGCTACGTTTCGAGCGAGGAATGCAGCAAGGTCTTCTGGCACGTGTCAGTCGATCCGCTGTCATGGAGTACCACGCCTTTGGTATCATCTCGTAAGTTTCTTATCTTTGCCAAGAAACCGGTTCTTACCTCACATGCACAGCGAAGGTACTCATGCGAAATATCACTACTTGATTTGTGGTGTCCAAGGTAATTTAATGTACCTTGAAATATTATAGAGTAAGGATTGACTTTTTGAGTACCAGGTGACTTTACCAAGAGTTTAGTAAACGATCCACCGAGGAAAATATGGACTCGGCAACTCAAGGTAAATTCAAGCCTCCTCGAGCCGAAGTAGAACTCTGTCGCTCATCAGTTTATCCATAGTTCGCAGGTGTTTCCAATACTTCTACACTCTACAAGCGTGGTATCCGTATATGTACCGGCACTGGTCTCGGGGCTGCTCTTTCTACCTGTATTCAGTCTCCTTACTGGTGAGGCATTTATATCACGCCGGAGATATCTTGTTGCTAACATTGGCCGAAGGTATCTCATTTGGATCGGTACATTTTATTTACTGTCGTCAAGTATCCGTAAATACTTATCTTACTCCCACAGGATCTGATCAAGAGAAGACATTCGGACCTACTATCAGCGGGCTGATTCACAGACACGTTGGTCCGGAGCGTCTGATGTTATGGGACAGCAAGGAACGTGGTGGTCGACCGGATACTATGAAGATCTTAAAGGAAGTCTATCATTACTGGCAGGCAGAAGGTACAGTCGTCTGATGGTCTTTTGTTCATTTCGACCCTCATGGTTCGCGTTGCCTAACAGTCGTATTTATCACGTCCAACTATATCGGGAATGCAGAAATCCAGCAGGGATGCAAGGAAGCAGGGATCCCGGCCTTTGGAACCTTGTGGGACTTCGTACGTGCAGTTCGCTTCTGTTCTGATATTTTGTCTGATTATTTGGCGCCTCGCACAGTAATTCCTTATTGAGTGCGTTCGACCCAGCCGCATCTGCATCAGCAATACTCAATATTTCACAGTTTCTCTCACATTTGATGGTCCGTGGGACGACATTGGCGCTCAAGTCCACCACTTCCTCAAATTCTCAACCTCGTGTATCGATTACACACGTAGTTCTTGTCGTTTCGTAGGGTGACTCCAGAATCGTATGTATCTTGAAAAAGTCAAGCTTTCTGCCGTACCAGGTTTTTATCGATCGAAGCAGCCGAGGAGGTACGCACTGATACACGGATCTTCGGTTAGCTGGAAGGAACGGGATAAATACTACTAGAATTCAATATTCAATGGCGATATTGGACGCCACATTATTTATGTAACTGCTATATCGACTTTCCCCCCATAACTAGTCCAACTCCACCTAAATTGTCTATCCTTGTATTTTGTGAGAAATATATGCTTGTTCTTAGTTTGTTGCGTGTAAGTGAGTGACAGGTGAAAATGAACATAAATATAGAAGGATGATCATCAGGCCATCCCCGTGACCAAAGTTTTACTAGTACAATACGAGTCATACCACGAGGATTCTCAGTATTTAAAATACAGTGCAATCGGCAAGCCTAAATCAGATCAGGCAAAATTCAAGAACTTCTCCTGGTTTTCCCATCCATTGCCATCGTCGGTTGGGGTTGATGGGAGTGTTGGGCTCGAGGCGGATGCTTCGCCGCGCTAGCTCCGTGATAATTCGTGCTATGTTACGGGTATCCTGGAAGTCGAGATGAGTTGGATGGAATGAAACGAATGGCAGAACACGACTAACGTCAATTCCGCTGTGCTGACGGCCTTCGAAAGCCGACAGACCAAGTGCCCGGAGCTGTAATGGGATGTTCAACGACCGGAGACGCGATCCCGATGCTGACTGTGAATTGTGTGATCAGTAAGCAAGAATGGTATTAGAAGAAATGTTTACCCTCGTCTTTGCTTCATAGTTCTCTTGCATTGTTTGGCTTGCCGACCAGGCAGAAACTACCTTCCGGACATCTAGAACATCGCCTCTCAACCAAACAGGCATGGGTATCTGCCAAGTGGGGTAGATATTTCTCGGATTCAATCAGGCAACTCCCATTGTTTCAATTGTGACAAACCAACTTTGGATAGAAAACACTGTTTCACAACAAAATCTCTGATATCAAAGGGACCGTCACTGCACCAACAAAAACGAAGCAAGGGCCGCCCGTTTTTGGGATCAATCAAGCCATTTTGCGATAAGAATCTGGCAAACGACTTGAGGACCTTGGGAAAAGTCGGCGCACTGTTAACTTGTGTCTACACGGGGCTCGTGAGTAAATATATTCTCGAGCGATGAAGGCAGCGACGAACTTGTGTTATTCCGGTTAATTCCGTACAGAATTGCGACAGCTGAGGCCTCCATGTAGGTTTAACGAAGCTGCGAAATTCGTCCACGACAACCAATTGACTTGCTTTTCCCTTTGATGACTTGTCTTTCCATTTCATGAGGCACACAGGCCACTCCTAGATAGTGTGCGGCACATGGTCATGAGCTTCTTTGTGATATCTGCAGTCTAATATAACACAAACTATAATCTCGTTTGGCCATTCGAAGCCAGCTCCTTGCAAGCATGTGGCTTCAACATCAAGCACGAGAAAAGCATCATAGGGCTGTTTCGCACGAGTATCTTCGATAGCGGCAACCTGTTTTTGCACAGCATTAAGGTATGGGTCGACAGGGAGCTGTGAATGACCGGATTGCGTAAGGGGACGATAAAACATATTTCTGGATGCACAATTGTCGTCACTGGCAGAATCCAAAGTCTGCGACGAATGGTTCTCTGATGGCGCTTGCAAGGCGCCCTTCTGGGTATTATGGTTGTCCGTGGGTAGCAAGAGCAATTTGCAGCACCAGATTAGGCCGGAAGCCAGGATACAGACAGCTGAGACAACGAGCCAGGCTTGAGAGCTTGGGGCTGTTATTGCTTTGAGGAAGCTACTATGGATATCCATGGAGGAAAAGGAGCTAAAAGGCAAGACGTTGAGTGACCACATATGCTGTGTTTTACTTTACTGGAAGCTGCGGCACATTCACTGTCCCATCATCATGGCAGCCTGACACCTTTGACGCTGACAGGCTGTGGTTTTCGTACTAGCAGGCCCGAGCAAACTATCTCCGGCCAGTCGGCTCTCTCCCTGCCCTGGGCCGGCCACCACCGGCCACCGTCCCGTCGCGGAGTACCGTGACACGGAAACAAAATACTCGAATATTATTGGGTTAATATTTCTCTGATTGTAATATTATTCTCTCTTGTCTGGACTTCACACTGCTTTCTGCGTTTCTCTCGTCCCCACCACGCAGCTCTATAGCTGTTCGCCCCCTGAAACAATGATGCAGCAGCATGGCGACGATCTGGACGATGACTTCGTGCCAGACGACCTTGTCGCGCTCTCTGGCGAAGAAGACGAGATCGGCAATTCTCAGCTCGGTGCTGGTGATGATATCCAAGGGCTCTTGAGCGCCGAAGAGGACGCAGAGGATGACACCTCGGATCAAAGACACAAGGCCGTCATAGTGAAAAAAAGGAAACGCAGAGAGAAGGAAAAAGAAAGAAAGGCAAAGGCTAGTATCACCTTCGTGTTACACCATGGCTCAATGTGCTCATCCGTCCGCCGTCTTCAGAAACGAAAATTGGCCGAATCTGTGGATGCCACGGAGCCAACTTCTATCGCAGCGCAACCTCCGCACATGTTGGCAGACTATATTTCGTCCATGCAGGCAAAAACATATCCGTCCATGTCAGATATAGAGCTCGGGGATCTGCGAATACCCGGTTAGTGTGAACGATCTTAACTTGCGGTGGATTTCTCAATTTGACACACAGACAGAAACTTCGATAGCGGACACGACCTCATGGACGGAATCGAGGTCATTGGATCAACTGGTTGATTTTATCACTGGAGGTAGGTCGCTTGAGTCGGGCAATTTATTCATGTCTATCGACCACCGTCCTTATCCCCTTTTGCAAGTTCTTCCGACGCTTCATAAACGGTTGTCCCAGAGATCCAAATCCAATGGAGCTCCGACGCTCTTGTTCGTGGCCAGTGCAGCCCTTCGTGTAATAGATGTGGAGCGAATTCTCAAGGACAAAAGGCTACGGGGCAGCAAAGGCGGGGATGTGGCCAAGTTATTTGCGAGACATTACAAAATAGAGGATCACGTCCGGTACCTGAAGCGGTCACAAGTCGGGGCGGCTGTAGGTACGCCAGGGAGGATTGGTAAACTGTTAAGTGAAACCGGTACAGTGAATCTGCCTTGAAACCTTTATCAGTCTAAGCTCTTTTTTCTTCCCAGATGCGCTCTCTATTTCTGCACTTACACACATCATCCTCGATGCCACGTTCAAGGATGCGAAGAAACGCTCTATTTTAGATGTACCAGAGGGTAGGGATGAGCTTTTCAAGACCGTGCTGGGCAACTCCAAAGTACTGGAGGCAATAAAACTAGGCAGAGTTCAAGTTGTTCTCTTCTGAAATATGATATTACCCTTTGGGTCAATGAAATACAGTATGATGCAGTATATTTAGCATGTTATCTAATGAATGATAGAAAGCTAGAAGCCCTTTGGATTGACTCTCAGTGTCAACTATGTGAAAGAATTAGTACCACGCTACGTAGAGAACTGTCTCGCGAACTTACTCTTGTCCATTTTGGAACCTTGTGGATACCTTTTCGATAGCCTCGGTGGTTAGGACTGAACACAGTGTATTTGTCTTTAGGGTCCATTTCGTGCTCCTTGGGCAGAAGAAGAGCTCGATCCTGTGTGCAACAGTTCAGTTTAAAGCTATGCGTGCGCAAATAGGACTGACCAATGCAGCACACTGAACACCACTGGCTCTTACAGCCTCAATTACCGCGTCAACTTTCTTTAGGCGGGCTCGGGCATTAGCTTTCCTTGTCGGCGACAACTTCCATGGAGTTTTCCTATTACGCAAATCAGCTATATGCAAGACGACCCAATGTAGATCTCACCATAGCAAACCTCCAAAATTAACTGATGTTGGTCGAAATGCTCCAAACATGTTGAAGGACGTGAAGAAAGCTGCAGCCGTGCCGATAGCTGCCGCAGAAAGTTTATTTAAAACTCCGAAGTGCTCTGGCGATTTCCTGGCCTGACTGCATTCGCTCACCATACTGAAACGCATTCAGAAACTATCATGGCTGTCGAGACGCAAACTATGCCAGGGCTGAACGGGCATGCCTACAATGGCGATGTCGAAATGCACGACGGTGTAAAAGAGCCCAGATTTACAAGTGGGCTTATTCTACCACCGCCCGAGATTAAATGCAAGTATTGTTGCATTTTGCGTATATTCATTTCTAATGCCATCTCCTGAACAGCGGTCATTGATAGAACTGCCCTATTCGTTGCTCGCTCTGCCAACCCACCGCAGTTCGAGGACAAGATCCGCGAGAATCAGCGTCAGGATCCAAAATTCTCGTTCCTCAACCCTGCGGACCCTTACCATGCTTACTACAGGCATCGCATGGACAGAATATCTCAGGGAGAAGTGATAGAGGAAGGCACGCTAGATAAAGAAAAACCAGAAGGTGTTGAGCAAGTACCAATTGTTCAGGAAGATATTGGACTGGAGCCACCGCAACCTCAGTTTGTCATGGATCTCCCTAACATTAGCACGATAGACTTGTGAGTCACACGACACCACTCATTTTATCTGCTATATGCTGACGCTCGTCTTATTAGGGACATCATGAAGTTGACGGCTTTGTTCACTGCTCGGAGAGGCCGCGCCTTTCTCGCCAATCTATCGCAGCGTGAAGGGCGCAACTACCAGTTTGACTTTTTGAGACCGACGCACTCGCTCTTCGGTTATTTTAACCGGCTAGTGGAACAATACACCAGAGTTTTGCACCCAAGTAAAGAGATGCTGCAAGATTTGGAAGAGCGTGCGCAACAGGGCGCCCGTTGGAAGACTCTGGAGCAAGCGAAAAAATATGCTCGCTGGGAGCGCGTTAAGCGGGAGCAGGACAAGAAGAGATATGATGACCAGGAAGCTGAAAGGAGTAGGGCAGTTCAATTTCTGTGTTTTGCGGTTACTAACTGTTCGCATTTTCAGTTGCTTTTGCGGAAATTGACTGGCATGATTATGCCATTGTACAAACAATAGAATTTACAATGGCAGATGCTAATTCTGAACTTCCACCTCCCATGAGCGTACAAGAAGTCGAGAATATGACACTGGCTCAAAAGAGAATGGCTGCCATGATCATGGAAAATACAGCCGAAGATATCGAGGCACACAGAGCTCGCCAGGCTGCCGCAGAAGCGGAAGCTGCTGCTGCAGTTGGCGGGGTCGGCATTGGTATGGAAGATGACGGTGATGCTGCGATGGAAGAAAGTGACGACGAAGACCAAGACGTACAAGAGAGAAAGAGACGTGAGGAAGAAGAGAGGTCCAGAGAATTGGAGCGTGCTAAGGCTATTCAAGCCAGTGCCAACGCAGTCGGGCCAATGAAAATCAGGACTGACTATGTCCCCAAACGTCCGTCCTTCTTATTTTACTTTCCCTTTTTGACGCTGACTCCTGTTTTGCCTCACCTTAGTCGGAGCAAAAAAGAACGCTACTTTCACAACATGTACGATTTGTGGTCAACAAATTGCTGTGGACGAGTTGGACGAGCACATGCGTATTGAGCTACTTGATCCCAGATGGAAGTCGCAACGTGATGTCTTGGAAGCTCGCAAAGCTCAAGCATCTGAGCTACTGCGTGGTGCAAATGTGGTTTCTTCACTAAAAAATCTTGCCCGTACTCGTGTGGATATCTTTGGTGCTGAGGCAGATGAAGAACGACGCAAGAAGGAAGAGGAAGAAGAGAGAGAGAAACGGAAAGAAAGGGAGAAAGTTGTTTGGGACGGCCATACCGCTTCAAAAGCGAACACTTTGGACAAGTACTCGACAAATGTGAACTTCGACGAACAGATTGCCGCTATCCATCGGGCGAAAGGTCTTGGCCCGTAAGCATTGTCCTTGCCTGTCTATTATATATGCTTATATTATTGCAGACAAGATGCCAACGCCATTGGACCTGGCATTGGACCTGCTGCTGCTCCTCCGCCCGCGATGACTGGTCTTCCCCCAGCGCCGTCGTCGCTTCCTGCACCGCCAATCCAAGGAGGGTCTGGTACGTCAAATAATCCAGCATACTCAGCTGCCACTATTTCATCGGGCCCACAACCTGCATCTATATATCCCAATCAACCACCACCAGTAATGCTTCCACCACTCCACTATCAGGGTCTTGACGCAGCACAACCATTCGGGTACCAGCCCCCTCCTCCAGGCATGCACCCGGCTAGAATTGCGGCGATGGCAGCAGGTGGGGCTATGCAGACACCTCCGCACACTGGAGTCGTGCGGTCTGCGGATGAGATGGAAGGTATAATTGGTGAAGGTCAGCCTCCTCCCAAAAGGCAGAAGGTAGCTAAGCTGCCGGGAGGTGCGGTATATCCGGAGGCTGATTGGATCAGCATGCATCCTGTGAGTTATTAATTATTTCCACTGGAGTGACATTATTTTATTGACCATGCTGTTTGCAGTACACCATCTCGTTATTTGTACAGCTTCCTAATGACCCGTCCAAACCTGAGTGGAAACTTGATGGCACCACTGTTACGATCCCTGATCTACCACTGAACCTTCTGGTCGCCACTCTGCGGGATCGTATCATACAGGTCACCCAAACCGGTTTGCCTGCCTCGAGAATTAGGTTATCTTACGCTGGCAAAATGCTCACTAATGCCAACTCGATAGCCAGCTACAATCTGGAGGACGAAGATGCTCTTGTGCTTAGTGTCAGCACCCAAAAGAAGAGGTAATGTTGATATCAATATTGTATATAATTCGTGTATGTCTATGAAATGTGCGAGCAACAACCAATGTCCGTTACTTGAGCAACAATGTCCTGAAAATACATCAGCGTTACATGAAGTGTGCATTCTTGTACAATCCGAACTCCTTCATACTGCGGTTTGCCCTAAGTGAGATTTAAGATAATGAAAAGTTATACACTTCAGAAATTGGTAAAGAAAAGTGGTGTCTTTAAGTGTCTTTGACATGACGAATGCAGCAAGAAATGCGATGTTTATACACTTCAGAGATTGGTAAAGGAAAAGTGGGTGTCTTTAAGCGTGTTTGACATGACGGATGCAACAAGAGATGCGATGTTATAGGATGCGTGCTGAGCGTGGAGGTGTGTGAGTATTTGTGGGTGTCCAGGGGACAACAGGAGGCGATGGCGGAACGTGAAGAACAGCTGAAAACTGATTCAAGCTGTGAGACATGGATATGGACATGGACCGTGTCTCCTGCCAATCCTTGCGAAGCTCGTGTGCCAGTGGTACTCGACTGTCCACAAGGTGCAGCACTGTATTTCTTCGTGATGAATCCCAGGTGAGTGGAACGGTATCTCTGAGCCATTCCTCATCTTCTCGCGATGGGGTCTGCGGTACGGTTTTCTTCTGGAAGATGCTTTGTGGCGAGAGAAGGTGTGGCGACTGAATGAGTGATGGAGGGATGCGGGTTTCCCGCTCTAAGTCTCGCCTGGGACGGTGAAAAGATGATGTTCTGGTATGCCGTGAACCAGTCGCCGTGGGCTTGCCGCAGGACGCTGACATGTCGCGAATACTGCAAGTCTTGAAATAAGAGGGAAAGAGGGAATGGCAATGGGGGTAAAGGACACGATGGTAGTAAATTCTGTTAGGGGACGCCCTCTTATATGCTGGATTTCATATGATTAGGCACGGGACCTCAGCCACCCTGTGGGTCTGGAAATAACCTATATCACATCACAGTTTGAACGGCCACGATCGAGACATGCATATGCAATTCCGGATACACTCTATACTCTTTCTTATTCTGTTCATACATACACCGGGAAACTAAATACAAACGAAACGGATCAATGAAAAATCAGGATATATGTGCTATATGTCAATTCTATACCGAGATCACAAAACCCGTCTACACACCAGGGCTAGAACCAGTACCAGCAGAACACATATTGCCGTGTCTAAGAGGAGAGGGGCTCCGCTGCGCCCACGTCGGACGGAGCTCACAGTGCTAGTCTCTTGTAACGGCTCAGCGGAACTTTCCGAGAGACTTTCGATCGCAGCCGCAGATGATGATATGGTGGTATCGCCGAGTGATTCAGTCACTGAACTAGACTCGTCTGGTGTGAAAATATGATCAACGCAGGATTCACTGGCTACACGCTCCGACTCGTTCCCCGACCCTTGCCCTTGTACGGGGTGCAAGGACAAGTCTGCCGAGGAAGGCAAATTAGTCGGCGGCGAAATATCATGTACGTGAGAACCTGAAGACGACGAGCTTGGCACTTCAGGAGGGTCTGGAAGGCATTCGAGATTGGTTTGGTTGCACTGTGGGCAAACCCATGTTCGAGACCTATTATCGAAGGCCCAGAATAAGAAGTAGAAGGCTGTATGAAAACATGAACTTACAGTGCTGCGAGACGTTTACGTTCGGACACAGGGTACTCTACAGAGCCAACACCAAGCGCAGCTTGTCCTTTAAGGGGGAAGAAACCTTGAAGTCCAATGATGGCTTCGGGAGCGGAATTGCGACATGCATTAATTCAGGACATCAAGGAGTTTCTAATAGGCATGTTTACCTGTTCTTACACCCCATGCCGGCTGCCACTCCTCTTCATGATCTGATTTTGAATTAGCCATATGTAGCACAGTGAGAAACAATTATAACATACAACTGGTGAAGCTGATACAAATCTTTGCATTAAAGTCTTGAGGCGCCGTAATCTGACCACACAACATAATAACGTACCTTGGTATTGAGTTCAAACCGCCCATTAGGGGTCAATAACATTATTGATGGTGGTCGAAACGGATATTCCGCTGGGAGCAGTATGCGGAAGTGATATACACCACCCTCGAACTCAGTTCCAGCGGGACCACGGAGGGTGCAGTGCCACTCCTTGGCTGGATCAGTTATTTCCTCAAACAAGTATAGAAGAAATACTGACGAATATATCGTCCTGATAAGTAGACTAATCAGCCACGATTCTCAGTGATATAGAATATATAGGATTACCTCCAATGGAGCAGCAGAATAATCTGTGCAGGGGTCATTTGCGAGTTCCTTAGCTTCTTGCATTATCCGCTTCACGGCTTCATAGTCGAGATGAGGTCGCCTTGCCTTTCAAACTGAGACTAGGGAACTGACCAGAGTTGTTCTTGTTCAGAGCGGCAGGCATTGTGGAACGTATCCGTTGTAATGTGAGCAAACTTGAAGCAGAACAGCTGTCGCGGTAGTGACCACGCTCGCAGTTACTAGTAAGTATACGACGTGGAGGGTTATCGGAGTTTACACATCACGTGACTTAACACTGCGCGGAGTTTAGTGCCGACAAATTGTTTCTGCAAAGCCAGTGTGGAGGGCCAGAGTGTTGCAGACGGTTTCACTTCGACCACGTTGCATTTGTGTTTTCATTCTACAAAACGCAATGTCTGTTTCTATACCAAAACTTAAAGTCAGGCCTCGGAAAAGTAAGTGTTCCACACTGCCATTGTTCCTTCTGTGAACCTCTTCTTTGTAGACCCGACTGTGAACCTATGTGCGACCCAGTTATCCGCCATGCTTGGGTGCTGGGCAGCGACAAGCGATCTTGCTTCAACAAGCGCATGTAAACAAGCAGCCGAGGACCTTTTTCACTGCATGCGTACGACGGTGAGTGTCCCCGCCTTGTATTATGTCCGCTGGTGTTTGACGCCATCTTGCATAGCCTATGCGTGGGAAGCAGCACAGATCATCTATAAACTACCATCTCGCTAGACTAAACAAGAAAACAAAATAGATGCTTTATTTATCCTCCCTTGCAGTGCCTTGCTGAATTTGAAGCATTCACTTTCATGTACAGGAATTACACTTATGTGTGTCCAGTTACCCGATACATGCTGTGCTGAGTAAGAGTGGATGAATATAGATTTGTTGCTTCATAAAGCACAATGCGTTCACAGTGGTTGTCGGTGATACTTTTGTGGCGTCTCTAATCCGTCTTGAATGATCCTGACGCTCGAAAGACGGAGTCAATTCAATACCGATGATAGACTTGGACCACCTGGATGCTAGTGTACAGTGAACTAAATACAACTTTGACAGCAGAACAAAAAGCATCAAGAAGTGTTGAAGTTTATCGCTGTCATTGCTGCACGTCTGCACAGCGAGTCAGTTTCCTTTCTGATCTTTGTATTACTATGCTAAGCTGTGCATGTGTGTTCTATAGAACCTGGAAGTATGTATGTAGCCACACAGAAAGCCAATGCGTAGCGCTTGTCCCCCCGTATACAAAACTGGCAATGAAATCAAAAAACAAGCGCTATATACTTTACTCCCATGTCCCACCGAGAATCTGTTGCCATATACTGGGACTACGGTTTGTTGTCTGCCTACAGAGCCTAACTGCAAGACTGATTGATCCATGTCACATTCATAGAGAATTGCAAACCGCCATCTCAATTACTGGGATACGACATTGCGAACAATATACGTCGTGTAGCTCATGCTTTTGGATCCGTGACCGTGTTCAGGGCGTACCTTGAGGTGTCTGAGCAGTCCCCTAAATCATGTAACCTTCGGTCAGAACTCCAGACATCTGGTGTATCTTTGATTGATTGCCCTCATAGTGGCAGGAAAGATGTTGTGGACAAAATGATCTTGGGTGCGTTAGTACATGCTTATTTTCACTAAAGCTGAATCGAGTACATGTTTGCAAGTGGATATGCTTGCTTATGCTATTGATCATTCTCCGCCTGCCACTATCATGTTAATATCCGGAGACCGGGACTATGCTTATGCGGTGTCAATACTTCGCCTTCGCCAGTACAAAGTTGTTTTGGTTGTACCTCCAGCTGTGCACACTAGCCTTAAATCGCAGGCGTCTGTTATATTTGACTGGAATCATGACATTCTTGGCAAGCAAACTCCTGCTAAATTGCCGTCATCTATAAATCAGCTCGAACCTCTCGTGGATGATGATATTGTAGAGGGATACTTGCTGGAAAAAGTAGGGGAGCGACGACCTATATTGTTATCACCATCTTCTCCACTCGCCTTGGCTGGAGAATTTCGTCCTGTTAGCGCCCGTGACTCGTGCGAATCCCAATCATCGGGACACGCTAAACACAGCAAATCTACCGATTCAACACTCAAACCTGACTCCCACTCGGTATGCAGAAAGCCGCCTGATACCATCGTTCGTAGTCGGTCTTCGACGACAGTACTCCAGGAATCGCCCATACCCTCGCAGGGTATAAGCTCGAATCAAGTCCACAATGACGGCCGTATCTCGCCACCCACACTGAATGTAGCAAAACCACAGGCCCCACCTGACAGTGGCCATACGACCAGAGATCCTTCTGTGGACTCACCCGTTGCTAGATCCAGTCAACCGCTTAGACCTTCTGCAAAGCTTTTCATTCCTGTATTGAAGTCTAAAAACGCTCTGATCACAGAGAAGGAAAGACAAGCTGAGTCACTATCCAAGGCCATGCTTGATGGTGGGCAAAGCTCCCTCATTCAAGTTGCAACACATAACGCTCCCTCCACGGCCAGGATCCATTCTCCGATAGCAGTCGCAGGTCGAGAACATCCTGGATCAAAGAGAGACGGGCACCAAGGCGATTATAGTACCATCTCCATTGAAATCATCAACACAGCAAAGGATTTCGAGCTAGGCGTCGAATCTGGCTTAACAAAGGATACACGCGGAATCGCTGCAAAAAAGGAAGATTACACCGTTTCGACTCAGCCACAAACACCAATAACGTTCCAATCGCATGAGCGACCTCGATCCTACTCATTGCCTAAAGATGTTATGTTTGATGATGTGATGGCCATTGCCCCTTTTCCAGCAGAGAGCTGCTGCGGAATCCCCGAGGCCAACATTGCACATGTACATCAGACTAGCTCGGTGTTCTCAACAGGACCTGTTGTTCCACCACTTTATAAGGATCTAGAAAAGCACCAAGCAGAAACTCGCGCTCTCGTTACCACCCTAGCACCTGTAGCTTCGTCGGCCCACATCAATTCCGCAGGAGTCACAGATTCTCCAACAGATGTTGTGATTGCTAAACCACAAGCACAATCAGCTATTCCAAAACCTGTCCCACCGCAATTCCAACTTCTGGTAGAGCTGCTTCTGCAGGAACGCGCAAGGGGAGTTTCCCAGCCACTCCGATCGAACATTGCTTTAAGCCTAGTAGCAAAGGATAAAGCTATATATAAACGAGCTGGAGTGACGAAATTTCGAGAGCTGACTGTACTAGCTGAAAGTGCCAGAATTATCCAACTTGGAGGATGGCAGGGAGCTGCATGGATGTCCTTGCATCCGGATTGTTTATGACACGAAGCACGGTTGAACGTTGAACGCTGGAGGGACATGTATAATGGAATTAATCTAATTTGTGTAGCATACCATAGCCTGTATATTGTTGGACACCAGTGCTGTATGTCAGTTTGATTCGAAAGGGTTGTCTTCGAGAGTAGTCCAGACTCGAACCACATCGCTGTCTTCTTCCAGAGCATCGACAAGATTGCTAACATCCAAGCGTACTGCATCTACGCAAGCTTGGGTATTCTCCACAGGAGCATAGGCCAGTTCACTAATGAGCACCTTACAGGATGGGTCCGATTTAGTGATCTGAGAAGTAACATTGGCCAGTTGATCGGGAGGGCATATAAACTGGAATCAATTCAGCTCCAGAAAATGCAAGTAGGACTTTCGTAACTGACCTCTACTCCGCTCACACCTATTGGATCATCTGACCAGCTGAGGAAATCATCAACCCCACCTTCCATAGCAGCCTCGATGATTGATGATTGTTTGCTTTCTTCAGCTTCTACTTTAATGTGGCCTCGTCGTTGAAAAAGAAACTTTACAGGAGCTTGTCGAGCTCTGAGTGAAGATAAGACAATGGGTTTTTCAGCGTAGAAACTGTCACGAACCCATGTGATGACAAAATTTCACGAACACTGTGCAATGTCCGATTGACGTTATCTGTTTGGCATTCTCTTTAAGCTAGTCAGCTTTCAATCGAGCATCCTTCTAATGCAATACTCACACGAGAATTCCTATCGACCCGTGGGACATCGCCTCGTATGTTACAGACTGTTGCCCTTTTTCCTTGCCTCGGCTGGCCTTGCAAGAATGAGTAACACATCAATGATAGCTGAATACTAAAACATCTACCTTCGCCAATGCTGTTTCTATATTTTCCTTCGGAACTCCAGAGTCTTTAGCTTTCCTAATGACAGAGGCTAAAGCAGAGTTCTGTTCTGGGTTTGCAGATCCACCACCTATGGGGAAGACTAGAGACTAGCGAATCAACTGGCGGAATATGACATACCTCGTACCGCGGCTATGATGTCCTATCTACGTGTTATGAAAGGAAAAGGGATTTTGTAAAGGAGAATCGTACCCGACTAGCTTTTCCATACACTACCGATTTTTTAGCATCCTCTGCTCCTTTGCGTTGCTTGATTTTAGACCACTGAACGACATGTTAGTTGACGGGGTCTACGCGTTAAAAGGTCGTTTACTTTATTATGAGTTCTGAATCCTAGAGGTAGAAAAGGGACGTAAATGTAGAAAATGGCGGTGGGAAAGGGTAGAGCGCAACATGGACAGACAGTCACGGTGAAAATGATCACGAACCGCTTCGTTTTGGGAACACAAGAGCATGTCGGCGTTAACGCTACGTGTAGCTTAAGTATAAGTGTTAGCTTTATGCCAGAAACGTAATTGCTTGTGTCTACTCCTAATGATTATACATAATTTACAGTGTGGATGCATCTGTTCTACATCAGGTCCATATTAACTAGCTTTTAGTCGCATCGTAAGGTGATTCTGGGCGCGAAACTGCCTTCCCTGCCCCGCTTTCTGCAGCGCGGACCGCCGTCGTAAGGTCGAAATGAAAGAAAGGAGTCTCTACAGGGAGTAGCGGTGCCCCTTCGGTAGAGTTTGTATCTACAACGGTGATCGGAAACGAAGCGGTATTTGAGATGCTTTTGACGCCATGTGCCTCGACATCTTCTGCCTGAGAGCTGGTAGTCGTAACATCTCCCTGCCAGTCCCCACTCCGTCCTCCTCGATATGGAACAACAGGGGCTATTTCGATCGGTGCATCAGATGCAGAAACACCAATACCGAATCCGCCCGCTATTAGGGCCCGACGGATCCATGGTGAAAGAATAGTAGCAAAGTGGAACTTCAGATAATTGTCAGCTTTAGCTTGCCATTTCAATTCATAATTCGCACCTCTACAGGGTGGTTCGCCCATCTTTGAACTTCATTTCGCGTGTCTATGAGAGCCTGAATAGCTGTGGTATCTATGTGCGAACTGGACATCCTTTGTGTCAGCAACGTGATCGGATAGGAGGTGACTTTGAAACACTCACACTCCGGAGAAGTCCAAGACGATTGCGTGCAAGACTGGTCTTTGACTGTTTTCTAGCTGTTCAGCAGCAGCTCCACCTTTGGCTGGCCCTGCATCATTCCATGCTCTGTCACTGAGCTTGATATTGCTGAGGTCTATACCGCGCCTCATGTTCTCCTTCACGTAGTCCACGATAGCGGAGTTGATGAGAGAGCAATTCGGGTAAAGGTAGCTCTCTTCAAAACGATAGACCATGACTCCAGGCAAAGGAGGGTCTACTTTGATGTGTGGATTGATAACTCCACCGCGATCCAAAGGGACATACACTTCTCGTGTATCCGATTTCGGTTGCTGTGGATCAACCTGCAGTGTTACTTTCCCCAAAAAGGAACCTCGAGGCCTTGCTATCCGAATCAGAAGGAGAGCAAATGAAGCAGCGATGGAAGTGTAAATACCATCCTCGATGGTAGAAAACACTGTAACGAGGACAGCCGCAAGCCAGATGATAAACTCAAGGGGAGAAACACGCCAGAATGAAAATGCTTGGGGGAGAGATGCAACCAGGTCGGCAACAGCATGAATAATAACAGCAGATAGACCAGCATTAGGTATCCAGTAGAAGGCTGGAGTCAAACCGTAGAGAGCCACGATGACGACGATGGCTGTGATAATGCCAGCAGCTGGTGTGCGCACTCCCGATTTTGACTTGAGGGCCGAACGAGAGAATGAACCAGTGGCAGGATATGCGTTGAAAACACTACCGACTGTATTGGTGACTCCTATGGCGATCAACTCCTGGTTCGGATTGATCTTGTAACCATTAACACGCCCGAATGCTATAAGAGAAAGAAGCATGAATATAGAACACATGTTATATAGTCAGAGAATACCTACATTTGGCTATGGCGATATGCTCGAGTAAAAGGATGATCGTTGCTACAGGGAGTTCTGAGCCAAGAGCCTTTACCAGGTTGATATCAATCACTGGGGGACCGACGTTCTGGAATCCTCGTGGTACGGTTTCAAGGATTTTGATGGGATATTTCCCAGAAGCGCTTTTTCTGTGACGCGTATAAAGCCATGCTGCGATCGTAAGGACAATAACCACAAAAGCGTTCCGAGCAACAGACACAAAAAAAAATACCCGGGCTGTAACCATGAACTATTAGCCAACGTTATATCCGCAGATATGCTCGTACTGACCTCTTCGTGGGTACCGCTTGGCCAAATAATCACATATATAACGAATAAAATAGAGGGCAAAGAGTCCAGTTAAACCCCACGCGGCGTCCAGTGTTGTCCTTGGAAGTCCTTTCAGCGTGTTTATGATGACCTCAAAGGTCGCCGCCCTTGTGCTAAACATAGTTAGTAACGTTTTCGCTAATAATATGACCCAAACACACTCAAAGCCACTTATCCCCATGAGGCCTGGGACTTGACCAGCAACGATGTTGATAGCAGAGCCGGTCATGAAACCACTGACAGCGGGAGCGGGTATAAATTCCACAATCCAGCCAATACGCAACAAGCCAATGGCTAGCACAATGAAACCACATATGAAAGCCACTGTTGTTGCTATCTGAGGCCCCTCCCATTCATTGGGATGACTTGCATTGACGTGTGCAATAATTTGAGAAACCGTCAGTGACATGACTGCGACAGGACCGATGGATACATCCTTGGAGGTGGCGAAGAACTGATAGAGTTTAGAGGGGAAAAAATTAATCTCGATAACAAATCAAGCGGTGGAGTTGACGCACACAGTAAACAAGGACACCAACAAAAGATGAGTATAAACCATATTGAGGAGGGAGAGTGGCGATCTAAGGACTCTGGCAGTCAGACACAATGAAAGAAAAGGGAATGAGCGGCAACGTACCTGTGCATATGACATGCTTTGTGGAACCAGAACCATTCCGACAGTGAAGCCAGCAATAAGGTCTCCGGTCAGCCATCCAAGATCTAGGCATCCGGTGATAATCAGAGGAGCTGTGTTTGGGAGCTAAACAAATCAGACGTACTGTATCTAGTGATCCATCCGAAGATAGGAAATATACTTATGACATAATTTATGGCCTGATGATAACAGTTAGGAACATGGGAACCATGGGGGGTCGTATACGCACTTCACGCTTGGGGTTTCGTGACAAACTTTGAACATAGTCCTTAACGGAAACAATAGGAGCGGTCTCGTCAGGATAGTCTACAGCACGTTTTCCTAGGCGTTTGGCGGTGGAGGCCATAGCGGTGAGGAGAAAAGATGGGGTTGAAGTTGAAGGATCTGGGACTCGGGGCGACTTTTATGATGCGGTCAGTCCTCAATTTAAGAGCATGAGAATGGCTAGCTCCAGGAACAAAACGTTTGATAACGAAGATGCTTTGGGCAACGTATCGTAGAAGAGTGGATACCCGGAAGAACCGAGAATTCTATTAGATGAAATCTTCCGTGTAAGATGGAAAGAGCCAGGGGATCGCAAATGGTCGAAATGGTATTAGTCCAAGACAAATGACTTTCGTGATTTTTCATTTGGATGATATATCCATGCAGAGGGTGTATCATGATGTCGAACGAGCACGCCATTCAACCTTGCGTTGACGCTACGCAAAATATCCACATCGGTCATAATATGTCTTCGCGGACGATGAAATATATTCTCACGCACCTCAATAGGCCATCTACGTTGAGTCATCCGACAACTGCAGCCAGTCCAGCAGAACCTGATACATGTATACATGCCATCCACAGCGCTCATGACATGAGATGGAAGCTCTGCATTACGTACACGTATACAGGACTGAATTTTTCTTCTGTCAGCTATGCCACCAAGCAAGGGACTTGGCCATTTAGTTTCTGTTCGCCAAGTATCGTGAATGGAATAGCCTATAACGTAGTCCTATAGCATTGTGCTATGGTAAGTACTTCAGCACACAAATGTCAAAGGATGTCAGTGGCTCCAGGGCTCGTCAGATATACCATATTCCTACGAGGTTCGGCATTGTGTGTTCAGTCGTTGGTGCCCTGATACATGTCGCCACTCCTTTCTAGGTTACTATAATGCCTCTGACTAGGGCTTGCATGTCCCATGTAGGCGATCGTTGAAGTGTGCACTGTATATCCTCGCTGCTGCATTTTAAAAAGGAGAAACCTCCTGAAATTCACGTCGGCCAATTTTAAAAAAAATATAGACCTTGATGACGTTATATGAAAACTCCAGAAAAACCCCATAAAGCGTCTACAGATCGCATGTTCCTGTTTGCATTTACGTAGAGTTCCTTGGTTGTGACGCCTAGGAACTAAAGTTTAACGAGCTCTTGTTTATTCCATGCGGTTAATCTGGGAAATTACCGATGGTCGCGCTCGTTTCCGTTGCAGACAGGGAGGAGGAGGAACTGCGGTACGAAGTTGACGTCGACCACACAGCACTATTCACGACACTATGCAAAATCTTGGAGAAAATTCTTGGTCGCTATGATGGGTAATGACATGCTCCTGCAGGGCTATCATTAACACTTGATGACCATAGCAATTCAAGCCCACCAGTACTCACTGGTTACCACTCAGACAACTTGATATAGTCAAAGGCTGATTTGAACCGTAAATCTGGGTTTTTAATCGAGAGCCAAGAGTGAATATAAGACTCCCTGGAGTGAATATACCTCAACAGGTGAAATGTAAAACCACGGGAGGTGGCTGAACATGGCATAGTGGTTTTACAAGAGCAAAATAGGAATGGTGTGTATCTAGCTTATTTGACAAGACATACGCTGAGCCCTGGGCATGAGTCTACGCCGAAAACAGACCAGGGTAACTGGGAGTAGGTATGAACCTGAGCAAAACATATATTGTTGGGAAATGTCGAGAATAGGCTGGGAACATCACGATAAGCGGATATCGTACCAAAATCTCCAGGGAATATATTGTAACTTACCTTCAGGAAAAGAACAAGAGCCTGGCCTTGAGTAGAAACAATTCCGATGTCCCAAAGCTGCTATCGGTGCATGCGGCATGTAGTGTACGTAAACATACAACAAAGGAGCAGCCACCGCGCCCACTGCTTTATTCTCCAGTCAGAGCGCAGTGCGCCTGTATCACGATTACTGCCATTGCTGCTACGATTTATTTTTCATGTCAGGACACCTCAAATCTGTTCCACTTGTGGCTCCTGGCCATACACGACCCGTTACCCATCTTTCATTTTCCCAAATTCAAGACGATGGCGCATATTTGCTTGTATCCAGTTGTAAAGATGGAAACCCGATGCTGAGAGAGTGGACTGGCGATTGGATTGGTACTTTCCTTGGGCACAAAGGTGCTGTGTGGAGTACCAAGCTGTCGCCCGATTCTTCGAGAGCAGCATCTGGTAGTGCAGATTTCACTGCGTGAGTTGCACCCCAGATATGCTCTTTTTTTTCAGACCCTGATTTGTGCTGTCACGCGTCCTTTGGGTGAAAGAAAAATTTGGGATACGTATTCTGGAGAGCCTTTGCACTCTTTCCCTCACAATCATATCGTTCGCACTGTCGCATTGTCACCAACCTCAGCCCACCTTCTGACTGGTGGACAAGAAAAGAAAGTAAGGGTATTCGACCTAGGCAGACCTGATGCAGACCCAGATTATCTTGGTGAGCCCGGGGGTTTATCCCATGAAGGAACAGTGAAAAGTGTAGTTTGGGTCGGCGACCACACAGGTGTATCCGCTGGCGAAGATGGGCTTATCAAGTGGGTGTTATACTGTAAACCACGAAGCGAAAGGATATGTTGATGTGGCAAAACTAACTGCACAGATGGTGGGATCTTCGGACGCGGCAGTTGGCCACGACTCTTTCTTTTCCAAACCCTATCACGTCGATGGAATTCTCTCCACAGACGAAGCGTCTTGTCGTAACCTCAGGAAAAACTGTAGCGTTCATACCTGCTTTTGCCAACGGGTCAACTACGCACAGTCTTACTCTGCCTTATTCCCCATCGTCTGCAACCATCCATCCAATCTTGCAAGATCGATTTGTGACTGGAAATTTGGGTGATGAGTGGGTCAGAGTTCACGGAATGGATGGTGAGGAAAGGGAGGTGTTAAAGGGCCACCATGGACCTGTTCATTGTGTTGAGTTTAGCCCTGATGGTGAAATGTATGCTAGTGGTAGTGGTACGTACTCCATATTTTCTAAACGCTTGAGCTCACCTACATCTTCATCCCACTTTTTTTGCACCATTGATCAGAGGATGGTAAGCGAACATACTTCTTTTTGTGTGATATAACACGCGCTAAGTGACGGCTCCCAGGCACAATTCGACTTTGGCAAACAACACCCGGGAAAACATATGGTCTTTGGCAGGGAAATACGAACGGTGGTTAGATGGGGGATTTACTACGAAATGCAGCGCTTATTGTTTTTCTACCTTTGGGAAACGTTCGTTATTGATTGAGCAACGGGTACATGTCACATCACAGGAAGTGTTCTCAGATCGCCGAGGTTAATCTTACACTTGAGTTCCTCATAATTGCCGTTTTGAAGCATTTGTGCGTATCATTGTTGACTTGGACTGCGTGGTGGCGCGACGCGGCAGAGATGTTCAGTCGAAGCCCCTGAAGCTTACGATGGCGTGGTGTAAAGGTATCCACACCAACGTCATCTTGACACCGATACGAGATTATCTCCAGAATAGTTTACCATAAGAGAACTGATCTGCAGCTTATTGTGTTCTAGTCAGCATCACACTATATACAATATGAACAACACCACCGATGCTCCAGGAACGCTGCCAACTCAGGTCCACCATCGTTCTTTATTCTCGACAGCAGTACCTCTGTCCATTCCTGGCCCGAGCCTGGTAGATTCTGCCGGTGGGGCTCACTACTCAGGAGCTAAGATGGACAGCGGCGAAGAAACCAGAGCGTCGACTACTGAACGAGGTCCGGGGAGTCAGAACGTCCAGCAAGCAAATCATCGGAGGGTCATAGACGACCTTCGAGAGCTTTATTGTTGCAGGCCGACCGTAGAGATTTTAAGAAGAACGTGGAGAGAGGATGCCGAGTTTGAGGCGAGTTACTTTACAACTTGTTGCGAGTCTTTGTTGACTTGTCGCGTTGTTTGATACCAATAGGACCCTCTAGTGAAATGCAAGGGTTTCAACCAGTATGCGCCTCAAGTAAGTCTCACATGTACAATGTAAATAATGGATATACTTACATTTTCTTGACGTAGTGGCTTGCCATGGTCAGTGAATATTCTTGAGATGGCTCGTAGTTGTACTTAGCTTGACAGCCTAAAATCTTTTCGAACTCGGAAACAATCTCCAGTCGCATAATGGCATCTACTGAATCCCCCAATCGACTCGTGTACTCCCAGATACAAGAGTACACGCTGAGATACATTGGAATCAAAAAGGTACGCAACCATTGGAGTTGCATGTCATTGTCGTAGATCACGAGACGGTTGTTTAGAAGATTGAATCTATTATCTCGGTAGACCTTGATGAAGAGGACAAGATTCGCAGGTTGGTGGAGCAATGGGGAGGAAAGGAGGTGCCGACGAGATACGGAGCTCATCTCTTGCGACGGGCAAATGCGGTTCTGACACCGTGGTTAGTGAGAGTCCCCAAGGCCCATCAAGACTAGAACGATGTTTGTATATAACATCACTGTAACATGGCTGGTCTGGTGACCTGCGAAACAAGCTTGTTGATGTAATGTATTATGTACAACTATGCGACTCCAGGAGGTGGGCAATAAAAGGATCAGAGCCGGGTGTCCTCAGGCTCATTGAAGCGATGCGTGGGAGGGAAATGCGCTGAAATGCAGCTCAGAATAACCCATGTTCGCTCACAAGCTTACCTTCTGACCAGCTGCCTTTCAAATGCCCGCCTAGGATGCTCATGTGCCGCCGCAGCTTTGGTCATTTCTTGGCCAAGTTTATCGGGATGGTCACCTGAGTCCCTGTCTCTATTGACCATGTACGCCGTCCCTTAGCCAAACACTCCAATTTAAGTCCCTGTGGAGTCCAAAGTATCCATCCCCGTTCACATCTCCCAAGTCACTTCATCTCCCAGAATTCTGCACGTATGTTGTCATCGCTTCTACCGACATCCAAAGCGTCCCTTAGATCAGCCACAAGGGTACTCAATTCTACAGTATGCAGGACACCAGTGGCATATTCCCTGCGTCCGTTTACAACCACTCGTGCACTCCTAAGTGCCAAACCTAGGCAATCCCTGTCTCCTCTACACCCTATCGGCATCGACGCGGCGGTGGAAGCTGCAGCAGACCCCTCTGTGACTCCTCGCCCGAAGATATTCGATGAATTCGCCCTCACTGACCGTGTGGCTATCGTCTCCGGTGGTAATCGAGGCCTTGGACTTGAGATGGCGATCGCACTGTGTGAAGCCGGTGCCAGAGCAGTTTACTGCATTGATATGCCTACTCAGCCGTCGGAAGAATGGACAGCCTCTAGAGATTTCGTGAAAAAGCTAAATAACGGATCACGTTTGGAATACATCAGCGCAGATGTACGGGACCAGAAAGGTCTATGGAAAAAGGTGGAAGACGCTGCGGATAAGGAGGGTAGAATGGACATCTGCGTAGCCGCCGCAGGTGTGCTCAAGGCACACACAGACTGTTTGGAATATCCTGCCGAGCAATTCAAAGACGTGAGTGTGTGGTTCTTGTTTTGACATTTGAGCAGCAGTTGAGAGCGTGTCTGATTAGGTTATGGACATCAACACACAAGGTGTTCTCTTCACTGCACAGGCAGCGGGTCGTCAAATGGCTCGGTTTGGGACGCCTGGTAGTATTATTCTGATTGCGTCCATGAGTGGAAGTATTACGAATAGGGTGAGCTGCGCAATCGAGCCGTCTGGGTGCTCCCAAGCTGACCCTTGCTCCTGTACAGGACCACGCATGGGTGTCATATAATACCAGTAAGTCCGCAGTGCTGCAAATGGCACGCAGCATGGCGTGCGAGCTTGGGCCGAAGAAAATACGGGTCAACTCCCTTTCACCGGGCCACATTTACACAAAGTAAGTCGATTGGTGATCGTTTGGGGATATTGTGGGCTAGTTGTGGGGCTGACGTGTGGACTTTGGTGCGCTGATCCTAATCCAGTATGACTGCGGCATACCTTGACTCGCAGCCGCACCTTCTGGAGAAGTGGTCGAGTATGAATCCGCTGGGACGACTGGGGCGGCCGGATGAGCTGCGTGGTGTTGTAGCATGGCTGGCGTCTGATGCATCGAGTTTCTGCACTGGTAGCGAGTACGTTTTCTGTATTAGCGCTGACTTGTTATTGAGCTGACTGTGTTGTGTGCGCAGTATCATTGTGAGTGGTGGGCACCACTCGTGGTAAGGCGGTGGATGGAGTATGGCACGGGCGTGTATGTAGTACTAAGGATGGAGTACGACTGAATGTAGATAACCAAGTATTATCGATGTGAGAATGGAGGGGTGTGACCGTGACATGGGATGGTGTGTGACCAGCGGATAAGGCAGGAGTGAGATCTGATCGGCGCAGCAGAGAGACGACTGCGGAGAACCGTGCGCAGTGCAAAAGTTGAAAGCAGGAATACGTCCTTTCCTTGCTCAGCCTCACCCGCATCCTGGCTGCTTTTTATTCACCCTCTTCTTCTCTCCGTCCACCATCCAGCTCACAAAAGCTGCAACAATGGTCCAGGACGTCCTCCAGGATCCTCAGAAATCCACGAGAAAAGCAAAGGACCGTGATGGACGAGACCCCGCCCAGCCAACCGATCTCGTAGAGCGAATGATTGCCTTTCAGCGGAAGAATGCAGCGTATGTCGTCTTTTCTGTGTTTTCAGCCCTTTGGTTGAACCCTTGTTCTTCGCTTTCCAGTGCTACCCGTCCAAGAGACAGGACAGAACGAGCCCCTCCACCCCCGCTCTCCCGACCTCTCCCAGCAATACCATCCCCAGCCCCTGTTCCACCACGAACATTCCCCGTCATCTCATCCCCCCGCAGAAATCAGCAGCCTCCCCATCTCGTCGTTTCTCGTCCAGAGGCAGACCCAGAAGATTTTTCTCGTCGTCTCAAGATTTCAACTTCATCGCGACCGTCGTATCCCAAGCAGCATCAGCAGCAAAGCAAACTATTCAATCCTGACACTGACCCCATCCCTATGCGTCGCACAGCAGAGCCTGAATCCATTTCTGACGCTACCAGCAGCTCGTATGTACCCCGTAGCGGCCCTCCTACCAGTTCACATCAAAGAGAACCACCCACCCATCAGCGCCAACTATTCGATCATCGAAAGGATGATCCTGTCCGCTTCTCTGTCCTGGCTCGTCCTTCATCTTCCACCGGCCGACCAACCCCGACACCAAAATCGTCGGGTGATTACGTGTCAGCATCGTCGACATCATCATACGCTCACTCCATGACTTCATCAAACTTCACTTTATCATCAAACACTACTGATACGTCGTCCGCATCCTCCGCCCTATTCGATCGTAAGCCAAACGAAGAGTCCAGCAACAATGCCTTTGCTGTGCAGCTGAAGAGACTTTACCGGGGTATATCCGTTTTAGAAACCAAGATACTAAATGAAGACACCGACGATCAAGCAGACGAAAGCCGAGTTATGCTTCATGGCCACGGAAAGGACGTTCCCGACGATGATTTGGAACAGCAAAAGTGGAGAAAGTTAATATCCGATCATAAGCGGTAAATTTGCCATTTGCCTTCTCCCTGCATCTAGCTGATATGCTGTGTTATCAGGTTGGCTGAAATGATGCATAATCTAATGGAGATATCTCTTGCACCGAGCGTACCGGCTTCTCTTCGTGTCATACCCACCAAGTACAACATTATCATCCGACTTTGGACGCATGCATTCCACAAGCTCCTCGAATCCCTTCGACGTGCTTCATTCACTTCATCGCTTGCACTGGAGCACCTGCAAGATTTCATATATTATGCTTACACCTTCTATACCGGTCTTCTTGAGGAGCCGACTCTCCGGTCATTTAAAGCAGGTTGGCTTGAAGCTCTTGGAGATCTCGCGCGTTACAGAATGGCAGTTGCAGTTATGGTGACTAATAACCAAGTCCCTGGAGGCGCACTTACGACTGCCGCAGTATCGAAAGCTGCAGAAGACACGGTTGATATCCAAGCACCGACAAAATCTCAGGCCAGCGTCAAGTCTAGTAGCGATCGGCCTGCCGCACGAATAGATGATTCGCCGTCACCGAGTGTGGGAATTGTAGCTGCGCGTCTGCTTGACGTTGAACCAGAGAAAGAGAGATGGAGAGGTATTGCTCGGGAGTGGTATGCGCAAGGATTAGCCGATACTCCAGGAACAGGCAAACTGCACCACCATCTTGGACTCTTAAGTCGAGAAGTCGAGTCAGAGGAGCTTCGCTCTGTCTATCATTTTGTGAAAAGGTCAGTATCTTTCACCGTCGCACTCAACCTTGATAATGACATCCCTTCAAAGTATGACTACCCTTCATCCTTTTTCGACATCTCGTGAATCTATCCTCCCAATCTGGTCTTCCACCGCTCAATCTCGGCGTTCCCAGCCAGATGCCCGCGCACCTGAACTCTTCGTATTATTGCATGGAATGTTGTTCACGAATATTCAGTTGGACGATTTCCAGCCCACATTAGCACGATTTCTCGAGCGCCTGCAAATTGAAGGTGCCGAAGAGCGCGAATGGATTATCATGGCGATTGTAAATATCGGTGCAATATTAGAGTATGGTAAGCCCAGTGGATTAATAAGAAAGGCGGGAGGGACTGGAACAAGGGAACCAGGGGGTACTCCGTTACGCGTTGTTGCGAAACGTGCCGCTATCATCGAAGAAGACAACGAGGAAAAGAGGATGGACGTAGACGAGGAGGGTGACTTGGGTGATAAAGGCGACGAAGAGACGAAGCCACTTGCTGCAGGTATACAAGCCTCTCCCGTCCCGTCTGAGGCAGGACCGGTTTTGGATCATCCACTTGCCTATAAAATGGCCCTGGAATTGTCGTTTTCGATGCTTTCATTTGTACTCCGCAACCCGATGCGGAAAGCTTCACCATTTGCTCGCTCGTCGCTCAATCCATACCTTCCTATCTTACTCACCTTTATTTCCACGATCGTCAAGAATGCGGATACGCTGTCACTATTGGAACGCGCTGTTCCGTGGAATGAGCTCGCGAGATTCTTTGCCAGTATCCCGCGAAACGTGATGACTTCTCAGGGTTTACTTTCCGTTCAAGTTCCAGGACAAATGGCTGAGCGTTGGACCATGCTTACGAGTGGGTGTGCGCCCCCTTTACCTGAAGACTGGTGTTTGCGTGGAATGGAGTGGGTTGGTCGAAGGGTTTTTGAACGTGGTTACTGGAAAGCGGGCGAGGACAGGCGAGCGGAGATTGAAGTGCTCGATATTGAAGAGGGCGGTCAGTTAACAGATGGAATCATTGAAGATGGAGATGACGAGGAGGACGGAGCTGGTGGCACCGCCAATAGTACTGCATCCGTGGGAGACACCAGCAAACGATGGGTAAGAGTTGTCAGGTGCGCGATTGGGCTATCGCAGGCAGTTGATGGCTTTACATGGGTGGAGGGCACGCGGGAATGGAGGGTTGATGGTACCCTTGAGGCGAAGGTCAGACGATGGGAGGAAGAAGATAAACTTGAACGGGAGGAAGAGGAGCGGCGTAGAAGTCGAAAGTGGTTGGATGATTCAATGGACATCGACGAGGATGAGGATGAAGATGAGCTGGCGACCATGTCATCAGAGGAAAGCCAAGACGACGAAGAGGATTCTGAAGAAATCAGGGCATTAAAGGTATGCATCTACTACTGATTTAGATTGTCATCAATAACAATTTTCTAGGCTAGGAGACGTTATGCACGTAGTCTGATACAGTCAGAAAAGCATGGCTCAGATTCAGCGCCGAAATCTTCGAGGAAATCGCAGTCACGCCGACTCGACAGGACCATCAATTCTCGACCTCTGTTGCACGTTGTCCCTGGCTACACTGTCCTCGTCGTCGATACTAACATCCTACTGTCGTCTCTATCAATATTTTCGTCGATCATCGAAACTCTTCGTTGGACGGTTGTACTTCCTGTTCCCGTCATCATGGAATTAGACGGTCTCTCATCAAACTCATCTCAGCTGGGTGGTGCCGCGCAGGAAGCCTTGTCGTACATAACATCCCATTTCAAGACTCATTCGATGTCGCTTAAAGTACAGACATCAAGGGGGAACTATTTAACATCCCTTAGCGTACGGAGCGAACAGGTGGACTTCGCTGATCGAGCGACATGGGAACGGAATATGGATGACCTGATCCTAAAGGCCGCCATCTGGCAAGATGAGCATTGGGTCGATCGTTCCGCATTGTTGAAGCCAGCTGCGGTGAACCATGACACGACGAACGCAGTAAAAGTAGTACTCCTTAGCTTGGATCGAAACTGTAAGACATATTTCATCCCATCGTTACTTTTTACTGAGCATGCTTTGCAGTACGTCTCAAGGCTAGGTCAAGACAACTGTCTGCCGCAAGCGAGAAAGATCTGGCCCACATTTTAGTTGTTGGGTCGTGAACGGGGGGGGGGGGGGGGAGGGTGCCAATGACCCGGGCACAAATATCGCTCACTCACCTGAAGTGATGCCATTGCCTAGCGGTACTTGTCGTTGCCAACTTTGGCTTTACAGCCCACTGTGCCAACTAGTTCCCGGTGTCGCATTATAAGTGCCGGTTACTCCAGGGCCTAAAGAGATCGAGCGGAGACTTTGTTGAGAATATATAGCACGCCATGGAGGTGTTCATCGCTATTCGTGCTTCGCATTTTGCAGTCCTGGTTTTCTCTTGCATTCCATACCCAGTCTTCACAACATACCTGTTTCTCTTAGCCACTGTTTTGTTTATTTTACTTTATGGATGTACTGTATCTGCATAATGGAAAGGTTGTGATGGTTTTGGCCTGGTTAGTAGTATATTTTTCCATCACCATGCATGGTCAGTCCTTTCTTCCTTGTCAAAATTCTATATCTTGCGCTACCATCGGCGGGAATAACACGGGGGAAATTCTAAGTCTATAACATCATCACCGTTGGTATGAAAACAATTGGCTCAAATACAAATATCCACTATACAGGAGATAGGAAATATATTTTGGCTACCAATAGTAATCGTTGAATTTGTAACTTTTGGTATCGAAAGGAGAACCGGTGACTAAAATACACAGCATCTGACCGCATACCTACTCGTATATCATGGATTCCTGGGCGAGACTGTACTGAATGGTGCCTTCAGGGAACCAACTTCCGAAAAGGAAATCAGATATGATAACAATCGCAACCCCAGTCATACTTACAGTTTGATTTCCTTTTCAGCATTCTCGACGGAATCTGAGCCGTGGCAAATGTTGCGGCCAACCGCCAAAGCAAAGTCACCACGAATGGAACCTGCCCATCATGATTGAATTTATATCTCTCAAGACAGTCCACTAAGTTAAAGAACGCACCGACGGGGGACTGCAGAGGGTTAGTCGCACCAAGCATCACACGGCCTGTCTTGACAGCATCCAAGCCTTCCCAGACCATGGCAACGACAGGTCCAGACGCCATGTACTTGATCAGACCTGGGAAGAAGGGCTTGCCAGCAAGATCGGCGTAGTCTGTTGGTGATTGACTGTCAACCCGATGAGATCGATGGCAAGATCAACAAGGCTCACGCTTCTCGAGATGCTCGGGGGAGGCATGGACGAGCTTCAAGGCAGTGAGCTTGAATCCACGCTTTTCGAACCTCCCGATAATTTCGCCAACGAGGTTTCGCTGGACACCATCAGGCTGCGATCGTTTGGTGCGATAACACAATGGTCCATCATCAAAACATCGGAGAATTTGATTAGCATTTACCTTGACCATGATATAAGTGCGTTCTTTTACACTGGCCATTTCGTACAGTAGTGAGTATGGTAAAGAGATGGTTCAGATCTTGAAAGAGATTCAAAAGTCACTTAACGGAAGACAGATTTTATTCGTCCTTTTTATCTTATCTCGGCGATTTCCGTGCAACCCGCCAGCAACCAAGATGTAAACTAATACAAATAATAAGCTCCCCGAACACTTCCGCTTTGCTACATTTCTGTCAAGCATACCAAGACATGAACGCCCTCGGTCCCTCTCTCGCTCCCTACATTCGTTCGTCACGAACCCTAAGCAAATGGGTTAAGCCCATTTCTGTATGGTATGCAAACTTAATGGGCTATCGGAAAATGGGCTTGAAGTACGACGATTTATGTATGTTCTTAATTCTTTTTTTTTTTTTTGCTACATCTATATCCTTTCCAACCCTTTAATGTTTCAGTAATCGAGGAGCATCCAGATGTCCAAAGAGTAAGTGAAACGTCACACTTTATCATCTCCCAACGTTCTCATCCATGTGTTTCAAGGCACTCACCCGCTTAACTCCCCGCGAGGCCTATGAGCGTGCATACCGCTTCAAGGTCGCGTCTCAGTGCAGCGTTTTGCACAAACCTCTGCCAAAGGAAGAATGGCTCGCGTCTTCCGAGGTTAGTTTGTCCAATGCCTGGTTCAATTTTTCTTGTCTTGACCTACACATCTATAATAGGACGTGCGTTACCTGAAGCCCCACGTCCTGGACGTTATCAAGGAGAATGAAGAGAGGGCAGCTTGGGACGAGATGACTGTTCAAAGAAAATGATTATCTACTTGATTAAATATAAATATAGAGCTGATGAGACAGTATAGTCTTCTATTGAACTCGCTGGTGTTTTCGTCCGTGTCTGAATATATGCCATCAAGTAGTGAATTGAATTTCGTCTAATTTGACATGATGTTACAGTGGTTTCTTCGTTATTCTAAGGGCTTACTCAAGCTTCCTGTCAATGGGAAACCAAGATTCTGGTCTAAGCTTTCATCTACAGCGCTTTGACAAGGGGAGATATGACTTTGACACCCTGTTCCCTGTAAAATTGGACTACCTTTTTGCCAACGGCGGCAATATCTAGCGGTACAGTCTCAGTATATCATCCTGATTCTAAAAACTTTAAAAGAACATACTGGTGCCAGTAATACCAAATTTCTCATAAACTTTCTGGTACGGTCCGGAAGCGCCCCACGCTGGAAGACCATATTGCTGAGCAGTGAGAACATGTCAGACAATGAAAAACAGCGCATATGTGTTCGGACATACCTCATGGCTGTACTTTTGCCATCCGGTCGTCTAAACAATTCGAACCAATATAAATGTGGGAGATGCAGACTCATCAAGAAAAGCAACAGACCGAGAGAGCTTCAAGAGAGAGGATAGGTGCCCCGCTACGAAGTACGCTCAACCTGTACTGTTGATCTTGGCTGTCAAAGACCGACCAACAAGGCATGCTGACAATCCTTGTTTTGATGCCCTCTGCTTTCAATTTACCTGCAGCTTCAAGTGCAATGCTAACTTCACTACCGCTGCTGACGATTGTGAGATCTTCACCTTCTACCTCATGAAGGACATAACCACCGCGTGAAGCCCGCTCAATAGTCGAGCCTTCAAGATTGGGCAGGTTCTGACGAGAGAGAGAGAGAACAGAGGGAGTCTCCTTACTTCGCAAAGCAACGAGGTAAGAAGCAGAGGTCTCATTACCGTCTGCTGGACGCCAGAAATCCAGATTGGGAATTGCACGCAAATGAACTGCGGTTTCAATGGGCTGATGCGTAGGCCCGTCTTCTCCAAGACCAATGGAGTCGTGAGTTGCTGTAATAGAAGCTGAGTTATATCGCTAAGGTGGCTGAGCAGTATTGACTCACCAACCCAGATTACCTGGTGCTTGCTGAGAGCTGACAACCTGACAGCACCGGCTGCATATGATACAAAGTTCTACAAAACATAAGTAGGGAACTCTCAAAGAGCTACTGAGGGGGCTTACCAAGAATGTAGCTACGAATGGTACGATACCACCGTATGCAGACAGACCGTTGGCGATAGCGCCCATACCGTGTTCTCGAACTCCATAACGGATATATGTTCCTGCGTATGTACCTAGGTTTGTGCTTGGATGTTGGAAATCTGTAGAACCCTTGACTTTTGTCAAATTGCTACCAGTCAAATCTGCCGATCCTCCGATCAGATCAGGGATTCCGGGCGTAATAACTGACAACACAATTTCCGAGAGTTTGCGGGATGCTTGCGCAGGATCAGATGGTTTGTACACCGGCAGAGTCTGCTCCCAGCCATCAGGCAACTTGCCTGAAATCCGGCGTGCGAGTTCTGCGTGTTCGTTGGGGTACCGTTTCTCGTAGGCAGAGAGCAAGGAAATCCATTCCGACTGGAGCTTAGCACCGCGTAAAGCAGCTACTTTATAGGTGTCATAAGTCTCCTTAGGAATATAGAACGTCTTGTCCGGGGGGAAGCCGGCCTTCAACTTGAGAGCCTGGATATCATCGGCTTTAAGGGCTAACAAATATAATCGTCAAAGACGTTATGTCAGTCTAGAACGAATGACAAAAACCAAAAGCTTACGGGATCCATGTACTCCGTGGGTACCTTGCTGTTTTGAACCATACCCTATGGTTGTTCTCAAGCGAATGATGGTCGGCTTGTTCTTTTCGGCACGCCCTTGGGTAATGGCATCAGATATGCCCGCCAAATCACTGAAAATCATTTTGAATACAAAGACAATACATAAAGTCACGCGCCTCACCTATCACCGTTATCGACATGAAGTACTTGCCATCCATAGGACAGGAATCTTTGTTCGACATTCTCGGTGAAGGCTACGGCGGTATCTCCATCGATAGAAATATCTGCACAGCGTCAACCCAAGGCGTGGTTTGTAAAAAAAACAAAGGCATACGGTTATCATCATAAACCTGATGTAGAAGTTGAGGTAATGCTTCTTAAGTCAAGAATACAGAATATACGCACCACTATTAAATTTCCCAACTGCAAGTGGCCAGCAAGCGAAGCAGCCTCGCTAGCAACGCCCTCCATGAGACATCCATCGCCAGTGAACACTGAAAAACATTCATACAGTCAAGCGCAAGGGATAGGATTGAAACCAGGCCCACCATAGGTGTAATTATTGATCAAGTCAAATCCATCGCGATTATAGACCGCACCGAGATGTGCCTGTGCCATAGCAAACCCGACACCATTGGCAAAGCCCTGGCCAAGAGGTCCAGTCGTGACCTCGATACCTGTCGGCGGAAATGAAAATACGGAAGGATACACTAAGTATGTGAGCCTACCGTCAGTGTGTCCCGCCTCAGGGTGGCCGGGGGTGAGGGAATCTAGTTGTCGGAAAGCCTTCAAATCGTCCACGGAGAGCTTATACCCTAAAAGATGGAGTAATATGTATTGAAGAACACAACTAAGTATATGCTGAGATTAAGTATCCAAGCAGCGACTTAGCAGGTATGAAACATACGCATGGCTGAAATTGAATGTTCAGAAGCAGTCTCAGGGATGATAAGAGCTACTTACCCATTAGAGAGCACAAATCGATCGCGATTAAACCATTTCGAACTTTTGGGGTTAGCATTAAAAAATCTAGGTAGAGGTTAACAAACCAGCTAATGACCGATAAGGATCGCTGTAGAGAGCACCTACCGAGTGAAAAGGACGTGGGCTGCTGGAGCCATACCCATGGGTGCCCCTGATACAACGTGTGTTGTTAGTGATCATGAGGGCGATAACCTGATGCGGCTAAGCTTACCAGGATGGCCTGAGTTCGCCTTTCCAACAACATCTGCAGCCAAAGTACGGATTGTCGCAATGGACAAGTCGTCTGTGGGTTCTGGGGTAAAGCTGGACATGTCTGGGAGGACTGGGGAAAGGAGATGGGCTGGAGAGGAAAAGCGATAATTTAGCCACCGCAGATATCCCGCTTTTATCTAATCAGACTTCTCACGCATCTTCACGACGACAGTCAAAAATCGTAGGAAATACAGGTCTGCGTTTAATATCTGGTCTGTGCGTGGATAGGCCATTTACCGCCCATTCTCTCATAACGTTGCTATTTGCCATGTATTTCCCAGATGCACCCGCAGTTGTCCGATAAGCGTATTGGTGAGCTTTTTCTGTCCAGGGTTTCAGCCGGATACTCAGGATCCCGAGCCAGTCTGCAGGGAGTTCATACAAGCACTTGACGCCTGCCATTCCAACAACTGGGCACGCCTTACTGGTGGTTGTAATCGAGAAAAGGATAGTCTTAACCAATGTCTTCGAAAAGAGGTGCGTCCCGTTCACGTCTTTACGCTGAAAATGCCGGTTGAGATGCTATCGTCAGCGGGTTGAGCGTTCTTCTCGCAATCGCCAGAATGCTAAGGAACAGCGCCTGAGGGTGGAGCAGGCATGGAGAGAGCTTCACGAGGATGAGTAGTGGACAACATTAGCTCTTGTGGCATTACAGTATATCAATACGACCACCAATCAATCATTTAACAGCGACTCTACGGGGGTAGCGGTCTCGTCTCTATACTGATTTCAATGCCGGCTCTCCATACATGGGCACTGTGCATCGACAAAACTCGTGTGTACTGGTGTACATGTCTTCACAACATTCTCAACAAAATGTCAAACCGGCATTACCGGTCCGGCGATGTGGCATGAATAATGTCCTCGGGCGCGCGACCGAAAGGTGAGTCACTTAAAGCTCTAAACATCTTGACCATATTTTTGCTCAAGCTTTTGCTAAACGAGCCCGTAGACATGGAAAATACTGCCTCTGTTTGCAATGAGAGGCCTCGCGCCATAGAACTAGCTGATCTATCGTCGCAGGATGTTATTCAACAAGATAGACAGCCAGTATCCCAGCCATTATCTACCATAAACGTCGTGAATAACGAAGTACCAGACGGTGGTTATGGATGGATCGTTGTATCAGCTTGCAGTCTAATCACGTATGCCTCTTACTATTTCAACGCTCTCACTATGTTGTGCTCACCAAAGTTATCAGATTCTTTTTTGTAGGCATAACTCATTCATGGGGTCTCATGCAGGCCAAGTTGGCGCGTGAAAACCTTGCACCAGATTCAACATTAGCATTCATAGGTTCCACAGCCATCGCCTTCGTCGCCTTCGGTGCCATTGTCAATACTCGCATCATTCGTCTCATGGGCACTCGTCATGCGGCTTTTCTAGCATGTTCGTTCATGGGATTTGGGCAAATTCTAAGTGGCTGGGCTACCAGGAGTGTCGGTGGATTATTTGTTACCAATGGAATTGTGATGGGCTTCGGCTGTAGCCTATGCTTCATGGTGAGCATTTTAATCCCTGTTCCAAGTTCCTACCAACGTGGAAGGTAGACTTGTGGAACACTACCGGCACAATACTTCAGTCGCCGCCGTGGTTTGGCGAACGGGTTGGTATATGCAGGTGGAGGAATTGGTGGCTGTGTATTGAGTATTCTGATGGAAGTCCTGCTGAATAAAGTAGGCATAGCTTGGACTTTTCGCGTCTTTGGTTTTGTCACTCTTGCCGCGACTTTACCGGCTACCATGCTCTTGAAGGAGCGATCTCGCCGGGTAGCTCCAACCATGGATTGGTATGGCTCTCTTTGAAGCAACTAGACATAAGACTTACAGTCTGTTAGGTCTTTCTTCAAGGATCCGAAGTTCTTGCTATTATTTTTTGGGTCGGGAATTGCCACGTTCCCAATCCTTGTGCCCCCCTTCTTCATTCCTTTATATGCCTCTTCTCTTGGCATATCCAGTGGTATCAGTTCGGTTCTTCTCGCTGTATTCAATCTTTCCTCAGCTTTTGGACGTGTTGGTTTTGGCGCTCTAGGAGATGTCGTTGGTCCACTAAGTAGCTTGCTACTGGCGCTTATTGTCAGCGCCCTCAGTATGCTTGTGATTTGGCCTGCATCTACGGCATTGGCCCCATTTGTGGTATTCATAGTGATCAGTGGTGTGGGCAATGGCGGCTTCTTCTCCACGATGCCATCCGTTGTGGGTCACATCTATGGACAAAGAATGAGCACTGCACTTGCAATGGTTGTATCTGCGTGGGCAGCAGGATACGTCATGGTATGATTACTACTTTTTCTTTGGGATACCAAGAGCTAACATTTCGTAGGGTGCACCTGTTGCAGGTTACATACTGGAGCGATATGGGGGGAGCGAAGCTGGACGTGCCGCCTTTCGCCCTGCGATGTATTACGCGGGTTCGATGTCTGTAGGAAGCGCCAGCTTCGTTTTCGGTGTCCGCCATTTGACCAGCCCCAAGCTTTTTGCATACGCCTGATCATGATATTGACGAGGTCGTAACGAAATTGAGGCCAATACTCAATTTGTTTGAGATTCAAAGGAGACGACCGGGCCCCCTACATGTACTAGTAGTCTTATAAAATCCAAGCCAATGTGTATTCCCATCATGAATGTTTCACGGACAGAATAATGGTAGAAGGCACGATGAGCTGAGTGGGTCACGGTTTTACTTGGAACGGGCCGAAGTGTGGCTGACAGTGGCAGTTCAAAGTCGAACATTGGGTGAGAGCTCAAACCAAAGGTTCAGGTCATTGACGCTTGGCCAGACACGCTTTATTCACGCTCATTTTCTTACAATGTCCATCGTTCCAACACCCAGCTCTCGCTATTCTCATTCTTTTGTAATGCCTCATGTCTTCGTCTTTCCTCCAGAGGAAGAGCAGTCCGAAAATCCCCCTTGGTGCTACTTCGACGCCAATCATTCCCCTGACCACATCGACTTTGCTTCCAGCCACAACGCCCGCTTTCTTGACGTCCCCTTCGATGTTGTAGCTGAACATCAGGACCCCACTCAGCAGTTTTACCATTCACCTATCAAGGATTCAGCTGCAACAGGTCAGATAATCGAAACACATGGCCTTGCTTCGTCAGAGATCAGAAGTGATGTAACGCAGCACAGGGATCCGCTGGATGATTCAGATGTGGTAGAAGTGGTGAAACTCAGGCGCTCAGGTCGGAGGCTAACTGAGGAGTCAGACCAATATCACCAGGTGAAGGGGCCACGAAATCTGAGGGCCCGTGCTTCAAAGGCCTTCCAATCCATAAAGAATGCGAGGAAGGGTGCTCGACGAAGATCCAATGCCAAAGAACTGCAGTCGTCGAGTGAAAGCATGCCAGGGTCTTTTGCGGGTGTGCAGAACTTGAGATGGCATCAGCGGGAGCAGCAGCCACCAGCATCTCCTGCTTCTTTCCTCTCGCGGCGAAACACTCGTTCACTATCTCAGCTCTTGCAATCGTCGAAAAGGATGAGTACCAAGGCAGACCCTCAGGGCGTTACATCTACTTCTCCTACCCATACCACACAACCGCCTTCATCTGAAACCGAGTCGTCACTCCCATACCTCAAAGATCGTAACACAGCACCTCCTGCGGGATGCGTCATTGTGTCAGACGGTATAGGTAGCATCTACCAGCAGCCAGTGTCTCCATGTCCTTCTGTTAAAAAGTCTCGTAGGAGGTTCTCCTTCAGAGAACTTCACCGTCTTTTTCCATCGTCTTCGTCATCTCCTACGGACCGAGTATCTAGGTTTTCTACTGCGCCCATTACACATCCCGGATATTCTCAAATGCCATCCACATCCTCCTTATCTACTTTCGCAGGACTTTCCGACGATCTAGAGGTACCAATGGAGGATAGGGTCTATGATGCCGTCTTCTTCTTAGATTCTGATCTCAACCCGGTCACTCGTGTTCCTGATCGAAAATCAGACCAGTTTTCTCCGGACATGCTCCCAACCTCTCATGACTTCAGCTTTGAAATGAGGTTAGATTCACTTCATTTTGATTCTGTCCTTTGACCCAGAGGATTTTGCTATCTCGACTGATGGGGCATTTTTGCGAATGCAATAGGTGATCTGGCGTATTCAAAGGCTTCATCTCAATCGTATAATTATGGTCATCTTTGCAGCCCCTCCAAACACTTTACTTGTTACGAGTAGCTGTTTCGAAGGTTTTGATATTTCTTCATCGAACATTATTATTGAGCTCATGACCATTCATGTATTAACTTTGCCGTCCACATCTTACGCATGATATATGAATTATGATGTCTATTCGTTACTCTTACCTCTCGTTTGCAATACCTTTGACTTCAGCTTTCATTGGTGTATCATTGGTGTAGCATTCGTGCATTACATTCAAACAATAACTACCCACTAAATAACGGAATCGTTGCACATGCGGGTTCAATACTTTTCGGCCAGGACTAATCATAATAATCAGCGAAAGCTGTGAATGGTATTATGGCCCTTACTTAAAGTTACCAGTGACGTCCAGCCCGTGAAAGGATGGCTGGTGAAAGGAGTTAGTCGCGATTAAAACACAAGACTTAACCTTACCTCCTTCTCCCTTCTCCAGTGACAGCATCGTACTGCTCCCATACGTATCCAGTCCTCTTGTATTCCTGCATCGAAGATTTTATCAGTGCATAATGCATATATACTAGTAAAAGAGGAAGCTGACGCTAAAAACATTGTCTATGACGTTTTTCCTCAGTTCGGTGTAAATGTCTTTAGCATATTCTTTATAAGGGCCTTCCTCAGCACCATACACCTGCCATTCATCAAGCATGGTAGCATCGGTTTATCACGGAAAACCATTAGGAAATAGAATAAAATGACACACCTTGAACAACGAACTTAGGGCCATATAATTCATCTGTATCCATATCGGACCTTTCCAATAGTTTTCGCCGGTCCCGAATGCAGGTTCACTAACAGACAGGCTGCGAAGACCATATGGTGACCAAAGATGGTCAGGATCACGCAAGAGGTCGAGGACAGCCCTCAGATGCGGCGAGTCGGGGGAGAGCAGAGAAAGAAGGAAAGGGAAAAGGGAAAGATATCCCTTATGACAAACATGATAAGATTCATCTGAGAATATGGTAGTGAATAAATGAATTATCAGTAGGATTTATGCAGGTTTATACCTTGATCGTCGATATTCACGTCGCAATACATTTGCTTTTCCTCACTCCAGTGAAGATCTTTTTGCGCGTCAGGGCGGATAAAAAGGCGAGAGTAAAATATATCACCTTCAATATTATCCAGGATTGCTCTCTCTATCTCCAAGAAGCTTAATTGGTCCTCAGTCTCACCAATGAAACCTGATATTTCCCGCATAGTCCTTGTGAAAAATGCCATCCAGCTTATCAGGTCCAAATGTAGCTCTCCAGCGTGAGGAGGACCTCTTGGATAGTCATCCATGCCGCTTGTTAGGACGTGTTGTTCCGATCGTCCTCGCCAGCGATACGCCTCGGTGCGAGAACGAGCTTTACGACCGTACTGCTTGATTTGTCCGCGTTGGGTGCGGCGAAACCAATCATAGTGGCGCTTAAGAGGGTGGTAGATAGACTGCAGGTACGCAACCCCACGATCATACGTCAGGTAGATATTGCCATCCGTGAATGTAGTGGTATCAGTGAGTATAGTCTGAGATCCGGGTATATAATTCATGCCAAGGTCCTCATCCGATAACCCAGACGTTTGAGATTTCAATCGGTCGATAAACGCAGTGACTGCCATAGTAAGAGTCGGAGGGTTGGCAAAAGAGGGGACTTGGGTTTGAAACTGAGCTGGAACCTATTACATGACATGTCAATAAACCTGCAATAAAATTATGTTTGAACGTACTTTGCTTCTCGCTTCTTCGCCCAGAATTTGTTCCCTAGCAACCCAGCCATCATTGTCAATCAAGTTGATCCAATCCATGAGCATCTCCAGGCTATGGGATACTGCAGATTTGTATCTAATCACGTCCATTGATATAATAGCGAACGTACCTGAGATCATTATCCCACTGTCCAATGTGCAGCAAATGAAATCCTTCATCCCTGCAGTGACGTTGAGCGGGAAGTTTTCTCAGAAAAACAAATTTACCAATAGAAGCCTCTTGGGAAAAAACTGCGACTAGGTGTTGCAGTCAGTAGACCTTGAGGCTCTAATAACTTTGCGTCCTTTTGTGCATCCTCATCGGCGTCGGGCGTGAAATCATCATCCTCGTCCCACTCGTATGCGAAGTTTCGATCGATGATAGAGGTTCCGTAGAAATAGCCGATACCACCCAGAAGATTAGATGTTATAGCTTTGCTGAAAGAGCTAAGGGCTCCTGGGTCTGCAGCAAAGTAAGAGGGCGACGTTGGAAAGATAGCCTCGAAACGTTTATCAAAAGATGCATTCAGAGCGTGCATGCCTTGGTCAAGGATTGACGCTGAATTGGAATAATTAGTCTGAAAGTAGGGCTAATCACAATTGAATGTAGTTACCATCAAGCATCTGAGCTGCACTTTGGCTTTCGAAGAATACATCAAACTGGAACTCTCCGTCAAAACTTTTTTGTACAGCATATAAGTTACTTCCTGTGTAAACCTCATCAGATAACTGTAAAACAAATGAGGGGTCCGGTGCTGTCGATGTCCGATATTTTTGAACAATGTCTGCCGCATGATTGACGATATTTTGTAATATCCATTCTGGAACATTTGTCAGAGCCAGCACAGTGACATGATGGCTACATTTCGAACCTTTGGCCGTCCAAATGTCCCCTCGGTTTAGTCGCAACCCAGCCAAATGAGATTTGCCGATACGCTCTTTGAATGCTTCAGAATGAGGCCCGTTTGTAACTGCATTGTTTTCAGGACCTAGCCAAAATGTCAATGGATACTTTTCTCGACGAACATACAAGATGCTAACTAACTGTCAACTATCCGAATCGTGAAATCGTCCAAGTCAGGAGTTGATCCTACAAACTCCACAGGCCCTTCGATGCCCTGGGTATTATATTATTTATCGAGAACAATATTATGCAAAGGTCGTTGCTCACGTTTTCATTCTCATCTGTGACCATGTCTATACCACCGAGACCCTCTAGGCCGACGTAGAATATCGTGGAAATTCGGGAAGGAAATTCTTCATTTTGATTCGTGAGACCGAAGGGGTGATAGAAAACATGGCCCACACTCACCGGAGTTGATCGGTTTCCCTTTGATTCTTGCAGCCCAACTACCACCATTGTTGCCTCCGGAAATCTTCAACAGCTCGGTGGTTAATTCGACGTTATTTTGGCTGTCTCTGAGCACCTGTTCGCCACCACGGCGAGGGTCATATGTGGTCCAAGTGTAGCTGTCCAGACCGTCCCCTTGATCACATGCATGTCGAGTTTCTGGCAAGCCAGCAAAGTTAATATATGATAAAATGACCTTTTATTCACAAGAACATACTACTGATAGATTGATAATCCTGAGTACCGAACCACATGAGACCAGTCACGAGAGATTGAGGTACCCTAGGCTTGAGGCCAAAGTAGAGGTTTGGGCGATATACACCCCAAAGCAAGTCTTCGGAGGAGTTGGTTGAGTGCGAGGTTACCACTCTTGCTGGAAGTAGTAGCAGTAACCCCCACAAGTGGGCCTTGGAAAGATACATACACGGGTACGAGAGAATCAGAAATGAAGAATTGGTGGCAAGGAAGTATGGAATAGATAGGCTATGCAGCAACAGGAATATATGGATACGCGTCTAGCTCGTGGGGTTCGAATGTCAATATCACAGTAATGTGGTCACCGTAGTAATAGTTGAAGATTTTTTATGAGAAGCCTTGCAAGTTGCACAAGTAGGTGGTCTAGCTGGCAAGTCATACAGCGTAACGCTTTATTTCGGATTTTTCCGTGGGATACCTTCCCGCTAACAATCTGAACGTTGTCACGGACCTGTCACAGTTCTCATTGGGTTGGGACGTGCATTAGCTCTCTAGAATAACGCAAACACGACGATCTGACCAGGCCCCATGGCCGAGAACATCTACAGTAAGGGAACGAGAGTTTGGTTCGAAGATAAAGACCAGGCTTGGATATCTGCCGAGGTCGTAGCCGTCTCCAAAGCTTCGGATGATGCCATCCAGCTCGATTTCCTTGATGAACGAGGCAAGGTCAGTTGAGTCCAAATTTCGTAACGGAATGGGTTAAAGTTGAAGTTACCTTTGTATGGTGATTTTTTTAGGAGTTGACGATCAATACGACCCTAAAGAATATCAAGGATGGCAAAGGTCTCCCTCCCTTGCGAAACCCGCCACTACTAGAAACTGCCGATGATCTGGCCACATTATCCCATCTGAATGAACCTTCAGGTAAGTATCATGTTATCTTTTATGGCTTACTTCTCTTTCATTGACGGTAGCACAGTTTTGCATACAATCAGAAATCGTTACGCCCAGCACAGCATCTACACTTATAGCGGGATAGTTCTCATTGCTGTCAACCCGTTCCAGAGAGTCACACTATATGGGCCAGAAATCATACAAGCCTATAGCGGTCGCAAGAGGGGTGAACTGGAACCGCACCTTTTTGCCATCGCCGAAGATGCATACACTGCCATGGGGAAGGATGGCATGGGTCAAACGATCATCGTGTCTGGGGAAAGGTGATTATATTGGTATATTCCCATTTTATCTTTTATCTAAACTCTATTATAGTGGTGCAGGTAAAACCGAATCAGTGAGTATTATATACGTTTTATCCACTTCCTGTGTCGAGATGGCTGTCTTTAGGCAAAGTTTATCATGCGTTACCTTGCTTCTGTGAATCCTCCTGGTTCGACGAAGTCGAAGACAAAATTCTCGCTCGACGAATCTAGTGAAATAGAACGTCAGATTTTAGCAACAAATCCAATTCTAGAAGCATTTGGTAATGCCAAAACGACGCGGAATGATAATTCATCACGTTTTGGAAAATATATCCAGGTCTGTATATATCGCTCAGTTGTAAAAGTCATATTCTTATGACCACTGTCACAGATTTTGTTCGACGGCAAGCAAGAAATAGTAGGCGCCCGTATTCGGACCTACCTCCTAGAGCGATCCCGCATTGTTTTTCAGCCGCTCACTGAACGCAATTACCATATCTTCTATCAGTTATGCGCCGGTGCACCTATGAAAGAACGTAAAGATCTTGGACTGGATACGGATGTTGGAAAATTTCACTATTTAAAACAAGGGGGGACGGCCTCTACGCCAATTAGCGGAGTGGATGACTCTGAAGAATTTCGCGCCACACAACACGCGCTTTCCACTGTTGGAATAAGCGTCGAAAAGCAATGGGCAGTTTTTCGACTACTCTCCGCGTTGCTTCACCTTGGGAATGTCAAAGTTACACAGACACGATCGGATTCAGCTATCAACGAAGATGACCCTTCTCTCATCTTGGCCACTCGCTTTTTGGGCGTAAATCTTCCAGAATTCAAGAAATGGACGATTAAGAAACAAATTACAACGCGCTCGGAAAAGATAGTGACATCTCTCAATGCTGCGCAAGCCACCGTTGTCAGGGACAGTGTGGCAAAGTTCGTATATGCGTGCTTATTTGAATGGCTGGTTGCCGTAGTCAATGAAAGTCTGGCTGGAGAAAATGGTGACGCAGCTGAACGTGCTGAAATGTTCATTGGAGTGTTGGATATCTATGGTTTCGAGCATTTTCAGAAGGTAGTGTTCTGATCACTACTTGGTCCGCATTGCATTCACGAATCTCCATCGTAGAATTCATTTGAACAATTCAGCATCAACTATGCCAATGAAAAGTTACAGCAGGAAGTAAGTGTCTACAAAAGAATTTTAATTGCTACTCATGTTTTCGCTTCTCATAGTTTAATTCCCATGTTTTCAAACTTGAACAAGAAGAATATATGAAAGAAGAGATCAACTGGACTTTCATAGAGTTCTCAGACAACCAACCATGCATCGATGTGATAGAAGGAAAACTTGGCGTGCTTGCGCTTCTTGACGAAGAATCGCGTTTACCTTCAGGAAGTGACGCGTCCTTTTTGCAAAAGCTCAACACACAGTTGTCAAAGCCTGCCAACAAAGCCGTTTTCAAAAAACCAAGGTTTGGAAATTCGGCATTCACGATTGCCCATTATGCTCTAGATGTTACGTATGAAGTAGATGGCTTTTTGGAAAAAAACCGCGACACCGTTCCGGACGAACATATGGCACTACTTGGCTCGACGAGAAACTCATTTTTAAAGGAGATCCTTGATATAGCCCTAGGATCCGCGAAATCAGTAGAGCCCGTTCACCCGAGTTCACCTGCCTTTTCCGACTCTGGCAGCGGGGGATCTCGTCGATCGTCGATCATTCCAGACCCAGGGCGACAATCTTTTGTTACATCGACCTCTACCTCTATGGGAGCCAAGCGGGGCTTTGTGGTGAAAAAACCAACACAGGGTTCTATTTTCAAGGCATCCTTGATAACCCTTATGGACACTCTAAGCGTAACCAACGTGCATTATATCAGATGCATAAAGCCGAATGAAGCAAAAAAACCATGGGAGTTCACACCTCAACAAGTTCTTGGCCAGCTTCGGGCATGTGGAGTCCTAGAAACGATTCGCATTAGCTGCGCTGGGTATCCCTCACGTTGGACGTACGAGGAATTTGCAGAACGGTAAGTGAATCGGTGCCCTATATAACACGGTCTCAATCTTCCTTAGGTATTACATGCTCGTACCCTCATTGGATTGGCAACCGATGATCCAGAATTTAGAGTTAAAACCTCTCTGTTCCCTTGTCCTACAGAAAACTATTAATGATCCCGACAAGTACCAAAGCGGTCTGACGAAAATTTTCTTCAGGGCAGGGATGCTAGCAGCATTAGAATCTCTTCGTGCCAACAGGCTCAACGCTCTTGTGACGATTGTGCAAAAAAATATGCGCAGGCATATGGCAGTCAAGGATTACCGCCAACTACGTCGGGCTACAATTCGGATTCAGACTTGGTGGCGGGGTATACTTGCTCGGAGTTTAGTAGAAAGCATCAGGAAGAATGTGTCTGCAAGACGGTTGCAGACTGCACTGAGGTGTTACATACACCGCAAGAAATTCTTGGATATACGAAATGCGATGACCATCTTCCAGAGTCGTATGTTTACTTCAAACGCGAGGCTGTCTTCGTCCTAATGTGCCATTTCCATAGGTGCTCGCGGTGCCCACGCTCGTCAGCTTTTCAAGGAGATGAGAACGTCTCACGCAGCAATACGGTTACAAAGTCTTTGCCGTGGACTGTACGTTTATTCGCGTTTATTAAGTGGTTCTGTCTCACAGCTACCTTACAAGGTTATGCCGTCGCACTTTTGGATCTGATTTAAAACATGTCATCTACCTACAGTCGTGCATCAGGCGCCGATTGGCCCGAAAGCACTTGAAAAATCTCAAAGCCGAAGCACGTTCCGTATCGAAGTTCAAAGAGATATCCTATCGTCTAGAAAACAAGGTAGTCGAGTTAACTCAAAATTTACAAAAGCGAACAGAGGAAAAAAAGACGTTACAAGCACGATTGTCAGAGGTGGAACAACAGCTACAACATTGGTCATCTAGATATGAGGAATGCGATGGAAAAGTAAAGCAACTGCAGTCTGCTTTGTCGAAGTCTGAAGTTGCGCTTTCTCAGAGAGACGAACTTCTTACTGCGAAGGTAGACGTGGAAAGGCGGCTTGAAGATTTTACTGCAAAGGCAGCAGAAAGGGAGGAGACCATTCAAAAACTCACAGAGGAGTTGACGCGCCAAAGCACTCAGCTCGAAGCGCAACAGAAATCCATCGACATGGCACCCTCTCGGGTTAATGAGGACAGTTCTATCATTGCCACACTTAAAAACGAAGTCAGCAACCTTCGCGAACAGCTCAATCGCGCAAACGCCCTCAATGCTCTGACACGAGGTACTCGAGCAGAGCCTCCCAATTCACCTACATTTTCGCCTGCACTGCGCATCGCTGATTCGAACAATGGAGCCAATGGGTCTGCGTTAGCGGCGCCCTCGACCCATCAGCGAAGACACAGCTCTGCAGGCGTGTATTCGCTGTCTCCTCTAGATGGCCGAACATCTGCAGACGATATGCTTGATGCGAAGAAGAATCACATACTAAATCCTCGCGCAGTATCAGTTGCTTACAATGGCGAGGACAAAGTACTTCGGCTGCGCACAAACGGCTTATCCGAAATTCGTGACAACGATGACCCCGCGGAAGAAAAAATCAAACTCATGCAGGATGTTAAACGTTTGGATGAAGATGTTCTAGATGGCTTAATCCGGGGTTTGAAGATTCCAGTGCCTAGTCTTACTAATCCATCTGCTGTTAAGGAAATCCTTTTCCCAGCTAATCTTATCAGTCTTGTTACTAACGAGATGTGGAAGTATGGTTTAATTCCGGAAAGCGAGAGATTCCTGGCCAACGTGATGCAGACTATTCAAGCCCATGTTATGGCAAGTTTTATTTTTATTTTTAATACTCTCTCTTTCTGTTGGGCGCTAAATTCCCTTCAAATAGTCTTTTTCCAGCGAAGAAGCCATCGTTCCTGGGATTTTCTGGCTATCAAACGTCCACGAGATGTTATCCTTCATCTGCGTTGCTGAAAGTGACATGCTTCAAGGTATAGGGCCTGGCGAAGAGAATGCTGTACGGCCTTTCGATTGGAATGACTATGAGCGGCTCGTGACTGTCGTCAAGCACGACCTCGACAGTCTCGAGTATAACATATACCATACTTGGATGCAAGAGACGAAGAAGCGTTTATCCAAAATGGTGATACCGGCGTTAATCGAAAGTCAGTCATTACCGGGTTTCACGACCAGTGATGGCGGGGGACGACTATTCAACCGTCTTCTCAATACAAATAATCACCCGGCCTTTGGCATGGACGATATCCTGAATCTGTTGAATAAAGTATGGAAGAGTCTAAAAAGCTATTACATGGAAGATTCGGTGGTGCAGCAGATTGTTACTGAGCTGCTCAAATTAATCGGGGTTACTAGTTTTAATGATCTTTTGATGAGACGCAATTTCTCTTCATGGAAGCGAGGTAAGCTTGAAGGTTCGTATATTCATGCCCGAGGTAACTGAACAAAGTCAATAGCGATGCAAATTCAGTACAATATCACACGCATAGAAGAATGGTGCAAATCACATGACATGCCAGAAGGGATGCTGCAACTCGAGCACTTGATGCAAGCTACGAAGCTTCTGCAACTGAAGAAGGTATACCCTACCATTCAATACTCTACTTCTTACAAGGAGACTGAGCTATTGAATTAGGCAACTCCAGCAGACATAGAGATTATTTACGATGTTTGTTGGATGTTGAGTCCAATGCAAATACAGCGCATGTGCACGAACTATTATGTGGCCGACTACGAGGTGAGCCGTTTCCTTCAAGGCTCTTCCATTCCTAGACTCAAGATATCATCAGAGTCCCATTTCTCCTGAAATTTTACGAGTAGTGGCTTCTCGGGTGCAAGCTAATGATCGTAACGATCACCTTCTACTATCTCCCGAAACGGAAGAAGTTGGTCCATACGAATTGCCACTACCGCGAGAGGTGTCTGGCCTGGAGACCTATGTACCTGCATATCTAAATGTAGCACACCTTCGCAGATTGGCCGCCCTGGTTGCATAATTGCTTTACTTCGATGTTTCTGTTTATTATGACTGCATAGATAGGTTTCATAATGGCCCGCAGGCAGGCACTCATACTCGCACCACATGAATTTAGGTGGCCACGATGACATGAGGAATCGAGCGGAGCTCAATCATAACCTCTCTCTTTTTTGTGGAGGTTAACTTGCAAGGTTATATGTAGTCTAGTCCAATATAATGTTCCATTCTGTGGTTATGGTTAGTGATGCCAGAGCGCCAACATTTAGGTCGGCATGCTTCGCCGCATCAGCATAGATTAGGCTCGTACCCACCCTGCTCGCTCAGCTCTCGGCTAGGTAATTTAGCGATGATTGAAGCTGTGAACTTGCTGTATTCTCCATTTGCTGACCTAATACAATATATGATATTTGGTCTCCTTCAAATCTCACGACTTTTGCAGGAGCCCCCCATTTGGTGCCAATAACGCAAATTGTTGAAGCCTTTTGAAGTTCAGAAGTGACTCCACCATTCAGATGCAACTCAGACTCAGCAAAGGGGATCGAGAGTAGAGGCCTCATGTACTGGTCCCAGTCAGACAATCAGTCAAGCAATCAGTCAGAAAAAGTCTCTTGTGACCAGTGATAACTCACAAGATTGTTGATAGCAGTACCAGTAGACTCATGTAAACATATTAGTCTTTATCCAAACCCATCACTACTATATGCCTGAAGCAAGTCCTAGACACCCTGCCCGGTCTACAGATCAAAAGCTCAACACTATCCTTCAAACCCTACAGGATGTCAGTTGGTCATTTGCAGACTTCCTGTACTATCTATTTTGTCAAAAGGATGAACATGGGAGAAAAGTCAAAAGGACACAACAACACTTACAGTCAGTGGTGTCCTTCCTCAATGGATCCTCAATTGGATCAGCATCAATAGGCACTATTCTTGATGCACCCTTTGAAAATGCCAAATGTGTTTCTCTAACAAGCCTGGTACTAGAACAAATGAAGGGGAAGAGTATCATGACCATCAGAACTGAAGAAATCTGGCATGGGGAAGCAGCACTTACTGCATGGGCCATCAAACATGTTACTAGACTAATCCATGTGGAATTTGATGTGATGGTGTTGCATGATGGTGGTCTACAGATGCAAGCCCGAGTTTTATCTGAAAATGTCAATTGACATGATGGCACATCTATTACATGGGATGCATTCAACTGATTTAGCTTCCGGAAGCTGCAAGACCTCCTGGAAACAAACACACCTGTAATGTGCCATATTGTTTGCTTGTACTCCAACCCAGAGTTCCACCATGCCACAGATATATTGTCCGCAGGACTTGGTATGTCCTGCTTTATTTTGTCTCATCTAAACCTATTAAACCTTGTGTGGTAGGGTGCAATTGCTGCGTTAATGGCCCTCAACTTCACACACTCAAAATCAGCTAGCTATGTCACATATAACACCCTTGTTGAAGCACTGGAAGGGATGGCTCGTGCAGCAGTTAAATATCTGAAAGAAGCTGCAAAACATGGGTCAGAACAACACTTCAGTGTTGTTGGAGACAATGTACAAGCTTATGCAAAGAGATGGGACCCTTGAATTAGAAGAGAGAACAAGATATTGAAGGGTTTTGTGGGCACAGCTGTTGAGCTGCAGGAATTTGACCCTGCAGCATTTGATGTACAAGAACTGGTGCGGCAACTGCAGCTGCAAGAAAGGAAATCAATCATCACAAAAGGCATATTAGACAATATTGATCTCACTCACCAGGCAAAAGTGCGCACTTTGTATTTCTTACATATTCTGATCAACTTTGTGATTGTGCTATCAGTTTACAAAAGCTGATATAAGGAAGAATACAAAACTATTGCCAAAAATCCTATAAATCAAAACTGTCATACAAAAGTGACTCCTCTTGCCACAAACACAACTGATGAGATGCAAATTCAAGGGATGGAGAAGGCAGTTAGTGATTTCCTGAAGACACAAATGGGGATTGATGATGAGACAGATGAGGGAGAGTTATTATATTCAGCAGTGATGGGAAAACATTTGACCAACTTATCAAACTGAAGAAATACCGGGTGATGGAACAGCAAGACTTTGAATCCATACATTGTATTGTGCCAACGTTGAAGCTTTGACATACAAAGTGGACCAATCTTAGCCGTGTTACTTGTACACATTGGGGTGCAGCCTTTGTGGTGGTGGGAAGTTCAAAATGTTCAATTGAGAACTTCTGGGAAGTGTCTAGCCACTTTCTGAGACCTAACAGGGACAGAACTAGAGTCCAGTATGAGTAACTATATTATCAGAGAGTACAGAATGTGTACAGTACCTAGAGTCCAGTATGAGTAACTAAAGAATAGGAATACTGGACTCTGCAATACTAGTAAACAAATCAGCCACAAAGGCGAAATTATAGAATGCTCAGTGAATACTGAACAATAGAGCAAAAAGAATAAAGAAGAAAGTGATTTAGAAAGAAGGGAAAATAGATAGCACAACTAGGTGCAGAATCACCAAAACTAACACAAAAGGCTATTGCAGACAGTGATACAGGCAGATTGTGGGAGGTGCTCAAAGTAAGCATAACAATGATGGATTATTCATATAATAAACTTACAGCAACTCTGCGGCCCATATAGTTATAATTGTCCATTTTAGACAGTGCATTATTACCTGATAATATTACTATATGTTACGATACACAATTTTTGGACCTTTGATTTTCATTCTCCCCTTTAACTTTATACGGTAGTTTTCACACACTGTGCCATGCGGCACTTCCCATTTTGTTCAAACTCCACCTTCTCGTGCTATGCTGCCTTTATTCTTATTTAGCTACAAGTCTCTCACGCAGTGGAGCTGGTCACACAGGCTGCACCCTCTGACATCATCAGCCACTGCTTTTATCAACTGTACAGTACATAAGTACAAACACTCTGTATTAGTATATACACCTCATTAGATCTAGGAGACTCCTCAGCAAGTCCTCCTGTTGTATCCTCACAACTAACTTGTTGAAACCTAAAGGGTAAACACTCCCTCTTCATTATCTTTTGGCTTGTCTGAGTTGTGCGCCAGAGTAACTAACTCTTGGTTGTTACATTAGGACTTGCTCTTACTACTCTCTCGCACATTGTGCAAACCCGGTCCCCAGGGTTAAGGGGTTATTGTTTAGGGATATCCCGTATAGCAGAAGGGTGCGCTCCTAGCAACGGCCCTGTAGTGCTCTGGGAGAAAGAACAATTATTTTTTTGATACATGGCCCCCAGTGTTAAGGGGAGTACTTTAGCTCGGCAGTTGGTGTGGAACCACTGTACAAAACTTCTTCTTCGAATACCTCTGATCAAGCTGGGCACTTGCCTCCGCCAGTTGGAGAAGGGTTGACAGCATAACAAGCGGACCACCCCCTGACAACCGTTTGGACCAGGGTTTCTTACATTTACTTTTTATATACTTTTCAAATACTATAGTGTGGGTAGTCAGAGATTGAGATCCGATATTCAGCTGGGAAGAGGTAGATCCACAGATAGCAAGCGGGGACCCCCAGTTACCCTTTTTTTTACATTACCAAAGAGAACAAGCCGACATGTTGTCGCAAACTCCTGACGTCAACACTCTGTTGCACAACATGCATGCACAGATTTTGGCGTTAACCACGCAACTCGCTGAGCTACAGGCAAACCCCACTGCAGCAGCACCCTCAGTTGAGAAGAAATTTAACAAGAAAGTTGAAAACGTCGCTGACCCCGGCACTTTTGAAGGAGACAGAGCACAATTTGCTGAATGGTGGATCAAACTGCAAATTTGGGTCGAAGCAAATTGGGATGTGTTTGCTGACGACTTTGAGGTAGCAACTGCGGTGCTATCTCCACTAAAAGGACCTGTGGCGAGTCAATATGCCCAAATTAGATTACAGGAGTGCTACACAGCGGGAGTGTGGCCCACCTGGGACAATCTCAAGATAGAGATTGAAAAATATTTCAAACCTCAAGCTGAGCGTGACTGGGCGCGTCAGCAAATCCATACCTTCAAGCAAGGGAACATGAGGACAGATGATTTCGTAACCCGGTTCCTGGCCCTCTCTATCCAAGGGGGTCTAGGTAATGAACATGCAGTGGAGCTGCTGGAATGCAATGTAAACCCCCACATTGCAGAACAGCTCTACATATAGGATATGAGGAGCGAGAACCTCTCTCAAGCAGCAGAGGAGGTTCAAAAAGTAGGTAGGGCCATAGTGTAACAACCAAGAGTTATTTACTCTGGCGCACACAGGAACACACTATAAAGAAGATGATGGGGAGTGGTTACCCCTTAGGCTGCAGTGAGTTAGTTGTGCTAGACAACAGGAGGACTCGCTGAGTCCTTCCCCATGTATTGCTCTTGTATATATACTAAAATACATGAGGTACTGTACAGTTGTAAATAAAGTTCAAAGTCCGATGTCTAGCATGTGACAGGTCACATGATGAGTCTAGACACTGGTCATGTGACTATGAAAAGTTGAAAATGTAAAGTAAAGTAAATGGTCACATGACTGGTCATGTGACTTGGAAAATAAAAGTAGAAGTACAAAAGTGAAGCGTAAGTAGGTGCTGGTATGTTAATTGTAACACATAGAGCTCTACAAAATGCAATTCAGTGGCGGGCTCACCACCAAAAACAACTTTTCCCAGAGGAGCCCTGGGTCATCAAACCAAAATAAAAATCACTCTCATGGGTTCCAACCAGGGCGGGGAGCCCCATTGGATATCAACGCGGTCCAGGGCGGACAGGCGCGCAGATTCACCTGCTACAGCTGTGGGCAGGAGGGGCACATAGCCCAAAAGTGTCCAAACGAAGCGCAGGCCGCTCAACAAGAAAATAACCAAGGGCGCTGTCGATGATGAGAACTGTTGTTAGAAAACCACACACAAAACAAACTAACACACAATCCTCCCAGATTCCACGGAACTTGTTTATGGGCTTTGCCTCCTAGAACAGTGGAGTGGTCTGGTTGTTCGTGGGGTGGTACGTATAAAGATCCTTCAAAGTAAAACCCAGAGGTGTATGAGTGTGGGTTTTGAGGAGGAGGGATAGTTGAATTTATAGAAGGATAGGGGCTTTGTGACGAGTATAGACGAGCACTACCTTGCTAGTCGTAGCACAAGGTAGGTTTGAGAACGACAATATGATGAGGTTCCCAGTGATAGCAGGCTCCTGACGCACAAACTGTAGTGCTCAGAAGGACTCTAATCGAAAGGGATGACAATGACTTCAAAAGTGGGAAGTGACGATGACAGCAGTTAACAGTGGTAAAAGTGGGAAGTGTTGTGACCACACTGGATCACAAGTAGCAGAGTAGTGAACTTGAGAGTAGAGAAGAAGTCTGGATTGGATTTCTTGTTGTTGTTTTTACAAGGTAAAATACAGGGGTTTATATAGTAAAAGAGAAGTAGGCTATGCACAGTATAGCTGTGCAAAAAGAATGAGAAAGAATATGAAGGAAGGAATGTACGCTGACGAATCCTGCGTAGGTAGTACAGGATAAGATTGTCAAAAAAAGAAAAGAAAGGGATAGAACAATAAATGCTGTGAGTAATGTCACAGGTTTGTACAGCCATAAAGTAAAGTCCAATAGCAAAAAGAGAGCAGGAAGATCATGATGTCATGGGAAGATGCAGTAAAAAAGGGCAAGGCAAAACGCTATCAGTATCAACACAGTTCCTTTATTGTCAGTCAGGCATTCTAAAAAAATATGTGTCCATAAAAATGATTCAAAAATCAAAAATAATCGCACTGTAAATGAATGTTCTCTGAAGAAAAAGAAACTGGAGCCACCGGTCCACCACCTAGTCCAAATCTGACAGTTCCATGGCCTTACCAATGGACTGGTTGTGTTGGACCACCTGATCAAACGAGGGAGGGAGAGGAGTAGTTCCAATTTGGAACAAGTGAGTCCCAGGCAGCGTGTGGTAGGTGTAGCTGTAGCGAAGATAATGGACAAATGATAAGTGTACCCAAGTGAATGGGACAGCGATGAACATGGGCGACGCAAGGGGATGAACCTTCTCCAGCTCAAAAACTACCCACCTACGCTCCAACCAGGCAAGACGAGCGACCGATGTTTTGATAGTATATGATGGCAGATCGACGTCATGAAGATGGACCTGTTGCCCTATTTGGACCGGCCGCCGGGGCTTTGCTGATATCAGCAGTGGCACGTGGTAGTCAACGGATCGGCGACAGAAGCGGATAGGAAGTGGTGACATCAGAAATGGTGGGGGTTCAAAGAAGATGAGGAGGAGGAGGGTGGAGGTGACGAGGAGGTGAACTAAAATGGGGACCCAGAAACGACCGTCGGGTGAGAATAAAAAGGAGAGGAAGGGGCCCATGGTGGGGCTAGGCAAAGGAAGGGGAGTAAGGGAAACGACAAAAGTGAGGGCGCAATGCAATGTGTAGCCAGTGGCGACGCGAAAATTTGCCGAAATGCCGAAATGCGGAAAGTACCGGATGGAAAAGCAAAGGTGAGCGTGACTGGATTGCCTAATAGAGGTGGTGCTGATCAGCCACAAGTTCAAAAAGGGCAATATTAATTACTATTCCACATGGCACTGTGCCTATGTGGCGCAAAGGCGAGTCTTTTTGAATATTCGCTTCGTTATTGACACCTGTCCATGCTACCAATCAACTTTGGTGCATGACATCCACGGACAACTTGAAATTGCAACTGTCCCCAGTTGCTTCCATAAAGGTAGGGTCATAGGGAATGAAACATGGCAACACATTGAAGGGTCATGTCAGCATAAAATTCGTTCAGGTAAGTCATTAATTGTTATCTTCATCATCTGAGTCGTTATGCTCATAGTCAGGTTCATCTTCTGGTTCATCTAGGTCGTTATCATGGTCATCCAGTTCGTCCAAGAGGGGCATAGAGTGGCGGTTGAAATAGGGAAGTAGGCGAAATGCTGCAATTCCTCTTCGTGATACTGATCCATCCATTTCTTTTAGAACATATGATCCTCCTTTAGTACGTCGCACAACTTCATAAGGGCCATTGTAACGAGGCTTTGCTTTACAATCCAGCTCTTTCTCAACCTGAGTATTCCGCACTAGAACAAGCTCTCCAGGCTGGTATTTGTTCTTGAACATCCTTCGTGCATAGAGTTTCTCAAACTGCGCTTTAGATCTGAGACGAGTTTTGCGTATAGTGAGTGCAGCTTGTTGCAAATCATCCTGTCTCTTTTCTAGTTGACGAATGCGCAGAGCAATGAGGTCTTCTGTTGACATTGCAGTATGGAATCCATGAACAAGGAAAGTCGCTTCTGTCAGATCAAATGGTAGGACTGGGTCAACTCTGTGCAACAGATAAAAAGGGCTGAATCCAGTAGAACAACGAGTAGTGACCTTGTCTGCAAAGAAGGCATGATGGACCTTGGTTGGCCATAAATCGACATTCCCTTCACAGGACTTGACAAGTGCTTCTCTTATGACGAAGTGTCCACGCTCAACAACACCATTTGCCTTGGAATTGTAGGGAGAAATGCGAATATGAGGGATCTGGTAACGTTCCACAAGCTCTTCAAATGCTCCTTTGACTTTGCTTCCATTATCTGTGACAACTTCTCCTATAGCTCCATAGCGACAGATGATTTCTTCCCAGAAAAAGCGAGCAAGATTATGTGCAGATGCTTTCTTCAATGCTCTTCCTTCTGCAGCAAGTGACAGATCATCTCTTGCAGCAACAAGATATCGATATCCTCTGGCCTTGGGCATGAGCATAATGTCGACATATACTTTGGTGAAGATTGTAGGAGGTGATGAGATGGTAAGTGGGACTTCACTTTTGCGTACACTTCGAATCTGGCATTCATGGCAGGTGCGAATATGATGCTTGACATCCTGTAACATATGGGGCCAGTAAAAGCGCTCTCTGACTGTAGAGAATACACCATTGACTCCTCTGTGACCAAGCCTTTCATGTGCTTAAGTAAGGATGTGAAGTCGAAGGTCAGGATTGAAGATGACTTTGAGAGGAGGAGCAGAGTGACGACGCTTGAACATGCTGTCTCCTTTCAAGAAGAATTGAAGTGATCGCTTGACAAAACGCTTTTGAGCTTGAAGAGAGGAAAATATAGGCAGCTCCATAGTTTGAAGAAAGTGGAAGATTCGACGAAGAGTATCATACTGAGAAGAATCATTGGTAAGGAACGAAGGGAGTGACATAGGGTGATATGGGAGAGGTCTGGCAAGATCAACAAGAAGAGCGATATCATCAAGCCAATCATCTGATTCTTGAGCATCTTCAAAGTCTTCCTCTGTTGGTTGACGACGAGATAATGCATCAGGACCACGATGTCGATCAGCAGGTATGTGAATGAGCTTGAAATCAAAGAGAAGGATGCCCTGAATCCAACGATTGATAGTGGCATTAGGCTGAAGATCTGGATCGTTGAGCATGCCTTTGATATACTTGGCATCCACCTCCACATGCAAGTGTTTTACTCCTGCAATGTAAAGGCGAAAATGACGAAGTGCTCTGAACAAACCATATAATTCTAGCTTGGGTTGACTGTAATTTGCCTCTCTATCATTCATGGGAATAGAGCCATAGCGAGCTGGACGCTTCCTTCCATTTTCATCAAGCTGGGAGAGGATAAAACCAACAGCAATCTTGCTGGTATCAACTGAAAGAACGACTGGGTTGTGTGACGAATAATTATAGGGTGAAGTGCTGGTGCAGAAGATACTGCATGCTTCAGAGCATCAAATGCTTCTTGTCTGCGTTCATCCCATTGAAATTCAGCTCCTTTGCGATACAATTCTGTCAAGGGGCGTGCAAGAGCAGAGTAATTGCGGATCCAAATGCGAACTGTGCCACATAGACCAAGAAAACTGCGAACATCTTTGGGAGTCTGGAGAATTGGCCATTTAAGAATCTTGTCCACCTTGGTACTGTCAGGGAGACGACCTTCTGGGCAGCATACTTGTCCGACAATCACAACTTGAGGACGACATAACTGAGTCTTCTTTCCAGAGAAAGTTCCACCAGCATGACCAACTCTATGCATAATGCGATGAACGTTAATGGCATGTTCCCATATAAATCTACGAATGCCAGGGTTGCCAGGAATGGTCTCTGGGTTGCCATCTGCATCTTCATAACGAGAAGTAGGTCCTTTGATTGGGAGGTCA